CTGATCTTTCGCAGCAAGAATCGCTGTTGAATACGGAGCTGCAGGGATTATAGTTTCCAACCATGGAGCTCGTCAGCTAGATTATGTCCCTGCAACTATAGTGGCTCTCGAAGAGGTTAAAATGCATTTACATTAAGAAGAAACTGTTGTAAACACAGCCTTTTTACATTCTTGTTTCAATGGAAATATGAATTTGACAGGTGGTTAAAGCCGTTGAGGGTCGGATTCCGGTGTTTCTAGACGGTGGGGTTCGCCGTGGAACCGATGTGTTTAAGGCATTGGCTCTTGGCGCTTCAGGTGTCTTTGTAAGTTCACTCTCTATTAGCTTCTTGTAATGTCCCCTGTTTTCTCTCTTTACTTTTCCAATTCTACAAGACTTTTACCACTTTTCACATTTTGACCCAAAACCTTTTAATTTGTCAATATACACCCAAGCAAATGACATGTAAGTACTATGTAAGTGGTAACTGATTAACATGTTTGATTAGGTTGGGAGGCCGAGTTTGTTCTCGCTTGCAGCGGATGGTGAAGCGGGAGTGAGGAAGATGCTGCAAATGCTAAGAGACGAGTTTGAGCTTACAATGGCACTAAGTGGCTGCCGTTCGTTGAGAGAGATCAGTCGAAACCACATCAAGGCCGATTGGGACTTCCCTCATTACCTCCCGGCGAAGATATAAGGAAACTTTATTCACTTCTTTTGTCAACGAGAATGAAAAGAGACAGATGGATGTTTGAATTTATGATCCAATAATGTATTTCTTCCATCCAACTTTATAATCGAAATTTATCATTTGAGTGAAAAAAATGCCCAATTCAGTGATAGTATTTAATTGTTATCATCAAAATATTTATTTACTTTTCACCGTTTTTATATTTTTTTTTTTACAAAACAAAGCCATCAATCACTATTCGAAATCTCATGAGTTTAAATTCCCAATTGAATCATTAGTAGCGTAGCATAGCACAGCAAGAGTGACGTGTGTGAGAAGCAAGCGTGTTAGAGACTATAAAACAACGTGAACTAAATTGTTGTCATGAAATAGACGAATGATATAATCTAAATCATCAAAAGCATATAGCATTATTCCAGAAAACGACATATACACACCATGACACCATAGGTTAAGGAATTAATCCATTAATACCTTAAATATGGAGTCTATAATTCAAACATTCGTACTGTCATAGGCTGTGATTTATGTAGGAAGAAGTTTCTGATGCATTTTTCAATTCAAGATACCAAACACGTTTATTACAAAACCATAAAACAGAAAATTACATTTGTACAACACACTCATACTAACATACATGAACCATTGAGATAAACGAGGTTGACCAACTTTGGTATATATATGGGGATTGGGCCAGTGAAATTGTTGTCACTACGATAGAAATTTCAAGATTGGAACATTTTGATATGCTGATGGGGATAGGACCATCGAGTTTGTTTTCAAAATGTATAATTAGATTTTTTTTTTTTTTAAATATGACAAATAACAACATTTTGACGAACCGGTTTTATCACAAAAATTTGAAGGCGAAGTGCAAGGGGGTGTAAAATCAATTTGGCCCTAAACTGAAGATATTCAATTTGCTTGACGTTGAAATCAAACCGTAGTAAACTACATTAAGCCTTGTTATTCTATCGTATAAACTAAATTGTCGAGTGTGTGCGTTGTGGTTTGGTTGTAGGAGGGAATCATAATGTTTTAAAATTTAAAAATGACGTTTTTATCTTAGGATTCTGTACAAAATGGAATGCAAAAATCATATGAAATAGACCGAACTTCACTGGTTTCTTGAACAATGCGATCATTGGCTTCTTGTGACGATGGTTCTCGCTGTCCGTAACATGCATATGTTGGCGCTGTAACTATACTATATATGTTGGTACTCTTAACATTTATATATTTTAAGAATCTTATATATGTTGACTTAAAGGGTTATGTAAGTAGGCGCTTTATATTAAACATTTATGTTGGCACTTGGCACTAACAATCGTACATGTAGTATACAGTACTAGAAACGAGTAGCCATAACAGCTTTGTAATAATCATAACTACCTCCAATACGAGCGGTGGCAGTTAAGGAAGCATGGCGGTGGATGCCGCTAACTTGTTAACAAACTAATTAACAAACTTCGTTAACAAATCAAGTTAACAACCTCGTTAACAAAACACAAAGATTAGCTCTTTAAAAGATTTCATTATCGATCTAGTCAAGACTATTACTAAGTCTGAGGATGCAACATCTAGATATATTGCAGTAAATTATCAATCCCCAATATAATCTTATACTCCTTCCGTTTCAAATTAGTTATCATTTTGGCAAAATGTATCTGTAATTATTTGGATATATCTGCAATGCAAAACACGTCCAAATACGTCCAAATATTTGCAGATATATTTTGCCAAAATGACAATTAATTTGAAATGGAGGGAGTATATAATTAGTGAGTTGCTCTCTCCTCTTAAGGTGTCCACATCAGCAAAAAAAATACAAATCAACTAAATCAAAAGTAAAGATTCAATTAATACATACGCTTTCAAAATATCATTGAATGATTTATTATTCAACCAAAAATATAAAAATGTATTAAAAAATGATTAATAAAAATATAAAAGACAAAAGTAAATAAAAATTGGTTGAATTAATATTTAAAAGATTAAAAGTTAATTTTTAACAGTATATGCAAGAGATTATTATTTAAAAGAAAAAAATGAAATGACTAATAAAAATATAAAAGACAAAAATAAATAAAAATTGGTTGAACTTAATATTTAAAAGATTAAAAGTTAATTTTTAACCGTAGATTCAAGAGATTTTTTTTAAAAGAAAAAATGTATTGAAAATTTAAAATGTCTAAAATTCATAAGAATATATATAATGTAAAAAGATAGTGTATGTGAGAAAATTTCATGGAAAATGTTTAACTTTTGAAAGCTAACAATTAAAGATAAGTAATAAAAATAAGTTATATATAAAACTAAATTATTGATTTTGATGTTAAAAAAAACTAAAGTATTGACTATTTCTAACATTTAAAAAAAATCACTCAAATTTTTTTCGTTTGTATAAATATTTAATAAATAAACATCAATATCATATATACAGAACAACACAGTTTGTAAAGTATATAAATGATGATAAACAACCAAAAATATATGAAAACAACCCCGTGCTTGCTCGGGGGTACAATACTAGTTCTTATGACGTGTGTTAGTAAATTATTAGTACTAGAATATTTGATTCTAATATGTATTTAATTTTTTTTGCTTAACTATTTCAGTAAGAAGTTTACTTATTCATTAAGAAAATAATTAGTTAAATTCCACCATTTTCAGCCAGCTTCCTCTATTACCATTTAAATCTTAAATTGTTTCCAAAAATCATTAATGAATTTGGATAGACTCAAATATATTGATATTATATATTTAACTTAGATTTATATAAGATATTTTAGAGTCAAATATATTGATATTATTTTGTCAAAGAAAAATGGAAACAAATCTTGTGGTATTTGTTGACTAATAGAAAACAAAATCTTGCTCTATTTATGTTTGAAGATTCTGTATATAGATTTGGATTATATACTTAATATAGAGTCAAATAGATTGGTCCTAATTGATTGATTTAAGAAAAAAATCATGTATAAGAATGACTTAGCCGACAAAAAAAAGTCTTCTTACTTTCAAATTTTTTTTTTCTTGTGTAAGAGTTATTATCTAAAAAACAAATATCTTGTTGAAAGAATCTATATAGATTTTAAGAATAACTATACTAATGATTCTAAAACAGAATATTCTATCCACTTTCAAAGATCTATCGAGGTTTCAAGTGCATCAAATTATCTTTGACACGTGAGACCACGACAAACCGCTCGACTTGCATATGCTTAAAAAACTCGTGTAAGTTTGTATCTAATCTTTATTCCTCTTTATTCAAAAAAAAACGATTAAGATTTAAAATTACTAACCTAATCGTATTATTGGTTTCTTCTAAATATTACCATCTTAATTTTGATGATTTCTGTGATCTTTCTTCTATCATACTCTCTTAATTTTTGATGATTTCTTTAGACCTTTGTAGAATAAAGAGAGCTTCTGACTGAATTTTTAATATTATTTGGATTGTATTTATAACGGGGCGTATTTGTGAAAGCAAAGTAAAATCCAGAAACAATTTATTATTAATGTCTTAAAAAAAAATATAAATGAGAGAGAAATTAGTTTTGGGGATGCTGCCATGCTAGTGATTTTGTTTTTCCTTAAAAAGATTGATTGAAAATTTGTTGATTTGATATAATATCTAAATCGTGTGCTCCTGTTAATGAACTTGTTACTTTTATTTAGGGGTTTTCTGCACACTGCAAAGCTGGGAAGATGAATCTTATGGAACTGTGAAACAGTGCACATACATCCCAATATCTCAGGTTAATAAATTCTCACCCGTAGACGGTGAAAAACCTCAAGCCGGTGAGAGAGAGGCCGTAGATGTGGTTGTAAGTGTGGGCAATCTCTTCGCCGGCTTTCTTGGTAGCAGCGTAGAGACTAGCTGGCTGGTCGGTTCTGTCCTTCTCCGAGAAGGGCACTCTGGTGTTCAATCCGTAGACGGAGCTGGAGGAAGCCCACACGATCGCCGGCTGGGGATTGGCCGATTTGCAGACCTCGAGGAGATTGACGAATCCGGCGATGTTGCTGTGAACGTAGGAGCTGGGGTTCTCCATGGCGTACCTGACCCCGGCCTGAGCGGCCAAATGCATAACGTGGGTGAAGGGGACGACTTCGAAGAGCTTCTTGAGGAGCGCGGCGTCGTTGATGTCTCCCTCCACCACGAAGACACCGCTGCGCTCCAGGAGGGCTTGCCTCGCTCTCTTGAGAGACGGATCGTAGTAATCGTTGAAGTTGTCGAGGCCGAGGACGCCGTCGCCGCGTCGCTTGAGGGCGGCGGAGACGTGGGTGCCGACGAATCCGGAGGCGCCGGTGACGAGAACGGAGACGCCGTGGCGGGTGCGGACGCGGGCGGAGGATCGGACGCGTTTCTCCCAGGCGGGGCCGCCCCAGGAGTAGGTGCGGAGGGAGCGGCGGGAGGGATCGGAGGAGGCGGGATTGGAAGAGGGAGATCGGTAGAAGAAGATGAAGATGAGGCCGAGGAAGACGAGGGACCAGAAGGCGAGCTTGGCGACGGAGGATTGCCACCGGGTGCGGTGGAAGTAGGGAGATTTATCCATCTTGAACTTGCCCGGGGTTGAAGGAATATCATCGAGACGCGACATTGGCTTCATCCAAATTCCAACAAATTATTTACCTCTACAATCTAGATCTCTGCTTGCTTAACGCTCTGCGCTTATGGCGTCCCGAGAATCTCTTCTTGGTTTGTTCGGTGAGCGTTTATAGGCCCTCCGATTTGCAAGGGAAGCTCAAGAAATCGAAATTCCCCAAGATTTTGTTTTTTCTATTTTTGGGGCTCTTTTTTTTTGTTTTCTTATACACAGAAGAAGAATGATGAATGCGGATGGTCAACACAGAGACGCTGAGGAGATGATGGAGAGTCAAAGCTACTCTCCCTTTTCTCCTAACTACAACAATCTAATTTATTCTTTTCAGAGGTTTTTGTTTGCTTACTTACTTTCACTAATTCTTCATTTCTAGTTTTCTTCTTAATTTAGCAATATTAACTTTTGGTTTTACAAGAATCAAAATGATCAATTAGCGTGGGAGATGGATTTTTGGGCCGTTGATATATAAATTTAGTCTTGTTAATTATGCAAAATTGTCCTTCTAACCGTAAAATCATATACACTACTTAACTCATCAAATTCGATGCATGCACTCACTAATAATAGCCATATACAAATATACAAAAATACGCACACAAATACATGTTTAGGTGCAGCCCAAGATCGTCACGTGGACACTCTCGACGGTGGATAGTAAATTTTATTAGTTACACTGAACTTAGTATAATAACAACTTAATGCCCAAGGGTTCAAGAGCAAAGAACAATCTCTTACTTCTCCTCAAAGTGCCAAACCCACAACGTTTGCAAAGCCTTCCAAGATAATCAAACCAATGGTGAAGACTTACTTCAACACACAAGTCTCTCAATTTGAAAAAGCTTTTAGATGGATTTCGATACACATTCACTCAAATATTTATATTTACCTTTTAGAATTGTAAGAGACTATGGATGAAAGTTCATTTATTCTCAAACACATGCCGGCTCATTCCCATTAGAATGTTGCTACTCTTTCTAGACACTGGGGAAGAAAAATATCACAAAACAAACTGTAGCCTAAAATGTAAGAACCGAATGCTTTCAATTCCAATGTTTTTTAGCATTTGGAGGTTTGTGTAATATATATATATGTACGTTTGGATCAAGAGAGATGTGGTACTTTTGAACATCCAAAAGAAGCATGCTTTTTCAAACGTCTATATTTGTAACAAACACATACTTTATTTTAATATGCATCTCGACTCAGCCTTGTTCATTTAATAAGTTCATTTCATTTTTTTCTGAATAATACTTTATTTCTTTGCTTTTCACATTTCTTTTTCCGGTCAAATAAGTTACATGCTGATGCACTATACAGATTTAAGATACTTGTATATTTTTTATATGAGTTTTCTATTCTAGTAAGAGGGGAACTTATTACTTATACTTCTAGTTTCTTCATCGTTTCCGTTGCATTCATGTCGGGGATAGGAGAGAAATTTGATTATTTCGGAAATTCTTATACCAAATGCAATTAAAACATTGCAGTTTATCTAATAGCTATGCACTCTATTCATATACATAACTGATATTGTATTCAAACAAGTATTTCCTATGTTCTTGATCGGAAATATGCAGGTAAAACTTGCATACGAATATACGATCAAGCCCCTAATCCTTATTACCTCCATAGAAAGGAATACAATCAAAATCATTATTCAACCATGCATATATAAATTAGATAATATATATCAATATGAAGAGTTGAAGACACACATCATTTCTCTTAATTATTACAGTAATTATAATCAATCGACATACAACCTTCTAACAAACACCTTATTCGAGCATGCATCTATATTACATATGAAAATGAAAACGCTTGTCGGAATGACACCATATATGATATATGTCTAGTTAAACGAGCTAGTGTGCAAGTGCAATTCATCAATAAGCAATCGAAAGACATAGATATGTTGAGATATATTAGGATTGGTAATAACAAAGGGAAGAGGGGTCAGACATAGGAGCTCCAAGCTGAGAGTGAGGCTGAAGAAGCCTCACCTGCCGTTTCAAGAACTTGGTGTAACGGATGGCTTCGTCGAGCATGGAGGCTGTGTCCATCTTTGCACCGCCTGGTACCATCCTCTTCAATATTCGGATCTTCTCACTTATCCTTTCCCGACGCCGACGAGCCACCACCGTCTGAGGGTCCTCGCTTACCCTTACGTTACGGCGGTTTGGCTTAGGAACAGTGGCTGGATCGATGTCTACGGGCTGCATGGCCGCGATCATGTATTGCATCTCCTTCATAGCATCCATTTCAGCTTCTTCGTCTTCTTCGTCTTCTTCTTCTTCTTCTCCTTCTCCTCCTCCTCCGTGGTCGGAGAAAAGTGTCGGCGGAGACGACTGGAAGTGACTTAGGGTTTCGGGAGGTGGATCTATCATGAGATGAGGATCGTGGAGGAAGGGGTGTTCGTGCGTGATGAGATCATTAGGTCTGTTCCAATTCATGAGGAGATGATGAGGCTGAGGCTCCATCATGATTATTGGGGTTATGACTTATGTGTGGATCTACTTTTATGTTTTAATTTGGACAAGAGACTTGCACACCTTTCTTTTTATACATACCATTTTCCATTTTCATCGTCTTCTTTTTTATTTATTTATTGCTATTTATATTTTTATGTTTTTACTGATTTCCTTGACCCCATTATTTAACTTCATTTCCATATGTACCATGTCAATGTATCAATGCGTATCTGCCTCTAACCACATATTTTATATGAGTGAATTGATAATACATTGCAGGTAAAATTAATGTGTTTGAACTATATATTAAAAAAGAAATGAAGAGGTTTTTATCAGCATAACTTCACATCACAATTTGGGTTTCAGTTCCCACGGTATACAACATTTTATTAGGTTATGTAGGCAAGAATTTCAAACTGGATTGAATGTGATGCAAGTTTTTCCTAGAATCAAACTTGCTTCATTGAGGTATCTACGAAGATTCAAACTTGCTTTATCTTGGGTTTGATTAGTTGTGTTCATGGAGCTTTAAGTGGCTAATCGTTCTCCAATGCAGCGGACAAAATAATTAATTTGGGTAGGGTTGACTTTATTTGTCATTAGCCGATAAAAATGATTAGTAAAGTATTTTCGAGTAATTGCTCAAGTATAGATATATTGATTCACCAATATTAACATGACCCAAAATCTAAAACCACTTACAGCTATAAATATTTATGGTGTAGATTAGAAATTAACAAATACCTTTATACAGTTTGAGATAAAATAAAAGAAATAAAACAAATAGGATGTTTTCCTAATTTTTTTATATACATTAGTGTAGTTAGGGAAAAAAATTATCGGTACATAAATATCATTATTATTTTATCCTAGCTTAAACTTTATAAATGTGAATCGCATAAACTAGTTCTGCCATTTTGTTGGTAACTATTTATATCTTTCATTACTTTTATATGAAATATCGTTTTAAAGTATTTCCTAGATTTAGTTAGTTTAATAGTTGTCTCAAATTAAGAGTTCAACACATAATAACTTGCCAAAATCCCCGTACATGTGATTTGGAAAAGGAAATTAAGGAAAATGTAATTTGTGGACGAAATTAAATCATTAAAGTTAAGTTTTGCAGCAAATTTAAATAAATTTCCGTTTAAAGACTGCATATATTTCTACCTTTTTTGTAAACTTATTTCATGGACTAATATGTGCTTGTTTATATAAACCTTGTTAGAACCATTTAAATTTGTATACGTACGTACGGAGCAATACAAGAAACACATATAAAGCAAAATCCTATAGACCACAAAAGATAGAAGAAACAGTGTGTGGTCAAAATCATGGTTACTCAAAAAGCAAGATCAAGAACAAGGGATTTAATTTAGGGTTTTTCCTAAGGACGAAGAAGGAGAGAGACTTTACGAGATTAGGGCAAAAAGGAGCATTGCACTTTAGTGTGGATATCATTGCCATATGGAAGCATAAGTCGCTCTTGTAATAGTTACTCAACACATGTCTCCATTTTTAGTGCTCATTATCTGACCTAATTTTCTCCTCCCACCTTCTCTCTCTCTCCTCTTTTGACAACTCCTATACACCAAAATAGGCAATTAAACATCATTGTTCTTTCGTTTCTTGTCTTTCTTCTAAAACACACGGTTTCTTCAACCATTTCTTGTAAGCCCTTTCAACGGTCTTGATTAGATCTTAAGGAAATATGAGCTGGATACGATAAATGACTTCTTCAACGTCTTCTCCTCTTTATGATATATATGGTGTCGATTTCTAGTTCTAAGTTGTTTTATTTGACGATTTACGGGATATTATATCTCTCCCCCATAACTCATTACACGGAGTGGGGACGGCTTCCTCGACATTAAGGTATTGTCGATGATTTAAATTTCTAATTGGATAAGTAAACATATAATCACCACTAAAACCTATTATTAATCAGACTTAAGATGCGTGTACATGTCGTTCTCCACAAGAGATTGGAATAAACTGAAACCGATGAACCTGTAAAGATAATTAAGAATTCAAATGGAGATAGCTCACCTCTTCTTTTCACATTGCCGGCTTGACAAGATTTAACCGGTTTTATGTTGTGTTCATACTTGTTGTGAACTCATCAACTACGTACTATGCAACATCGATTAATTAAAAGCTCTTTATTTACTTTCGTCCCTTTTTTAAAAAAGTGCATGGAGTAAAAATATATAACACTTGAAATTGTAGAAGTAATTTCTTACATTGAGTGTGTATAATGCTATCATCCAACTACGTCATGAGTCATGACGGAAGGATGACGTTTTTTGTCATCATTTTTTTGGGGTTAAAATGCGAAATTCAATTAATCAAAAAAGACCCTTCAAGCAAAAAGTGAAAAGAAGCAGTATCCCACAAGCTAAGGTTTTCATCAGTCTCCATGAAACCATTTTTGCAACCATCATTGTGCTTACAATTTGAGGATAAGAGTGAATATGTTAGTAAATGGGTAATGACTGAATGTGATATCGGTTTATTGTTGCATTCCTTTGTAATATTCATGTATCACTCTCAGACCGGTTGCCAAAGAATGAGAGTGAGCCGTTGTTTAGTCTGCAGAGCAATTTGGCATTGCATTGCATAACAGACGTTTAACATTTTGTATGATGCACACATTCTAATATTTTCATAGTCACACACCCATTCACCTGATACTGTAGTACTTGTAAATTATTCTTTTGCAATACAAATCCTACTTCATACATGAAGTATACAAATTGATCTGCATAGAAAGTTTGAGACAAAAATAAAATAAAAAAAGAGGTGATGATAATAATCTTGATACACGTGGAGAATTAAACATGAAACAAGTAACATGCTGAATGAGAATCATGTTCTGTTCACATGCCCTTTAGCTCGTCAAGTCTGGGCCCTCTCAGGTTTTCCGTCACCGGAACATGGGTTCCATGGAGAGTCGATTTATGTTAATGTTCACTATCTCTTGATGATGGGCAAAAATATTAAAATCCCTTCTAATATCAGAAGATTGTTCCCGTGGGTCTTGTGGTTGCTATGGAAAAACAGAAACGAACTTATTTATGAAGGAGTCACATCCAGAGCAAATGAGACGATGGAAAAGATCCTGGAAGAAATGGACCTTTGGTTCCTCTCATAGTCGGTTGAAAGAGAAGTGAATCAGTGTGAAGAGATCAGAAACAAAGGAAGGAAAAAAGATTGGAAGCTACCGCCATATCCTTGGTTAAAAGTTAACTCAGCGGTAGTTTGGGACAAAGTCAGAAAGAAAGCAGGTGGGTCTTGGGTTCTCAGGAATCATGAAGGAATGGTTTTACTGCATAGCAGAAGGTCGTTTGGTGCTATATGCAGTTTTGAAGATGCAAATTTAGTTTGCATGCTATGGACCCTAGAGAGTATGGTGTCTCACAAGGTTAACAACCTTGTTTTTGCAGCGGAGTGTGCTGACATAATCCTCAGATTATGTCAAGACCGAAGGCGTGGCCTTCCTTCAAAGCTCAATTCTCAGAACTAAATATTTTTTCGGCTAGTCTAACAGATTGGAAGGTGGAGGTAGTTTCGAGATCAGAGAATAGAGGTGCCTTTCTCATTGCTCAAAGTGCATTAAGGGAGATTTTTTCTCAGTCTTATGTAGCTTGTGGACATCCCTGTTGGCGTCATGATCTGTTTGCCATTGAGAAACGTTTGGCCTCTGTTTAAGTCTGATCAAACCTCGGTGGTTTTGGTTTTCTCGGGACTTACTAAGGTGTAGTTTAGTGTGGTCTGGGTTCTCTTGCAGGATTTTTGTTAAATCTCTTGAGCCCTTGTTGTGTATGTCGCTTGTATCCCATCCCTTCAATCAATATATATTCAGATGAAAAAAAAAAAAAAAAGTAACATGCTGAATTACAACAAAAAAACATCAAGATTCTTTCAGCATGCGACATCGCGTAACAATCTTCCTGAACTCATCCAAGCTTAGCTGAATTCAAAAAACGAACAATGTTTTTGTAAGCCAGTTGATAAATAAACAAAGTTAAAGTTAAAGTTAGCAATTAGCACCCACCTTTCCGTCTTTATCCAAGTCAAAGCAGCGAATCATGTCTTGTAAATCCTCGTCTGTCCATGTGAAATCGTGCAAGCTCGCCAATTTGGCCACATCCCTCAGAGTAATGAAACCTTTTCCAGCATCTGCCAGAGACTCAATAGAGTTTACAAGCCATTCAAACTTGAAAGCTAGCGAGCGATGGTGAATGGTGATGTTACAATTATATTACCATCAAACTGATAGAAGTATATGAGCAATTCGTCCTCTGTCATCTGCATCTTGCTCACCAAATCCTAGATAGCAAATAAATGCACACACTTTGGAAAAACAGCACCCAATTCCTGACTGATAATAGATAATAGCAAGTAAAACTAAAAAAACTAACTGGCTTTTTCTTCTTCCAAGTTGCTGCTTCTTGATCGTTTCTCATTCTCTTGCTACTAGAGCCTCCTGCTACAGAGTCCTGTAGGGAAAGCGCTATTGCCTGCATTGCACTTGTCAAAATCAAATAAGAGCTTTCTCATATGTCAGCCAATCTAAGAGAAGAGTCACTGTTTTTCCGATATTTACCTTCTTTAAGTCATCATCATCTTCTTCTTCATCTTCATCCATTCCAGGAGATATCACTTTTCTCTTTGATGCCGAGCTCTTCTTCTTCTACTCAAGTAACAAACAGTGTTAAAGATCATTGCCGCAAAGATTCATAACAACAGTCAACAGATTTTTATAACATTACACAGATAAGTATACTAACTGATTCCGAGAACCAAAAAAAAAAAAAAAAAAAAAAAAATCACCTTTCTTTTACAAGTTGAATTCCCCAGAAGTTCCTCGTCTTCGTCATCATATTCACCGTCGTCGATTTCTTCTTCCTCATCGTCATCTTCATCGTCCTCATCACCATCGGCCTCTCCGGGTCTATAGTCATCGTCTTCTTCGCCGGAATTCCGTTTTCCTCTGAGTTTTCTCGAACCCACAAGAGCCTTGGCGGCACTAGAGATGCCCAGAGCTTCCAATCTGGCTTTGTTCTCAGCGATCCTTGAAAACCTCTGCTTCTCATATTCCGACATCTTACCCTTTGCTTCCTCGCCGGAACTGGAGCTCTCTCCTCCACTGCTCGCCATTTAGGGATTCGGTTTCCAGTTTCCCCTAATTTGATTTTGCCGCCTCGAGTCGCTACTTCTTCAATTTGGGCTTTCTCTTTGGGCTCATGTTTAAATAATAGTTAAGCCCAACTACATGGGCTTTAACTGAAGGTTCTAATGAGAATGAATTCAGAAAAAAATGTCAGTTAATGATGTAAATGTGAAATCAGCTTAAGTAAAAAAAATGCTTTATCGTCTCTAAGTAGTACAGAAATTAAAAAAGAAAGGTTGTTGTCCATGAGTCTAAGAACATGTAACTCAATTTATATGAGCCTTTTAATCTACAATCTGTATCATGTTTTCACATGCAAATACACATCTAATCTTTTTGTTTGCTGAAATATTGACAATTTAAGAATATAAGGCAACTGCAAATTTTTTGTTCCTCCTGCATTTCAACAAAATTAAATTTATAAGATTAAAAAAAAACATATAACATCCAAATTATGGCAAATATCGATTTTTTTTTAAAATATATATATATATTTGTGGTTTGCTTCATTTTGAACCGTAACTAATGTTTTCTGCACTTTAACCAAAAAAAAATGTTTTCTGCTTGTTTTCTTCCAATCCGTTACGATTATCTGTATATTGTGTATATTGTTTCTGGCTAGTTGAAGTGATTACAAAACCCAAAACATAATTAACAGATAAGTTTGCAGGCCTAATACGATCCATGCAAAAGAAGAAAGTTTACACCTTTCTTTATATCGTATGAAGGAGAGGGCGCAATGCGAATGGTGTGAAACGTGTGATTGGTAGATAATGGCCCTACACCAACTTTCTCTTTTCTCTTCTTATTTTTGTTTCATTTTTTTCGTCGATATTTGATTAAAAAATAAAAACTGCACATATACAAAATTGTGGCCTTGTGGGGATGGAAATACCGCGTTGTTTCTAAGCTGACTTGACTTGTAAATGATAAAGCAAGAAAATAACAAAGACAAAAAGAGAAACACAAAAGATAAAAGTTAAGAATCAAAATATGTAACTGATTTTAAAGGATAGATAGATCAACATAGAGATATATAATAATTTCAGTTAATTAAGTGTGTACATATATAGTTACATACGTCAAACTGCTTGAGCTATATAAAGACAAACATCCAGATGGAGAAACATACTTAATCTCCTTCTTTATATGATCTAAAATTAACAAATAACTCCATTATGAAGAAATAATAAACGTTGATTATTGAATTTGAGTAGAGTTTGTTTATTAAAATATAAATATATGGACTTACTAAAAAAATGAATTACTTGAGAGTTGAGAGGTTGTGGAGAAGATACGGTGGGCAAGCTTGGCATCTACAAAAGGTGGGATAGAGATTGAAAGAGAGTGAAAATTGAATCAAAAGCCATGTCCCTAAATTAATTATTTTAAAACAATTAAAAACATAGTAAGAAAGAATTTTGCAATAAAAAAATGTATATATAACTTTTGTTATGCACACAAAAACACACCCACCATATATAAACAACGTTTTGCTAGCAAGCCACGCACATCTCACAATATTATAATCACTTGTACTATATTTAAATTTTGTATATGATCTAAAATTACATACTCTCTAAAGAAAATAAAAAGTTTACATACTCTTCTTTTTGTCAAACTAAATGTTTGCAAGTTTACATGTATCAGAGCACATTTATATTGGTAACACTATAATTATAAGGTTTTATCAATTTTATCATTTTATTGACTTTAGTTAATATAACTAAATAAACAGCTTTTACATAAAATTAAATCATTTATGTTTGTATAAGAACAAAATCATCCAAATGAAACGGATAAAGTAATTAGTTTATTGAGAAAATATAAATGTGCAAGTATATTTACTTGGCAAACAAATTTTCCTCTTACTACCCTAGCTATGGTGGCATATATAAAACTGTATAAAATTCACTATATATATCATATTGTTTGGGCCGTGTTATATGCAATAATTTTATCTTTTTGTAACAAGGAATTTTATATAAATAAAGATAAGCAATATTTTTGTGTGGTAGAGATGATTCTGGAATTATAAGTAATTGGCACTTCAAATAAAATATGAACAAAACAGTGTGGAAAACAAAAAATCTAGTTAAAGTCTGATCTATGAATCATAATAACAAAATCAAAATCTTCCTAACTCCTAGGAGAGACTTCTTCGAGACAAAAGTAGTTGCTGTGTCTAAAAGGTACTAAAAGGAGACATATAACTCGATAAATTGAAGAACAACAAAACACAAAAGCTGCGTATTTTATCATCATTTTACTTTTCATAAGCAATGAACCACCAATTATTACTGATTTATTAATAATATTTCACACATAATATTCTTCAAAAGTTAAAGTAAAAACCACAGGGAAAAAAAAAAAAAAAAAGAAGAAGAGAAAGGTTGATAGCTTTTAAATTTTTCATATTCCTCCCATATTAATATATTTTGATTTTTCAATTCTAATTTGTATTGAACTGTAAATCGAATATCTGCAGATATCCGTAAATTTTCTAGATATGCAAAGCAAATAAAATAATTAAATATCCAATGAAAACATAAATGATCATAATGGAGGCTGAAATTTCCGAATGTCTTATTACATATAGTTCACTTCATGTAACAATGATTTCCTAATGCAAAGTGGACATAATGATACTCGATCCTAGTGAGTGTAATACATGAATGATCGAAAATGTGGTAACTACTTCCCCCTGATTCAAATATCGTGTGTCTGGACCAGTCAACATTTAACTTGGTGTCCGATGTGATGATGACCACCTAGTCTAAGAGCTAAGTGCTAAGTGGAGCCGAGCGCGCGTGACCATGGCCTCCTTGTGTTGGCATGTTACCCCAATGGTTGACAAAAACTGACCGTTGATTTCGTTGATCATCTCTCACAGGGAAGCGACACATGTGGTATCTGCCGTACACGTGTACATTTACCGATCACGACCCTTCTTCTGCACCAAGACACGGCTTATCTGTCAACTATTCAATCAACCAACGTTTATTGCACAAGAGACAATAACCTAGGGCTTATTGTCGTTTCCCTCTACAGCAAATTTACAATCCTCATCTTTCTTCATCCTAATCAAATCTTAATATGTTGGCTCTTTAAAACTAAGTAATAAACGAAAGAGTTATGAATTTTTTTTGTACGTTTCGCTTGTTTTGAGTTTTTGATATACTACCATTTACAGAACTGCAATTAATGTGTAAAGCAATGGCCGCAATTATGTAATGCGTATGGACCATTTAAAAGAAAAAGCAAACCTTTGTTTCGTCGGACAAAAAAAATGTTAGAAACGGCGCTCACAAAAATGTGTTGTGGACCATTTAATAAAATATACTACTACTATAGTAATAGTGTATATTACAATACAAAGACCCATGTGACATCATGGAGACATATGTTTATAAATAAAAGAGACTCACAAAGACACAAACCACAACAAACTCTAAGCATTATATAATCATATAATCACAATTATGAGCAGTAGCTTTCTGCCTCGCATCAAAACCAGCACCTATCTATTTTTAATCACACTCTGTCACCACACAGAAACAAAAAAAAACATGTAAATATTGAGCTAACATTGAATTTTATTTCTATCATCATAAAATTTAAATATCGCAATTGACATCATGATAGTCGACAGAAGTAACTGGATTTGATATATACAAAAGGGGAAGTGCTTGTTAATTTACTCACAAACAAAATTAGTTATGTTGTGAACGAATAGGACGGCTAAATTAAAATCCACCGCACTTGGCAAAGGTAAAATGGGAAACTAAAGATTACAAAAATATAATTTAAATTAAGAATATTCGTAATAATAATAAGAAAAAAAGAAAAAGAGAAGCAAGTTGGGTGAAAGCGAAACGCCGGCGAGAGAGAGTCAGGAGGAGCGACGACATCTCCAGGCGGAAACACCGACGAGTTCTCTCCTCTGCCAACAAAGGAGAAGAGAGTTGTGTTTCTTCTCGACGTGAAAGCCTCTGACCGGAGTACGTTGAACCAAACACTCGGCCTGAGACTCGGTGAAGTTACTATGCGTCACCGGCGAGAACCCCATCTGCAGGAACATGGCTTGCCACGTCATCATCGGCCTCTCGAGCGGGCGGCTACGGTCGAAGACGAGCTTCTCAATCTCCGGCTGAATGAGAAACCTCTCGATCTTCTGCATTGCGTCGAGGTTGGCGTTGACGGCGTCGAGGGAGTCGAGGAGAGCGGCGTGGGACTGGAGGGAGTGGAGGAGCTGCTGCGGGAAGGGCAGATCCGTCCTCTCGCATCCTCTGTCGGAGCAGACGATGATCGTGGGAGAGAGATGCTTCACGAAACGGAGGACCAGGGGGAGGTACGAAGGCATGTTGGAGAAGGACGCGGCGGAGAGATTAACGGCGACGGCTTCTTTCTCGGAGGGGTTCGGGAAGGAGACAGAGCCGAGGAGGTCCAAGCTGAGAACCTGGATGTCGAGGGAGATGTTGATCTCGGAGGCGAAGTGCTTGAGGTTGTCCTGAGTGAAGCCGAGTTCGAGCTGGTCGTGGGTGGCCGGAGAAGCGAAGACGGTGATTTTGAGGGAGACGGGAGGAGTAGAGGCGTTGCTGTTGGTGTTGGTGTTGTTGTCGCGGAGAACGAGCTCCTGCATGAGGGAGGCCCAGTGGCCGCCGTAGCCGAGGTCGAAGTCGATGATGTGGAGGCGGTGGAAGCCATGGAAGGACTCGAGGAGGGCCTGGTTGGAAGTGAAGTTGGCGAATTGGAGGACGGGAGAGATCTCGGAGAAGGACTTGTAGGCGGCGATCTTGAAGATGAGGGAGTAAGGGTTTAGGGTGTGGGAGGCGGAGAGGAGGAGGAGCTTGTGGAGAGCCTCTTTGAAGTAGAAAGCTGCTCTCTCGAATGGCTTCCCCACGGGAGAAGAGAGCTGTTGATTGAGCCGCGCCAATATCCCCTGAGCCACACACGTGTCGCCGCCGCTCTCTATAACCTCCGCCACTTTGAGAAGCTGCTCCGTTATCATCCCCTGATCCGAGTATCCCGCGTTGAGCCGCTTCGCCGGAGGAGGGTAGAAGACGGCCGGGTTCTGAGGGAAAGGAGTGTGGCTTTGGTTGATTAGGAGTGGGGGAAGAAGATGCGGAGACAAAGGCGGGTCTAAGCCGAATCCGGTATCAACGACTCCGAAGCCGAGGGATGTGTAGTCGGATGAGGTGTGGAGAATGTCGTTCAATTGGAGAGAGGGATCTTGAGAATCATCCCCCATGATGAGCCTCAGGATGCTCTGCTCATGCTCATGCTCATGTTCAGGCACTTGCTCCCAATCCCCCAAACCCAAGTGCCCGCATTGCTCATCGGTGGTGGCATCGCCGGAGATGGCAGTGGAGGTGCCGCCGCCTCCGACGGCGCTGTTTCCGCCGAGAGAGGAAGACACGGTGGATGAGGAGGTTGTGAGAGGGCTCAGCGCGTCAAGAACAGAGGTGGGCTCCACTCGCTCTGCTTCTCCGGCTATGATTTTGCGGCGGCTCAAAAGCGGCGATGACGGTGGTTGTTGGGAGGAGGAAGACGGAAAAGAAGAGAAAAAAGATATGTCGTCTGCTTGAAACTCTTGAGAGGGTAGGAGCATTGCAGACTTGGAAGCAGAAAACAGATCAAACAATATCTTCTTCTCTCTTCTTCGTCTTCGTCTTCGTCTTCCTCTTCCTCTTGAATGGGGATGAATGGATGCGTGCAAGAAATTAAAGTGCCAAAGTGCGCTTCATCCTCTCTCTCTTTTCCGTTTCTTTAACATTTTATCATATCTTCTCTCTCTCTCTCTTACAAATGTGTTTAAATCTTAGTAATAAATAATCTTTGTGTCTTCTATTCAAACCCCACTCTCACCACGCGCGTCTTCTTTTATTTACCATATCAAAATATATATTTGCTTTTGGAAACAAGAGGTTCGACTATTTTTATTTTGTATTTTTGTTGGCTTTCGTGAATTTCATTCTACAAATACAGTAGCTCTCGTCTTTCATGTTTGCCTAAACTCTTTTTTGATGGCTTTTTTTCTTTTTTTTTTCTTTCTTCTTTCCATTCAGTAAATGCAAAATGGGAAATTAAAGTAGCAGAGTCTAAATCTTGATCGTCGGGTTTTAATCATGTGCATAAGTCTGCCATTTACAAGAAAAAAACATACTACACATAAGTCATTTTAACTCCAAACATTGTCTGAAGTCTGAACCAGACTGGTTTTCGAAGCCGAATGATGTTTGAACGGCTAAGATACTCTTCTTAGACAAAGCAACGTGTGGCTACCATTGGTTAGATTTAGAACCACCGCAAAGTTGACAAGTATTGCCATGTAGGATTTTTAAAATATAATTTCTTTGTTTTTTCTATAAATATACAAAATTTCCATATTTCGTGTTGTACTGTTTATTTATATTGGGGATTTGTTTATTTAAACTTTTTGTTTTTATGATTAAAACTTTGTGGCTTACAAACTATATATTTGGGATATTGTTTTGTCTTTAATTGGTCTCATTTTATCTTAAAGGTGCTGTCGTTTTTTCCTTTTGTGTGATCTTTGTCCTCAATTGGGTGTTTTAGGGTTTGGACAAGCTTTTGGATAATTTTATCAAATGAACCAATCAAATCAGCCAATCCATTGTTCAACCTAAACCACATATGGCAGTGCTTACATTTGTTCTTTTGCTAGGGATATTAATTTCAATTCGTAAATCTAAACCAAGTGGTGTATATCTTGGAATTAAATTAAAATATCTTATTCATTTGTTTTTTTAAATGAATGCTTCTTTATAAGTCCAAATGTGTATATATGAAACATTCATGTACAAGTTAATGAAGAAGGAACTATATATTTACGTGTAACATAATAAATTAAGTTTTTTTTACTTTTACATGGTCCATCTTTATGTAGAAAAGAACAAGTGATTGAAGATCTGTGAATGATGTTACTTCTGTGACAAGTTAAATGCACGAGAGATTGAGAAAGAAAGGGGATCGGTAGTCCTTTATTGAGCGGACAATGGATGAATGTAACAAGTCACCAGTCACCATATATATCTAACAATGGAAAACCATAAATTATTTGATAAAATAATATATGAATAATGCTATCAGAAACAACCAAGAAAAGAGGTGGGTGATTTGATCTTGAATACAAAGTCGGACCAGTTTTACAGGGAATAGTGATTTTTTGCTTAAGTTTCATAGCATTAATACTTAATTTCTTATGCAAACAAAAAAAAAGCGTTGGTAAAGTTTATATCAGATTTTTAAATCTAGCTAGTTACCGTAAAATGTTTGATGATTGTTAACTTACTTTGTAACCATAAGAAAATGCTCACTTTGCCCGCATGCATGTAGCCTGCCTAGTGGTTACTCGATATGGCCATATGGGGTAAATTCGCTTTTTCCTGAGTTTAACTCGCACTAAGAACAAAAATGGTATATGATCGGAAAGTAGGACATCAGATTATCAGTGTTGTTGGCTAGTTGTAACTTGTACTGCATGGTTCTTGTAAAGAAAGTGAAACATATTCTATCAAGTTTGATGCCAGAATTCAGTTGAAAATTCGGAAGATAAGTTTTCTCTGGAGGGTAGGCTCATTCGGCTTGATTGGATGGACCATGCTCTAATCGTAGATCTCTGGTCCAGTATTGATCCTGATCACAAACTGATCTTCGCCTTTTAAATATTATAGGTTATAACTCTTTGGTTTTATTCATGTTCCCATGTGATTTGCTAACTACTACTTATCACGCTTTTCTCTCTTATATGGTTATTATAAATATCGAATTGATCTCGTGGTTATGTTCAGTTTTATGCCCATCTAAATGAGTGATTGTTATATTAAAATGTGGAAAAAGCTGGATTTTAGGTATATCGATCAACCAGTCCTTTAAAACGACACAAACCTAATACGTACTCTTATACACCAACACATTTTTGAGTTTTGAATCGGCCGGCAATGGATGCAATGATAAATATAACATCTTTCTTCCATGATATACTTATCATTTTGGATATATTGAACGTATTAAATAATGTATCGTATTGATGTATACGCACATGACATTGAGAATACATATATGGGTTTGCTTCGTGGAGGTGAAGTAAGTGGTGATAAAAAATGTTCTTTTCTCTTGTCTCAAGGCACCCTTTGCTACAAGCAAACACCCAACCCCACCCAATTCAATACTCGTTATCAGAAGAAAATACAATTATACTACGTAAGGTTAATCATTACATGAATTTAAACATTTTTAATCTTATTCATATCTTCCTAAACGATCAGATTTGTATGGAAATAATAGTGTTTTGCCATCACTAGAGGTAAAACCAAAAAAAGTCATCTAAATATATATTATTCCTCAAACAATTAGTTATATAAAGAGAAGTGTGACGTGTTAGAGTTTGTATGCATGTAACTATGTAGATGATTGCGTCGTTCATTTTGTATTAGATTTTAGGATAATGATTAGATTAGACAAAAAAATGATCAATTATTATTAGGAGATCACATGGGAATGATAGAAAAAGAAAAGGTTTGTTCTATCTCTAGACCCGAGTAATACTAATTATGATTAAACAAAACAACAAAGATGGGCGAGAGTCATTAACAATTACCACAACATAAAGTTGGTATGGACATTTCTCCTCCAAAAATATTATATTCCTTTTTTCATACTCTTATAAAACCATTCTGATCAGGATTCTCATTTGATAATGACAATCCAGTATCTTATTGTTTTTTAAGAAAACGTCTTCCCAAAATAAAAAGATAAGTAAATTTATATGTAAATCTAATAACTCTAAAATAGCTAAAATTTAGATGAATACAGTATTCTAAAATTAAACCAAAAATGAGTTTGATATTCTACTTTGGGCGTTCCAACTAGTCTTGGGTTCGGGCTTTTGCATGGCCATCATAATTGACTTGATGGAGCATTGACCTGAATTTTGCTGATGATGTGTGTATGGCCCTTTTTTGAGGAACTCTGTTTTGATGAGTAAGGGATCAGCACAAGACATCATTCTGGTTCTCTTGTTTTTGCCTTTACAAAGGTCCGAAAACTACGTTGTTTCTACGTGATCTGATTAACATATGATTGTCAATCCAAACTACCGGACAAGCTGTGATATCGCACGTTATTAGAAGGGACTTACCGAGTTGTGCCCTCCTTTGCAAGCTGCTTCTTTGAACAATGGAGTCTCGCATTTCAATTGCCATGGATGGTCACTCACATGATCGTTTACATAATATTAAGTTTAATTTTTCTACCATTCGCCATGTTTTTATTAAGTTTTTTCATTTGCGATTCTCTGTTTGGAAGAAGGAGAGAAGAATCTTCAACATAAAATGTTCAGTAACAAAAGCAGGAATATCAAATAACAATGTATAAAAGAAAGAAGAAAGTGTTACTTGACAAGATAACAAGAATTGGTTTAAGATCAACAGACGAATCCCTGAGGAACAGTCTTACCGCAAGAGTTGAGAAGCAAAGAGAGGGCAACAGGGATTGTGACCGGAGCGACTAGGACAAGGTTGGTTTTGAGGGCGGTGCAGAGGCAAAGGGCGGCTTCAAAATCAGCCAAACCTTTGACGAGTGAGCAACACTCCTGGCTCGGGGGTGTGCCGATGACCTCACGAACCAGACCTAACCAGCTCCCACACACTCCAAACTTGAACGTGTCTCTCGGACATTTCATGGTTCCTCCTTGTTTTTCCGGAGGAGGAGGGCATTCCTTGACGCCGTAACCCAAGGAGAACGTTGTGTTGAGGAGCAGCAAGACAAGAAGCGTTCGCAAAGCGTTTGAGGTAGCCATCAGTTTTAGTTTGAAGCTATGGGATATCAAAAGAAGAAGAAGATATTTAGTTTAGTTTCTCTGTTGGGGCATTTTATTATCATCATATCGTGCGATTGTGGCTACAATTGTTTGTGTTATCTCTTGTCTATTAATTATTAAACGTTTTTGTTTTCTTATCGTAAAATTGAGATATATGAGGCAAATCTTTTCCGATCACTCGAAAATATATTTTCGAGTGTTTGTTGTTATTGTTCGAAAATGACAAGAGTGAATTCTTGATTGATTCACACATGACGAGATCTTAGGAGAATTCCTTGGAGGAAACGTTTATTTTTATTTTTTTATAATTGTTATATTTGTAAGATAACAAGAACTCATAAACCCCTTGGAGAAGAAGTTAAAAAGGATAAGAAAGACATAAACTCTACAAGCAAGTATATTTCAATATATATACTGGGGAAAGCAAGTAGGACACAGCTTTCGAACAACAGAGAAGAATGGGGTTGATAAGAAGCTACTTCTCCTTTGTCTTGGGAACCATCTGTGGGATTATATAGCGCAGAGCTACAATGTTCCAAACGTTGAAAAAATGAGTCAAGCAGGCTATTCCATGGCCAAGCAGATGGAAGAGAGATACCGTAAGACCAAGACCAACAAGCCCACTCCAGACTCGTAATTCTCTCTAGTTTCTTTCTATGCGTATCACACACTTTGTTTTGTATTGATGATTTTTCTTCTTCTTTTCTTAATAATTCAAACTGATTTGATTTGTATTGATTTCCAATCGACTACCAACGACGATCTATATATTGAGATGCTCTCGTACTGCATAATTACACACTCAAAAAGTGGGCTTTTTAACAAATAACAAGAAACCTGCAACAAAATCACCACCCTGTTCCGGTGCTACAGCTACTGATTTTACAGCTTAAAAATGAATGAAACCCAAATCAAAACAAGTTTAAGAAAATCTAGTCAAGAACTTTGTTGATGAATAAAAGGAAAAGGATGATTGCTGTTTTGTTTTTTATAATTATAATGCAATAGCTAAGTGCGGTTCAAGATGTAGCCAAAGAGGCAGCCAAGCAGAGCAACGAGCAGCAACAGCACCAAGGAAGGACCACCAGACTGCTTCTTGCTTGTTTCTTTCTTCAACATTTCCTGTATATTTATCCCTTCGTTAAGATTATCAAGCAAATGACACTTTGTGAGCTCGGCTCGACTTAGACTAGTCGACCAGGCACGTACCAGTTCCTGTCGAAGCTTCTGACTTTGAAGAATAGCAGCAGCTTTCTCCTCAGTCAATTTGGAAATCATGGACCATGCCTGCGCCGCAATCACAAACATGTTATGTTGAGATTGACCAGAGCTCATAGGTCATGACTAAATTTTGAAGATTGTAGAACCGAAAGGACAAGGTTGTGACAGTATTATTACCTCGGAGGATTTCTCATTTGTTTCGTCTAGCGTTCTCGACACCTGAAACAAGAAGACAAGATGCATCCCTTATTATTATTACTTGTCTCTCTCTCTCTCTCAATTTCGTAACTAGGTAGGTAGTATTAAGAAAGAAAAGAAACTGTAGTGAATCATATCTCTGTCTCACGTCATCAAAGAGAGAGCCGGGTTGAGAGGCAAAGTCGGTCCTGGGAGAGTTGCCTTCTTCGGATCCTTCAGGGACAGGGGATGGCGGATTAGCCGCTATGTACACTACCCTCATTTTGAAATCCTCAATCACTCTCCCTCCCTCCTTGTTGAACTAAGTATTATTAACCAAAAACGACATATCCATTGAGAAGAAGAAGAAGAAGAAGAAGAAGCAACATTTTCGAATTCAGAGCCCAGCCAACCATTTACCATTTCAGCGAGGACTTCTTTGGAGGTGGTCCCATCTGAGACAATAACACTCTGAACAAGGAACTTGTCTTTGCATTGCATATCCAGAGGTGCCTCTTTCTGTGCTTGCATCGTCACTACCAATTAATTCTTGTTACGAAAGGTTTTGAAAGCAGCACAAGAAGAAGAGATGTACATATCTGTCTATAAACAACTCAGACCTGTTACATTGCAGGATTCTCCGGGCAAGACAACACCCGTGTTTGGTCGGACACAGTATTTCCGCGGATTTGTTGTTTTCACCTGTTTCCGTGTTTTCAATTTCCCAAAGCAGGAGGTAAGAAAGCAATATGATAAATATTGCAATCCAAGAAGAAGATGTGAAACTTTTTTTAACCTTAAATGCGACAACATTTGCTCTCTTGTTGGTCAATTGCATCGAACACGAGCTTTGCTTCTTCAACTCAACTTCACCCAACCAAAATTAAACGGATTCTCATAATCAATCGGATTTTCCACCCAATCAAACATCGCAGTCGCAGGAATCAGAATTCAAAATCGATTGAGATCAAATGAAAAAAACTTACAAGGGAACTTAAGCTCTGTAGGATGGATATTGATGAGATCTCCGGTCGTCATGATTCCAGATCCCCTCACGAATTTTGATTTAGGGTTTACTTACAGTTTTCGATTATTTTGATCACACAAAAGATTAAGCCAAACAAAATTAGTAAATTCTCTTTCCTTTTCTTTTATAGAAACGTAGTTATTGCCACATAGCTTTGAGTTGACGGTCTTTGATTGACTGTCATATACTTTGCGTAAACGACCGTTACTTTAGCCTTTAACGGAACATAGATTACCGTTGTAATGTACATCATCAGGCTCTTTTTGCTCGCACGTCAGTCTCTATGTGTTCCAACTTCCATTGACCCAAAGGACCTCCACCTCCAAAATACTCACGGAGGGTAATTCGGGTATTTTCTTGCGTCACCGTCCACATCTAATATGAGCGCCGTTTTTCAAAGACCGGTTAGGTCGTCTTTCGAAAAAGTCAAATCTTTAACCGTAACGGCTCCAGTTTCCAAATCAATCAGCTCACTCGTTTAATACAGTCTGCTTTTGGGCTGAACATAAATGGGTTTCATAAAGCCCAATGAGTTTCAACAGTCTGTTGCTTTATTGCCATTATGGCCCACGAGCTCCGTCTACTTGATTAATTTTTCATTCTTCTTTCTTGATTCTTTTGACTTCGATTCGACCTAATGTGTGTATGTTCAATCTTTCAAATGGCAATAATATCTATCAACTTTGAGTATGATGAAATCATAGAAGAAAAAAAAAGAAGACATTGTGTCATTAATTTATGGTCAAGCTAGCTAGTTACTGCCTAGCTACTCGCTACTGCTTTGTTATTAAATACATGCACAGCTTAAAGCAATTGTAGATAATATAATCTTTCCAACGCAAGATTTCTAACAAGAACAGTCTGCTGATTGATGATTATCAATATCTTATAATAATATTTAAGTTAAGTTTGAACTGAAATTTAACCACATTTAAAATTGATCAAGAAACTTAATTAAATTAAAAGACTAGGTAGCTAGTTATGGGTCACCCCAACATTGGCCGCTGAGCCGTAGAACCCTTCTCTTCCCAGCATCGCATCCTCTCCTTCCTTCAATGACAAAAATCATTAAATGATTCAAGCTACTTCATTAAGTTTTCATGATCGATAACTAACTACCTGATTACTTAAACATATGTTAAGTAAAGATAGTAACCTGCTGGCGCACGTTAGCCTTCTTCGCGGGAGGATGATCAGGCATGAGACCAAAGTGTATGTGAGGGAAGTGAGCCCACTGTTTCACACATTATGTATATCTATTTTAAAAAACTGACCACTTTTACCTAAAAATTCTTTAAATTGAACAATATAAGTATATACATAGCTTTTAGGTTTATTACATTTCTTATTCTGTTTTTTTTTTTGGTAACACATTTTATTTCTTATCTTATACTATATCAGTTATATTTGTATCTGGCATGAGCAAAGCAGTACAGTATATGATTAAATTGCGTCCATATTTAAGTCACAGCTAAAAACATCATAAAAGTGTATGATCATCAGTTCATATACATAAATATTTATCTTATACTATAAAACAACAACAAAACTGGTCAGAATTGTACGACCTAACCGGACTGTATAACTGAATGGAGCCTTTATTGAAACCCTAGACTACATCCTGACTCCTACTCCTGAGAGCCTATTCTAATATATGATGGACAAGACTTATATCTTATAGATTATTTCACTTTTGTGTTTTCTAAAGCTATGTGAGAATCAACTAAGCTACACAAGTTCGACGAGCAGACCATTTATTAAAATTCTGATTACATTTCCCTAACAACTATATACTCCATATAGCATGTGAGAAAGCTTGGAGACATATACAAAAATTGAAATTAAAAGTAAAAGACGAGAGAAATAATTAAAGAAAGAAAAGAGAGAAGAATGAAGAGGAAATGTACATTTTTGGCAGCAGCACTGAAGGCTTCTCTGTGGCTGATATCAGGGTTGCCTGCCTTTATACGTTGGATCTCCTCCCTGCCACATTTTTAATTATAATCCGTCACATCAATTTAATTATGAGTAAATGATTAATTAGGGAACTTATCCATATTAAGCAAAGGAATAAATACTTGATGAATCGATTGTAAGCAGATGGTACTCTTTGTCGCTTCTCTGGGGCTGCTTTTCCACAAACAAACAAACAGAACAAATTCAATTTTATATGTTTTTTCTTAACAAAAAAGTATCGGTCTCGTGTCTCCCAAAAAAATCTAAAGATTCACAAAAATAAAATAATAATAATATCCCTCACTCAGACTCCTTTCTCTCTCCCCCTCTCCCTCTCACTTTGCTCGTTATCATCATCACTTCATCATTATCTTTCTTACGATCTATCTACCCCCCAAAAAATTCATCAATTGGCGTCTACACAGGTATAGCTAGATTTCCGGGGGATCAACATATGAGTTACTAATTTTCCTTTTGTTTTCTGTTATTTAAAAAGAAAAAGCGAGAACTCACAAGCCGGAAAACATAAATTAAATTAAATCTAAGAAAACCGAAAACAGACGAAAAAAATATAAACAAACGAGATTTTTTAAGGTTCTCTCTAGACTCTAGTACTGTATCTATGAAAGGGAGATGAAAAGTTAGACAAGCGAAATAGGATATGAATGAATGGATATAGGGTTGTGTTTGTCAATTAGGGTTTTTAAAATTGGTATGGATGATGATGAAATAATAAAGAATAGAAGATGGAACGTTACGTCTATTAGCTGGTGGTGGCCGAGGCAACTCGTGTGGATCCACTCTTCCGTTGCGAGTCGCCATAACCAAAGACTCGTTGGAGTGGTGAGCTGCTGCCTGATGGCTCATCATCATGTTCATGTTTAAAGTCTGCCCTCCGTTTCTCATCTCCTCCTAACAACAAAAAAAACAAAAAAAAAACAAAAACAGAAGAGATCAAATTGCCAAACTGATAAATCAAACAAAATTCACTTTCAATGTTTTTCCAAGAAACCCTAGCAATTGCCATTTTGGATTGCTAGGTCTAACATCTGATGCTAACCAAAATAAACGTCTCTTGATTGAGTTTCATAGAAGTTGCGTGCTGAAAATGAAAAGCCCTTATTAATGGATTGTGATTATGCTGATGAAATGCACAAAAAAAAAGAGAAGCCCTAACGGATGTACCAAGAGACTGGGAGGAGGAGGAGGAGGATGAGGAAGAAAGGAATGGCCAAGGTTGGAAACGGAGGGAAGAAGAAGAGCTCTCATGTTCACAGTTACCGACAATAGGTTTGAACAGTGACCGCATCTGACAGTCACCGTCTTGAACAAACTACTCGGAGGAACACTCACCTGCCAATAAATATTACGCGTTAATTCATTCATGTTAGAACCCCTAGCTATAAGTTTGTTTATGGATAAGGAATGAGATCAGAAATCCAAATTTACAGCGAGGACAGTGTCGCAGAAGCTGCAATGGACGTAACAGAGCTGGTCCAAAGACGAGATGTGGTCCGGTGGATAAGCTGGAGCTGAGGAGGACGACATGGACATGCTCGACATAGACGACTTCTTCTTCTTATTTTTTTATTTTTTCTTCCAAACCCAAAAAAAGAAAAGAAAAATTAGAGGAAGAAAAGGGTTTGATTTGATTGAAAAGATATGACTGATCGATCAGATAGAAGTAGATTCTCCTTCCCCCACACCTTTTGACAATGGTTGGGTGATGAGCAGTACCTTATATATGTTAAGTAGTTCTCCAGAAGTTGAAGTCCAGTGAGAGAGAGAGAGAGAGAGACAAGAGAAAGAACGGTGGAGAATATAGAGGAAGATGTGGTAGAAAGAGAGAGAGAGAGAGAGAGAGAGAGAGAGAGAGAGAGAGAGAGAGAGAGAGAGAGAGAGTTCTATTTATGTAAAATATGATCAGAGACACTGTACCCTAAACAAATTGGCAACATGTGATGAAGAGGCCATTGTAGAGATAAGCTACATACCTGCATTCTCATTTACTACCTTTAAACCGGTTTTTTTTGTTTCCTTTTATTAAACCGGAACTATACTCTTTGTATCTATACAAACCTAATCCACTTTGAATTTAATTTTCAGATGATCAAATTCTCCATACAAAAAGATATATGTTAACATCGTGGTGCTTGAATTAATTAGCTATATTTAATTTATGATCAAACTGTAGCAGGTCGGTGCGGAATAAACAAAGATTTTAAAGTTGTAAAAAAAAAACAAGATTTGTGCAGCATCAAACAAATGATAGATACGACAAGCATGTTCACTTTTTTTATCAACTATTTAAACCGCATATGAGCGGAAAAAACAAAACTTAAATTTGGATTAGTGCCGCGACTCATGAAAGATTTAACCATGTAGCTCCATAGCCTTAGGATTAGGAGTTTATTATAATCTCTCACATAAGAAGTGGAGACAAATCTAACATGCTAAGTTTTAAATTGAAAATACATGTATTTTGGTTAAGCATTTGTTACATTTATTAGGTCTTGTGTTTATACACCTAATAAAAAATAGGATTTAAAACTGAAGATGCAAAATTCTGTGAGCTAAAAGCTGGTCGATCAGAAGATGCATTAGACATATATAAGATCAAGACGCAGAAGTGGATGTGTCAAACAGCCTTGCTTAGCTGGATCAAAGTTGTAACAGATCGAAAAAGATAGACTTAAAGAATAAGTTTATATCTTATCGAACATATTGCTAGAAGATACTAGAGTTGGGATCTTAGATAATTAATACAAATAGGTCAGAGCGTCAAAGGGTTTTGTGACACTCTCTGCCGTAAGTTGAGAGAGATCTAACCTTAAGCTTTACGAAACAAAAGCTTAGAGGTATGCTCTTTAATAAGAACGAATTAGGATCAGAAATCGGTTGGAAATTTTTTTAAAGATCTAGAGTTATGTTATCCCAATTAAATGTAATCGTTGTAAATACTAACTTAAAATATTTTTAGGAGATAATCCTTCGACTTAGAGAGAACCAAGTCTGCAAAGGTTAATTGTTGAATTTCTCACACCGACAAGAAATTGAACTGATGCTGTGGTATCTCTGCAAAACTCTTGGCAATACCACCTATAAAGTAAAAAGGAGTCATGCATATAGATCTTTTTGTTTCAATATATATAATTTTGTCAATATGTTTTTGATGTTCGACCAAAAACTTTTTTTTTTTTTTGGTTTACATGCACTTGCAGTGAATCCAAGCCTATAGTTTGAAAACTATATACTGATCAGGTAACTGTACATGTTTGAATAAAAGAAAAAGTAGAAGAAGAAGATAATGTAAAATAAACGAACACTGGAGGTGAAATCTAAACTGGTTACGGTTCGAATTGAATTGGAAGAAAATGTTATTTTTCTACCAAATAAAAAAAAATGGACGCAGAGTTCGATGAAGTGGGAGAGAGAGGGAGAGGAAAGGGACTAGTGCATGGAAGTGATTAAGCAAAGGCTCATTCATCAGTTGTTTTCACACTTAATAAAATTTCTGCCACACCACTCTTTCCCTCGATCCTCGTCAATTCCATGCCCTCCTCTCTCTCTATATATTCATTCCCATGTATATATACTTATCATTTTGTCATCATTCTTTCAATTCACCCGCAAGTATGTGTGGCTTCACTAAATTCCATAATCCAGGACCACCTTTTTGCTGTAAATTTTCAGGTTTTCGTGGTATTTAATTACTAGGTCATTGTGAAATTCAAATTTATTCATTATGAAGTTATGTTTGATTATTATTATTAGGGCTATGGGACTACCCAATCAAGTAGATACACAGAATGTGATATGTGCAAGTCAAATACTTATCACATACAGAAAAAAATAGTTTAAAGAAGTATGTACTAGTATGGGGTTTTTGCAACTTAAGTAATTGTAGTGATTTTTTTTACATGTAAAGTATAGATATCAGATACAATAAACCATGAATGCAGAGAAAGACAGAACATTAAAATCGAGGACGACACAAGGAGTCGAAGTTGACTAATTATAATAAGAATAACCACAAAACCATACAAGTGAAATGAAAGGAAAAAAATTGAGAAAAGAAGAAGCTTATTTAATTAAGAACATAAATACACAGTTTCATTTCCGATTTGACCATTCATATCTCATACAAATATATATATATACAATACAGAGCTAGAGCTAGGCATGTATAGTTTGTCAGCGACGACGCGCGACAGAGATCTCTTTTTAATTTATATCTCTCTTTTAAGACACCTTCCATTGTTTTTTTTCTATAAGAAATTGAGGTCTGAATTTATCTGATGTTTTTTTCTTGTTTTGAACTTGGGATAAAATAATGAATATATTGGATATTTTTCTTCTTTATTTCCACCGCCCTGAATGGGTGAGAGAGCTGTCATTTCTCACACAAACACTTAAGAAAACAATCAACATCGAACTGAGTATATACATGCACGTGTATATGTCTCTCTACCTCACTATTTTTCATTAACATTCCCGTTTCTAGCCACTTGTTGACCGTGCCACGGTTTACGTTTTACCACGCCTTTTCAAGACCCCTAACAAAGCACATACAATTTTATTTTGCTTAGGTATTCCAAATATATGATTAACCCATACAGTTTACTGTGGATGCAATGACCTATATATACAAACATGGGAGCGGATCTAGTGAATGAGCTAGGGTGTCAAATGACCTCCACTAATTCATAAATTTTTGATTTAATATAAGCATATAACTGAAACATTGATTAGTTTTTATTAGTTTGACCCTGTTAATTGTAGATCTTCCAAATTTTGACCCCCATGAATAATATTTTTACCTCCGCCACTGCAAACATGGCTAATTAAAACAGAAGAGAGATTGTTTAGTACTGAAACCTTTGTTGCCCTGCTTAAACTATATCCTCTCACATCCCCAATGACTTCCAATAGCAAGTTTAAGCAAAAAATTTTCACGCATACGAAAGTCTTGTTTTCTACTATATGCCACAAGAATCGAGAAAGTAACACCATTTTGGAAGCAGGGAAAAGAAGAGAGAGAGAAAAGCAGGCTTTTTGTGTAAAATGCGATAACTGTAAATGGGCTCAAATAGAAAAAATGGAGTGGGCCTTATAGTGGTAACATTAAGAGATGTGTATTTTAAAAAATTCAATCAGAGATGGAAGATGGTGTGAAAGGGACTTTGGTTGCCGGCAGCCAGGAAGCAGCGCCGACGAATTCCGGTAACGTAAACTGTCGAGCCTCCTCGATATCGGATATCACGTGAAACCCGGCCCAATCGACCCGGTTCTCTGTACCCGAACCCGGACCCGTGTTCCGATACTCCCCGTAGTACAAGGTCCTCCTAAAGGACGTGGAGTGATTCCAGTCGAGCCATCCTTTGGGATCAACCAAGCGATCGAGGTACGTCTCCATCACCACCATCCGAGCGTACTCCTTCCATGGACGGCCCAGATACGTTCTGACGCCTCTTCTTCCCAGTTGTGCCCCCGGGGCTTCTCTCACCACCGAGTTGTGGATCACGATTCCCGTCGTCTGATTCAGGTTGACCCTGCCCTGTGCCGTTATCGTGTTCACTCCGTTCGGCGGGTAACGGGCGAATATCCGGCAGTTCTGGAAGAGGGAGGCTGCGTTTCCGAATATGAAGTCGACGGTGCCGTACACGTCGCACTGCCTGAAAAACTGACGCCCCGAGTGGACGTAGAGCGTGTCCTGATACCCTTGGATGCTACACCTGTAGAACACCGACCTGTCCGAATTCGATCTCAGCGCCACCGCCTGTAGGCTCTCCGGCCCTGCCGTGTTCCTTATCGTCAGGTTCCGCGCCACGAAACCATCTCCCTCAGCCACTGTTGTGTCAATTTCTCAAATTTTGTTATTACTGTTATATATCCCAAATCAACTGTTAAAGTCAAATGAAGACTATTGAGTATTGACTAACCAAAAGTGGCGGATTTGTAAGTGGAAAATCCTCGGGCGTTGCTTTTGTCGCCGGTGATGATGGTTTTGCCGATACCGTCGCCGATGATCATCACGTTGTTGGAGTTGATTCCCACAGTGACGTATTCCTCGTAAACCCCTTGCCTGACATGTATGACGTATCTACGGCTTCCCTTGGGCCTCTGTCCCGCAGCATCCACCGCTTCTTGGATGGTCTTGTAGTCTCCAGAGCCGTCTTTAGCCACCACTGCATCCACCCTTTTGCCTGTAGACGGCTTTCTCATCCCGTTTATCCCCAACGCCCCAAACACGTTCCCGTTTGTTTCCGTCAAAGTCACCTTGTTTATGGCCAATGCGTTAATGACATCAATGGTGATGCTTTGGAGCATTGACTGCAAGGAACCAGATGAGACACCACCGAGCAGTGACATGCCTTGGCGACACGTGTCTAGGTTGGTGAGTGCGGTGCTGAGCCATGCCTGCACGTCCGATCTTGAGCACACGTTCACGGGACAGGACACGCTCTCGTTGAGTCTGTGGATGGTCTGGTCGTAGAGTTCCATACAATCCTCCCAAGCTTGCTTTGAATCGAACTGTGCGCCGAGAGAGTAGGTGTCGCTCCTGGCTTTCAGGGCTCCATCCAGTGTTCGCTCTACAGACACCTCCAGGAACTGTGTCGCGCTTTGTATGGGTCTATTGGTCGATGGATGTTGAATCAGCAGAGTCTTGCATTGACCAGGGTGCGGCGTTTGGTCGCACCTTTCCTCTATTGCCTCCGTCTCATTCCCAAGAACCACATTCGAGGCTGAGGAGGCAACAATCAGAATTATGAAGCATTTTGCAGCAATTACTCGACCCTTCATCGCTCTCACTTTCTTGTACGAGGTATCTTATTACATAAAATGCATAATGCCTTGTTAATTTATACTAGATTTGTTTTAACTTGTAACCATGAATGATACATATATGTAAGTTACAAGTCGGGATGGTTTTAACTTTTAAATGAGAGAAATTTAACGCATGTAGCAGTTCTAACCTTGTTGATTAATGGTCTATTGGTTTTTGCTCCAATATAATTATGAAATGATGTTAAAACAGCTCGCTAATAATACAACAATCTCCAGTAAATGGAGTCTGTTGTTAACTTTGATAACTTATAACAATCTATATTAATTACGGAGAAAACACAGATCAATCAATCCGTAATAAAAAAAAAAAAACTCAAGGGGATTGGCAGTAAGAGGAACAGAGTAAAGCCTGCCCTATGCTACAAGTAGAAGAAGCTCTGTAACTTAATTTGACGTAGAAGATAAACGTACAGAGTAACTAACATTCATTCAGCTTCAACAATCTTGATGGCATGATTGTACAGAGAGCAGAGAGCTAGTCTTGGATCTGGAAACTCAGTCGGCCGGTAAAGAAATGTTGATGTCAGTGGGCGAGATTCTCGGCATGTCCTGTCCGTTGGTCCAGCTGGAAATGCCGAATGATGAAGAAGGCTGCTCTCTCTCTGAGAAAACAGAAGTTGCAGGAGGAGATGATGACATGGCCGTCGCAGAGGTATGATCGAGTTTTCGCATCCTTGGTTGCTCATCTTCTTGTTGATCACTCGTTACAAAACTGCCAACAACAACCTGTTTCAAGAAACAAGAAACCTTAATGATAAAATAAAAAAAGAGACGATTTCTCAAGAATTAAGCAACCTAATAAATATATATATATATATATATATATATATATATATATATATATATATATGTTGTTGGGTGATCAATCACCTGAATAGGAGAGGCAGCAATGAGGAGACCAGCCACGCAGCCACCGACAACACGACCATCAGGACCAGCCAAAGAGACGCTCATGCCACCAGACCGACCTCTTGAACCTTGATTCTCTGTTTCCATGAAAGAACCAGACAGCGACAGTATCTCAAACAGACCCTGCATGCCAACAACAACAACAGCAGACCTAGTTCATATATATATATATAATGTACAAGTCTCTCTGTTTCATTCTCTCGAGACAAACCAACCTCGTAGGTGAGAGTACCACCGCAGGAATCAGGCTGGCGAAGGGTGACGTTGGATATGACTCCATTTGCTGACAGAATACAAACAGCTCGAGGTCCTTGCTGGGAAAACGATATGACTCTCATGCTTATATCCTTGATGAAACAAACATCAAACAAATAATCACTCCAAAACATCCTCTCAACAAACATCAAAGAAAGGCCCTTTTCTTTCCTTTGATAAATACATACCTCACCAGTGTTCACTGTGATTATATGTGGCGTGAAATTTGAGCCAACCCCAAACCTTTCACCTGTAACACCATTATCAAAGTTACAATCTCTAAACAAACCAACATTATGCTACTTGTGTCTCGACCCTTTTTGCAGTTTTGTTTGTAGAGTATGTTGTACAGTATCAAACTCAAACATTGTCTGTTTTCCAGATCCAAGGAACTTATTAAAGCTTTTGGGAAAAAGTGGTCAACTTTGTAAGAAAGAAAAAAAGTGTGTCCAATTGAGCAAAGAAAACTTGCAAGCAATCTCTCTGACAAGGAACATTGCAGACTTTGCAGTTGTATATACAGCTCAACCTATCTTTCATAGCTCTAAGCTCTACACCGCTACACGAAACAGAAACCAAATTAGATGAGGTTGAAGTGTTACCTGAAGTGTGGAAGCCCATCCTCTTATTATGCATTTTGGAATCGAAACCATTAAGCTTGCCTCTTCCACGCTTCTTCACTGATGAAGAGATTCGCATGGGAAGAGGAGTACCATTGGCTTCGTATTTACGAGGTCTGCCCCTCTTCTTCTTCCCCAGAAACTGGTTAGGGCTCTCTGAGGGCCTCGGGGCCATATGATACGCTGATGGAGCTTCTGCTCCTATCACAGTCACACCTGAGCTAACTCTTTCGCTTGTTTCCATTTCAACTTCTAAGCTTTTCTTTTATCTTATACTGTCAAATCAAGTCTCAGCAGAGCCCACAAGAGAACCTAGGAAACCAGCAAAGTTCAAGTCAAGACAAATCAACTTTCAGTTTCGAATAGTTTCTCTTCTCCAAGTATTCTCAACAAGAACCTTTTCAAACTGCTAAAACGAAGTACAGTCTCATCTCCTAGCATAACTTAGTTTTAAGAGTTCAAGTCGGCTTACAGAGTTTGAGCAGAAGCTAATTTTCAAGTATAAAGGCCGCATCTTTTCTTATGTAACACTAATAAAATTCGAAAATTTCACAAAAAAAATGAAAGAATATATATAGATCAGAGAGTCTGAGAAATAAAATAAAAAATGAAAAAGAAGAGGCCAAATGAGATCTCACTAAAAGAGAGATTTTCTTTAAGAAGAAAACAGAGAGAAAGTAGAGTACCTGAAGCTTTGTCTCAACTCACTCAACTTTCCACATTCTCAGCTGCTGCCTTGTAAGGGAACTGATTTGTCGGAGAATTGTCACAATTCCAAGAAAGATTTTACGATCCAACGAAAAACAGAGACTAGTACTAGTTTGGTCGGAACAGTATTTCAACTTCCCGGCCGTTCCCACTTCCCAGTGGTTAAGACAAAACAGAGACAAAACAAAAACAAGAGCGTAAAATATTTTACGATGAGAAAAAAACAAATTATGTTTGTTCTTTTGAGATTTCCAAGAGTAAAATACTAATTATCTTGTCGTTAAGACCGACAGTGAATTTTGGTTGATAATACTTTCACGTCCGGATTGAAAATTCAAAAAGATTTTTCCTTTTTTAATAATGTCCCGTTTTGCGTAAATTTTAGTCCTTTCTTCTTGACGTTAATTCACTAATAACAATTAACAACTATGCCATTGTGTCTTCGGTAAAAATATGAAAATAATATTTAACATTTCTTCGAACGATTTGATTTAAACTCAAATAATCTTAGTTAGTTGATTCGGAGATTTTCATTACCAACCCAACTAGTAGTATTATACAAAAATTGTGTGCATATATTTATAGATAGATGGTACGAGAGAGAAGGGGAAATGAAGGATTGCAATTGGTGGGTGAGATGTAACAAAGTAACAGGCAGTGAGAATAACAATACGTTTGACTTTGTCCACTTGTCCTGCTGCCTTCTGTCACCTTTTTGACTCTCTTTCGTATTGGATCTGGCACCACATTATCGAATCATTATTACTAGTTTTTCTCACAACTATATCCTCCCTTTGCTAAATTGCATATAGTTCCAGTAATCCCTATATATTTTTTTAGCTGATTCTTGAATGAAATCACGTGTTTGGTACGAAAGTTTATCCAACAAAAACTGGGAACAAGAAATCTCAAATAGAGTCAAGTCCTATATTTGCTTTTACTTGCATGGAAAAAACTATTCCCTCCGTTTTTTTAAGATGGATTTTCTAGATATTAGTTATTGTTTCACAAAGATAAATTTTCTACTTTTTTGATACACTTTTTCAGTTTTCAAGAAACAATGATTGTATTTGTTAGATTTTTATTGGTTGAAAATTATAAAAAGTTGTTTTATTGCAGAAATCAATACACTAATGATTGAAAATTTACTTTTTCTTAATATGTGTGAACATTCTAGAAAATTTAAAAAAAAAAACGGAGGGAGTATTGATTAAATCAACTTTTAAGTACTTAGCAATTTGTATGTTAAATAAGAATTGATCCGTATCTCAATAGGATCACGGCACATGAAAAAGCTTTTGGATCATCATTACGTGTCAACACACTCTTTGATTTCCAGTCAAAATTCCGAGGTCTCGAGGTAGGCCAACCTTCGGGATTATATTAGTTTACTCAGATACTCTAACGAGACAAGTTATTAACGCTAATGATTATTTTATTTCACAATATTAATGATCTAATTTTATTTCCCAAGATATTTTGATAAATTAAAAAGAAAAAAAAGAGTATTAGAAACTCAATAATTGACATAGTTTTGAGGACGGATTCAAGAACAAGCTCTTCAAGGAAATAGGTTGTTGGGCCATAACATTTTGGGCTTCACTCACCTACACTGCTGCTCTTCGGCTCTTGTGGATTACGAATTTTCATAATTCGATTTCGAGCCAAGTCGACGTATTGCGTAAGAGATGAGGGTTGTTGCATTGGAATTCTTATAGCTATCTATTAATAAGTGCAGTTTAAGCTACAAGGCATTCCGGTTAGTACAAAATAAACAGACCCTGATTAATTAAGGTCTGAGGATAACATATTGATTAGATTAAAGAAGATGGCCTGAATTTGCCTCCAGTCATATACTTAGAGACGAACTCACGGGTGAGAGCGTTGAGATCACCATTCGCGTCCAATGGATCTTCCAGGCCCAACAATGTGCTATAATCTGTTGAATCCTCAATATCTTTCTGTGGCTCTTGTTGTTGTTGTGACATACAGTCAATGTCCAATAACGAGGAAAACACCTTGTTGTTGCTAATATGGACAGAAGCAATGGGTGGTGCATTAGATGAAGAAGCTGCTTCTCTCGGTGGATTGTTTTGAGGGTTCGGTGGAGGAAGGTGTTGAAGTGTTGAGAGATGAGTTTGGACTATATCTAGCTCCGCCTTTAGATTCATCACCTGTTCACATATCCCACACGACTTATTATTAATAGTCTCACATTAGTTTTTTCTTAACATAGACATTAGTCTAGTCACTTTATTTTTCTTTAGTTCTACTTAAGAAATTTTGTTGTCAAACTGGTTTCGTTTATTTAACCGATCGATGTTATTAAAGAAAACAATTTGGAAGTTGAACCACAAAGATTGACAATTTGACTTTCTTTAACTCAGTTTTTCGGCAGACGAGCCCTTGGGAAGACGCACGTTAGCTTGTTTTCAATCTGTTAGCCAGCTCTTGTAAACCCTTACTAACCAACTGATGATAAAAATTCAGTAAATGTATTTTTCAACAATAAAAAAAAATACTTGAAACCAAGATGCATGGAAGCTTGGTTTTAATTAGATGATGCAAGCTATGTGGATAGATAGATAATCTCATCATATATGCTTAACCTGATGTTACACAATGAGTTTTTTGTTTGTTTTTGGAACAAGAATGAGATTACGACACAATACACACACATGCATGCCTCCTAAGTCTCTGAATAGATCATCAGAGATATGCATTTATAATTTTATTTATACATATAGGAAAAAAGACATTGGGTTATAGAGTACCTGGTGTTGAAGGGCGAAGATTTGACCAACGCACCCGTAGACAGGATCGCCAAGCCTAGCCAAAGCCTCGTAAGAAAGCGTGACGACGGCGTCAGGCCTCCGGCTGGCCGGAATCATCAAGAGGAGCTTGGAGGTGTTGCTGGCCCCGAAAACCTTGTGCACCGCCGCGAAATGAGCCGTCCCTTCCTCGGAGTCAAAGTAGGGAGCGAAGACGCATTCGGCCAAGCACTTACGCCGGAGAAACTTGCATGCGCCGCAGGGACTTCCACCGCCGGTGGTGCTTCCGCTCATCTTTCCTGCCAAGACGTAAGGTTCTGTTTAGGGGATGAATGGGTGAAGCAGTGTCGTCGTGGACCAACTATATATCCAAAGAGAGATAGGTTAGTTTACGAGTTAATGTTTTTCAGTTAATGTGGAGCATAGAGGATCGTGTCAGGCAAGAAGAACTCATGTCTTGCTTTTGGTGGTGGGTCATTTATAATCATTACATTTTCTATTATTGCTTTCTTTGTGTGTGCCAATTTATTTTCTTTGTGTTGTCCCAATTTATTTGTGCATAGTCAAATTCACACGTACACTAGCTATTTTAAAGTGTTGGGCTTCATAACATAAAGATAATCGTAATGATATATTCTCGAATCATAATATCAATGAAAGCATATAGCATAAGGTTTTGTATGAATGTTAACTCTCGTGGGGTTATTATATATTGTATGAGTAAACACTAAACAAACAGTAATGAAAATGAATGTGATGATGGCTAAAGCTTGGAAGCAACGGCAAAACGGATGTGTATATATAATTACAGAGAAAAGCTTTGCGTGAAGCAAACACACATATTCTTCTGCCGACGTATCTACTATCTCACTCTCTCCCCAACCGTCGTCGTAGGTTTACTTTTACCCACACATGTGACCCCCTCACCACACGTGTGTACTCATCTTCTTTTAGCTCTGGCCCAGAGTCATATAGCTAGTAGATACATGTATCATTTTTAATATATACAAATAAATAAAGAGAAAAATGTGAGTAATTAATTAGTATATATATATGATTGCTTCTTGTCTCTACAAATCGTATTGTCAGACGCTGACACGACACTGATCACTGTTTGCTTCGCCGCAAGTACAACCTCAGTTAGTCACTGTCCTGTCAATGTTTCTGTTTGATATGATGCTGACACTTTGTTCAATTTGTGGGCCTTCTCTTGGGCTTTTATTTGTTTCTCAACGGGCCCAGTCTTCAGTGCCCTGTTCTAAAAGAATGACTAAAAGAATGTACATGGCACAAATAGTTGTTGTCATTATTGATTTCGTTTCCTATGTAATAGAATTAGAGACTATTAGGTAATGCATTACTAGCTAACTTGCTACTATAAGCCCATAAGGTGATGTACAACACTACTTTGCTTAATTGTTTGGTTGATAAAAAAAGGTGTGTAATTTAGCGTACGCAAGCGGTGAGGAAAGGAGTAGAAAGAGGGGGTGATACGAGGACACGTGTCGCGTAGAAAGAGTGTCTGTCAATGTTGCTTGTTCACAGTACAGGGATTAGACAAGAGGCGGACGGCACGGTGATTTCTCTCTTTTTTTTTTCTTTTTTTCTTTTGTCCTTCTGATATTAATCTTTTTAGTCTTTTTTTGTATTTTCATCTTCGATATATTAGATATTTGAACACATTAAATCAGTGGAGTATAATGTATATGTTGACAAAGTGAAATAAATTTCAGTGTAGTAAGTATAAAATAAATAAAATAAAAACAGATTGGAGCGTTACATTACATTGCATAGTCGCAAAGTGGAACCCACGCGTGATGTTTGCGTCAGCAGAGTTGCACATAGCGGTCATAAAAGTCATAACTCAAAACGTGGCCAATCTTCCCGGTTTCTTTTTCTTCGATGATTCCGCTGAACGAACCAAACCTTATTTAGATTGGGTTTCTCATCAAACCCGTAAGATAGTGGTTTAGTGGAAGTGGGAGGAGTATAAGTTAGCTGGATTCACTTGTTGCTACCTACATTTGGTGATTGGACCGTCGTCATCGCCGCACATGATGATGATGAATATGTTACAATCATAAACGCACGCACACATGTATCTGATCATTTTAGCCGTCACAAAATTATACTGTAATATATTTGATTCTGCAGTGACTGATACTACATAATCTTGTAAATTTTTAAGTTTTAGAAACATATATGACTAATGGTATACTTTTCCTATTTTACACCCTAATCGAATATTGCGTAACAGGATTCCCTGTCCAAAATATAGATTGCGTACGTACCCATTATCTGTATTATTATTTTGTTGCCGACCATAGCCATTAACTGTATTCAGTATGAAGTCTTAAGGATTTCATCGTTTTCAGATCATATGTAAATAAAGCCAGCTGTTTTAGAAAGCCGTTTTAGAAAAATACTTATTCTCTCGCTCTCTCTTCATTTACATCGGAATTTGTCACATAGATAGTATCATAGTACTGATTTGTACTATCCTTTTATGATTTTCATCAGAATTCAAATTCAGCAATTGATGGATATGTTTAAGCTACAAACTGTAAACATAAAAGTAAGCAATAATGCAAAAAAAAAAAAAACTCTTATCACTTAGAGAATCAGGCGGAGAAAAATTTGTCAAAACTTTTTAGACACGTTGTTAACTATCAAAAGAATATCCGTTTAATAAAACCAAAATAAATAAATTAATTTAACGTATAGCGTTGAGCCGTTACACTTTTAATATACATTATAAAAATCACTGCAAAATCCAATATTTTATGTTTCAATATATACAGTCCAAATGTTTTTAAAAAATCACCTCTAAAATAATCATCAAATAGCTTAATCACAAGCTCATTTTTATAACAATTGCAGAACTAATTTGTATATTATTATATCGATTATTGAATGTGGATGAATACATTTGTATATTATAGATGCATCAGTTTGGACCGATTGTAACAAGAGTAAAAGTAAACCAGAAGTAGAAAAGTGAAGAAACAGATTAACAATGAAAGAAGTTGAGAGATATGGAATGTTTTGCTTCACGCAAAGAGCTAAACACGAGACAAGTACGCTCCATCGCGTTGCTTTGAAGGCTTTTTTTATTTCTCTCTTGTCTTAACCATTTTTTCTTTGGTAATAACACAACTGATTAAATTATTATTATTATTTTTAACAATATATACATATGTCATCTTATCTACTAAATACTACATCTATTCATGTATTAATGGGAGAAAAAAAAATATTTCCAGTTATTACAAACCAAACCCTAGATTTGTTTACGTCCGATCTCCTCCTTCTCCCCTTTCCTCTCTCCCAAACGTTTCCCTTTTTTTTTTCGGTAAATCACGAACCAAAAACATCATCCCAATCTCGATGAATTAACTACATATATCTCAAAACCCTAATCACGAATCAGCTAGTAAGAACCTTCTCTTACATTAAAAAGGGAGAAAAAAAGAGGAAACTGATTGGAAGATGAGCAGTAGCGGAAACCCTGGCAGCAGCGGTGGATGCGGTGGAGGAGGAGGCGGACCGTGCGGCGCGTGCAAGTTCTTGAGACGGAAGTGCGTCGCCGGCTGCGTATTCGCGCCCCACTTCGACTCTGAACAAGGAGCGGCCCACTTCGCGGCGGTTCACAGGGTGTTTGGAGCGAGCAACGTCTCGAAACTCCTCCACCATGTTCCCGAGCATAAACGATCAGACGCCGTCGTTACCATCTGTTTTGAGGCTCAGGCTCGTCTAAGAGACCCTATTTACGGCTGCGTCTCTCACATCGTCTCTCTTCAGCAACAGGTAAAATTCATTTCATTTATTAGTACATTAAATTAACAACCTGCGATCACAAGTTTGATGCGAAATCGCAACAGTTTTAAGTCGATCTACTTTGTCTCTATGCCGTTACGTTGATCAATTCTTTTAACATTTTCCAATATATTATGTTTTCTTTTTTTTTTTTCACAAAAGAATTTGGCTTTAAACAATTATTGTTCAAAGTAAAAATTTAATCTCTATATGTTTTCTTGCTCTATTCCTCTCTGCTTGTCGTTGACTCGTTTCTATCCAAGCCTCATGCAAGTAACTCTTTCTTAATTATCGATAAAAAATACTGGCTTGTGTTTTAATTTCGATGTGTTCTTCTTCTTGAATATCTTTTCATTTTAGATAAGTTGTGTAGATGATTGGCATGAAAATTAACTCAGGCAAAAAAAATAGCTTTTTGCCTTTTGGGTAAAGTCACGTCTTTATACTAAATGACGTGTATATGTGTGTGTGTGTGTGAGAGAGAAGTATAGAACAAGTTGATATTTGATTATATCTGCATTACTGCATATATATAGTAATCGTAGTTTGTTAAGAAAGTATGCATAAATTGTAGTATATGTGTATATCTTCACATGATCCAGTGCGTTACATAACAGATGGAGGCCTCTCCTTTTTTATTTGTTTTCCTGATTTAAAATGGCCAGAGTCGTGGTTAATTAGCTAGGATCGAGGAATTTAACGATCATTGAGCTACCAAATGTACGTTTTTAGAAGTTTGAAGTTTTGTTTATTGTTTACCAAATTTTTTTTTCTTCGTTAGTCCAAGCCAGTGATTGAGATGACAAACTTCCTCTGTTCGCAACAACCACGTTTTTTACACTTATTCCCAAGCATCATTTTTAATTCTCTCTATCGGTCAAGTACAGTATATACGTAGGTATTTTCATGTATACTAGTATAAATACATATACACGTATGCGATTGCACTCTATAATTGATTAATGTTGGTGAATGATATTTTCAATACTACAAGCAAGCACTTATGTATAGATTTAGACGTATAGTGTGTTTTGTGGCATTATTAGATTGTTTTATTCCGCATATACTTGTCTAAATTGGTGGTCTTGATTGATCAATTACTCCTGTCGTGTGTTTTTGGTATTAGTAAATCAACATTTGCTCGAATCCGGCAAATCTTCCAATAATTAAATATTGCTGGAAATATCATTATCTAGATTCTTATCTCTCTTTAATATTTTCTTTTGGCATTATTATCACTTTTAAGCATATCTACATTTGTATTATGATAATGTAATCTGTCACACTTAAAAAAACAGGTGGTAAATTTGCAAGCTGAGCTTTCATATGTACAAGCACACTTAGCAACTCTAGAGCTGCCACAACCACCGCCGGCTCCGGTGACGTCTTCTGGATCTCCGCCGCCTCTTTCCATATCGGACCTTCCCACAATTTCACCGTCGGTGTACGACCTCTCCTCCATCTTCGACCCGGTGTCCTCGACGTCGTGGGCCATGCAGCAACTACCTCGACCCTCGGATCATCTCTTCGGTGTCCCGTCATCATCGTCCAGTATCGGTGGAGGGGGCGAGTTCCAAGCTATGGCGCGTGAGTATCTTCACGGTGGGCAAATGCCAGCTCAGCCACCGCCAAGGACCAGTGGTTCTGCCTCAGCAGTGATAAAACGAGAGTGATGTTATTTTTATAAATGTTGGTTAATTTGGAGCTTATGAGATATATAGCTAGTGGTGTGTTTCTCCTTGTCATATATATATACTTTTACTTGGTCTAAAATTCGTATTTAAATTGTTGTTTACAATGTTATTCATTCTGTGAATTTCAGTTTATGCTTGGCAGAAAAAAAAAACTCAATACTATTGATGTGAATCATGTCCTATGTATTGGAGAAATAAACTAGGGAAATAAAGAGTCAGAAGTTGAAAAAAAAAACAAAAGGCAGAGATCATGTTGTTTTGGCCGGATCAAAACAGTGTTACTAGTCGTGCATATTAGGGTTGACGATGGCCAGAAGCTGAAGAAGATATGATGGTGTTTGTTCTTCGTGTATATAGGCTACAAATGAGATCTTAACAATACACTCAAACTTGAATTATTTTACGAAAACAAAACAAAACCTTTTTGACAAAGATATGGAGATAAGCCTTTTGAAAAATGCAAATATCGTTTTATGTAACACATTAAATATTGTGTTACTGTATATGACAATATTTTATGTAAATTATAGTAGATGTCGTGTTTGACATTTTATTTATCATACATTGACAAAAAAATATGAAATAATGTTAAAAATATGTAAATTACCATATCTGAAATAGTATTAAGGGTGAAACAGGAAATTAACAATTGGCGCGACTGTGTAACCTATTTCCTCTGGCTATATATATAAAAACTAATTAAGCGAAAGAGGGTTCCATATTTGTTTTGAGATTTAATTGTGTCGACTAAAAAGAAGATGAAACCCGAAAGCAGAAGGAACAAAAGCGGTATGAGCTACGAAGATGAATCTAGTTTCAATCTAAGCTCGCTCAGGGAGCTTATAGAGTCCTCCACCGGTGAAAAGAGTGGCAATCTGATGGATCTATCGTCAATGTCGCACGCTTTATCGTGCGTGAAGCGCAAGATGGATCAGAAGAAGAAGAGGGTTAGGGTTCGTACTTATTGGAGAGAAAGAGCCTCGGCAAACGGAGTGATGGATTTAACTCCGGAAGAGTTGACGCGACTCTCGGAAGAACTATTCAAAGGGCTCCTCAACCTTCTTCCAAACCAGAACAAAGCCTCCTCCTCCGATACCTTGATCAACACGGAACCACAACTAGTTTGTTCCATTAACAAACAGGATGATTTCTCCGACTGGGTTTTTGTTTAACTCTCTCTCTCTCTCTCTCTCTCTCTCTCGTTAGACTCTTTGTTTTTGTTTTTTGATAGTACTTTTGGCATTGGTGTTTCTCTATTATTTGTTTTCGATTAGTTTTTGGATATAGCTGAATCAGAACCAAAAGATGTCTTGATTTGTATTTAATTGATTTATCCTCAATATAACTATGATCAGTATACAAGACTAGTTGGGAATCGAATCAGTGTCCTTGGGTGGCTTATAGTCTTGGCCTCTCCAAATCACGACCTGCTCCTTGTCAAACGTGACCAGGATGCAAGGCACCAGATCCTTGACACAAATTACACTTTGATGTTAGTGGGTTCATGAGGTTTCCACAACAGGAGTGGGATCTTGGGCCTTTTCTTTGGATCCTAGTTTCGTCCTCTATACAAGACAAGGCAACATGAGTCATTCTTCTTCAGTTTCATCATCATCATTTATCAAAGTTGAAAGATGATACCTCAAGGTGGAAGATGACGTTTTCCATATCGAGAGTTGGGACTCCAAGACATTTGACCCGAACTGTTTCAGCGTGTTTCCAATGGTTATAGATATCGTTCAACATGTTGTGAGTCACAACCATCTCTCCCTACACAGTACACACCACCAAACCAACCATTCTTAGCATACAAATAGAGCACTATACATGAAGAAAGAAGACACTTTTACTGTGTGAGTGTGTGTGTATATTAAAAAGGTTCTCACAAAACGACGCTCTATTTTGAGTTTTTGCTGATTCATTATAATGGGCCCTACATGAATCCTACAAAAGTGTGTTTTTAACAAAACGGACCAATTTGAGAGGCTATCATTTTGTACCCCACAGTTTACTCTAGATTCAAGATCCGTAATTATGATCCTCAATTTGACAAAATTAGCATACAACTCAAATCCGTATTTATCGTTTGATAACAAAGACTTCATTCTTGAAATATAATTGAGTCAAGGACTAAAAGATTGAGCCAAGGAATTGAATATATAGTTGATGATGACATAAATACGAGTTAGAAAAATTTATGAGAAACATTACATTGGAGTATATAGCCTTACAAGACACAGTATCAACATTGGAAAACTTTAAAGCTATTATTACTAGAGAGTTTTTCTAGTAAAAAAAACTTAATTTCTTGTATTCAAATTCAAGCAAGCAAGCCTTCCTTTTGTTCATACTACTATATGCTATAACTATAAGCATACACAAAAGCCATGTACATACAATTAGATATCGCAAGTGGCCACTCTTTTCCTTCTAAGATACCATACGAACTAATATTTCTAACAAACTACGAAAAAATAAAAAGTTCTATTAACTATATGTTTACTCTAATTTTCGGATTAATTTTAAATTCTGTTTTCAGATTTCTCCGCAAGTTATTCTGATGCTATTAATAGAGGAGAATGTGTCATCATCTTCTTATAACTCAATAACCAAACTTATCATGTACACAATACTACATATGGGAAGACCAAAATATTCATGTCATCATCATCTTCCTCTTCTTCTTCCTGTTATTCTTTTTCTTGGTGTCCTTTGGATATCACCAGGATATGCTTCAGCCGCAGACGAACATGTAAAGGTATTTTATTTAACATACGTATATTGTCTTAGCAAAACAAAAAAACATACATATTTTGTCCCTTAGCTTTTTTTGTCATTGAATTGAACAAAATATGATGTTGCAAGGGAGAATATATAGTTCTTTAACTCTTGGACCACTCTCTTAAAAGGATTTCTATATCATTTATTTGGGAGATCGACCGGATAATGGAGACGAAACTATCAAGACACACATAAGTCTTCTCTCGTCTTTGAATATAAGGTATGACATGCATCAACACATGATCTGAAATAAATCAAAGCGCGAGTACTAAATATTCTGTTAATATAATACTTTATCAAATTAATAATATATCTTGAGAAACAGCCGAGAAGAAGCACAAGAAAGAATGGCATATAGTTACACTAAAGCCTTGAACGCTTTTGCTGCCAAGCTTTCTTCACATGAAGCTAAGAAGATGATGGGTATGTTTATGTCTATATATGTTGTTCCTAAATCCTAATTAACCATCATAGTACGTAATATCTTTTTATTCTTTTCAATATGACGTAAGTTAAACTATGAACTAATCCCTTGTTTATTTGATACCACAAAATAACTTCCACATGTACTAACTAGTGAGATTCATAAGTTATCAACTTAATCTAGTAATGATTAAGTTAGAAAAACGGGTGCAGAGATGGAAGAAGTTCTTGGCGTATTCCGAAATCAATATCGCCAACTTCACACAACAAAATCGTGGGATTTCGTTGGACTTCCTCTGACAGCAAAAAGACATCTAAAAGCAGAGAGAGATGTTATTATTGGTGTTCTTGATACAGGTTCATATACGTGTTACTCGTACTATATATATTTGTGTGCACCAAGCTTCATTTTCTTCACATGTTACACCTTTCTTTATACGTGCTTTAATCTTAAATAAAAGTTATCTGAAGATTGTGTAAACAATGATTGATAAACAGGAATAACTCCAGATTCAGAGAGTTTCCAGGACCATGGTTTAGGGCCTCCCCCGGCGAAATGGAAAGGATCGTGTGGACCTTTTAAAAATTTCACCGGATGCAACAAGTATTAACTAACTATAATTTATCAATTCATATACTGTAGTATACACGTTGTTAATCAAACAAACTTGGTTTTTTTAATCGACATTCTCGTAACATTCTTTACCCTATTACAACAAACACGAATTCTTAAATCAATGTTATCAGTAACCTAAAGGAAATATCATTGTTAGAAAAAAGACGAGGAGTTGGTTGGTCAGTTTTAATAGTTTAGGGAGCTTACAAGAGTTATGAGTTAACATAAGGGTCTTTATTGATATAAATAAATTGTTGAATTTGAAACAGCAAAATAATCGGCGCAAAATACTTCAAGCGCGACGGCACTGTGCCTGTCGGCGAAATCCTATCACCGATCGATATCGATGGCCACGGAACTCACACCTCCTCCACCGTAGCAGGAGCTCTAGTCCCAAACGCGAGTCTCTATGGCATCGCAAACGGCACCGCCCGCGGCGCGGTTCCGTCGGCGAGGGTGGCCATGTACAAGGTGTGCTGGGCGAAATCAGGCTGCGCCGACATGGACATCCTCGCCGGATTCGAAGCGGCGATCCACGACGGCGTAGACATTATCTCCATATCAATCGGCGGTCCAATCGCGGATTACTCTTCCGATTCGATATCCGTGGGGTCGTTTCACGCGGTGAGGAAAGGGATCCTGACGGTGGCGTCGGCCGGGAACGACGGACCGTCCTCAGGGACTGTAACGAATCACGAGCCGTGGATAATGACGGTTGCGGCAAGCGGCATCGATCGGACGTTCAAGAGCCAAATCGATCTCGGCAACGGGAAATCCTTGTCTGTAAGAGCATTTCTAAATCTAAATCATCCCCTCTCGTTGGGTTTAAATCAATTTTAGGATTTCGAAAAATAAAGTAGCTGTGAAATCTGATGGTGATGAAAAGGGGATGGGGATAAGCATGTTTGATCCAAAAGCCAAATCGTACCCGCTTGTAAGCGGCGTTGATGCTGCGAAGAGCAAAGACGACAAGTTCTTGGCGAGGTACTGCTTCTCTGATTTTTGAATATGTTTGTATCATATCATATGTGAGTCATGTTTGATAAATGATTGATGATTGATGCAAATTGCAAAAAAGGTACTGCTTCTCTGATTCTTTGGACCGAAAGAAGGTCAAGGGAAGGGTAATGCTGTGTCGAATGGGAGGAGGTGGCGTGGAGTCGACAGTTAAAAGCTACGGAGGAGCTGGTGCCATCGTGGTGAGTGATCAGTATCTTGATAACGCTCAGATTTTCATGGCTCCAGCCACCACTGTTAATTCCTCCATTGGCGATGCCATCTACCGATATATCAACTCCACAAGGTCCTTCTTCTTCTTTGATTGGTTGATTGGTTTGTCTCTCTTGTGTTAAGCCTTCCTGATGATGCAGATCACCGTCGGCTGTGATTCAGAAAACAAGGCAAGTCACAGTCCCTGCTCCGTTTGTTGCATCTTTTTCATCAAGAGGTCCCAATCCAGGATCAACACGCCTGCTCAAGGTATTTTATGAATAAACTTGTATCATCCATCACTCACTGTAATCATCTGTTTATTATGAGAAATGCGACGATCCTTATATGTTCTTTTTGTTTGTTTGGGGATTGTAGCCTGATATTGCTGCACCTGGGATTGATATATTGGCGGCCTTCACACTCAAGAGATCACTGACAGGGTTAGACGGTGACACCCAATTCTCAAAATTCACCATCCTCTCTGGCACCTCCATGGCCTGCCCTCATGCTGCTGGTGTTGCTGCTTACGTCAAGTCTTTTCATCCTGATTGGTCTCCCGCTGCTATCAAATCCGCCATCATAACCTCAGGTATCAACATTTTATAACCTCTAACTGAAAACAGAGAAAGCAGAGAGTAACATGGATGGACTTTCTCTGTATTTGTTTGGCAGCAAGACCGATAAGCACAAGAGTGAACAAGGACGCAGAGTTCGCATATGGAGGAGGCCAAGTGAACCCAAGACGAGCCGCGAGCCCTGGCCTAGTCTACGACATGGACGACATTTCCTATATCCAGTTCCTATGCGGCGAAGGCTACAATGCAACCACCCTGGCTCCATTGGTGGGCTCAAAGTCGGTGAGCTGCTCCTCCATCGTCCCTGGACTCGGCCATGATTCTCTAAACTACCCAACAATTCAACTGACGCTGAGATCTGCCAAAGCTTCGACAATGGCTGTGTTCAGGCGGACAGTCACCAACGTGGGTCCACCTTCGTCGGTGTACAAGGCCACGGTGAGGGCACCGGAAGGAGTAGAAATAACGGTGGAGCCAATGAGTTTGTCGTTTGCAAAGGCATCACAGAAGAGGAGCTTCAAAGTGGTGGTCAAGGCAAAGCAAATGAGTCCAGGGAAGATTGTGTCGGGCTTGCTCGTGTGGAGGAGCCCACGTCACTCGGTTCGGAGCCCCATCGTTATCTATAGTCCTTCTTTCTCGGACAATAATCTATAATCTATCTTGAAAATGCATTAACCTCTTATATATGACCATCATTATCCAGATTTTTGGTCAATTTCTTCTACAAGTCTATAAATAAACTTACTTATTCTAGGTTGCAAGACTGATTTAGTTGAAAGTTTTGCAAAAACTACCAAGAGAAAATATATCACATATTAATAAGTTTAAACATAAATTCTGATACTAAATAGCAAGTTTCTGATAACAAAACAAAAAAAAGTTTTGATACTGAACAAGTAGCAGCGACCAATATTAGTTAGGGCCTAGCGAGGAATCTTTTCTGACGGCGCTCAAAGAGATAATCACCACAATCTTGACAACCATCAAAGTTAGGGAAGGAAATGGATTCCTTTTGATATTGAGCCATCATAACAAGAAACATACGTCCTCCCATCCAACCACCACCCAATTGCAAGGCCTTTTCCATGTCATCCACATCAACGAAAGCATACCTGTAATAAAGGACAAAAACACACTCAAGGGTCAATCTTAAAAGTTGGTATTCAGTTTTTTTTATTGGAAGATGAACAAGCAAGTCACAAACCCCAAGGGAACACCGGTCTGACACTCTATGGGAACAAAAACCCGTGAGACTTGACATCCACCAGACTCAAAATGTTTCCTCAATGCGCTCTTGATATCTTCCCTAGCAAGGCAAGTATTAATTCCTCTAACGAAAATAGAAGAGCTGTCGTCTCCATCTGAATCTTCAGTTTTAAAACAGCACTCATCTTTTGCTAAACCATTCTTTTTCTCTTGGGGTTCCTCCTACGTACCAAGTAGGTAGAATCTAAATCAGCATAATTTCTCAGCATATAAACAAACTTATAAAGAAACATATATATATCCTCTAACGAAAATAGAAGAGCTGTCGTCTCCATCTGAATCTTCAGTTTTAAAACAGCACTCATCTTTTGCTAAACCATTCTTTTTCTCTTGGGGTTCCTCCTACGTACCAAGTAGGTAGAATCTAAATCAGCATAATTTCTCAGCATATAAACAAACTTATAAAGAAACATATATATACCTTGGTTGAAGATGAAGGAGCCGGGGCCTTGTTCATTAACATCTCCTGCAGTTTTTTCATAGTTTCAGTCATCTCTTCGATAGATTTCCTCAGTTTTTTCATTTCCTGCCATTCGATGAATTAGAATCCTATCTAGGGAAAGTGAAATACAGAATAGTATAAAGTTTTCATTCTCATAACAAGTAATTAGAAAATAAAACGCAGGCAGCTAAGTAATTAAGACAAAGATGACGACTTGTCAAGTTCCTTAAATCCTGACCTTGATCTCATACTTCTTTATGCGTTTTTTCGGATTTACATCAGTTTCCGAATTATGCTCAGCTAAAAAAACACAGTTCAAATTAGCATAAAACGTTTGGATAATATTCCCTGGTCTACAACGTTTGCAATGGTTGTATGGTGGGGTTGGAAGTGGAGGTGCGGCAATGTGTTTGGAGAGAACCAGAGATGCAGAGATCGGGTTCAGTTTGTTAGAGAGCTTGTGGCGGAGGTATGGAAGGCTAACAAGATAACCAGAGGTAACACGGGACCTAAGCTGCGGACGGAGAGGCAGATCGGTTGGGAGGCTCCTGCTGCTCATTGGTTCAAACTAAATACGAACGGAGCGTCACATGGGAACCCTGGTTTAGCCACGGCTGGAGGAGTGCTTCGAGATGGGAATGGACGGTGGTGCAGTGGTTTTTCTCTGAATATTGGGAGATGCTCTGCTCCACTTGCGGAATTGTGGGGTGCTTATTATGGTTTAGTTATGGCGTGGGAGAAGAAGATCCTGAGGTTGGTTCTAGAGGTGGACTCGGAGTTGGTGGTGGGTTTTCTGGTGAGAGGGATTCAAGACTCGCATCCCTTATCCTTCCTGGTACTGCTGTGTCATGGCTTTCTATCAAAGGACTGGTCTGTCCGTGTTACTCATGTGTTCTGTGAAGCTAATCGCCTTGCAGACGGTTTGGCAACTTATGCGTTTTCCTTGCCTTTAGGTTTTCATCTACTTGATGTTGTTCCCCCATCTTTGGAGTTGGTCCGATGGGAAGATGAGATTGGGATTACACGTCCTAGAGATGTAGTATTGTAGTATTTTACTTTGTTTTTTAATAAAATCACGGGGGACTTTAGTCTCCCGTTGTCTTACCAAAAAAAAAAAAAAAATTAGCATAAAACGTTCAATCTCACTAAAAAATAAAATCAACGCAAATATCTCCATATATGCCTGTCTGTATAAGCACGTGATTTTATATGTTGATAAAACAAAACCCAAATTCTTACCTTTGTGCAAAGGCTTATGATCTGCTGCTTCAACATGGGTGGATGTGGAGCATCTCTTCCGTCTCTTGCCCATGGAGAATATGACAATCAACTATCCCAAAGCGGAAAGCGGAAAGCGGAAAGCGGCTAGGTTTCTTTTTCTTTTTTTCTATCACTAAATATCTTTTTCCTTTTTCTATTGTGGGCTGGACTTTTCTTGAGACGACCGACCATTATGATGAGCTATCATATAATTTCTCTTTTTCCACTTGCTAAAAATATATTGGCTTCTAATAAGGGACACTTGCGCTGGAGGAGGCCTTGAAGTAGAACTCCATCAAGAAATTAATTAAGCAGTCAACAAGAAGGATTCAGGTGGTGATACTGTTGAATCGCTCTTGTCCTTGACCTGCTTCGCAAACTTAAGCCTCCAACAACAATCAGCAAGGGATGGCTCTACTAAACCAGAGTCATATATACTTGTTCTTCTTCAAAGCCTTGCCCTTACAAAGAACTCATGTTGATGATAGCCTCTCTAGATGTGCTAGTTTTCTGTATATTATTATTATTCGACACAAGGTCATTGCCTTTTTCTTCAATATATATAACAGTCTCTCACTCTATTTCGAGTTCAAGAAAAGAACATTTCTGCCGACTGCAACACCAATAATACAGTCTCTTCACAGAGACCCTCGACTGTTTTAAACTGGTGTAAGCAAAAACAATTCCCGCTCAAATCTAATGTTGTTTTCTTAAGTAGAAGCTTGAAGAGTGTTTACCTTTGCAATAAAAAAACATACAATTAAGCAGAGAGTTGAATAATAATTTAGACCCGTCTTTATTAGTTTTTTAGTATAAACAATGTGATCAATCAAATCATAATCATAGGGTAGAATGTACAAGTTCAAACAACGCTCAATTTGTAAAAAAAATTTGAATCCGATCAGATTGTGAGATTCTCCTGGATGCCGAGGAAGGAACCGACAATGTTTCCACCAACATCAGGGAACTCCTCGCTTCCTGCAAGTGGCCGCACTTTGCCTTTCCCATCCACGTCCACCGGATATTTCAAGAGATGTCCCCTCATCTCCGTCACTTGCTCTGCCCTAAACTGTTTCCAGTTCTCCTCCGCCATTGTTCTCACCTTGCTTACACACTCTATGCTCTCCGGCTCCTCAAACCTTTCATCTAACCTTCCCATGTGTTCTGCCCAAAGCGACATTCTATACCCGTAGATCTGCCCAATTTATGAGATCATACAAAGTGTTTTAGGAATGATCTTTAGTTTTGAATAATCAATCAATCTTTTTATTACCTGACCGCGAGGACCAGTTTGTTGTCTTGCCCATGTATGCTGAGGCTGATAAGCTCCCATTGCAATCTCCGTGTCTCTCGTGCCTTCCATTGATCTTTGGTTTATGTTTGCAGATCCAATCACCACATACTCATCATCCACGACCATCCCTTTCGAATGAACATATATCATAAATCTTCTGCTCTTTCGACATGACGCCTGTTAACACCATTTATTTTCAGTTAACACCATTTATTAAAACCGAGTCAAGCAGCTGCTTTAGTTACCTGAGGAGTGTTATCGTTGCTTGGACTTGCTGTGCTTGCTTCGCTCGCCATTTCTCGGTTTCCAAGACAGAAGAAATTCAGATAGTCCTGTGGGGAGAATTTGTCTTGGAGCCCAGTCTCCACCAACGCATTGTAGATAGTCCCATACATCATTTGCATCGTCTTGTTCTACAAGGACCACAACTATCACCATTTTAGTTTCACATGGAGTAACAAGGAGATCGGTTACAATTTTAGTTGCATCTTCACCTGCCAATACAGAATCCTCTGTGTAGCGGCGCCGGTTGGAACTCCTTCCGGCCACATTGGAATGACGATATATGCAGCAAACCGTTCATTTGCCTTAATCTTTTCAGCAATCTTCAAAGCAATTTCCATAGGAATCAGATTATTGGCACCTACATGACGATTCACCATATAATAAACAAGATTATCATGGCCATTGACTCAAGTTTAGAAAATAATGCTCAACAATTTCACCACAACTGAACAAGGCTATGCATTTGAAAAGTGATCAAAACAGTCTCTCTGTTTCTATGTATCAATTCAGGATTTCTTTTTCACCAGCTTCAGTCAGAAAACTCGAAAAAGCTTAAAGTTGCTCATTTGAAATAACAAACCTATGTCCTTGTGAGCATTCCAGTTGTAGGAGGATCCAATGAAATACTGGTTCTCCATGTAGATAAAGTGTTGAGCTGCACGGATGGCCTTCACATATGCAGTGTGTATGCTCATGTCGATGAGCACGTTCTTACCGCACATCAAGTTCTGTCCACACAAAACCCTTACATCCATCAATTTTTCCAGTGCTCACCAAATCATTATGACAGCACAATTTTCTTTTCATATATCAACTCACCTTGCTTGTAGCATATTTTGGATCCTTTGGGAAACCTTTCACAGAGTTTGAATCGATTGAGCGGAAGATCTGAATCCAGAAACAAGACAACCATCAGCTTAGAAACAAAATCAAATGGGACAGTATTTTGTGGACTGAAATATGAGCATCCATGGACTCTGTGGACAGGCGCATTTAAACAACAAACACTGACATTTAAGCTTAAAAGGTTGGTTTCTGGAGGTGCTTACCTGAACATGCCAAGCCTCGGGGTCATTTGCACTAACAGTAGGAGCATCAAAGACTCCTACTATATCTGGGATCCTTTCAATCCTGAGCAAAGCATCATCATACGATGTCTTCAATTTATTGATTCTGTGAGGCTTGGCAGCCTTGAGCCATCTCTCCTCAAAATTGGTCAGCACATCGTACGCCGCCGGGCCATCAATCTTACTGTGCAAGTCATGCCAAGGCTCTCTTGGACAACCAGAGACGTTACCCTAAATTACATTTCAGTGCATCCAAGTTAAGATCTTCTCATTCAGAACAAATGGTTATTCCTTGCTAAGAACTATTTAACAGAACCAAAGAACAAAACATACCGTGAAAGTGGGGTTGTGATAGTCACCTTTATGTTCTGTTTGCAGAGTCCTAAACAAGGGATGTTGAGGAGTATCATATCGGCCATCGCAAAGATCAAGTCCGCCTACAAAAGCTACGATTTTCCTTCTGTTGCCCCCAGCATCGGCATCTACTATCAATGTTTTCTGGTGGTGTGTATAGATTGTTCCAACTTCCGTTTGTTTGACCCAACTATGTCGCTTTCCAGCATTTCGAGGGCATAGCAAAACTTGAACTGACGAGTGCTTGAAGAAACGGCGTGTCTCCTCGTCATGTGTTCCCATCACCCCATCCTGTTCAAATTAACCAAAAAAACTGTCTCAATTTCCTAAGCCAGTATGAATACTAAAACCCATCTGAGGGAGGTTTGCAGTGACGTACTGTTTTATATCCCAAGATGTCTCGTGAAGTTGGGTCGTCCCAAACCAAAAGCAAGACTCTCACACCTTCTTGGGACTTTGTTCTTAGGAGCTCACCAAGTGTGCATTCTGACGCAGGATCTCCTTTATCCCGAGCAAGCCTGACCATATGCCACACTGACCAACCTGTAATATAAATCAAACGCCTAGCCTGACATATGGCGTGAAACATATCGTGCCAACACTTGCCATGCTCGTAATACATTCCATTGCCGAGTCTTATCCTCGGGAGCATCCCTTCAGGTACATGCGCATCTTGGTACAGTGTCACACTCCCACCTTCCCGGAGAGGGAAATACGTTCCAGGGACTCCCTGGTAATTAGGACCTCTACCGACTCCGCTGTGATAAACACTGAGTTTATCCATTGAGGTGTACTGGATCGACAACGTGAGAGTCGCACCTGGTTTACAAGGCTTCCCATTGCTGCTCCGAATCGAGTAACTTCCTTCGATTCTTGCACCTGAGTGAATCTGCTCAACCGGGATCGTAACGATTCCGATAAGCTGCGAGCCCACAACATCACTGTCCTTGACGACGAAATGGACCTCCGCAGCATGATGGGCGACAGGGACATAGAAATGCTGCTGCCAGACTGGATTCTCGCTGTTGCTCATGACGTATGTTCTTCCTATGACTGCACCTGCGACCGATATGGAAACGTAGGGATCACTCGTGATCTTCTTGCTCAGCTGGCCTTCGATCACGTTGCCGATGCTCCCAAACACAGCACCCAATGTTTTGTGGAACATGTCCATGTTTGGGAGGTTGTTTGCACGAGAAATCCAAATATCCAAGTTACCATGTAGCAAGAGGACCTTCAAGGAGGCTTTGCCAAAGGGCACAATCTGCATACCCGGACTATGATGTGGCGATCCGGAAGGTGAATAGCCATGGCTAGACGAATCTAGCCTGCCCGAGTGTGATAAATGAGAGTGAGTTGAAGAATCTAGCCTGCCCGAGTGTGACAAATGAGAATGACTTGAAAAGGAGTTGTTATAAGGAGGCTGTTCGTAGGAGCCGCCCTGCCAAGAGTTTGAAGATACAAATGGAGCAGAGGGGGCTGGTGGGGATGCTGGCACAGTTGGCTGATTGACAGAAACACTGAGACCGCCCATAAGGTCATGGAGAGGAGGGTATACAGGTGGGGAAGATGATAAATTCTCACCATCTTGGGGAGGTGGTGGTGGATACAGGGCTGGCTCTTGATACGAACCATAGCTGCCAAAGCTAGGGCGTGGCTCAAGTGTTGGTTGATGAGGAGGATAAGGGTTGGTGTAAGGGTAAGGCTGAGGAGGAGCAGGTTGGTATTGGTGATCATAATAATGAGGAGACGGTGGTGGACGGTGGCTGTAGTCTAATGGACCGGAATGTGACATTGAACCCTGGTGATGAGGCTGTGGTGGACGGTGGCTATAGTCCAATGGACCCGAGTGTGACATTGAGCCCTGGTGATGAGGCGGTGGCGGGTAAGGATAGTGTTGATAAGATTGGGGAGGGGGAGGACCGGGAGGTGGATATGGATCTGAATTGGGAGGAGTTCCTGGGTAATAAGGAGGGTATCGAGAATGCGAACCATGATTCTCCATCTCAATATCAACAGTTAACAAACACAGTTGATTCTGATTTCTGAGTCGATTCCTAAATCAAATGAGCCCTGGTGATGAGGCGGTGGCGGGTAAGGATAGTGTTGATAAGATTGGGGAGGGGGAGGACCGGGAGGTGGATATGGATCTGAATTGGGAGGAGTTCCTGGGTAATAAGGAGGGTATCGAGAATGCGAACCATGATTCTCCATCTCAATAACAATCAACAGTTAACAAACACAGTTGATTCTGATTTCTGAGTCGATTCCTAAATCAAACTAATAATGGTTTCAACGCAAGTCAACATAATGCTCCCAGGATTCACAAAACCTTTACGAATTTGAAGCGCTAATAACTCCAGATATCTTAGTGGATGGTTTTCTGATTCAACGAGGGGACTACTTACTACTTACACACAGATTGGAGCAGCTTATGAATATCTAAGGCGGAGTTACGCAGGTTGCCGGCGATCTAATCTTATTAGTCTCATTACGATTTTGTTTATTTTGTACCCTTTTTCTCTAGATTAATCGAAGATTTCATCATTTCGAATTCAGTTTGTATAATCCGACCTCATCTACAAAGTACAAAACCATGCATTCAAAGGGAATTTGGACATGCATTGCAAAACACATCAAAAGAAGGGGTTCATATACCAAAAATCTACACTAATGAAGCTCGAAACATGCTGATTTGAGTTTTTTTTGCTGTACATGGAACTTTTTGAAACCCATTGCATTTACCCAAGAAGAGAAGTAGATTCCTTGATCAACATTCTTCATCTCTACCAAACGATCACTCAAAAGGTGGAGTTGTCCCAGGTGGAACCCAGGGACGCACCGTGCTTCTGTATGATCTTAACCGACTCAAGAAGAACTTCTTGTTGTGTTGCGTAAAGCTCATCTTTCCCCTACAACCAATGAATGACCACACCATCTATGTAAATATATCGCTAACGAGACTAACTAAAGAGAGAAAAAGATGGTACCATGTAAATAAATCGCCAACTTCGCTAGTACTAGTACACATTCAAAAAAATGACAAGATTGTTAAAGAGACTAACTAAAGAGAGAAAAGTATGGTACCATGTATATGAGATTGCACCCAATGGTGAGTTCCGCGAATGATTTCTCCACTCGGGTTAAATAACAGTAAGGAGCTTCTTTCCCTAAGAACACTTTTGTGTTTGACCTCAACGTTTCCTTTATCTCACTTGTTATCTCAGGAATCTTATCCAAGTCATCGATCTGCAACGGGATCTTGGATGCTATGGATCGCCACTGAGCGCGTGACTTATTCACGATCACCTACAGCAATACAATGAACAAGATACTTATATGGCTGTGAGCATTCACTTAGTGTTGATGCTTTTGTGTGTGAAATTCTGAAAGCGAGAGTATAAGCTTCTGCAAATGCGAAATAGTTAGACTAACCTGACTGGAAAACAGAGAATTAGGTACCAAAACTGGAAACTTTTCAGCATTCAGCAAAGATGTTGTCGTAAGTCCCATCTCAACTACTTGACCTTCTACAGTGCCAGCCTGGATTGTTGAGACAAACAAAACATTATACCTAAAGCAAACTATAAGTGGGAATCGCCAATGGATTTGCTTGCTCTGGGAACTTAAAACAAATTGAGCAAGAAACAGGAAAGATTTTATATTTAACTAACTTTGATTGTATCTCCCATAGAGAAAGGCCTGGAGAATTGCATGGACAGACCACTCAGCACATTACCGAGGATGTCTCTGGCAGCAAAAGCAGTGGCCACTCCTGCACGCGCAGATCAACAATTGAGGAGTTATCAGCAAATCTTATGCAATCAGAAGACACATACAAAATGCTAGTAACCCTGGAAAATATAAGAATATATGCTTGTGGTGTCCTGTTTTCTGTTGAATCCTAACAGTTCTCATGATAGACTGAGCAAAAAACAAGTAATTTGAAATGGAGAAACAGTACACAGACCTCCGACTCCACCGACTGTCAAGATAGATCGAACAGCTACCCCACATGCTTCTGCGGAAGCCATCAAACCGATTGCAAAGAGACCAACAGATGATACCTTGTCCAATGTCAATATCTTGTCCCTATCTAGCCCACCAAAACTCTTAGTAGACAACATTCGGGTAATCACATTGGTCTTCCACCGATGTAGGAACCACACGAGTGATAGGATGACTGCTCCTCTCAATGCTGGGGAAAAGTATTGAGCTGCTACTGTTGTTGGAGCCACCATCACGGCACTGCAGCATATATCATTGTTAATCTTCTAAAACAAACTTTTCAGATAGAACATGTTACTCAGATGCATTGTTCAAGTTAAAACGACTCACACTTGTGCAAAAGCCATGAAGGTCAAGAAGTAACGTGTTGGGTCCTCTAAAGCACCCCAAAAGCTCTTCTCATATGGAACATCTTCGCTCGACAAGCCTACGGGAAGCAAAGCAGCCGAGCTTTGCATTGCATATCTGTGGAACCTCCTCAAAACCTTTGGCAGCACAACCCAAGAAAACAAAGCAGCAGTCATAGTGAGACTCACGGGACCAATCACTTCTTTAAGATAGGGATTCGAGTCCAGAAATTGCTCCACATGAGGAGTCAGCTCATTAGAGGCTTCGTTAGCCTTCCTTGCAGTTTCATTAACAGCATCTACACTAGTCTGCAAGACCTCCTTGGCTTTCTCAACCCAGTCAATGCCATTCCCATCGCCAGAGCCAGTAGCACCAGGGGATACGATATCAGGTTTGGTGCTGAAAGCTCGTGCATAAGATGAATGGCCTAACAAAGGGGTCGAGTAATTGAAAAGCTTAGCATTAGACATTCGCAAATTCGATGAGAAAGGGACAATCGAAGGGGAAGCTTTTGCTCCATCAAGAGGATATGCGCAGCCAATGGCCCGGACATGGGAGTTTAAGAGATTGAAAGAAGCATAAGGCTCCTTCTTCTTCTGGAAACCAGAAAACACCGGAGATGATTTCGCTGGTGGCTGCTTAGCATATTCAGCTAATCTCGAAAAATGTCTTCGTACGTGAGCTGAATGAGGTTTACAAGACGAGTTTGTTGATCGGTGAAGTGATTTGAGAAGCGACAACCTAACTCCGGCCATCGAGCACTCGATCTGCAGATTAACGAACAAATTTTCCATCATTATCTAACGACAAATTAAACTTCTCAGTAATGTGAACATTCAGAATCTGAAGACGTCAAATTAGAGTGAATATCATCCGATTCTTCACATGATAATCTGAATACCAACTCAAAAACTACTTGGTGGAATTTCTTCGAGAATGGCAGAGAAGACGAAGACCAAATTGAAGTCAATGGGTTTAACGATTTCAAAAAGAGAATTCGAAGAGTTCTTATCTCTTACCTGAAAAGAGGACTTGATTGATGATAGCTCTCAGCTTCTTTGGACTTTATGAATCACTCCAAAATTCTCGCCGGAGATAATGATTCCTTGCTCCTTATTTGCTTGGCAAAGAGGGAAATAGAAGAACAAGTAGAGAAACGGGAAAGCGGTCACACCTTCTTTCGGTATGAATTGATCTTGTACCGTTCGATTTGGCTATCAAAGTTTTTCATCTGACGGCTATAATGTCATGGTGCTTTCAATCGAGATTAGGTCAAACAGTTTCTAGTTCCCGCTTAGGACTACGTGACGTTTATTTTGACACTGACCGGTCAAGCGTTTCTACAGTGGAACATGTAAACGTCACGATGTTTTTGGCCATCCTAATTAAAACTTTTTCCGGTCCGATTCCTTAGTTGACTTAATTTGGTATTGTATTATGGTATATAATCACAGTTTTCAATTACTTTGGGAAATGATTATATTTCCAGTATATTGACAAAAATTATTCTTTTCTTTACTGATTTACTTAACAAACACCAAAAATAGAAGACTATTACATAGCTATAAACATTTGTAGATTCATCCAGATTATGCCATAACTTTGAAATCTAATTCTTCTAATGAGAGCTTTCTTAGATTCACTGTTGTATTTTTCCCAAAATAGCAATGACCCGATTATGCCATCCAGACAAAATTTACCTTTTTCATAGGATAAATTATTAATTTTAATATAAATAAAATGAGTTTGACCATAAAATAAAAAGCGAAAATATACACGCTCTTACACAAAAAAAATCGAAATTGGTTTCATTTCTCCAGTTTTTTTAGAAAACCTTGAATCTCACAAACACACTGCCATACAACAAAAACGGTGTAGCTTTCGTACTTCTTCTCCGCTGGGGACAAAGCCCTAAATCTAATCTGTGTGTTCATCATTCAGCGATGGGAGAAAACAATCACAAAGACCAAAAGCCAATTTCGTATGAGAAATCCAATAAACCCATTTTTTCGTCTTATGCTTCTTCTTCTTCTTCTTCGCCATGCTCGTTTACGGCGATCATCATCATCCTGATCTTCCTCTCCTATTTCTTATACTCATTCAGTTTCATATCATTTTTAAACCCGTATTCTCCTTCTAGAATCCCCAATTCTCTCCTCGTACCCGTCATCCGACTCGGGTCGGGTCAGAGACCGGAGGAGAAAACAGAGCTTAAGCACGTAGTATTCGGAATCGCCGCGTCCTCTGATCTGTGGAGGCATCGGAAACAATACGTGAAAACATGGTGGAGACCAAACGGAGAGATGAAAGGCGCCGTTTGGCTCGACGTGTCCGTCAACGATTCCGTTTCTTCACCTTCCTCTCCCTTGCCTCAGATCAAAATATCCTCCGACACGTCGAGTTTCAAGTACCGTCACCGCAACGGTCACAGATCAGCGATCAGGATCACCAGAATCGTGTCGGAGACGGTGAGGATGCTGAACGGAACTGAATCTGAGAAAGACGTGAGGTGGGTGGTTATGTGTGACGACGACACTGTGTTTTTCCCGGATAATCTGATCAGGATTTTGAGAAAGTACGATCACAAACAGTTCTATTACATCGGAGCTCCGTCGGAGAGTCATTTGCAGAATCTGCATCAGTTTTCGTACGGAATGGCGTACGGAGGAGGTGGCTTCGCGATAAGCTATCCGTTGGCGAAGGTCCTGGAGAAGATGCAAGATCGGTGCATCGAGAGATACTCCGATCTGTACGGATCCGATGACCGGATTCATGCTTGTATGGCGGAGCTCGGTGTTCCTCTCACTCGTGAAAATGGTTTTCATCAGGTTTGTTTTCTTTTCTTTTTTTTTATTGCTGTCTTTTTATTATTTTTTTATGTTTGGAATTTTACTTTTACCCAATAAAATCAGGTAAAAAAGGTGTAATGGTAAAAGTTGAAAAACAATCAAGTAAAATATAAATTCCATGTTCGATATTCAAATGTTTTATTGTTGGCTAACCAAGATTTGATATTGTTTTGTCAAAAATAAGATTTTTAGATATTTTTATAAAAAATATTTGATATATCTAAGTTCTAATAACAATGATTATATATATGAAAATCGATGATTAAAGTTTTTAGTTTGATTATTTTGAACAGTTTGATGTATACGGGAATCTCTTGGGTCTATTATCGGTCCATCCACAGACGCCAATAGTCTCAATGCATCACCTAGACGTAGTCGAGCCTATATTCCCAAAAACGGACCGTGTCAGTGCCATTAAGAGACTCATGATCCCAGCAAAACTCGATTCAGCTAGCCTTTTCCAACAGTCGATATGTTACGACACAAGCCGACAATGGACAATGTCTATCGCGTGGGGATACACGGTCCATATCACACGCACGTACATGCCAGCAAGGATGATGGAAATGCCCACTCGCACTTTCAACGACTGGCACAAACGTCGTGACTTCACCAATCTTGCTTTCAACACACGTCCCATAACTTACACCGATTGTCAACGTCCACGTGTGTTTTATTTGTCTCGTGTGCTCAACGATTCTTCTTCGGACATGACGCTTAGCGAGTATTTGAGGCACAACGAGTGGAATCCTAAATGCAACTGGGGAATCCAAGACCCTTCTGATATTAATCGGATTTTCGTCTACAAAAAGCCTAACCCGGATAGGTGGAATAAGGTACTTTTTTCAATTTTCTAAGTTTTCTACGTATATACTAGGATTTATCGTCAAGTGTTAACAACAATGTCAATGTTTATTTAGGCTCCAAGGAGAGATTGTTGTAGAGTAGTGCCTACAACGAAGAAGGGAACTATGGTGATCAATGTCGCACCTTGTGCAAATGATGAAATTGTTGCCTATTCTGATAAATAGCTTCTTTTTCTATTCAAGTTTACATGGCTTATAAAGAGAACTTGTGTTTTCTTATAAGAAATCCGTAACAAAAAGAACTTGTTTGTTTACTGTAGTCACATTTTTATACTTAGAGAAATAAAATAAAAATATAGAAAATTACATTTTTTCCCCAAAATATAGGTTTGGTTGGATCTAAATATGATTAGTAATTAAGTTTGGGCCTTAAAACATAATCGGCCCATTAGACGCACGAATGATTTAGACAGGAACAAAACAGCTGGAAAGACGCGTTGACTTGGTCTCTAGTAACTCGCCGAATTTCTCTTTCTAAATTTAATTTTACAATTTCTTCTTGTCTGATCGAAATCGACTGAAAATTGTGCAATCTTTCGGCTACAATGGCGATTCTGTACACAAGGATCGGATTCCTTCTCTTTGCCTTCCTCGTATCTTCTTCAATCTCCGTCTCTGTATCTCTCACCTTCTCTCCCGCCGACGAGTCCCTCATAAACTGTGGCTCCGACGTTGACTCCACTGTCGACAACCGCGTCTTCGTCTCCGACGCATCATCAGCATCCAACGTGAAGCTCTTCTCACCGGAAGGATCAATCGCTCTCCAAGGAGAATATCTATCTCTGAATGTTCCTCAGATCTACCGGACCGCCAGGATATTCGCGCGACAGGCGAAATACGAGCTCAAAGTCGGCGAGAAAGGGACTCATATGGTACGTCTCCATTTCAATCGCCTCAATTCCTCTAAAATCAATCTCAGCGACGACGCTGAATTCCACGTTACCGTCAACGGACACGTCGTGCTTAGGAATTTTAGAGGCGGTTACGACGAGTCTAGGGTTAGAGAATTCCTGATTTGGGTCGATGCCGGAGAGGTCGTAATCAGGTTGATTCCTAGTAGAGACTCGAAATTAGCATTCGTCAACGCCATCGAAGTGATATCTGCGCCGAAGGATTTGATCGCTGACACTGCAACCTCTGTATCTCGTGATGGAACTGGGAAACTCAATGGCTTAGCAAAACAAGCCATGGAAGTGGTTTACAGAATCAATGTTGGTGGAAGAAAAGTGACTCCTTTCAATGACACATTGTGGAGAACTTGGGTTACCGACGATGAATACTTGAAAGCCGGTCATGCCTCTGAGAAAGCTTACTTCACCGGTAGGATCAAGTACAGGCCCGGAGGTGCGAGCCGGGAAGTTGGTCCTGATAACGTCTACAACACCGCCCGTGTGGCTAGGAGAAGCAGCGGTGTGGTTCCTGAGGTGGATATGAGCTGGGATTTCCCGGTTAGCGCCGATTACAAACATCTAATCCGGATGCATTTCTGTGACATAGCGAGCAAATCACTCGGTTTGCTATATTTCAACATTTACATCAACGGGTACTTGGCCTATGGAGATTTCGATATCTCGTACGCTGCGGATAATGTCCTTGCTTCCCCTTATTACATTGATTTCGTGGTCGATGCTACTGTTGATTCAAGATCATCGATTACCCTAAGTGTTGGACCATCAAACATGACTAGTGTTGGTGAAGGCGGGCTTGATGCGATCTTGAACGGTGTTGAGATCATGAAGATGAGTAACTCGTTGGGCAGTCTCGATGGGTTTGTTTCAGCTGATACGATTCTGACTTCTTGCCCAAACAGAAGAAACCTGAGCATATTTATCGCGATGATGGCGTTTATGTGTATATTTATGAGCTTTTACATTGCGACTCAAAGGAAGAAAGTTAGGGATGACTATGGCTGGACCAAGCTATCCATGGATGTTCGTGAAGATAATCCAAAGTCCGGGCATCAATTTGCGTCAAGACTGCCTTGAAATTGATGATCATGGCTTTTTGCTTGTTGCGTATATTAACAAACTTTTTTCCTCGAGTGTTTTCTGATACGATGAAATAATCTTTTTCTTTTCTTTTTAGGTTTGTAATGTTTCACAAGGGTGCCTATGTGTTGTACTGTGTTTTTGTTTATGTATATTTATTCGATGATCTATGGAGAGACTCGATATGTATAATTCACGAAATGGAAAATGTTTTTCTCTTCTGCTCTTTTTTGCCTACGAACTTGGTCATTTGGACAACATGTTTAAAAGTCAATGCCTTCAAACATTATACTATTAAGAAGAAAAAAACAATTCTCAGAATTACCATAAATAGGATTTATTATGAACAAATTAATCAATCTATATGTAGAGAGAGGGTCAAAACTCAAAAGCCACGGTGATGTCATGTCCTCCTGACGATAAGCAAAAAGAAGAATGGTACGGGCCGTACGGTGTATCATACTCATATGTTACCGTACCGCATGACCACCACCTCCGAATCTAACAAATTATTACGTTAATATATTTTTTTATATACTATCAACATGTCATTAGACTTTCTTCCAAAACATGTCACAACACGAAATCAGAAACTATACTAAATTATATGATATTGATAATTATTTCTCAAATAGCGTCTGAGCAATAAAGGTTGCATGGTCCTTGGCCTCTTCCCCAAAGTCAATTAATAACATCTTTTACCATGTTCTTTTAATCCCTCTAGTTGATCAATATTAATACATTTTTACGTCATATCCATGGAGAGAGTCACATGCCTGAACCATGCACTAGAAAATAATTAATTACATTCCGTACTTGTCACTCCATTACAACACAATCTCTTATATATACACTTCTTTCTCCTCTCATTCTTCACAACAACATTCGATCAAGATCAACTAGAAATTAAGAGAGAAGAAGATATGGACAAGAGTGAAAGAGTCTCGGCTACAAAGCCATCGTCGGGAGACGAGTTCAAGGATGTGATTAAGGGTTTGATTAAGCTCTTAATGCTGGTGATTTTCTTAGGAATCATCTTTATTTGGATCCTCATGCCAACCTTAATCTATCGAACCAAGTGGTTACCTGTCATGCGTACTGAGTTTGGTACATCTACCTTTCTCGGTGCCACAGGTTTGTCTACATATCTCAATTAAATGTTCCCCTTCCATTTCGTATATTTATTTCTTTAAGTTACAGAAATCAATTTAATTTAACAATTTAGTAATTTCAATTGTTTCTGTTTGGATGGCGTGCAGGCTTGACCTTTTTCATGTTCATGTTCCCTATGGTTCTCATGGCTTGTTTGGGATGTCTCTACCTTCACTTGAAGAAACCAAAGATCACTAATCATCTCACTAGGTAAAGTTAATTGATTGATTATTAAGTAATTCAGAAAGCTATATGTATATTACATTTTCCGTGACACAACGATATGGTCTTAATCAACAGGGGTGAGGTAAGTGGAGGAGGCATGTTCGCAGCCATGAAAAGGCCAATGTTGGTCAAAGGACCACTGGGGATAGTCTCAGCGACTGAGTTAATATTCTTGGCAATGTTTGTGGCTCTTCTTCTTTGGAACTTCTTCATTTACTTGCGCAATGCTTTCCCCATGATCACACCTCAAATAGCCGCTAAACGTCACCAAAAAATGTAAGAAGTGATCTTTCACAAAGTATTACTCTATTTCTATTCAAATTAAACACATGCATGCATGTTTATGTCAATAATATACAGATTTTTCAACATTATTTGCATACAAATAGGTGGCAAGCGATGTTGGAGGGAATGGCAATAAGGATCGGGCTAGTGGGTAACGTATGTCTAGCTTTCCTGTTCATACCGGTGGTGCGTGGGTCATCATTGCTTCCGGTTTTAGGGTTGACGTCAGAGTCAAGCATCAAGTACCATATCTGGCTTGGCCACTTACTCATGCCCATATTCACCGTTCATGGCCTTTGTTTCATTATCTACTGGGCCTCAATGCACGAAATCTCTCAGATGGTGACTTGGTCTAAGACCGAGATGTCCAATGTTGCCGGAGAGTTAACTTTGCTGTCTGGACTTGTCATGTGGGCCACCACATATCCCTCGTTTAGGAGGAAATTCTTTGAAATTTTCTTCTATACTCACTACCTTTACATCGTCTTCATGTTCTTCTACGTCCTCCATGTAGGCATTGCCTTCTGCTTTATAATCTTCCCCGGTTTCTATATGTTTATGGTCGATCGTTTCTTGAGGTTTCTACAATCACGTGACAATGTCCGCTTGTCATCTGCACGTGTTCTTCCTTCCAACACTGTCGAGCTCAATTTCTCCAAAGCCAAAGGTAATTAAGTCTTGATCAAATAAATTTTACATGTAATATTTCAAGATTATGCTTGGATCGGATTTAAGGGTTTTTGGTACACCATACTATATATCTCTCTTAACATATACAAGTGTGATGTTACAGGATTGATGTATAATCCAACGAGCATATTGTTCGTGAACATTCCAAGCATCTCAAAGCTGCAATGGCATCCATTTACGATTACTTCGAGCAGTAAACTCGAAGCAGAGAATTTAAGCATTGTGATCAAGAGCGAAGGGAAATGGTCGACCAAGCTTTACCAGATGCTTTCTTCTTCGGATTATACCGACCGTGCTCTCTCTGTTTCGGTCGAAGGACCATATGGTCCTTCATCTACTGATTTCCTAAGGTAATACAATCGGTTGTTCCAATATTATCAGTTTTAAGCTATACTGTATCTATCTTTCTTGTGGTTCAAGAAGCAGAGTGTGCTAGGGCTAGATTTTCTTGCTGCACAAGCAATCTTGATAAGCCTTTTTTTTGTCTTCCTTGCTTCCAGGCACGATTCTTTGGTTATGGTAAGCGGAGGCAGCGGAATTACTCCATTCATCTCCATTATCCGCGACCTAATCGCCATGGCCCAAACCAAGTTATGTGAAATCCCCAAAATAACCCTGATTTGCGCGTTCAAGAATGCGTCTGACATCTCCATGCTTGACCTTATCCTCCCTACATCGGGTCTAGAATTATCATCTGACCTGAATATCCAAATCGAAGCATTCGTCACAAAAGACAAAGAACCAAGAAACGAAGAAACGCAGAAGATCAGAACCCTCTCGTTCAAGCCAAGCCCCTCAGACCAACCAATCTCAGCGATCCTAGGACCAAACTCATGGCTCTGGCTTGCCGCCATCCTCTCATCTTCCCTCATCATTTTCTTGATTGTCGTCGGAGTCATGACAGAATACTACATTTACCCGATCGATCAAAACAAGAACATGTACAATGCTGCTTCAAGATCCCTCCTTTGCCTTTTGGTCCTCTGTGTGAGCATCATGATGACGTCAAGTGCAGCAGTGTTGTTGAATAAGAAGAAGTACAATGTTGAGAGCAGCAAACAGGTCCAAAACGTCGACGTACCGAGTCCAACATCTTCTCCTAGCTCATTTGCTGACAGAGAAATTGAGAGTACTCCTCAAGAGTCACTTGTTCAATGCACTAACCTCCATTACGGTGAAAGACCAGACCTCAAGAGTAAGTTTATATAAATTAAATACTCAAAATTTACCACAGACAGACCCATTAATTTGTTTTTGACATGTGTTATGTGTGTGTGAGAACAGAGTATCTACTTGAGACCAAAGGTTCGAGCGTGGGAGTTATGGTGTGTGGTCCGAAGAAGATGAGACAAGAAGTGGCGAGAATTTGTTCTTCTGGTTTGGCAGAGAATCTTCACTTTGAATCTATCAGTTTCAGCTGGTGATTGCGCTTTTACAAATATATATGCATAAACTATCTTCGTGTGATTATTTTTGTGTGATTGTTTTGTGTGGACTTCTCTGTTTTTTCTAATGAGTAACCATTTTATTTCTCTATGTAACGATTTGGTCAAAGTCGAGGCGTGGAATTTCAGTATTGTATTATGTGAATTCTGAAATGAATGATTTGTTTTCTATCTCCACTATTTATACATGATGAACTATAATAATTAGTGGGCATTTTATTTTAATATTTAATTTAAAAGAAAAGGTTTTACGCCACTAAGAATGAGTCAATAGATTATATACCTTGCAGTAAACTAAAAAAAACAAAAAAAACAAAAAAAAATTGAATAAAGCAATGAGCTAAGATTTTAAATGTGATTTAGCCATCTAGATAGAAAATAAATGTGATGTCCCTATTTTAATAAATGTGATGTCCCTATTTAAATTATTTATATACTTTGCTTTTGCTTGTAACCAAGGCATGTTATTCAACTATGTCAAGTGTGAACTTCTCTTTGTTTTTACTTTTTCTTTAATTTTCGTCATTCTTGTCCGTCACCAACCAATCATACACCTTTTATCTTCTATGATTGGTTGGTTTCCAACACAGTCAGTAGTTTTATCTCCATCACAACCAGTTGCTTTATCTCTTTTTACGTCTCACGTTTCAATCGTTTCTTCTCTAAATCCCGCCCTCGACATCCACGCTAACACCGAATTGTAATATACAAATGATATAAATAGCCATTTCTCTATATGCTCTCAAAATCTTTCTTTCTTTCTTTCTCCAAATTTGATCGGAGAAAGATTTTTTGAACTCTTAAATTTCTTATTCTCAAATCTTGAAAAAGGAATCATGGGCTTCTCTTACGGTAGCACCGGAGTTATCATCGTCGGAGTTATTCTAAATGATTTTGTGAAAGCGGTTTCTTCTATTCTTGATCCAGCTCGTTTATTTGGTGTTTATTCGTCGGAATCTAGTATCGCCGGCAAAAACAAGATTCCGATGGATGATATGCTCCCGGCAACAAAATTCGAGGAGATGTCACGGGTCAATCCGCCGGAGAGCTGCCGGATATGTCAAGATGAGTTCGACGGCGATGATGAAGTCCGGTGTTTGAGGAATTGCGTACATGTTTTTCACAAAACGTGTATTGACCGTTGGATCCATGACGTTAAGATGACTTGTCCTTTGTGTAGGACCCCTATTATCCCTGATTTCTATTTTTTTCGTTTGTAAATAACCAAATGCTGCTGTTGCATTAATCAAAAATCTTTTCCTTTTTTTCGAAGAAATAGTAATCGTCAAAAAAGTAATAAAAACAATAATTTTTGTCACACTTTTTTTGTCTATATTTGTAGCTCCTTTGCATCCTCTTATTTATAAACCATCCAAAAACAATCGGATATACAACCAAAACATATTTTTTGTATGTGGTAAGTAGAAAATTCGATTCATTTTTTGGCTTTGATATTTACGGACTGAGACATTTCGTACTCTCTAGTTTTTGAATCTTGATTACATAACAAGACGAAGGTTGGCAGAACGATGCACGAGATAAACAGCATTTTACACGTGTCACTTTCACTGAATTAATACAGTTGGACAATATCGCATACGGTGTATTCAATTATTCATCTACTATAAACAATTTTTTGTGTGCATAGAGTAGACTGTAGAGGTCCATTTCGATATTAATATCACCAATAAATTATATTTCATTTTAAGTCGTGACTGATAGTTAATTTTCACCATTTTTTTAAAGAATACTAAAAAGCTTTGGACCGAAGTTAGTACATTGCTCCAACCCTGAAATCAAAAAAATCTTACATGGTTACGTTTCAAATGTCACTTGATCCTAAGATTTTAAAATTTGATTTTTTGTATGTTTTAACTTACGACACTTTGGTATAAAGTATAAAACCTTCACTTGAATAGTAAAGAGATCGGAAATAGGGTTTGTACACCTACTTCAAATAGTAAACCAAAGAAAAACTACTATATTTTGTGTTTATGTGGAACCAGCCCTCATATTTTAAAGGCCACAACCCACAAGCCCAAAAAAATTGGACTATTGAATACTAAAGCAACTTATGAGGAGAACTTACCACTAGACTAACAGAATAACAAATGTTTTCACTAAAATAAAGGCCATCAAAGAATATATGTCAATATCGGGATGGTAAGCCCAAATTTGTTTTGCTTAAGCTCTGCATTTTGTCTACGAGTCATAGTTTGTAATATGATGTTGTTGTTGTGTTACTGAATTTACATGTCCATATAATTTTTGGCAAATGTATGTGAAATTTATTCACACTCCTAGCAAATTCAAATCCGACATAACATATAGTAGAGAGAAAGTAGGAAAGAAAATTATTAAAGGATTCGGAGTTGGCCAAGGAGGCAACAACCATCGCAACTCCCATCCTGTGTATAGTGGCCGGCTTTGATTGATTCCCTTTGGCTTTGGCTTGGAAGATTAAACGGAACTCAAAGTGAACCATTGTAGCCTCATACGATCGAACATCTCCGTCCATCCCAAAGTGGGCCTCACGTGTTCGCCACTCTCTTGCCTGTCACGCGTGTCTCTCACTCTCCACATCTTTGTCCCCTTAATCACGATCGTAGTAGGCTTAATGGTTTATAATTTTACCTTAAGTTAATTAATAGTTACCTTACCTACCATGTGCATGCTTAGTCAAACACACCCTCACGTGACTCATCACGTGATATAACATACATGACTCTCATGTCAGAGAGTTCATAGATCCTTTAGGTTATTAACATTGTTGTGCGTATATGATTTGAACACATTGATGTCATTGCCAAATTTGTTTACATTGATAGGATTTTAATTTCTTACATTTTACATTTATGCCGTTGACAAAAAAGAAAAGAGAGGGATATATTCAAACGACTGTATGTTGTTTTGACCAAAAGGAAAAGGGAATTAATTAGATGTTACGGTGGGTCTTACCGCAGGCGATTCCTCCCCCTTCGTAACTTAAATTTGGTAAAATTTAGCGGTAGCTTTTTCTTTTGTAATTTTTCTTACACAACAAGAGGGTATAATAGGTAATTAAAGTATAACCTACGGGTCATTTTGTCCAATGACATAAATCAAATGGAAATACAAATATGAAGGGCCGAGAAAAGCAAACAAAAAAAGTTTAATTAAAAAAAATTAAGAAAGAGAACCCTCCTATCGAGTTCTGTGAGATCTGCTCCAGAAAAAAAAAAAAATTGGGAAGAAGAGGTGAATCAGAGTTATATGCTTACGTGGTTGACATATATATCTATAGGTATCGAGTGTGTGTGTATATATATGTGTGTGCATCGTGTAATAACTTGTTGGCTTCTGTGTTTTTGGTTTTTAGGGGTAAAATGAGGATTCGGAAGAACACGGAGCTCTCATCGATACTTTTAGCGACTGCAGGCATCGGCGGAGAAAAACTGGAGACATATGTCTGTCACCTTAACCAGTCTCCGTGGGATGTGACGATTCCCGTGGCTTTCTCCGGCGACCGGGTTGGTGCCGCCGAGTTCAGTAACCTGCCCGACTCGTCGTGGTTCGTCCCTTCCCCAACGTCTTCTCCTCCGCCTCTCATTCATCAGGTAATTCAATTAATGACAATACGTGATTTCATTTCGATTTCGTTTTCACCAATGCTCGGCATTTCGTCTCTGCCTGTTATTAGGGTTTTGTTTATTTTCGTCTTATTTTTGCTGTTTGGGAAACTCCAAAGAACCCTAAAATTCTGGATTTTGGGATCCTGGGTGTTTTAGTTAATCGATTAGGGTTAATGGGTCGTCGTTATTTGGCTTCATTGAATTACATTTCGGTCTCTGGCCCCGATTATTCTTTTCTTCTTATGACCAAGTGTCTCCGCTTCTGGTTGAACTCAGTTGGACAAAGAAGACAGCTCCGATGGGAATGAGAGCTTGGGCAATTCTAATGGAGCTGCTCAGAGGTAATAATCCGTTTTATTCTCACTCGAATCTGCTCCCAATTATCCACTATTGTCTGCTTCCTTCGTTGCTTCTTCGTTTTAGGGTTTTGGTCGTATTCCTCGTTTTTAATTATCGGGTCATTTGATTTCGCCCGAATCGGAATCGGATTCCAAATGCGGGCCGACCCGGTTACAATTTCGACCTTTTTCTTTTCTTTTTGTTTGTTTTAATTTTTCGTTCTATCGTCGTCCAGGTTAAATTGCTCCATGGAAAACAATCACAGCGTCGAGACACTTAATCTCCTTGCGGCGATGGACGATTACGAGAGATCGCCTGACGTTGAAGATCCAATGGATCGGAGCGATGACAGCGACAAGAAATCCGAATCCGTCGAGCCTAATTCGCCGGTAAAAACCTCCGGCGACGAGGAACAAGTGGCTGTTTCGGTGCCTGCGCCGCCCAAACGCGGGCGGCCACGTGGTAGTGGCAAGAAAGCTCAAGCACACACCGCGACGAATAATCCTTACGAGTTTTACTATTACTCTGGTTTCGGGCCACGGTGGGGGAGAAAAAGAGGCGGCAACGGCGACGAGGAGATGGTTAACCTCAAGAGCTGCGAGAATAATATGATTATGAGCCAGAAGAGTAGTAGTAGTAGTAATGGTGGTGAAGAGAGTGATAAAACGGCGGCGTTTGGAGATGGGAGTAATAGTTTTGATGGGTTTGATTATATGGAAGAGGATTTCGAGGTGGTGGACCAAGACAGTGATCATGCGACTGAGAAGAAGAAGAAGAAGAAGAAAAACGATACGGTGATGAAGAAGAGAGGTCGGAAACCCGTAAAGGAAAGGTCTTTGAAGTCCCTCATGTGAAATATTTTATGTTTTTGAGGGTTTTTCTGTCTTTTTGTACCTCATTTCTTTCTTTTTTTATTGTCTGTTTTCTGCTGTCTGTGGGAGATTTGGTTTGTTAACATTTGTAGCAAGACCTTCAGTTTTTTTTTTTGTATTTCGTTAGGAGTTTTTTTTAATTATACATCTTTTGGAAAAAAACATCATCAATTAGAAAAAAAAACTTTCTAATTTTAAATTCTTTATAAATATAAAGAAATGAATAAAAATAACTTTTGATCTACATTTTTCTTATCATTGTGGGCCTTGTATGCTTTCATTTTGTTGTTTTTCTATTTTTGTTGATTTTGGTTATCAACAAGAAAACCAATTTTAGAAGTTTTACAAATATATTATGAAAAAAATCAATATAAAGATTTTAAAAATCTTTGTAATTTAAAAATATTATTATATATTGAACTATAAATATATTTAAGGAAAACACTACATGGTAATATTATAAGGATAAGAATAAATTGAGATGGAAATACGTCATACAGTTAAGATATTCATAAAATGGTTTTGACTTAAAATGACTCACAATAATCATAAAACATTGATTTGAACATTTAGAAACATATTCGAAAGATATCGTCAACAAAAAAACTTATTGATTTTGTTAATAATTTATTCGTACAAAAGTTTTTGACCAAAGAATAAGTAAGTTAATTTATTTTTATTTCTCGTGTTTAACATGAAAGGAAAATCTAGTCAAAAGATAAAATTAAGCCAATAACTCATTGTAATATGATTATTTTTGACATCATTGTAATATGATTAATAAATTAATTTTCAATATATTTTTTGCCGAATGAGTTTTTACCAAATTTATTTGTGGAAATTAACTTTGAGTAAATTATGCTAATGCTAAAATCCTGATTCAATGAAAGCAATTGGAAGAAAAATACACTTAAAAAAACATTAAAAGTAACTCAAATAAAAAATGAAAATGTAAAATTCTGTTAATATAAATAGATTATCTCTCAATAATTTATTCATAATAATTTTTTTAAAAATGTAAAATAACTTTAGTATACACATATATATTAAATGTTTAATAGATTTTTTCGTCATAAATTTTGACAATTTTGTTTGAAACAATTTTGAATTTGATTTGTAGTAAAATATAAGTTTTAGATAAAGTAGGTTACAAAAATACTTTGTTCAGAATTAAACCGACAATTTCATTTGACCAAAACATTTCTCAACCGCGAGATTTGAAGCAAAGGATCTAATACTTTTTTATAGAGTATATATTTAGTGTTTATATAATTTTACTGACTAGTTTTCTGACCAATTGTTCGAAATAAAACATTTTATCCCAATTTTGATCTCAGCTTTTTAATCAGATGACGTGAGAGTTTGAGTATCTCGAAATAGTACAATAACAGCTTGTGTTAAGACTTAAGACAACGACAGATGCTTATACCTTATGCGCTATTTACGGAAACTTACTAGTTAATGTGCACTGGAGGAAATATTTGTACATTTTTAAACTTATGATTTTCTTTTTGTTGGGTTGTTGACCTGAAAATGTTATTTTTTAGCGGATCACCTTTTTTAATTGTCAACAGTGAATCATTTATCTATAGTAACGTCAATGGTAATATCACAACTTTTTAATAATACGATTACTTTCCAAAATGGCACTTTTAAAATTTCTATTCCAATAATAGTCTTATAAATTTTTATTTCCAATAATAAGACAAAATTAACATCGAATGATTCAGCAAAGTGATTTTTATATCATGATGTAGTAATTTATTTAAGGTAAACAAGTGATTTTACAAAACAACTTATGCTACTTTTGGAATTTTAAAATCTAGTATACGAGATTTGGAACAAAACCATTATTGTGCTATTTTAGGATAGTTTTCTTAATATAGTAACACACAGGACTAGCAAGTATTAGTAGGTTTCAAGAGAGAAAACAAATCATCATTCGGATAAGAATCATGGTGTGGGACAAATTGAAATCAATAGGTGAAAACAAATACTATAAGAGAGTTTATATATGGGAAACCAAAGTGAAGGCGTAGAGTAGAGATACAATATCAAAGTCAAAGACTTGTGTGGAGCAGCTCTCTGTAATCTTTACGGATTCCCCAAAGAATCTCACTGCATTTTTTCATGGTTGGTCTCGAACCTCTAGTAGGAGCTAGACACTGAAACGCCATCTCCAACACCTTCTCTAGTGCTAAGTTGTTCGCTGGACTTCTTTGGAGCTTGGGGTCCAATACCGATATCGTATCTCCACTTGTGAACTTCTTGATCCCCTGATCGAACCAAAACCGTGTAAAGGAATCAGACACGTACTAAGAGAATGAAGAATCTAAGCTAAATATATAGGATGTACCCATCTGATGGTGATGCGCTCTTTTTGTTCCCTGTGGAGCTCAATGGGACGGCGACCAGTGAGAAGCTCGACGAGCAAGACACCGAAGGAGTAAACGTCGCTTTTGTCAGTGAGTTGATACGTTGTCAAGTACTCAGGGTCTAAGTAACCCGCGGTTCCTTTGACTTGTGTGGAGACATGTGTGGCTCCAGACTCTGAATCTGGAGCCAATCTTGCAAAACCGAAATCTGCAACCTTGGCTCTGAAATTCTCAGTTAAGAGAATGTTTGAAGATTTGATGTCTCTGTGGATGAGAGGTGGCTCTATAAACATGAGTCAAAGAATAAGTATCATTAATTGCCATGGAAGAAACAAAACAAGAGAAGAATGATTAGGTTTTTTTATGATGAGACTTACGTGTATACATGTGAAGATAGGTTATGGCATGAGCTATATCGGTGGCGATATCTAGCCGAGTAGCCATGTCGAGAATCTTCCCTTCCTTACCTAGAATTAACAGATTCCGTTCAAGAACACTGATTGATTTTGCTTATTTTGAAAAAAAAAAAAAAAACAGAGAATAGAGTGAAATACTGACAGTCCAAGTGATCTCTGAGAGTTCCATTGGGTACATACTCGACAATGAGAAGCTTCTCGTCATTGTGAACCAAATAGCCATAATATCTGACCAAACTCAAATGTGTGACTTGAGACAATGTCTGAATCTCGCTCATAAACTCTGCACCTTGACGCTCGTCGTGTAAACTCTGCAATACACCTCAAATAAATACCCATCAATCTTGTAAGAAATAAGAATGGTGAGAGTTCTAAGTTGGTAAAAACAGGACAGGACATAGAACTCTCTAGAGACCTTTTTGGCACGTTTGATAGCAACGGTAGAGCCATCTCTAAGTTTGGCCTTGTAAACAGTCCCGAAACCTCCTTGTCCGATCCTGAATGATGGCGAGAAGTTCTTGGTGGCCTCGTTGATCTCATCGAATGTGAATCTTTGATTTTGATTCTCTGTTTCCTTTGCATTGTTATTCCCATAATGTCTCTGCACACTTCCTGTTGAGCTCCGTCTACTACGGACACTATGTTCTGTTTTAGTATACACCATTCATACAGAGAATCATGAATTATGTGTATGTCCTTTAAATCGAAGAATCTTCTGATCAAACGGTGAAATGACTAATGAGAAATCTACAAATTGAAATGTTTATTTCATATCTGATACTTATTTTACCGTTTGGAATTAAAAACCCAAGACTAGAATTCTCTAAACATGAGGATCAAAGCTGAAAAAAGGAGAAAGGGATCATCAGTACCTGAATCGTCGAAAGCCTTGGAGGAGACGGCGTCGGGAGGAGTGAAGCAGCTGATGAAGATACCGGAGATCCACCGAACGAAGGAGTTTGATTTGTCGGTGGTGGCGGCAGGTGAGAAACGATACTTGGGTGTACTAGTACTGTAAGAAGATGCGGTTCCGGGAGATGATCCGCCGCCGTAGCTATGTCTCCGACCAGAGGGCATCGGAAAGCCGATCGTCGGACGAGCAACAACAAATCTGTGAGGGAAGAGAGCGAGAAGAAGCAAGCAATTGCGGCCAAAATCTGTGAGGGAAGGAAGAGTCAGAGAGACTGACTTTTGATTTCAACTTTGATTAATTTTTTTTCATAATTATTGCCAAACGTTTCTGTGATTAACTAGTTTAAATCCGACAAGCTAGCTAATTAAATGCGGGGTTCATTGTTTAATTGATTTATTACACATAGTCTAGTATTTCAATATTTTGTAATAATGTCATCGCTTTTGTCATAACGTAAATTTGAATTGGATAATATGCATCTATCATTTTTTTGTTTTCTTTAAATGAAGAAAAGTGTTTGATTTATATTTTTAAATAATAAAATACCCAAAGATCTGTATTTCATTATTATCATTATTAATACATCTTTTTCAGATCGGTTAGACGATTTAAATGACCAACACCAAACTACTATTACTGCACATGGAAAATCAAATGTACGATTATTATGCCGCCACCCATTTCAAGCACTAGTCAGGGTCCATCTCCGTAAATGCCATAATCGAAATCATAATTATCAGTCGCATTTAAGTTGTGTTTGTTTTATTGCATTTCTTGTGTTTAGAACATTAACATACCACGAGAAGGTATGTATACAATTTTAGCAATTCCGTGGATTTCATTCTAGTGTCATAATTCCATCTGATTTAGACACCTACTTTATAACCGAAAATCGGCTTAGAGGAAAATAATGAAATGGTAAATTAAATAACTTCGATTATAAGCTAATCAATCAGTATATAGGTTAGGAAGGAATATTCATGGTAGTTGAAGGATGATGTTTGACCATACTATCCAAAGTCTCTGAGAGTGACAGAGATTTTGACAATTTTGTCACTCTTCATAATGGGCCTTAGACTAAATGTCTTTAACCCTATGATTCAAAAATAAAGCCCAGTTTATTAGCCCGTGTCTTTAACCGGTTATTTTTTCCGCAATTGCATATGTTAAGATATTTTGGTTAAATAAGGAGAGAATAATTTGGGAGAGTAATCAAGAGTCTTACCAGTATAATTCTAATTATGATGACGAGAAGGTAGCCGAAAAGCTCTGTCCAAACCCTCGCCTGAATTTCTTCTTCTCACTTTCCGCAATCGGAGAAGGACGAGACTGTCAAAATCTCAGGTTGAATTCGTTCTCCGTTTACGATTCCGTCTCGTTGTTTTTTTTTTTCCCATTCTCGTCTCTACCGCTTCTCCAATTGTTGTTTAGATTTGTGTTTTATGTTTATGTGGGGACTGAATCGAGTTTATGGCACTAGTAAGTCACGTTTCAGCGGCGTCGCCAGTTTTGAAATTTGAAGATGCTATGTTTAAACTTTAGTGATGGATTAAATGTGTGCAGGTGTGAGTGAATGATGCAAAGATTGATTGGTTGGTGAAAATGGGAGGTTGCTGCTGTTCTTCGAGGAAGTCTCATCTTGTTGGAACTCCTGTCTACTATTATGTCTGTATATTCCTTTTTCTCCAGCTTTTCAGTTTATACCTTAATCCATTTGCATTTGTGTTGCAACATTCTTTTGTATGCTTGACTGACAACAATCTCGCTTAGAGAGTTTGGTAGTAGACTGTTTGTGGTTGTGAGGAATGTGCATGTTTTCTCTGAAACATAAACAGTTTACATTATCTACAGCATAACAATTAAAAATGAATGAAAATTCTATTTACTAAAGATTATTTGCTACGCAGTGTCCACAGTCGTTTGAAGAGGTTGGGCCTTCAGGAGCTCGAGCTGGTGTGGGATCAGGATCAGCCTTCACCACAGGCCTCTTGGAGACATCTATACCGGACACCTTTTGCGCTCCTGCTCCTCTTCCTTACGATCTGCTTCTGGGGAGACCAGATGCCGAGTCTATCAAGGCAAGGATTAGTAGCGGAAGCAGTTTTCAGACATGTGAAGACGATCTCAAGGCATCTGACTGTAAACCTCAACCTAGCTCAGTGATTCTTTCGCCTAGGAAATCAGATTTCTTCTCTAAACAAAAAGGAGCTAAGAAATCGGCAGATGAAGAGGAAGACTCCTGTCCCATTTGCTTTGAAGGTAAGATTTCAAGACAAACAGCGCTTCCGTTTACTAGAGCGAGTAAAGTTTATTCACGTGCTTCGTATTATGCAGATTATGATGTTGAGAATCCTAGACTCAAGACCAAGTGCGACCATGATTTTCACCTTTCTTGTCTTTTGGAATGGATTGAAAGAAGCGATACTTGCCCTATTTGCGATAAGGTTTGTTTTCCTCTTGAACCTTATTTTGCAAATTGTTTGACTGTCACAAATCAAAATGTGATGCTAACAAAAAAATGCATTTCAGTTGCCAATTTAATCCTCCGTGTTATAAAAAGAAAGGAATAGATTTGGTCAGTCAGTGCTAAACTGTTGCCGAGAGCTTTGCGTGGAGAGTGATTAAAAAATCCTCAATTAATGTGATGCAGGAAGTTGTGTTTGATGACTGCTTGAAGTAGCTCATCACTGTCATCTGGTTTGCAAGTTTGAAGCTGCGCCTAGTTCCGGTTAGTCTACTACAAAATTTGCATACACATATCTCTTTTGTTCATCCCCACAGATAAGTGTGTTCGGTCTCTACAGTTTTCTTTTTGTTATGTTGAATGGTGTGGTTATGCTCTTGAATTGGTGCACTAGTCATATATGTAGGTATATACATACAATTGTAAATATCATCTGCTTTCTTTCTCTTCTTTCGTGTGTGATGGTATAAAAAAGAAGGTTAACATTTCAGTTTTTGATTGTTTGCATCTCCAAAGAAATTATGTGCACTTGCTTACCTATCTTAGCATATGATTGGTTAATGCCCTCATCCGGGCTGGAATCATAATTCTTTCTAGTGTTATTATCAAACAATTTATTAGGCGCTTTTAATTGTCACTTTTACTGTTGGTTAAAGAAAAAGAGAGTCGATTTGATGTGGATAGAGAGTAATTCCACAATGCAAGGAAGAAAAAATGAATATTCCAAAACAATTTGAACCACATGACTATTAGTAATAGTAATGTCGCGGGTACCTTCTTAGAAGAAAGAAATGATTCCGTGTAGCTTTTTGATTAACCTGTCGTCTGCACACTAATAAACCATTAATGAATTAAGGGATTGGATTAGATTAAGATTATTATTGGAAACAACAATTAAAACGGGCAGGAGTCGTAATAATACAAGGGAAAACGAGTTAGGAAAGGTCTTCTTTGGGTTTGACTTTTATAGACTTCTGTCTGCCACACCTCCCTTTTCTTTTCTTAAATTCCTCTTATACCCCTCCCTTTTTATATTTAGAAATCAGAACAAACACTTTTCAAACCTACAAAAGATTTGATTTACTCGAGTGTGTGTGAGTGTGACGGACATGACGGTGGGGTTGGCTTTTTAGGCTGATGATAAGAGGGTAATACAGTAAACTGGACAAAGGGCCTAAATAGTTCCAAAAACCATTTACAGTGATTTCACCTTTTTCAAGATCCATTTGTCCGCGAAATCGCAGGCTTTTACAGATTTATCTTCCTAAAATTCTATCCAGATTTTAAACGTATACTAATTGTTAAAGAGAGAGAGAGAGAGAGCTTCTTTTTGGAGCTTTCCCATGTCTATCAGTATCACCACCGAGAAAATATCAACAACCAGACACCTCCTTTAACCCCTTGAAAAGAAGAAGACGACCCAAATCCAAATGCCATGTACATATCTTCTCCGTCTTCTTCTTCCTCTCCTCTTCCTTGTTCCACTATCTTCCTCTGAAACTGTTGAAAACAAACTCATCATCAAAGGAAACCAAACGATTCTCAGCTCCAAAAGTGTTTTCGGGCTTGGTTTCTTCAGCCCCACCAATGGCGAATCATCTTCTTCCTCCGACTGGTATTTGGGAATCTGGTATGCTTCTATCCCCACCCCAACCTACGTCTGGGTCGCCAATCGCAACCGACCCGTTTCCGATCCACACTCCTCCACATTCGAGCTCACCTCCACCGGAAACTTAATCGTCAGAGACTCTCTTGCCGGCGTCGTTTGGCAGACCGACAACATAGACCCCGGAACCGATTTCCGGTTCTCGGATACCGGGAATCTGATTTTGATCGGAGACGACGGTTCTCCGGTTTGGCAGAGCTTCGATAATCCGTCTGACACGTGGCTTCCGGGGATGAATGTCACCGGTCAAACGGCTATGACTTCCTGGCGGACTCTATTCGACCCTTCGCCTGGGCCTTACTCGCTCAGGCTGAGTCCAACCTTCAACGAGTTCCAGCTTGTTTACAACGGCATCACACCCTACTGGTCCACCGGAAACTGGACCGGAGATGCCTTCGTCGGCGTTCCTGAGATGACCGTTCCCTACATCTACAGATTCCACTTCGTCAACCCGTACACTCCCACGGCGTCGTTTTGGTACATCGTCACACCGTCGGAGGCGGTGCCGGAGCCGCGGCTGACGCGGTTCGTGGTTGACTACAACGGCCAGCTTAAGCAGTACACGTGGGACCCGCAGACGCTGCACTGGAACATGTTCTGGCTACAGCCGGAGGATCCCTGCCGCGTTTACAATCTCTGCGGCCAATTAGGTTTCTGCAGCAGTGAGCCACTAAAGCCGCCATGCGCCTGCATCCGCGGTTTCCGGCCTAAGAACGCCGCCTCGTGGAGCTCTGCGGATTACAGCGACGGCTGCCACCGCGAATCTGGCGACTCCTGCGACACGAGAGATACGTTTGAGGCGGTGGGAGATCTGCGTTACGACGGCGATGTGGAGACGTCGCGGTTTCAGGTAAGCAAGAGCATTTGCACGAAAAGCTGCTTGGGAAACTGTTCTTGTGTTGCCTTTTATCACAACGAGAAATCGAATCTCTGCAAAATTCTACTGGAATCGCCGATTAATCTCAAGAATTCGAGCGCCTTGACCGGAATCACCAGCGATGTTCTGTATATCAGAGATCCGAGGAAACGGAATTCCAAGGGAAACATTTCTAAATACATAATTATACTGTGCAGCGTTGTTGGGTCGATCTCAATTCTGGGGTTGATTTTGTTTGTGCCATTGATTCTGTGGAAGAGGAGTCGAAAGAAGAAGAAAGCAAGGAAAGAAGACGAAGATGGGTTTGCTGTGTTGAATCTAAAAGTTTTCTCTTTCAAGGAGCTTCAAGCAGCTACCAATGGATTCTCGGAGAAGCTCGGCCACGGCGGTTTCGGAGCTGTTTTCAAAGGAACGTTACCTGATTCTTCTTCCACCTACGTGGCTGTGAAACGCCTAGAGAGACCCGGAAGCGGCGAGGGAGAGTTCCGGGCAGAGGTTTGCACCATTGGGAACATCCAACACGTCAATCTCGTTAGGCTTAGAGGCTTCTGCTCAGAGAATCTCCATAGACTTCTCGTCTACGACTACATGCCAAACGGATCATTGAGCTCATATATGTCGAGAACAAGCCCCAAGTTGCTAAGCTGGGAATCGCGTTTCAGGATCGCGTTAGGGACTGCGAAAGGGATCGCGTATTTGCACGAAGGGTGCAGGGACTGTATCATTCACTGTGATATCAAACCGGAGAACATTCTCTTGGACAGCGAGTACAACGCCAAAGTATCTGATTTCGGACTGGCTAAGCTCGTTGGCCGTGACTTCAGCCGGGTTCTCGCCACTATGAGAGGGACATGGGGCTACGTTGCTCCCGAGTGGATATCGGGTTTGCCCATCACGACCAAAGCTGATGTGTACAGCTTCGGAATGACATTGCTCGAGCTTATCGGTGGTCGGAGAAATGTCATTGTCGATGATAGCAATACACAGGGAGAGAAAGAGGAGAAGGCTAAAGAGACGGAACCTGAAAAATGGTATATAAACAAACAATTTCTTTTTCACTTTGGATCAATCAATTGTGATGGAAAGAAGCGTTTGATACAATGGAATCAATATTATTTCCTCTTTCAGGTTCTTTCCGCCATGGGCAGCGCGTGAAATCATACAAGGAAATGTGGACTCGGTGGTGGACCCTAGGCTCAACGGAGGATACAACATTGAAGAGGCAACGAGGATGGCAACGGTGGCGATATGGTGCATACAAGACAATGAAGAGATAAGGCCGGCGATGGGAACAGTTGTGAAGATGCTTGAAGGAGTTGTGGAAGTGACGGTTCCTCCACCACCTAAGTTGATACAAGCTCTCGTCTCGGGGGATTCATATCAAGGAGTGGATAATGGTTTGAGCGGCACAAGCTGTAGTGAAGGCCGTGGTTGTTCGGATCTCATTACTGGATTGTCTAGCCCTGCCTCACGGTCGTCTTTTGGTAGACCTAATTCTCCTTGATCAAAAATTTTAAGATGGTTCTTGTGTTCTTGGTCTTATATGTTTTGGTTTTGGGCTCTCTAAGAGGGTTCGACTAGTTTACACTGTATTTGTTGGTTGTATGAGATTGAAGCCTTAATATGTCATTTCCTATTATTTTAGGAAAAAGGGATGAGATTTAGTCAACAATGAACGATACATGATGGTGATAGATTTAATTTACTCGTTACTAATTAGATTTTGAGATATAATAATAACGCAAGACTCCTTGCATTTTATCAAAGTTCAGTGGATCCAGACAGACGTCAAGTCATGAATTAGTTACCTATTTACTGTTACTGTAATGTAAACTTTTGCTCTTTTACACCGCATTCGATTTTAAAGGACCCATTAACAGCTAATGCTCGACTTAATCGAGAGTTGATAGCAACTAGTATCCCACGTAACTAGTAATCTTAACTGTATTAAGGGTCACATAGTCACAATAAGTCTATAATGTCAATTTTATTTAGTGAAATATGAGATTCTCTCCACGGCTAACCTACATTATAGGCAAACCAGGAAAAAATTAGAAGAGGAAACAAAAAAAAAGTAAATCTCATATTCCATTTCAACTATTATCTTTTGCCTTTGTTGCTTCAATTCTAGTTTCCAATCCTCCCCCATCTAGGAATTTTGTTAAAAAAAAAAAACTGAAAATAATAAAAAATAGAAATTAAATAAAGACTAGTTTAACCGGAGAAAATGGATATTCCGGTTACGGAGGAGAGAAGATCCTCGTCCTTTGCCGGAAAGCCACCACACGCCATCGCCTTACCAGCTGATGACGCCATCAATAGTGGTCCATCTTCTCCGCTTCTCGTCAGAGTCTCCGTCTTCGAAACAGAGCATGAGACGACGAAGCTTCACCACGCGCCGTCTACTTTGCTCGGAAAACCCACCGTAGACGACGACTTTCCTCCGATTCAAAGCTTCGAAGATGCTAAGTATGTCTGTGTGGTAGAATCATCCAAGCTCTGGGTAATCGCTGCACCGATAGCCTTCAACATTCTTTGCAATTACGGAGTTAATTCCTTCACAAGCATCTTCGTCGGCCATATCGGCGATCTCGAGCTCTCCGCCGTCGCCATCTCTCTCTCCGTCGTCTCCAACTTCTCCTTCGGTTTCTTGGTAATCACGTCAATTCTTTTTCCTTCTCTGTTTCTTGCATATTGTCCTATCTAATTAACTTTGCAAGAAAAGTGCAGCTAGGAATGGCAAGTGCGTTGGAAACGCTATGTGGACAAGCGTTTGGAGCGGGACAAACGGATATGTTAGGCGTTTACATGCAGCGTTCATGGCTTATCCTTATTGGAACATCCTTCTGCTTGCTTCCACTCTACATCTACGCAACTCCTCTTCTCATTTTCCTCGGCCAAGAACCTGAAATCGCAGAAATCTCCGGCAGGTTCACCGCACAAATCATCCCTCAGATGTTTGCGCTGGCAGTCAATTTCCCGACTCAGAAGTTTCTCCAGTCGCAGAGCAGAGTCGGGATCATGGCCTGGATCGGTTTCGTCGCTTTGACCCTTCACATTTTCATCCTCTACCTCTTTATAAACGTTTTCAAGTGGGGACTAACCGGCGCAGCGGCTGCGTTTGATGTCTCGGCTTGGGGAATCGCGATCGCTCAGGTTGTTTATGTTGTCGGGTGGTGTAATGACGGTTGGCAAGGTCTGTCTTGGTTAGCGTTTAAAGACGTTTGGCCGTTTTTGAAACTGTCGTTTGCGTCTGCGGTTATGCTTTGTCTAGAGATTTGGTACTTCATGACCATCATTGTCTTAACCGGACATCTTGAAGACCCTGTCATAGCCGTTGGATCTCTCTCAATCTGGTTAGCCGTTAAATCCCTTCACAAGCTTAAAGACTTATCATTTACGTTTTTCTGATTTACTCTGAAAATTAACATTTCTATTGTGATCTCAGTATGAACATTAACGGATGGGAAGGAATGTTGTTCATAGGAATCAATGCAGCTATAAGGTAAGAGACCAGAGCAGATTTTGTTTTTTTTTTTTCTTTTTCAAAGAAGCCGATAGGTTTATATATGCAATGTTTGTTCATCAGTGTTAGGGTGTCGAATGAGCTAGGATCGGGACATCCACGAGCTGCCAAGTACTCGGTGATTGTGACGGTGATCGAGTCTCTCATCATTGGAGTGGTGTGTGCAATTATAATTCTCATAACAAAAGACGAGTTTGCAGTGATATTTACGGAAAGCGAAGAGATGAGAAAGGCGGTATCTGATCTTGCTTACCTTCTCGGTATAACGATGATTCTCAACAGCTTGCAACCGGTTATATCTGGTAATTAAATTTGAAAGTCAAACTCAAATCAAACACAATGATTCTTGAAAAGTTTTGGTGATGGATTAGTTGTTGTGGATTGAACGCAGGTGTTGCAGTAGGAGGAGGATGGCAAGCATCGGTGGCTTATATAAACTTGTTTTGTTACTACGTTATGGGATTACCTCTAGGGTTTTTTCTAGGTTATAAAACAAGTCTTGGCGTGCAGGTAAAGCATTCGCTACTAACTGGTCTTTATTTGGTTTGTTGTATCATTATGGTGACAGATTACTTTATAGAGATGGGTCTAATTAATATTTCAGGGGATATGGATTGGTATGATATGTGGGACTACTCTTCAGACTCTGATCCTTTTATACATGATTTACATAACCAATTGGAACACAGAGGTACCTAATTTCTGTTTTGATTAACTTGTAATGAAAAAGCATGATTTAAGCGTTGATTAACTGCTTTTTATACAAAATTTCAGGTCGAACAAGCATCACAGAGAATGAAACAATGGGGAGCTGGATATGAGGAAATAGAAAAATAGTAACTGGGGGATAAATTATATATACAAGTCACTTTTTGCTGTATATACCTCTATACAAGTTTAATTGTATATATCAATTTTCTTTTTAGCCAAATTGTAAATGTCTCATACATTTGTAAATTTGTAAACCATATCTATCAAACTAATTCAATTCACTGAATCAGGAGGAAACAGTCAGTTACTAGTCAATCATTCTTTTTTTTCTCTCATAAATCATAATCCTATCCAATCAAATTAGTAACCTGCTACGGCCGGTTAAACCGTAAGGACGTCAGCAGTAAATCAACCGGTGTCCCCAGTAGCCAGTTCCGTCTTGCTTTCCCAGAACAATTATTTTGATTAAATATAAAAGGAAAAGGAAAAGGAAAAATGAATAGATTTTGTTCATTTGCAGAGATATCGAGGCGGTTTTTGGTTGCAATCGTATCATCACCATCATATCTCATCATCTCCGTCTTCGTCGTCGGCACGTACTTTGTCTTCTCCCTTTGCGCTCCTCCATAATTGATCTTATCGCTTTAGATCTCATCTCTCAACTCTGTGAGTGTTAACCGATTTTTTCGTCTTCATCGATTTTCTCCGTCAACGATCGCTTCCTGCTTTTAATCTGGTTCTTCGTTACAGTAGCCGTACTGTCCCGATCGATCTGTTTAGCTTAGTCTGGGTTTCGATCGATTTAGTATATGTGTTTTTTTACTCATTTGAATATGTTGCTTGATCGGACGGTTTTCTCTTTGCATATCACCAATTGATCATTACTCTCTGAAATTATTTCCATGGTTGATCGATGATTGTACAACACGGTTCTGAATTTCAGATCGAACTGGATTAATAACGTTGATCTTCTCTGCCATATTCATTAGTTCGTCAGGAAATTTTACAACTCCAATTTGCTGTGCTTAGCTTATTTCAAATAAGTTTTTGTGCTCTATGTTTTTGCCTCATTGGATCAGATAGATTGTTGTGTGACTTCTAACACAAGTTCATTTTTTGGCTGCTCAGTTTTTTTTTGTAGTTTATAATCACAACGATAATGGCTGGCAAAGAGGAAGCAGGAGGTGATGAGAACACTACACGTGGAAGTGATTGGGAAGTTGTGTCACTGACAGCTTCAGCTTATGCAGCTTCTCCTGGTCCCAAACAAGTTGACGTGAAAGATGATGACAAGGAAGGTTACCAAGCAGAGACATCTCATCCTCTCTACATGTCTGGCCACTTTGTTTTCCCACAAAGTGACGTAGCCACGGAGCCTAGTGAGCTCACCGAGATTCGTGAAGACAAGTCAAGCAAGAAGACGGATTTTGGATTCTCTGTGGAACAAGAAACCGGGTCTCAGGGGAAGGAAGATGGAGATTTGACTCTCAAAGGGTTGAATCTATCAGACGAGTTTACAGGACTTGAGTTTTTCGAGGAGAAAGGCAAAAGAGGAGAGAACATTTACAAGACGGCCATGAGTCCTCTGGAGGATGAAAGAGCTTTTGGTGGGTCTCACGTCTATGAACAGACCGAGCCTATTCATGAACCGACCGAGCCGCTCACTCCACGTGATGTTTCACCTGATCCGAATCCGAATCCTACAAAAGACGAGAAGCTTGAAGTAGCAAACGTCCCACCTTGCGAGGCCTGGTGGAAAAGAAGCGCTGCGTCTTTGATCTCACAAGCCAAAGAGACAAACACAGTTTGGTCCATTTTCATAGCTGCGGCTGTAATGGGAGTTGTGATCCTTGGCCAGCATTGGCAACAAGAGAGGTGGCAGATTTTGCAGCGTAAGTGGGATTCAAGCATTGGAAACGAGGTATTGCTTATATCATTTCTTCACATATAATATTATGTCTCTAATCAGTTATGCATCTTCGTGTTAGCAATCTAGGGAATTGTTAATCCTTTTGAACACACTATTTGGTTGCAGAAAGCTGGAAGGTTGATAGGACCGATCTCTCGACTGAAACAAGCTTTTGTCGGGGGACAGCGACAGGATGCGTTCATCCGGGTCAGTTCTCAAAACGACAGTTAGAAACGAAGCTGACAAAAGATGATTTGCTTTGATGAATGATGATGATGATGACGATTAAAAAGACAAGAGTAAGAGATATATAGTAAGTGGCTCTGGAGTTACTTTACTTATGATGGGTAAGTAAGTCTGGTGTTTGAAATTTGAATGGTTCGTGCTTTGGGTGCTATTTGTACATATATGGTTTGCTTTGTTTTTTTTTATTTTGTGTGAAAAATAGTTTTTAAGGATTCGGTTTCAATGCTTTGTAACTTTGTTTATATGCAAATATTTAGATTCAGTCTCCTTTCTCCTGCCATCTTTAAGTTCTTCACCATGTCTCAATTGCTAGATTTAGCTAACGGCCTGCTTCTTTGTGGTAAATATTTGAAACACACATATTTTCTGATTCACCTGAAACCGGAATACTCGATATATAGGAAAGAAGAAGCCAACAAACATGTTTTATACTGTTCATAAACTATATGATGAATATCTGCAAATCATAAACATGAATAATTTTCAAAGAGATATGGATGTCCTTTCTTAAATCTAAATTTGTATAATCAATCGTGTCATCCATGGATCGGGTCGGAACTTAATTAGCGTGTATTGGGTCCGTCCAAGATAATGAGAGATGTTGGGCTTTAAGTTTTGAGGCCACTAAATTTTTCATTTTTAACACTCATGAGACATCATGATTAAGAATTTAAGATGTTTTGAGTCTTTATTCTATGTTTTTCTAGTTAGTTCGTTTTTTTCATTTAGCAATTTTAGATTTTTGTTTTGTTAAATTTCTCAAATTTTCCATTTCTGTTTATGTTTTGGCATCCAAATACGTCAACTAAAACTCAATAATAATAATAAGTCAGCTACGACAGTAAATGCTTTTGCAAAATCAGGTTGGGAGGAAAGTTAACACCGAAAATTTAATGCGTAATCTTGATTCATCATTTGTATATCATTTATGTAGAAAAACATTATTGGCATAGTTGTCTATTATTCGCCTCATTTTAGTTGTCTCACTAAGGAAATAAAAGAGAGAGAGAGAGAGAGAGAGAGAGAGAGAGAGAGAGAGAGAGAGAGAGAGAGAGAGAGAGAGAGAGAGAGAGTCAACGAAGAGTTATAAATGCATTTTGCATATTGAAAGTTGGCTGGCCATCTACTCGTTATCTGCTGACATCTACAGTTGTATTTTGTGTTCCATTTTGTTACACCCATGTTCTTTTTTTGCAGATTACGAGTCAATGAGTATATAAATATGATTATGTTTTAAAAATATGTGAAAAAATACTTAAAACTAAATTACCAAAAAATGTATGTATTTATATAATCAAATACTACTAAAATTCCATATGTAATGTATCTTATAAGAGTCTGCTATACGTTTTTACTCCGATGATTAATAATGTAAAGAATTATCAACACTAGCTAACTCGAGTTCAAATGTAGTTTCTTGTATTATGCAGTTTAGAAGACTGAGAACGATTCATCTTACAAGAAGTAAGATCTAAGTCTGTAGATACAACGCATAGGAAAACTAACAAAAATTTATAAAAGTTATATCTTAACACGATGGAGTACTAGATAAATTTCCTTCTAATGAATATTAGTAATATAGAGCGTAAACTGGATTTAACAATTTACAGTATAAAACTAATATCTATATATATTGCAATAAAATAAGAACATGTGAAAAGGGAAACTGTATCACAAGGTCTTCGCATTCAGCCCCTTTACAGAGTTATATTTGATGATGCTATTGCTTTGCGTGTGATTATTTATGCGTGCATACTTTGCCTAATTTGCATATAGTGGTATACGTTTATAACATTTGTCACACATTATTATATGTATTTATGATATGCAGAGTACACAAGTCAGCTCCCTTTGACTTTCACATCTCATGAATGCCATTGCATCTAATCTTACTCGAGATTTGTGCATTCTTCAATTTTTGGGTAATATTCTTGGTTGGGTTGTTACAAGGGAAATCATATAAAAAGAAAAATGTAATTAATAGGGTGACCAGAAAGTTCTAAACAGAAAAACATGATATAATGTACTTATATCTTTCTTGTGGGGTTAATCAATTCACTCTTTAAATTTTCTTTACCATTGCAATACAAGAAAAAGAAGCAAAATTAGATAAACGAGTCACGAGTTGCTTACCAAATCCCCGAAAGAGAAAAACTGATAAACTAAAATGAGAAGATTAAAATTCACGTCTACTTTTCTCTGTTGCAACGTTCATAAAATCAAATTAATTAAGGGAAAGGAGAAATCTCACTTTTCCAACAATGCGTGATTGTTGGTTTACGATCACTTGCAAAGTCAGACCTAAGATGAGTATCATCAGTACACGATGTATCCATATATATTAATTAAATCATGCAAACCCTAATGTCATCACCTAACTATACATGTGTTGAGCTCTAGTTAACCTTATTAAATGTGAATTAAAAATATATAAAAAAGATTCTTGTTCTTTCTACTACTACTTGTTATTCTCATCCATCTTTTTCTGTGCCTTAGGTTCTCAACTAATCTCATTTAATCTAGCACACAGAGACACACCCAACATAAATAATCTAAGATAAGTATATTATTAGTTGTATACTGCAAGAAGAAAGACACAAATAGGCACAATATATAAGTAATTAACAGTTCTTTTAATGGATTCAACATTAAACGAGAGTAACCCTTCTTCCCTATATACTCTCACACCTTTACTAATTTCTTGACTTCAAAATCTGAACAGCCTTTATTTTATCTCCAAAACCATTAACCAAAACGAGTTTTTTTCAGAGACAGCTAAATTTTTAAATCCCCATTCAATTAGCATACACTCTCTCAACAGTCTCCATTAATGAGGGTTGCTGCTAGCAGTAACAGTTTTTATTTCCTCCACTTATTTTTCTTCATAATGTTATCTTCTCTCTCTCTATAAATTTTCCCAAGAAAACCATATACCTTTGTACTAAACCTTGATTTATCCTCTCAAGCACCAGTTTTGGAAAACACCGCCGAAATTCCTTAAACTTTCCTGGAAAAAGATTATTATTTTCCAGGGCGAAACAACCATTCTGTATCGAATCTAGCTACCTACATTCAATCTTCCATTCAATTTCAGTCTCTAAATAGTTGCTATTTCGAGAGAGAAATATTCCTCAGAAATGGATGTATCCAATACGATGTTGCTTGTAGCGATCGTTGCAGCTTACTTGCTATGGTTTAAGCGGATCACACGGTGGCTAAAGGGTCCACGTGTCTGGCCAGTATTGGGCAGTCTTCCGGGTCTGATCGAGCAGCGTGACCGTATGCACGACTGGATCACCGAGAACCTCCGTGCGTGTGGCGGCACGTATCAGACAAGTATCTGCGCCGTGCCTTTCTTGGCAAACAAGCAAGGTCTCGTGACGGTCACGTGCGACCCCAAGAACATTGAACACATGCTCAAGACTCGGTTCGATAACTACCCTAAAGGTCCTACGTGGCAAGCCGTTTTCCATGACTTCCTCGGCCAAGGCATCTTCAACTCCGACGGTGACACCTGGCTTTTCCAGCGCAAAACCGCCGCTCTTGAGTTCACCACCAGGTTAGTACAAGCCTTAACTGGACCGGCCGGTTCAATCTTCATTTTTGCATAATTCATGCATGAAGCAAATGGCTCTAGTTTTCTTAATTCAATTGTGACATATTTGAACCTTTTTTTAATCCGGTTTTATTAGTGAACTGTGAATTGTTGGCTAAAAGAATTGGGCTTTGGCTTTTTAATTTGTGTGATACAGGACGTTGAGGCAAGCCATGGGTCGGTGGGTAAACCGGGGAATTAAGCTCCGGTTCTGTCCGATTCTCGAAACAGCTCAGATCAAAGGCGAACCGGTCGATCTCCAAGACTTGGTACTACGGCTCACATTCGACAACATTTGCGGTTTAGCGTTCGGAAAGGACACTCGAACCTGCGCGCCGGGACTTCCCGAGAATGGATTCGCCTCGGCTTTCGACCGAGCCACGGAAGCTTCTCTCCAGCGGTTTATTCTGCCCGAGTTTCTGTGGAGGATCAAGAAATGGCTTGGGCTCGGTTTAGAAATCAGCTTGAGCCGGAGCTTGGGAGAGATCGATGGTTATCTGGATGCTGTCATTGATACACGTAAGCAAGAATTACTGAGTCAGCAAGAAAGTGGGGTCCAGGGACACGACGATCTCCTCTCCCGCTTTATGAAGAAGAAGGATCAGTTTTACAGTGAGAAATTCCTCCGACACGTGGCGCTTAACTTCATCCTTGCTGGACGTGACACGTCATCAGTAGCGCTGAGCTGGTTCTTCTGGCTCGTAACGACGCATCCAGCGGTCGAAGAGAAGATCGTTCGTGAGATATGCTCCGTTCTGATCGAGACACGTGGAACCGACGTCTCGTCGTGGACGGAGGAGCCGTTAGGATTCGATGAGGTCGACCGATTGGTTTACCTGAAGGCGGCGCTCTCTGAGACGCTCAGGCTTTACCCATCGGTGCCGGAAGACTCTAAGCACGTCGTGAACGACGACATTCTGCCGGACGGAACCTTCGTACCGGCGGGATCGTCGGTGACTTATTCGATCTACGCGGCGGGGAGGATGAAGTCGACTTGGGGAGAGGATTGTCTGGAGTTTAAGCCGGAGAGGTGGATCTCACCGGAGGATGGGAAATTCGTGAATCACGATCAGTACAGGTTCGTGGCATTCAATGCTGGACCAAGGATCTGTCTGGGGAAAGATCTGGCGTACCTCCAGATGAAAACGATTGCGGCGGCGGTTTTGCTCCGGCACAGTCTGACAGTGGCGCCGGGACACAAGGTGGAGCAGAAGATGTCGTTGACTTTGTTTATGAAGAACGGACTTCTGGTGAACGTGCACAAGAGGGATTTGGAAGGGATCATGAAGAGTCTCGTCGTAACCAAGGAGATAAACGACGTCGTTGCTCTTAACGGAAAATGCAGCAGCGTTATTGGTGAAGGCGTTGCCGTTAATGCTGCGGCTGTAGCGGTTGCGGTGTAGACGTCGCCGTCAAAGCTACTCGGGTTAAATATTATTTTTATTTATACTACTGATTTACATAATACATTTTCGTTTGGGTTTTGTGATTGTTGGGTACAAGTAAAAAAAAGATTGGTTTGGTCGTGCTTTATGAAATTTGTAAGCAAAATATTTAAAGTAATAGTTTGGTTGTTTTTTTCCCCTCTATTGTAAGCTTTTACATTTTGAATGTTCTTCTTCTACCCATCAAATTGTAAGCTTAAAAAGAGTCCCCAAAAAAATAAAAATACAATTTTAAATTTGCTACCTTATGAAACAGACCATTACGCAAATTTATAGCAGAGTAAAAAAAGATATAAAGCTTTCCCCACACCATTTCACTGCAGCTAATGAGCCACTTTGTTCGTCTGGTCAAAAGCGATGTGCGGCTAGTCAAGAACTTTCTCTCCGGTAGAGAACAAGTTCCAGACCAGAGTTCCAATTAAATACAGTCCAACTGCTACGTTGAACACATCGTCCCATGAACCTAGGATAGATTAAGGTCATAAGAGAAAGAGAAAGTCGTTGGTTAATAAGAGCCAATCCGAGAAACTAAGAGCCAAGCAAATATAGTGCTAAAATTTAAAGAAGCAGATATCACCAAAAAAGAATGGGAAGATTAATGTGAATGATGTAATAAAAGAGGTACCTCGTTGGAGGATGTAGCCAGTAGCAGCGGTGCCAAAGACACCAGCGAGGACTCCCGCTGTGTTTGAAAGTCCTAAGAGGACACCCTGCGATCCACGTCATCGTGTTATAAATATATTTAAAGCAAATCCTTTTCAAGTTTAAAGTGGTTTGGTGACCAAAGTCTTAAAGGAGAGAGGTTGAATGTTATCTCACAGCGTAGCGTGGGCCAATGTCTTGATGATTAGAGTAGAGACCCGACTGTGAGAAGGCATCAGAGCCCTGTATGGGACAACATGAGAGTCTTAATCTCGGGAGCTGGACATAACTCATGCATGGTTCTAACTCAGACAACTGTCCGCTTTTTTAAGCAGACATTGCATTTAAAGCTATCTTCAATTATACTAGTTGTACTCCTTGCCAAGTCTTAGAAGAATAATGTTTGTGTCGGCAGTTGTGCCAAGTCAGAAAATGGCAAAGTCATGTTTCAACACTTATAGACTTGGTAGTATGTCACAATTCAAATATCTATGCCTCTCTTCTTAATCCTTTTTAAGTAAAACTCTATGATGCACATACCTGGCTGCATGCCATGCAGAGAACCGCCATTGCTGGAGTTTTGACACGGCTCAGCTGAGTCAGGAAGAAGGCAGGACCCAGAAAACCAATTGATTGCATGATCTGCCACATTGAAAGAGTTTATCAGCAGACAGATGTAGGCCTTTGACACACAGTAGAAATATTGTATTTCACAAGTTTGGCCATTTTGGGTATTATTTTAGAAATTGTGAAAAGACATGTAATGGTCAGAAAATACAAGAGCGTGTTTCTTACCTTGCGAACAGCTGTAATTGAAAGACCTCTGCTGATGAGAGTATCAGCAATCCAACCTCCAACATTAGCAAAGACAGCCATAGTGAACCATGGTAAGACGCATAGGAGCCCAGATTCTGTGAGGTTGAACTTCAATACCTGCAATGTTCATCAAAGACAAACAATAGACAATATTCTTCTTACTTACTTGTTTGTAGATATATGAAAACCATAAGGAAATAATAAGTGACGTTGAAGAAGGCCATGCCTGATTGTAATATGTAGGCATCCATGTCAACAGTATGAATGTTCCCCAGTTATGGCAGAAGTGGGATATTATGAGAGCCCACACAGGGGGTTTAGAGAGTATCAGCTTCCATGGAATCACTGTCACAGGTTCCCGCGGTTTGCTACCTCCCAGTATGACCTTCTTCTCTTCTTCACTTAGGTCCGGGTCATCCTTGGGGGAGCTATACGCCTGAGAAGAAACACAAACAAAACTAATTCAGTCGTGGAGGTTATGTAGATAGTATCAGAATCTTCTTGGCTCGTGTCATGGAGAAGAGTTTATACATACATATTTTAGCCAAAGCATAAACCATATACTTCCAAGGGAGCCAAAGGAATAGAAAACAGAAGGCCATCCGAACTTGGTGATTAGCATAGGAGAGAATGCCAGTCCTGTCACTGAACCGAGATACATGCCACTATAGACTAGTGCAAGCGACCTGCTTCTCTCTGAGACAGGGATCCATTTAGAAAGCATGTTGTTCATTGCAGGCATTGCAACACCCTGTACCCAAAGGTAGACAGAACCTACCAGTGAGAAGAAGTCCGAGACAAAGTGTATAGGAAGAGGAAAGAAATAGAGAGAGGCTAACCTCGCCAATGCCCATGAACGCTCGCACGACAAGTAAAAATGGCAGACCAAGTTTGGCAGCAATAGGTGTCATAATGGTGGCAAAGGACCACCAGACAACACCAAAACCTAAAACCACCTTCCCGCCAAACTTATCTGCCCATATACCTCCCAGAATCTATATACTCAAAGAGAAGATGAGCACTGTTCAGGTTAAAGTGGGAATAGAAGAATATCACATCACAACAGAGAGTGTTTGAAATAGACCTGAGTAAGCAAATAGCCCCAGAAGAAAGAGGACTGGATTAAGCCAACTGTTGCACTGTTCCAGCTATATTCTTGTGACATGGGAAGAATTGCAATGCTCATGTTCACCTGCCACACAAGCATTGTCATTAAGTAAGCACGCAGTATGAAAAATATATCAGCCAGAAAAAGACGGAACATATACTACTTAGTACTTACACGGTCCATATTGCATAGAAGGAATGAGGCAAAGCATAAGAGCACGATGACCCAGCGTCTAGGAAACTGCTGCCACCAGGGAGTTGCGTTGTGTAGATTTCCTCCAACTAGAACAGCTTCAGCTGACCCATCCGCTGATGGCAGTGAGTCTGCAACTCCTTCTGTGATATCAGATTCCTCTGACTTGTAGTAAGCACGAGATCTGTTGATCTTGCTATTTCCATCTTCCTTGATGTTGCTCCTAAACCTAATTCTACTGTCCACCATTACTGGTTGAAGGAAACATCCAAAACTTTTCATGTGTCCTAGTTCATGCTGTAAACTAGATAAAATCTTCCTCGGTTGATGATTACGGCACAATGCTACAATTCAATAAATAAATTTAGGGCTTTAGCATAAATAAAATTGGTTGATAAAAAAGCAGAAGAGGAGAGGCATCAAATCAAAAGATGGATGGGAGATAGTACCATTTGGTTTTCTATTACAGAACACGACTCTGTTCGAAACTTCCGTACCATTTATTCCTCCAAGTCTCTGGTACAAAATACCTCTTTCCTTCTGACAACCATTTCCTACAACATATTTCAATACCAATTTAGGACAGCACTCATTTCATTTGGCTATCACTTAAAAATAAAATTTATACTAACATATATGTAGATAAAGATGAAATGAAATGCTTCAGTCTCGTAGTAGTAGTGCAGAGATTTACTAAAACCAAAGCAATGCACAAGATAATGATATCGCTATACAAAAATCCGGGTCTGATGTCGTCGTTAAGTAGTACCGAAATTGCAACTTGAGGCAGTCAATCTCAGCTCTCAAAGCTAAAATGAGTGAGAATAAGTAAGAGAGGAGCGAGATACCTGAACCGATGAAGGAACCGAAGCTCCTGTTTGAAATCAAGCCACCGATAGCCATGGTGCTCGCTTTTCACAATAAAAAAATCAAAGCTCAAAGGAAAGAATCAAGCTTCTTCCATAGACATGCGGAGTAACCGAAGAAGAGTTTGTTAGAATAATCTGGGAGAGGAGAGGATAAAACCCCGAGAGTGAGGCAGAGATGCTTGTAACAACGAAGCGGGAAATTCCCTATTGGCCATATGGGGAAGGAGATGAAAGGGGGGGGTCGAGAAGGTGACACGTGGCTCATCATCTTCTACTCGTTGGAACCTCCGTTGTTTCCCAGTTACCAATCTACCCCCATGTTGCAGTGGGTAAATACTCGTGGCTAACTGGTAAATAACAGTAGAGAGGAGGGGTATAATTGGGAGTTCCGGTGGAAAATATCTGAGCCGTTACCGCCGAAGATGACCTCACAGAGTCACAGACAGAAAAAGCAGGTAGGTAGTCGAAGGAACTTATTCTGACACGTGGCAACTGGGCTTTAATAATATAACGGGCTTTAAATTAGGAATCCGGCCCATGGAATTTCATCATGAATTATCCTCTTTAAACTATAAACCTCAAAATTATACACATCCGTATAACAAATAGTTTGATAAAAAAATACAACGGTCTACATTTGAAAAAAAATTAACCTTGAAATGTCCAATAAGTAATAACCAATTCATCCATCTTCAACTGAAAGTTTGAAACCTTTCCCTTCTCCACCAATCAACAACCATAACGATGACACGTATAGCATATATAGGTCAATGGTAATTACTAAAACAAGAAAGAAGCTCTTGTTGGCTTTGTTCCTTCACTTGTTGGTCTTGTTGTTGATAGACTCCACCTTGCCGTCATTACCTCCGAGCAAAAGATACTTGTCCTTGCGAGTAAGTTGTGTGCATTCGAAGCCCAACACGTCCCCGATCACTTTCTGGACGTAATTAGCCACTTCGAAAGGAGTCTTACCACCGCCGTTCACAGTCATTTCTTCGGGTAGGCGATCCAAGAAAGTGGCCTCGTAGCTCGGTCTTGGGTTCATGAAGAAGAAGTAAGGGTCCCAGAACTTCACACCCCTCACCGTCGTGCCGTTGAACATTCCTTGGTTACACTTCATCGCCACTGGCACGATCCTGTCGCTTAGCTCCGCGAACAGAGCGCTAAACCTCAGTAGATACTCTTCTCTGCACGTCGTGCCTTCCGGACATATCACCAAGTCACCTACCATATACAGACCAAATATATAAAAAGTTCTTAGCTCTAATGTGAATGTAAGACAATGATGATGATCAAAGGAAGTAGAATGCATGTAGGTACCTTTCTCGAGAAGTTTTCTCATTCGGGCAGCGTCAGCGACACGGTCACGGGTGAGAGCGACAGCAGGAATAGGAGAAATCATTAAGGAGAGACGAGAGACGCTGTAAGTGACGCATGAGATCTTGCGGCCAAGAGCAATGGCGACGATGATGGGATCAAGCGCGGTACGGTGGTTGAGAACGTAGAGGTTGCCGGGAGTTCCAGGGGAAGGAGGCGGAGGACGGTGTCCACGAATGGTTAAGCGGATTCCGAGCATCTCGTAAGTGTAACGGACAAATCTTTCAGGTAAAGGGAGGTTGAAGTAGACACGGATGATGGAGAGGATGAAGCCGAAGGGAAGCCATAGGTATGTGATGATGGCGTTTAACGGCGTTGGACGTTGGGCTAAACGGCCGTCGTGGAAGATTATCCGTTTTTTCAAACGTTCTTTGGGAATTGTTGTGGCTGACTTGGTCGCATGAACCATGTAACCTTTCTGTTATTATACCAAAAAATGTTAATGATGTGTTTTTTTAAAACAAAATGTAAGACAAGTAGACAACTCAAACGTTATTTATTCATTTCAGGAGTATAATTGAAAGTACTTGCTAGTAATAAATGTGTAACATGTCTCTAAATTGTCTAATAAACTCTGAAATAACGATTTGTTTTATAAAAAGAAAACAATTGTGTATGAGATGTTGGGGTCATTAAATGGACACCCCAAAATGTGGGTGGTACAAGTAGGTGGTTGGTTGTAAAAAGACAAAAACAAATAAAAGAAAACAATCGAGGGGTCGTGTAAAGTGATAGGTTGGGTACATTTATGAACCTTACTTACTAATCACTATAGAATCAATTATTTTTATAAGATTCATGCATTGACATTTTGAGACTAAACCAGTCAACAAGTTAAAGCAGGTAGTTTAGCCTAATTAATGAAAAATACAAGCAAGGACGAATCAGTGCAAAAGACTTGCATAGGAGAATAAATCATTTGGTTGAGTTCTAATTTCTAAACTTTTGCTTAGTTTCTCAAGTTATCTAGTCAGTAAAACTTTAAATGTTTATCAAATCGACTAAAGACTAAATCGGATTAAAAGATTCAAGTAATACCTTGCAAATAGACATGAAATCATGGTCGGAGGTCCGGTCACCGATGCCAAGATCAGGTGAGTCGTCGCCAAATTCTTTCAAAATGGCTAATCTCTTGAGGTCACCGACAAGAACGCCAGGTTTCTTGACAAACCCAGTGGCCCTTTTGGTTCTGGGATTAACCTCAATCTCTGTTCCCAAAACTGTATCTCCTCCAAGATACTCCTTGACAAACGCATCCACCATCACTGTTGGATTCGCCGTCACTACCACTTTCCTCTTACACTTATCAAACACCTCAAAACTGTCTTTCCTCACGTCCGCCGCATAAAACCTAACAAAATAAACAAACCCAAATTCAAAAATCGAATTGAAACAGAGTTTCTCATTATGAATGAGATCTAGCAATAGTAAAACATCCGAATCGATGTTTGGGAGATAAAAATTTCGAGATCTGGATATGTGGAGGACGTACCGTGGAAGAGTGGCGCGAGAGACGAGTTCGATGTCGCGGATTTTGAGGCCGGCGTAGGAGATGAAGATGAGGATCTGTATTCCCAGAGCTTCCGAGACGAACAGGTAAGAGATGATGACGAAAGGCAAAGAGAGAAGGAGGATTAAGCCACGGAAAAGGCTTCCAGCTTCAACTGCCACGAGCATGAAGTAAGGGAACGAGCTTCTCGACAGAAGCAGAGTCCCGTCCAGATCTGCGGCGATCGATCCATACTCTCCTCCTCCGCATTCCGATATCGGTGGAAACTTTGGAATCTTCTTCTCCGGAGACATCTTCACTCGTCCGAGTTTCTCTCTCTCTCTTCGTTACAATGGCGGTCTTACGGAAGCTGAGAGCAAAAGGAATGATGCGGAAGGAAAGAGAGGGAACGTTCCCTTTTAAATGCAGATTTAGCAATCAGTGTAATTACCAAAATGAGCTTGTACGTTTTTTTCTTATCAGTTATCACCCCATGAGATGAGATTTCATCTAAATGCATCCGTCAACTATCATTTGTAACCAAATCAACCCTTTTTCTCTTTTCCCTTACCCTTGCATTTCTCTATCATAATCAAAACAATCCCACGTTTTTCTTCTTCTACTAGTTTTGAAACGACTTTAATTACTCAAATCATATACGCTTGAAGAAACCATCGACTAATTGTTCAAAATAATCTGTGTAGATCATACGTTACACAAACAAATTGATTATGTGATTTCATGAGAAAAACAAAAAATACGTTGTTCCTTTTAATTTGAGTGATTATTAGGATCACACAAAAGAAGGTAGCTCAGCAGCTCACCTAGATAGAAGGCCGCAATATTAATTAGTACAGTCGCTTATTTACTTATTTATTTGTATGTATGTCATATCCACAACAACATAAAGTCTAGGGGCCACTTTATTGTCCGAAAATGACTTTCATTCGATATGCATCTTGTTGACTCAGTCGCATTCGATAACTCCGCTGTTATACGATTATACAGAAACATGTTTTTTTTTTTTTATAGTTTACCGTAAACTCGATTTTCTTCTAAATTGTTCATGTAATCTTTTTAACTCTGGACTTGATGATTTATTCGAAGTTGAATTTCCAGAAACTTTTTTATTGACTTTTGTTCCCAATCCCAGCGTTGCATTGCATATTCATTTCCGATTCCATATAGCCAACATACCATATCATACAGTTCACGACAAAATAAAAATAATAATCACTAAAACTAAATGTCATCATTATGATAAATAACTAGGTAAAATCTTGTTCTCATTTGATACATTATAAACATAGGAAGGTAGTCTGAGTCAAAGTACAATCCTTAATGCAAAAATATTCGACCGTTGGGAGTTGCACCGCCTTGAGCCGCGCATTTATACCTATACAATAATCATATTTACCACAACCGACACGATCGAAAGTGCGTGACCAATCTTAATCGCATCAGAGATTTAAGTACGATATCCAAATACTCCCGAGCATATCCAACTGTATCTCAAGTGCTTTGTTACTATTTCAAACTTGTACGTATTTTTCAAAAGTAATTATATAACATTTGTTTCAAATTACATTTTAAAGGACTTTTTCTGATTTTTTAAAATATACTCACTCAGAATTGCTCGCCTACCTGCGTTTTATTAATTTGGAGTAGTTTATTCTGTTTAAAGAGATACAGAAAACGAAAATCATAATGATCAATATCGTTTCGGTTTTGGTACGTGTCAGGACAATCAAGGCAGGTTTTAAACGATGGTTGTACTTGTTGTGTGTATTTGTATACCAAACTCAAACGGACAAATTTAAAGGCCTTGAGTAATCCGGTGGGTGACTTCTTTTTTCTCATTTTATTCCTACTTTTTACTCTTGTAGATGTGGTTTGTTCATCCACACATGCTGCTTTTCCAACATATCCGATTCGCTATTGTCGGAGAAGAAGCATTTGTGTACTACCTGATATTTAGAGCTTTTGACTAAACTAATCGTATAAAACTATTGTGTGTAAATGTCACATGTATAAAATTACTGTTGAATAAATCGCAATGATTTATCTGTTTCATAGGACGTTTGCACTAAAAACCAAATGAATTGAGAGAGAATACCGCATAAACCATGACAAAAATTACATTTTGATTTTGATTTGCTATTTGTGTGTTTGCATATTTGATTTGCACAATAATGGAACTTTCCCTCACAAAAGGCCTCGTTCAGCAGCAGCATTAAAAAGGCCTTCCTTTCCCTCACAAATGGGTCGAAATTTACTGGACCCACTACGAGAGACCCAACAAGAACACAGAGGATTAATAATAATTAAACAGCATTAAAAACAAACCAAGATTCTTACATAGACAAAGCTCATTAGAGAACTTCACAAAAATCCCAAGACATTGTTTTCTTAAAAAAAGGCTCCATGTAATGTAAATACATTGCAAGACAAAAGCTAGATAGATAAATAAGCAAAGAAATTACACGACAACTAAAGAACAGATCTGAAACAGTTAAATCTTGTTCGTCGTTTAACTCTTGCTCTTGAACGGAATCGCTCTGATCACGAGCGTGTGGTAAAGAGCCGCAAGAGCTGCTCCAATGAATGGTCCAACCCAGAAAATCCACTGCAACACATATACAAATTTTTCAAAAACTAATATCTGAAATAGTAATAATTGAAGAATATAAATGTTTTATATTCTGAATGGTCCATGTTTAGAGATCTGCGTTGTACTCACATGGTCGTCCCAGGAGTGGTCCTTGTTGTAGATAATGGCGGCTCCAAGGCTTCTAGCTGGGTTGATTCCGGTTCCGGTTATCGGAATTGTCGCCAAGTGTACCAAGAACACTGCAAATCCGATTGGGAGTGGCGCCAGAATCTACAAAAATTAGCCACAATTATTAGTCATAAACCGGAATTAATTGGCTCATAAACCAGTAGAATCCGTAAACCGGTTAAAGCAGTGGGGTCCTTACCGGGACGTGAGAGTCACGGGCGCTTCGCTTGGCGTCGGTGGCGGAGAAGACCGTGTAGACGAGAACGAAAGTTCCGATGATTTCAGCGCCGAGGCCAGATCCCTTGGTGTAGCCGGGAGCGACGGTGTTGGCGCCGCCACCGAGAGTCTGGTACGGCTTTGGCTGGAAGCCCTTGACGACTCCGGCACCACAGATAGCTCCGAGACATTGCATTACTATGTAGTACACTGCTCTGGTCAGAGACAGCTTCCGAGCCAAGAACAGTCCGAATGTCACCGCAGGGTTTATGTGTCCACCTGAAACCCATACATAAACACAAGTTAGAGATTTGAAGAAACAACATGAAGGATTCCAGAAAGATACGAGCTTCATCTGAGAAAACTACAGTAAAATTGGAGAAATGGATACGACTTTTTTAGATCTAGAAAAATCCAAAGCTTTAAAATAACAGATTTCTTCCTAGTTTTATTAAATCTTTACACTTTCTCGGGTAAATACTAAAAACAGAGCATATTTTCCAATAACTTACAACGACAATCTCGATTCATGGGTTTCTGAGAGAAAGAAATTAGAACAACGAAAGATATACGATGGAGATCTATCATCTACATAAACATAAGCATCTAAAGAAACAAAATTTTCCTTGGGACTTGCCAAACAGAGCAAATAACACAGAACAAAAACAGAGAACCTCACTAGACATTTCCATGAACTACAAGGACAAAAAAAAAAGGAAAGTTATGATTTTTGTTTGTTTATACCTGAGATTCCAGCAGTACAGTAGACAAGAGCGAAGATCATGCCACCAAAAGCCCAAGCGATGCCTTGAATTCCAACAGAAGCACACATGTTGGGTGCTCTCTTGACACCCATCACAGTCAGAACAGTGATGTAGAGGAAGAGGAAAGTAGCTATGAACTCGGCGATTCCGGCTCTCCAGAAGGACCATGAGCTCAGCTCTCCGGGCTCGAACAGTGGAGCAGGCGGCGGCTCTTTGTAGTCCTTGCTGTCGGACTGAGCCGATGTTCCGATCGGTTGCCTCTCCGGGAACTTGTTAGCTCCCACTCTCACATCTTCTTCTTTGCCGTCCATTTCCCTTTCACTTAGGGTTTTTCTCTCTCTCTAGCAAGGTTAAAGTTTTGAGCTCTCTCTTTTTCTTGAGTGTGGTGGGTTTGTGTGTGGTGTGGTGTGGTGTGGTGTGGTGTGGTGTGTGGATAGAGACTGAATTTATAGAATATTAAAATGCCTAACGTCTCCAATAGGACCAATACATTATTTCTGTATTTTCAGAAAAGACAGAAAATCCTTAATAGTATAACAAATAGCTTATGTTTTGTCGACTAGTATAACAGAATACTAGTAATCACTAAACCAAATTATAGTGATCGTTGTAAACCTGTTTGTGTATTGTTGAGACGAAATCATAGCTTAGTCTGTGACAAACTCATCCTAATTGTTTTTCACCAGATGAGTTATTTTCAACATGTAATACTAGTAACCACAATTTAAAAAAATATTATATTTAGTTTGTCAACTGTGTAGTCTACAGCACTAGTTATGTTGATTAAATTTAGGGTATGATGGTGATTTGGTGAATAGACTGAATAAATTATGTAAATGAATACTTCGGTAATTTTGTACTCCTAGCTAAAGATAATGATGGAGGAGGAGGTTCTGGAACGTACCGAGGTGCTCTCGGATAAAGACAATAATCTGACCTGTCTTTTCTTCTTTTCTCGCCACAGAAAGATGATAGTGGGTTCCACTTCTTTTTGAACGGTAATAATATCAAATCAATAAACTTGGAGGAGTCCCATAGTTAAAATGGTAAAAGCAAAAAATGACTTTGCTCACTTATCGGACCGTTGGAGGAAAAAAATGACAGCTTTATGAAAAGTCATTTTCTTTGGAATACAGTGCCATACTTTCAAAAATCAACCATTACTTCCAGAAAACATAAGGACAAAAAGGTCATAAAATCAGATGTAAGCATAGGTTGACAAAAATAAAACACTCGTACATACTGAATTACTGAACAAAATTGTAACTACTATGAAATGAAGTACTGTAATTGGTAGGGACAATTCTCAACCTACCTTGTGGTGCTTCTTCTCTCTATTTTTTTTGTTATTTCACTTTTGCTCAGCTTTTTTACCTTAACGCCTAAATTTTACAAACCTCTCAGTATATAAATCTGGATGGTCTCCTAGTTTTTCTTATATGGAGTACTGTACATGATATTATAACTCGATGTGGTCTGATTAAAAACATCAGAGGTTAGAATTCAATTATTTGAATCAAGTTTCCAGTTTTGGGTTCTGACGTGTAAAAGGTTTGAACAGCTCAGAGATGAGTATTGCTTCTCTGTGATCACATGCTTCGTTGCCTAGCCAACAACACTAGTTCTTGTCCTCAAATTTGGATATGACTAATTTGTTACATGGAGGAGTTTCTTATTTATATTTCTCGTAGACTACAGTATTGTGAAAAAGACAATTTGAATAAGTGTGGAAACTGGAAAGTTAAGTGCGACGTATTCATTTTTGAAACGCAACCACAGTGCATAGTCACATACCGTCCAGCCACCATATTATCGACACGTTGCATCAGACAGACTAAAAACTAAAAACTCGTTGAACATGTGTTTTGTTTTATTGGGACGGTCCCGACCAAAGCCTTATATATGAGATAGATATCCTCCCCTCATTGAATTATGAATGATGATACTTAATTAATAACAACTATCAAGTAATGATTTTCGTCAAAAAAAAAAAAACTATCAAGTAATGACTGCTTCGGATATTGTAAATTAACTTGTGGTTTTTGCAATTTTAATTTTCTTCTGGTTTGCTGCTGTAGGGCCTGGTTTAGTGTTAACTAGTTTCATGAAATGGTGAAAAAAAACTACTTGTGGAGAAATATTGGAAGAGTTTTTTTAGCCAAAATCCCATTTTGGAAAGCGGGATAATAAGTCAACAAACTTTTCATATTTTCAAAACAAGCAAAAGGCTAAAAGGCCTTTAGATGTCCTTTAAGCTTTCCCAAAAACACAGATTCTACGCCCATTGCTTGAGAAAGGCCCAATAAATAGCGGCCTAAGTTCCATTATTTTATCAAGATCAATAGAGTGAAAACAAAAGGAATTCAGTATTCTCCTATTAACCAAGGTTATTTTTCTTTTTGTAATGATTAACCAAGGTTATTATAATTAGATCTCCAACGTCAAAAAATTAGATCCATTATTTTTTAATTTTCTTTTTGACCAGAGGCTAGGAATTACGATATATTATTTTATTGGTCTTCAAAAAATAGTTTTATTTATTTTTTAAATTAAAATAAGAGTGAAAATAAAATTCAGGATCATCCCATTAACAAAGGTTATTATAATTAGATGTCCGACGTCAAATAAAGTTGCTTGCTTATTTCTAAAAGCCCATGATTTTATTTTGATAACATATGTTTAAGCATTATACACAACAAACAAAACAAATAGAAGACAAGAACTCTAGATTGTACAGACAGATAAAGACTCAAAAGACTTAGATCTGATATACCACAAACACTAGGTAGACTCAAAAGTACTAGATTGACTCAAAGAATCAGTGGATCACTTATCTTTGGCTTGAGGAGGCTGATCTGATGGTTTGACGATGAAGAAAGCTATAACGGAACAGATCTCCACCGTATTAGCCACCTCATCGACATGTTTGCCTGTGTTTGCGCGTTCCACAAAGTTGACAAGAGCTTGTGCATTCAAACTCACTTCACCCACTAGCTTATGCGCCTGAGCCTTCAGAGTTTTTTCATCCATGTCAAGAGTTTTTCATCTATGTCGATAATTGCAAGAGGAAGAGTGAAAAATGCTTGCGGTTTCTTTTGGATCTTGTTACAGATCTGTGGATTGGCATGTCACTGCTAAATCAAGCCTAAAAAAAGAGAGAACACTCATTTTATAGAGAAATCTTAAAACGCCCAGAACACGTACATTCACATGCATCAATCAACAAATGGAAAAGACCCCTAAATGTTGAGTGAAATGTAACTATGATGGTTCACATATTAATGGAGAAGAAATTTCCAGAGCATAATAGATTGTTCGAGATGAGAGAGGCATGTACATGGATTCAGGTCGATCAAAGGATAAAATGCCACAAAATGCACTAAAAGGAGAATGTCAAGCTTTGATAATGGGGATGGAAAGTTGCTATGATCAAGGACAAAAAAAACCACATTAAAAGGAAATTCTTGCCCCTTTCAGGTAGTTAGAAACAAATTAACAGAGGTTAGCTAGATTATTGCTTTTGGCCTAATCTTATTTTTAAGGAATAACCCATTACTACTGAAAGAAATTTCAGGTAATTCTCGTCCTTGAAACTTGTAAAGCTGCCAGCAAGTTACAAAAAAGATTGTCCTATCAAGTTGCTCCATAATGAATTTAACCTTTTACAAACTAAAGTTTTTGGATGACTTTTGATGAATATAGGTGAAACATCTAGATAAAAGTCTGTTGACCCTACTAGTACTAGTTATGGTAGTCATGATTCTGAACTACTAATATTATCCTACCCATTCCTCAGTTTCCATTATAATCCAACCAAGAAATACGTTCAACAGTACAAGTGCAATATGGAATATATTTAATTTGTTTCGCTTGGATAGTTTATACAGTTAGAACTTTTATGATATTTTGGATTTTGACAATATATCACTTACAAAATTGTTTACATACGGTTGTAAAACCAAACTTGTGTGATATTTATAGTGATTAGAAGTTCAGAAAGTACATGCTCCACTATCTCAAAAACCTGGCATCGTCACTATAATTTCCTTAATGGGAGCAAGTTTATATATGTCCATATCTGTTTTGTCGGTCAATAAGTTCCAACCTAAAAGAAAACAATGCCACGTTAGTAGCAATTGCTGAATCTATTATGTATATTTTGTGTATATGTACATTTGTGCGCGTGCGCATTAGCGTGTATGGGTCTACTGATTAGTAACTGACTAACTGTGAGTGTTTCTGTGTGTGTACACATATACTGACATATATATTGCTATCTTAAACGTATGTACATATAAATACTTTGGTCCCTGCCTAATCGAGGTTGCTTTAAAGGAACTCAATGGAACTAACGGAATCATGGTCAAGATCTATTCAATTAAATCTGATTTAACATATGGGTTCCGACTTTTAATATGCCACCGATGAATCAGACAATGAGAGCTAATTATTTCTGTTGGACCATTTTCTTTAACTTTATCAGCAAACCCCACATGAATAACTTTTTTTTCCTTTTTGTTTTGCTTAAGCGAAACTCTAAATCTGAGTTTCAGTTTTCATTTATGCTATGTTTGATTGAATTCAAACAGTACTAGTTTCTTGATTAAAGACTTACTTAGAACGTCGTCGTAAAGAGATTAAAGACTTGGTCAATGAAATAAATAATGGCGTGAGATGACTAATTTGGATTTGGATTTGGTGTAATCCCAAAAAAATTACTTACGTGTTCTCCATTACCATAAACAGCCAAGCGAATCCACCAATTACGTCGCCGTTTAGGCCGCGCCCACTTTGTTTTTACACCTTTTTATTCTCTATTTGTTACATTTTGACCCCTATCTTTTTTATTTTGTTCTTTCAAGCCCCTTTTTATAAGTTTTCTCCCTGCAAGCAGCCATCATCATCTCCGAGACAACAATCTGCACTGCCAAATGTCTCAATTTCAGAGCTTTCAGAAGAAAAAGAGATCAATTATTTACCGGTGAGGCTAATGATGAAGGCTGTTGAAAATCTGCAAATACTTTTCTTCTATCTAAAGCTTCTTTCTTTCTCTCTCTCTCTCTCTCTCTCTCTCTCTCCTCTGTGTAGAGAATAGAGAAAAGAGAAGAAGAGATGGGCCCATATGAAAGTGTGTTTTTCCAACTGTGTTCTTCCCTTTTTCTCCTGTGTAGCTTCTTAAGGCCACGAGACGTTGTGGCTGTAAAATTCGCATAAAGCTTCCACTTTTATTTTATTTTTTCTCCCCATTAACTCTCTCTCACTTTTCTCTTTGCCTTTGCCCAATTGAGAATCCTCTTCATGAAAACTAATGGTTTTGTCGGTCATCGTTAGATAAGACATTCAATTTAATACTTCTCTCTCTCTTTCTTGTTTGTCAAAAGATGCCCACCAAGACGGAAGAAAGAAAATATCTTTTCTTTTCTCTTTATTTGAAATGTTGAACAGTATTCGTTTTTTTCATTTCTTTTGTTGAACCAAATTTCTGTTTTTCTCTGTTGGGGTTGTTGATCAACTGTGGAAATTGAAGCTGGATTTTCTGATTCACGATCAAAAAGCTTTTCCCTTTCTTCTTTTCCCCTTTGATTTGATCGTATGATTACGGAAACTCTGTTTCTCAGACAAAACCTGGAAAAGTTGTCAGATCAACAATGTGGCTTCAGATTAAAGCACCCAGACACGCTACCTTGTCCTCTCTTTCAAGTCTTTAAGCTTTGAGAAATGATTCAGACATCATTTGCTTAGTCTTCTCTCTCGCCTTGCCTTGAAAGAAACCCCCAAATTTCTTCTTCTTGTTCCACCGTTTTGTCCGGCGATCAAAACTGGTTTGATTAAATCTTGGCATCAAAAGGAAGTTTGGGAATTACTTCTGCTGCAACTTGGAAACACTTTTTATTTAATTTATATTTCTATGGCTTTGCTCAAACGCAAGTAAAAACCAGATGAAATCCAGCTACAATCGCTGTTGCCTTTCAAGGAAGTATGGAATTCAGAAGAATCTCATCAGGTACTTGATTGATTGTACTTTCCTCTGCAGTCTCTTTTGAAAAGGAAAGGAATCTGATTTTGCTCCATAAGCAATGGACTAGTTTCTGTTTACAATCAAGCCTTTGCCTAATCCACATTATTAGAGTGCAAAAGGAGTTTGATTTGGATTGGTAGAGGATCCTTTACTTCTTATGCTAATTTGTTCCTTCAGAAGGATAATTCTTTTTATTCTCTCTTTCTAATTAAGTCTAGTTGTCGAAATCTTTGGCCTTTGTTCTTGTTGTTTGTTTCTGAAGGATCTTGCGTTTGTTAAAGTATTTATCCACAAGTACAATATGCAAGAGTTCTCATTTCTGTATCTGCACTTGATTAATAATTCAGCGTTTTGTGTGGTGTTTCTTGTCTCATAGCTGCTTAATAGTTTTATACTTGTTGTTCAGTGTTTCTTAAGGCACATTGTTAGAGAAAGATTAAGAAAGGAGCATTAAAAGTGAATACCAACAGAAAGCCATGGCAAAGAAAACTCAACGACGTGCAGCTGCGAGACAGGAGAGGGATCAGTTAGGTTGCATGTGGGGTTTTATGAATATGTTCACTTTCCGCCATGGACCATTGGCTCATAAGCTGCTTGGTAAGTCTTCATGACTCCTGGCTGCATTTTTGGTTTTGCTCATTCCTCGTGAAAGAGTTTTTTTTTTTTGGTTTGTTTTGGTTAACACTTAACAGTTATGTAAATTGTTCTGTAGCTGCTGGAAGTCCTAGGAATAGTGAGCTGGACAAGTCCAAATGCCGCGACAAGGATGCTCAAGAAACACATGTAAGCTTTAAACTTTTTCTTCTTTTGGTCTTGAGAGTCTCTTGTGGATTAATTTAGTTGTTTCTTCAACTGTTAAAAGGCTGGTGAAGAACGCAATGTCACGATAACGATTATAAAGCCAAGTGTGAAGAAACTCATAGCAGAAGAGTTGTTCAATGACAGTGAAATCAAGAAGCAGAGGGAGAATGATGAAGCAGGACAGTTGTCAGACTCTGAGGTCGAAGGAAGAAGAAGGAAAAACCAGAGGAGAAAAAACAAGACACGCAAGAACAGCTGCGATAACTTTAGCCATATTAACACAGTTGACATTAATGAAGAGCCTGAAGTTCACCGCAGAAATAAGAGGCATAATGCCTCTGCAAGGAGTCTTGACATTGATAATATGATTGAAGATTTCTATTCTGAGATTCATCGTAGAAGTACAAAGAATGATGTAGTGAACCATCCACATGAAGATTATAAAGAGAAACTGAGGGAGTTGGTCAAGTTCTTGATCAGTCAGAAGCTTTTACATGGGAACCGTCCAAGAGAAAACAGTGAAATCCTTACATCTAAAGACTTAATGGAAGTGTTTCAGATTCTTGGATCGGATGAGGAACTGTTTCTCAAACTTCTGCAAGATCCAGAGATCCTTGTGCCAAGGGACATTCAAGATTCACAAAACTGTCAAACTCAGAAAGGAGGAGAAGAAACCGGAGATGGTCTAGCTTTTTCAGAACAATCTTCTCTAGCTGATAAGAGATGGTCTAGCTTTTTCAGGAAGAAGGATACACCGCAAGAAGCGATTAATGATGACAAAGAATGTGAAGCTTCAGACCGGATCTTCATTCTGAAGCCAAGATCAGCAAGCTTTTCAAGTCCAGACACAGGGAACAGCCGTTGTTCCTCACCTGATTCTCATTTGATGAGACACAAAATGCAGAACGAGAGAAACAGTTCACATTTCTTTCTCTCTGAGATCAAGAGGAAGCTGAAACAAGCAATCAGAAAAGAGCAACCGGGACTGCAACGTGAGGCTGGTGGATTTGGGGAAGGGTTTCCGAAGAATGTGCCAACTAAAGATCATTTCTTTCTCGAGCGGATGGCAAAGCCTTCAATATCTCTGAAGAAACCTCATAAAGTTTCACAAGAGCAGAGTGAAGATGATAGAAAGCAAAGGGTATCTAACATTTACACAGAGGCCAAGAAACATCTGTCTGAGATGTTAAACAATGGAGATCTTAATTCGAACTCAACAAGTAAGCAGGTTCAAAGAACTCTTGGAAGAATCCTCTCCCTTCCTGAGTACTTGTCTCCTTTAAGCAGCCCAGGAAGAAGATTGGAAAAGAACTCAACTGTACACAGGAAGTCTGCTTCATCGGATTTCATAAATGTTGTGAACATCAAGAAGGAAAATCATGCGAGCCAACCAGAGGATGCGATGAAAGATGCTGATGATCAGGTTTGCAATATAAGCAAAGAACCTGAAAATTCTGTCGAGTCTCTCCAACCAACCGCAAGTGAACATACTGAGAAAAGTGTTGACATTGAGGATGGAACTACTAAAGAAGATCAAAACTCTTCTGCAGGTAAAAATAATAATATTTCTGTCCCACTATATGGCTTTTTGTTCACTCTGTTTTTTTTGAAAATACACTAGTTAACCAATCTTCCAGGTTCTGCAGATGATGTTATGATTATTAATGAGATAGATATAGTTCCAGAGGAATCAACCTCTGATTTGGTTGGTGACTTACTCACAGTTGAAGCTCATGAGGAACAGAGAGAGAGTATCATCTCAAAACAGGCAAGCCATTTTGATTTAGCTCTATATAATGTTATCTTTTTGTATAGACTTTGAAATGGTGGAAGACTTAACTCTGTTTTGCTGCTTCGTTTCTTCTACAGACCTCTCATGAAGAAAGCCAACCACCACTGGTTTCCTCTGTGAACTCACCATCTCAATGTTTAGATAAAAGTGAAGAGTGCAAATCAGCTATTACCGATTTTCCGGAGTGGTCAAGCCCAATATCAGTTCTTGAGCCACTCTTCATTGAAGATGATATAAGCCCATCAAAACTTCGATCTCAGTCTGGTATGTAAAAAAACGATCCTAGCATGGATTCTAGTACTTAATTAGTTGTTCATTATGAGCAAACATTGACTCATCTTTACAACTCAGATGAAGCACAGGTGCAACCTTGGTGTATCCACTTTGATGAGAAAGATTCTGCGGCGAAGAATTCTGACAGAACAACCACAAGTGACAAAGAATTGGTGTTTAAGTATGTAAGAGATGTCTTGGACGCAGTAGACTCAGACTTTGAAGAGCTCTACCTGAAGGCGCAATTCTCTGACCAGCTTCTTGAACCGGCACTGATCAGCAACATACCATTCTGTCCAAACCAGCTTTGTCCTGACCATGAGCTCCTCTTTGACTGCATCAATGAAGTTCTCATGGAGTTGTGCTGTTGCCCTCCTTGGGCTTCGTCTGTTACACCAAGAACCAGAGTCTTCTCTACCGTCAAAAGCATCATCCACGAGGTTCAAGAAGCGGTCTACTGGCATCTCTTACCATTGCCACTCCCTCACGCGTTGGATCAAATAGTTACAAAAGACATGGCTAAATCTGGAAACTGGTTAGACATCAGATGTGACATTGACAGCGTTGGCTTTGAGACTAGTGAATTGATTCTCGAGGAATTACTTGAAGAGCTCACTCTTAACTGCCTCAACAACACTGAGCACTCTCTGGTTCCAGCAGAGTTGAAGACCGATGAGAGCATCCTTGTTCTATAAAGGTCATGAAAACAGAGAACTCTCTTCTTCAAGACAAAGCCATTGTTGAGACAGCTGCAATAACTCTGTCACCATTCCTAACTTTCATTAGTGCAGAACCATGTAGATACTCTGTATTACTCAAGTCAATAACTCTCAGAGAGCTCTCTGTGACTGCTGAAAGAGAGAGAGAGACAGAGAGACAGAGAGAGGAGATAAAATGCTTTCGAGACCAGACCAGAAACTATTAGTGGTGGGATACGGTCATTATAGAATCACTTTCATAGACAGGACCATACGTCTCTTCTTCTTTCAGGCTACTTACTACATAATATAGGATATGATTCAAGTTTATTTGAGTGTGTTTGTGTTTGTGTGTGACTTGGAGTTGTGATAGTGTTTTTTTGTTTTGTTTTTATTTCATTGATTTATTTTGTGTGTAATATTTTCATAATTTGACATAACAGTGTATTATGGATTAGGAGTATGAGTGTATGACCTGGTGACAGTTTAATAGTTTTTTTAGTTGATGAAACATGGAGGTGAAACAAAGTTACAAAGTGATCGATCTTGTACCCGAATTCTTACAATAACCGAGAAACTAGGAATCAAGCAAATGCGAATCATACGGCTTGCCGGCTTTTTCTTTTGAACAATCGGATCGTGCTGTGGTTTTGTTTATCTCTTTGCTTCGAATCAACCCCGTTAAAGAAAATACAAACCCTAATAGATACTACTGCCGTGTAGCTCAAGTGAGCCGAATTTCTTACTATGCTTTATTAAAAAAAATTGGTATGGCCCATGCATGTATTATATCTCTTGTAACAAATTAAAAGATATGGCTAAAGCTGGAAATTGGTTAGACATCAAATGTGACATTGACTGCTTTGGCTTTGAAACTAGTGAACTGATTCTCGAGGAATTACTTGAAGAGCTCACTCTCAACTATCTCAACAACACTGAGCACTCTCTGGTCAGCAGAGTTGAAGACCGATGAGAACATTCTTATTTTATAAAGGTCATGAAAACTGAAAACTCTCTTCTTGAAGACAAAGCCATTGTTTAGACAACTGTAATCTCTGAACATAGCCTCACTGTCACCAGTCCTAACTTTCACTAGCGCAGAACCGTGTAGATACTTTGTAGTTTGTATTACTCAAGTCAATAACTCTCAGAGAGCTGAGACTGCTGAAAGAGAGAGACAGAGAGAAGAGATAAGATCCTTTCAAGACCATACCAGAAACTGTTAGTGGTGGGGTCATTATAGAATCACTTTCAAAGACAGGACCCTTTTTTCTTTCAGGATACTACATAATATAGGATATGATTTAATGTTTTATCTGAGTGTGTTTGTGTTTCTGTGTGAGATGGAGAGAGTTGTGATAGTGTTTTTTTTTTTCATTCGATTTAATTGATTTATTGTGTGTGTAATATTTTCAGAATTTGACATTGCAATGTGTATCATGGATTGGGATTTGGGAGTATGACTTGGTGACAATTTTAAAGCTTTTTAAGCTGATGAAAGTTTTTAAAGTATATTCTTTTTTGTTGATGAAAACTTAAAAAGATATCAGTATGGTGGTGGGTTGCTGATTTTAAATCTGTAGAGATTTTGTTTACTCGAAGGAGAAATAAAATTTAAGAATCATGATACCCATATATATAAAGTTTTGGATAATGTTCGTAGTTGTTGCACTTTATGCCCTACTTAGTGAATAACATTTGTTTTGATGGGATTTGGTTATGTGGACACAATAGATAGTACACCTGATAAAGATGGATTTTAAACTAGTTACTAAAGTGAAATATTCATACTAAATTGTGAAACTCATGAAACAGTTTTACATTTGAATAATTCAGAAAACAGTTATAAGATTTATTAAAAAAAAGAATCTATCAATAACATAATTGGATCATATTATGCAACGCATGGAATAACAAAAAGAATGAACACTAATGGTAAAGACCGTAACTTAAAAAGAAAAACAACTACACACTTTTTTCTGAACATGAATCTTGTGAATTTTACTTTCAGCTATAAATATAGGGAAAAAGTAAGGATTCAACACTATTTTATAATTAAAGATTAGTCTTTAACCTTTGAAAAAAAAACTCTTTAAACCAGTGTTTCCAAAATCGATCTATGGAAATTCCTTTAGTTCAGTGGTCGGCAGTTTCACTAATGGCTTCTACGCGAAAAAATATGAGTTTCAAATCTCAGAAGATGCGATTTCTGCAGGTTACTAAATGAATATTCGCATAAAGAAAACAAGAGCAGATAAGGAAATTTTTTAGAACGGGTGATATTCATGGTAGGTTCACATAATGATGAATCTTGGTAGAATAGTTAATTATCCGTTAATAATTATCCTTGTAATTGACGTTATAAAAAAAATCAGTTTTTCCAAAATTGATCTAAGTAAAGTTTTTAATTTCGAAATGGTAAAATCTAAACCATAAAAAAGGAAAAATAAAAATGAATGTTGTATCACAAGACGAAACCCTTGTTTGCTTCCACCATCATGTCAAACTAGACTAATAAATACCATTTAGACCCTTCCAACATAAGAGACAAGCAGAGGAAGAAACTCGAGGGCAAAATCGGAAATATATTACCAGGAAAAGGTTAAGATTTTCTTACCAGAACAGTGTTGTGTTAGATCGAATTCAATCGTGGATCAATCGAAGAGAGTTTGTTGCTGCTTCTATTCGATTCTTGTTGGTGTTTGGTGTTGTTCTGTTCCTTGTTTTCTTCTTCCTCGAGCTCGCGAAACAATTTCCACATCCGAATTTACGGAATCCGAAAATCTGCGAAAAGGAATTTAACAGAGCAGCATTCGTATTCGTCGTCGTCATTACACCAAAAGCGAGAAAAAGTGCAGAAGAAGAGAGATTGAAAAAGAGTCAAAGTTTAACGAAGCCCAAGAAGACTCTTTGCTTCTTCTTCTTCTTCTCCTTGTGGGCCTTTTTTCTTAATTGGTTTCGTCTTTCCTTCTCTCCCTTTGTGAATCTCTCGCTCTCTAGATTTCCCCTTCTTCCGAAACCTTCAATTTCTTCAAAGCTCGGAGCTTTTGCTTCCAGTCCCCTCCTTGATTTGTCGAATCTCTGGGTTCTTCGAGCTTGTCTCATCAGGGTCGAGGTCGAATTCGCGGAATTTGCTGTCAAAACCCTAACTTTCGTGGCTCCGGGTTGTGGGGTCATCTGGAGCTCCTATTGGTTAGTTTCCGATTTGAAACCCTAGTTTGTATGTTTATCGTATGGTTCAATATGCTCACGTAGTTCGATTTGGTAAATTTGATTACGGTGATTGTTAACTAGCTCATATTCAGTAGAATCTCCTCTGCTTCTATCTGGATTTGTTGTTCTCTTTCTTTCTCTGCTATGTTCGTAGCTAGAAGCCAGCTAAATTGATTTGTGTGTTTTCAACCGGAAATACACTGTTCTTAGATAAAGCCTCCAAATTTAATTTTGATTCTGTTTCTGTTTCATTGTTAGAAATTTTAGTCATGGTAGTTATTCATAAATGGCTTCATATGTCTCTTCGAGTTTTATTGCTTCATTATGGTTAGTTTACATTTACTAAAGCGATCATCTTTTGCTCTTCATCATAGTGTACAATTATGTGTCTTTGGGGTGGTTTCTGTATCATGCTACGCTCAGAATTGCGCTCGAGGTGATATGTGTTATAGGGAATGTTTTAGGCTGTAATTTTGAAGAGAATGCCAAGAGTTTAAACTATAGACAGTTTGTGTAGGGTTGTGAGCTAGTTTAGACAGCTGATCTTGATATGGTTTCAAACAACTGAATTTGATAGTTTAAAGCCAAGTTTCCTCAAGCCCTCAAGTTTTTTATATTTGCTTATACGAGTTCAGTGTAAGTTGAACACCGGGGGTACTTTAATGTTTCAGGGGTTACTTCCGGCAAAGGTGTTGCACTGACCTAAGTGCTAAGTTTATGCTGTAAGGAGAAATTGCAAAATAAAAAAGTGGAAGTCCATGAAAAAGTTCCTTATGGTGCTAGAATGTGGATTACTTCTTAGAGTTTATTATGGTATGTTGATGTCAGAACCAGTATGCCGGTTATAGTTTGGAGAGATGCAAAGGTATCAGGCTGCAAACTGCACTAGTGCAGTCAACAATAGCGCTATAGGTGGTGCATCCGCTAGGGACTCAGGAAGAGCTGATTCCTCCTCTTCCATTGGAAACTACTCGTTAAACTCCAGGCATGTTGTCAGAAAAGAAGTTCTTGCATAGCGTTTTATATATGTTGATACACTTGAAAAGACGTTTGTGTATACATCTTTTTTTACTGCAGGAGGCCACCCCCACCCTCAGGTCCCCCAGTACCATTGATTCCCTACAGGTTGAAGTGTGAAAAGGACGGTCTGAATTCCCGGTACTTCCTCTTTCACCTTATCCCTAATTTAGTTTTTGTATCTACCCATTATAGCTGATCCCAACCTCTGCTAGTTTGGGATTTCACTATTTTATCTTCGCAAGGCTAATTCGTTGTATGCTTGTCAATGTGTGAAGTTGGCGTCTCTTTTCCATTCTTGATTTACTTTACTAGATGGTTTATACATTTTTCTCCAAAATATTGCAGACTAGGACCGCCTGATTTTCATCCCCCAACATCAAGTTCTCCCGAAGAGAATCTGACCAAAGAGTATGTTCAATTTGGATACAAGGAAACTGTTGATGGCCTTAAGGTATACATACAACTGAATTTAGCGATGTTTTCCTTTTTCTTTTGACCCCAGTAGTTTTTGCCGCACTAATAGCCATCTTCTAATAGAGATTTTGTGCCTTTGGCTTATTTAGGAAGCCGAAGAGATTATATTGTCCCAAGTCTCTACTTTTTCGAAGCCTGTCGTCTTAAAGTGCAAAGAGGTATGGTATTAGAGATTATAGACGGTGCTTTCTTTCTTATAGTCGTGATCTCTGTTGGAGTTTGTTTGTGTTTCACATGAAATTGAAATAAATTTTGTTCCTGCAGGCTGTCAGAAAGTGTCTTAGAGCTATCAATGAGTCTCGTGCACTGAAGCGCAAGGTATTCTTGAGATTTTGACTTCATTTCTTTTCAATTTTAGAATGTGCACTTTCTGCAGAATTTTAGGGTTTCTGTCCTAATCATTGTGCTATAATTTTGATGATAGGCTGGTCAGGTCTATGGGGTGCCTCTCTCTGGTTCGCTTCTATGTAAACCTGGATTCCCAGAACAAAGACAATATGGGGAGGAGACGAGGAAGAAATGGATCGAGGTAACCTTGACATATTATTATGCTTATCGAAACTTCTTAATGATGCTCTTTTCATCCATGTTTGTTGCCATACTTGTAGCATTACTTCCATTTCATAAATATTTATATAAATTTAATGGTTTTTGGAAAAACTAACAACTCAAGTCTTCGTGAGTCTTTAGGGAATTTTGACCAATGGATAGCACATGTATTAGATCTTTCCAAAGTTGAATATTTAACTAATTCTTGCTCTCATTTATTTCTCAGAGTTTGTCACAACGGCACAAACGATTGCGCTCTTTGGTTGATAACGTTCCTGTATATAGGAAAAAACCTTTATTTGAAGTCCTTATAAGAAACAATGTCCCATTACTGAGATCTACTTGGTATACAAAAGTATATTATCTTAATCAGGTACGTTGTTGGGAAATAAATTGATTATCTTTAATTGATTTCTCTGTGTGTTGGTGGATATCAATTTTTGTTTCCAACTTGCAGGTGCGACCTAGTTCTGCGGCTATTTCTTCAGGAACACCTGACAAGACACTAGGTTCTCGGTGTGAGCAATGGACAAAAGAAATTATTGATTATTTGCAAAACCTTTTGGATGAATTTTTGTCACGGAATAGTTCATATCCTGCTCAGCAAACTAGAGATAGGTCGCCGCAGATGCTTTATGCCGGATCAATGCAAAAGATTAGTCCAGGATCAGCTACTCTCTACGGTGAGGAACCATCTCTGCATTATAAATGGTGGTACATGGTGCGTCTTGTACAGTGGCACCATGCTGAAGGGCTTCTTTTACCTAATCTCATTGTTGATTGGGTTCTCAGGCTCTTACAGGTATGCTCCTAGAGAGATTAATTAATTGATTCAAGGTGGAATTGTTGTCTTCGTCTTTGTGATTTTCCCTTGTACTTTATTGCAGGAAAAGGAGGTCTTTGAAATATTGCAGTTGCTACTCCCCATTGTATATGGTGTTTTAGAGAGTATTGTTCTCTCTCAGACATATGTGAAGAGTCTTGTAGCTATTGCTGTCCGTTTTATCCAGGAACCTGCTCCTGGTGGATCCGATCTTGTTGATAACTCTCGAAGAGCTTATACTCTCTCTGCTTTAACTGAGATGGTTCGCTACTTGGTACTTGCTGCACCCGACACATTTGTTGCTTCGGATTGCTTCCCTCTACCTCCTTCCATAGCAGCGTGTGGACCCAATGACGTTAGCTATGCATCAAAGGCATATGAGAATCAGGAAAAGCGGAGAGATAGTTCTGCAGAGATTTCTACCCAGTTTCAAGGGAGAGGAGTTGATTCCCGGTTTGAGTTCCTTTCTTTTGATTATACCATTTCAACCATTCAAAGAAGTGCAGATGACTTGGCAAAGATAGCTAGCGCTGGTTCTCCTCAACATAACGTGGCTAAAGCTGTTCAGGCCTTGGACAAAGCTTTGTCGGATGGAGATATCAGAGCTGCTTACTGTTATCTCTTTGAAGACCTTTGCAATGGAGTTGTTGATGAAACCTGGATTGCTGAAGTCAGCCCATGCTTAAGATCATCCCTTAGATGGATTGGGGCTATTAGCACATCCTTTGTTTGCTCCGTTTTTTTCCTTATCGAATGGGCGACATGTGATTTTAGAGATTTCCGGGCTGGTGTGCCTAAAGACATCAAGTTCTCTGGCAGAAAAGATTGTTCTCAGGTGTATTTAGTTATTCAGCTGCTGAAGCAAAAAATTCTGGGTGGAGAATTCACAGGTCGCAGAGGAAAGAACCGTCGCAGCACTTTTCCTGGTGTTTCTAAACCTAGCAGTTCGATGGATGCATTTGAAAGTCCGGGCCCATTACATGATATCATTGTCTGTTGGATTGATCAGCATGAGGTACACAGGGGAGGAGCAAAGCGCTTGCAGTTACTCATTTTTGAGCTTATACGTTCTGGACTCTTTAACCCCATAGCATATGTGAGACAACTCATAGTTAGTGGGATGATTGATGTGATTCAACCTGCTGTTGATCCTGAAAGGAGAATGAGGCATCATCGTATATTGAAACAGCTACCTGGTAGTTTTGTGCATGACGCTTTAGAGGAGGCACAGCTCTTAGGAGGGGATAAGCTTTCTGAGGCTGTGAGAACTTATTCAAATGAACGGCGCCTTCTTCTTCGAGAGTTGCTTGTTGGTAAAGGTAAATATTTGAATAATTTAGTTCTGACAGATCAGAAGCCAAAGAAAACTTCCACTGCTCTTCCGTCAGTTGATTTTTCAAGGACGTTTAATGCCATGACCGATAATGACGGGCTTCAAAAACATACCAAGAGCAGTGCGGATATTAGTGAACTAAAGGAGCGCATATCAGCTCTGCTGCAGTTTCCAAGTATGTCATGTGGTGTGACAAATCCAATGCGAGATGAATCTCAAAGTAGTGTTAAGAGATCAAGTGGATCTGTACATAGCAAGATGAATCAACTAGAAGCTACACCAGGGTGTGAAGACTGTAGAAGAGCAAAAAGACCAAAAACGAATGATGAAAAGAGCTCTTGGTATCAAGGGAATTCACCATTTGGATCAGATGAAGAAGATAACTGGTGGAGCAAGAAGGGATCAAAAATTCTGGAGCCTTCTCTGAAGGTTGATCCTCCGATAGAGTTAACAAAACAAGTACCACGTGGTAGGCAGAAGATGGCGCGTAAAACACAGTCGCTGGCTCAATTACAAGCTGCTAGGATAGAAGGTAGTCAGGGCGCTTCAACAAGTCATGTTTGTGATAATAAAGTTAGCTGTCCTCATCATGTCCCTGGAGTGGAAGGAGAAAACCATAAGGTGGTTGATGTGTTTAGAACTTCAACCCCTGTGGATATTGTATCTATTGGAAACTCTTTGAAGCAGCTGCAGTTTGTTGATAAGCGGTCTATTGCAGTTTGGCTTACAACTGTGGTTCGGCAACTTGTTGAAGAGTCCGAAAAGAGCAGTGTGAGAGTTGGGCAGTTCAACAGAGGTGCTCCAGTTGAAGAGAAGAGCACAACTAGGTGGAAGCTTGGGGCAGACGAGCTATCTTCTATATTATTTCTCATGGATCTCTCTCTTGACTTGGTTTCGGTGGTTAAATTTCTTCTTTGGTTATTGCCAAAGGCCAACAGTAGCCCAAGTTTTGCCGTTCAAGGTGGGAGAAACCTTCTGATCGTGCCAAGAAAAGTCGAAAACAGCTTGTGTGAAGTAGGGGAGGCTATACTAGTATCATCACTTAGGAGGTGGGTTTTACTTCCGTTCAATAAGTGATATTAGTCATCTATATTCTTACAAATGTATTCCTAGAAATATAATTCGTGTGTATGATAATTTTCTTTCAGGTATGAAAACATTCTACTTTCAGCAGATCTTGTTCCTGAGGCCATGACAGCTCTGATGGCCCGTGCTCAATCACTTATGTCCAGTAATGGGAAAATTTCTGGATCAGCAGCCTTGGTTTATGCTCGCTATATTTTGAAAAGATATGGAAGTCTTCCCGGTGTGGTGGAATGGCATAACAATTTCAAAGCAACAGGCGAAAAGAGGCTTCTCTCTGAACTTGATCATACGCGTTCAGGAAACAGTGAGTATGGAATCCCTCTTGGGGTTCCGGCAGGAGTAGATAATCCTGATGACTATCTACGTAAAAAGATCAGCATCAGTGGTACACGTCCTTCAAGAGTGGGTTTGAATATGCGAGAGGTTGTGCAGCGATATGTTGAAGAGGCGACTCATTATCTCAGAAAACTCATTGGTACTGGGACTATGAAAGCCTCACTTGCTGAGAAAAATGATGACGGATATCAGGTGGCTCAACAAATAGTAGTTGGACTAATGGACTGCATTAGACAGACTGGCGGTGCAGCACAAGAAGGTGATCCCTCTTTGGTTTCTTCTGCGGTTTCTGCGATCATAAACAGTGTAGGCGTTTCCATGGCAAGGATTTCAGATTTCTCAGTGGGAAATGTTTATCAGAATCATCCATCTGGTGTAGATTCGTCTAATATTGCACGGTATATTTTACAAATCCATATAACCTGCCTGTGCCTCTTAAAGGAAGCTCTTGGAGAGCGTCAAAGCCGAGTGTTTGAAATAGCGCTTGCAACAGAAAGTTCCACTGCTCTTGCTGGAGCTTTTACCCCTGGGAAGGGATCCCGGGCTCAGCATCAGCTATCTCCTGAATCCTATGATTCCAATGCTAACAACACGACAAATGATATCCCCAACGGTACTGGCAAAATTGCGCTGAGCAGAGCAACAAAAGTTACTGCATCTGTATCTGCACTTGTTATAGGTGCTATCACACATGGCGTCATAACCCTTGAGAGGATTGTTGGTCTGCTGAGACTGAGGGAGCACTTAGATTTTGTTCAGTTTGTAAGGCGTACAAAATTGAGCTCTAATGGCAGTGCTAGGTCCGTGGGGGCCTCTAAAGTGGAAAACCCTATTGAAGTTTATGTACATTGGTTCAGGCTCCTTGTTGGTAACTGCAAAACTGTTTCGGAAGGGCTGGTTTTGGAGCTTGTGGGAGAACCTTCAGTGGTGGCTATATCGCGTATGCAGCGGATGCTTCCATTAAAGTTGGTCTTCCCACCAGCGTATTCAGTTATTGCTTTTGTTCTATGGAGGCCTTTTGTATCGAATGGTAACTCTAACTCCAGCGTCCACGAAGACGCACACCGCCTTTATCAGTCTTTGACGATGGCCTTCCATGATGTGATTAAGCACCTTCCCTTCCGAGACGTGTGCTTGAGAGACACCCAGGGACTTTATGAACTGATAGTTGCTGATTCCACAGATGCTGAGTTTGCATCAGTACTTGAGTCGAATGGTTTGGATATGCAGCTGAAATCTGTGGCCTTTGCTCCTCTTCGTGCACGTCTTTTCCTAAATTCCATAATTGATTGTAAGGTGCCATCCTCTGGTTATTCCCACGAAGGAGTTAGTGAAGCTAAAAACCGACACCAAGGAAATGGAACAAAGCTTGTGGACAAACTCGTATCTGTATTAGATTGCCTGCAACCTGCAAAGTTTCACTGGCAGTGGGTTGAACTCAGGCTGCTTCTAAACGAGCAAGCACTAACTGAGAAACTCGACAATCATGATATGCCTTTGACAGATGCAATACGATCTTCCTGTCCTACCTCTGAGAAGCCTGAGGCCTCTGAGAATGAGAAAAATTTCATTCAAATCCTCCTCACAAGGTTATTGGTTAGGCCTGATGCGGTCCCACTTTTCTCGGAAGTGGTTCATCTCTTCGGTAGGTCGGTTGAGGAGTCAATGTTAAAGCAAGCCGAATGGTTTCTAGCAGGTCAAGATGTTCTCTTTGGACGAAAAACAATCAGACAAAAACTGATTATAGTAGGTGAGAGCAAAGGATTTCCCACGAAACCTCAGTTTTGGAAACCTTGGGGTTGGTGCAACAGCTCTAGTCCTGATCCTATCACGGCAAACAAGGCAGGGAAGAAAAGGAAGTTGGAGATTGTTTCTATGGAAGAAGGGGAAGTGATCGAAGAAGGGTCAGGTTCAAAAAAGGTATTATTACCGCGGGCATTAGATAACAATAGTCCCAGTGTTGGCTATGGGATTACAACTGAGAGGGCTTTTGTTCAGCTAGTGCTTCCCTGCATAGATCAAAGCTCTGATGAATCTCGAAGTACCTTTGTGAATGAGTTGGTAAGACAGTTTAGCAATATTGAGCAGCAGTTAAGTTCAGTTACCAGCCGCAGTATAACGAACAGCAAGATCGTGGGAACTGCTTCTTCTGGCTCTGAGGTTTCATCAACTAAAGGAAGCACCCGCAAAGGCCTTCGTGGTGGTAGCCCTAGCATGGCAAGAAGATCCTCAACTAATACTACTGACACTGCACCGCCGCCTTCCCCTGCTGCTTTGAGAGCTTCAATGTCTTTACGGTTGCAATTTCTTCTAAGATTACTGCCTGTCATCTGCGGGTACTCACTCTCGACCATCTTCTTTTGTTTAGGCAGATTTGTTGAAAAGTCATATGAAATGGCTCCTCCTGTGTTTACCGAACCAAAACCTTAGTTATCTTTCTTTGTTTGGCTATTAATTTTGCAGGGAACCTTCATTTAGGAACACGAGGCATGCACTTGCGTCTACAATAGTTCGTCTGCTTGGAAGCCGAGTAGTTTATGAGGATTCTGCTGTATGCTCTCCTCGTAGTGACCTATCAAAAGCAGAGACAGAATCAACAATAGATCCTTCTTCCATGGCAGATCTTTCTAGTGAGGTCTTATTTGACCGGCTACTGTATGTACTCCATGGGCTGTTAAGCAATCACCAGCCAAATTGGCTAAAGCCAAGGTCTTCCTCTAACGAATCATCCAAAGACTTTACCTTGTTTGATCGCGATGCAGCAGAGAGCTTACAGGTCTGTTAAAAAGAACATCCTCCAGCGTCTTGTCTTCTCGACTGAAAATTACAATCTTAGAAGTTTCTTGTTTTGTTTTGCTGTCAATAATGCAGAATGAGATTGCGAGGATGCAGTTACCAGACACCATTAGATGGCGGATCCAAGCAGCGATGCCGATCCTCCTTCCTTCTCTACGGTGTTCTCTCTCGTGTCAGCCACAAACTGTTCCGCTAACTGCACTGACACTGGTTCAACCCTCGGGTTCTGCTGCTGCTGGACCACCCAATCAAAGAAACTCCCCTGTCTTGCCAAAAACCGGAACTGCAGCAGCGCAAGGGAAGCTGAAGCAGACAGCGTTGTCACCACATCAACAACAAGAAGCAGACAACACGGATGTGGTTGACCCATGGACGATTCTAGAAGACGGGACAAGCTCAGCTCCATCAAGCAGCAACGCTTCTAACAGCAGCGACATGGGTAATCTTAGAGCCACCTGTTGGCTAAAAGGTGCAGTGAGGGTCAGACGGACTGATCTGACTTACGTTGGTTCAGTGGACGACGACAGCTGAAATTGTTATACTGTTTGATAGTTATTTTGATGATCAAGAGAGCTCTTAAAAGCTGAGAAGCAAGCAAAGGAGCACAAGGCTTGGATCTTCGGTGCCTTAGACTCTGTATCATTTATTCAAGGCACAGAAGATTGAAGAAGGAAGGAAGGAAGGAAGTCTTAATGAGAGATCTCTGAGTCTGTGTGGCTTCTTCAGATGGATCTTTGTATGTTAACTACTAACCCTTTTGGTTTTTGGTCACACCACCCGGACCAATGCTCTGGTTCGGAACCCTGTTGTATATATAGGGGATTCGATATTAATTGTCTCAGTTTCTTGTTCCATTATTTATCCACTAAAAGAATATTATTATTATCCCCCTTGAATACTTACTACATGTAGCCTTCCTTGTTGATGAAGAACAACACTTCTTTCTCTATTTTTGTTGCATGATGCAGTCTCTGGGACTTAATGGGGAAACTTAGCCGTAAAATATGTTATTATCCTTTTGGATGTGTAAATGGAACTGAATATTTTGTCTTTTTCAGGGTTTAACATTGATTTGATCTAAGATTTACTTACAAGAGAGGGAAACAGAAGGAAGAGAAACATAGAAATCATAAGTGAAGTCAAAATCTACAACAACTTATTCACTGCCTCTCATGGTTTTGTCTACATAGAGAACATCATCAATCCAAGCAACTATGTTAAAAGCTAAACCTTCAAGTACTCTTGAATAGCTCTCCAACACAGCTTTTCCAACATCCTGAAACCACAAAAGAAAAGAGACAACCTCAATCTCCATAGAATAATTTTGGCTCAACTGACTTTTCTTTCATGAATTTACCTTATTGTACTGAATCTTGCATATATCTAATGATGTCTGAGACAACTCTGGGTAACGCTGTTTCAAACAGAAGAGCAGAGTCTCTGCTCTCTCAGCCAAAACATAGTTCTTGTCTGTTCTCTCTGTATTTGACATGAGATCTTTCACCAAGTTCCATGAGTTCTTAGAGTTACTAAGACAAGCTTTGCGTCTCCATGTGTACATGGAAGCTTCTACTCTATCTGCTAACTGAACAGCTTCGTGCTCAGACGCTATGTTCAGACAATCCAAGAGTTGTTCTGGGAAAAACCGACCCGAACTATTCATGTAACGGTAGATCGAATCTCCAACACTGCTTTTACCACACTGCAGACATTGAAAACTTAAATGAACATCCAAAGTCTAATGAAATGAACATCTATGAAGGTTTTGTTTTGAAGTGTAACAAAGAAGAAACCTTTGGAAGAGTTGCCATGTAAGAGTCTGGAATCTCCATTTCACAGAGAATGCTACTGTTGATAGCCATTGCAGCTTTGTGAATCTGATTGGTACTCTCTCTCTTGTTCTTGAGTTGTTTTCTTGCTTTATCTGACAAACCTTCTGATGGCACTAAAGGAACCGGTAACCACCATTTCTCTTCTTTCCTCTGTACTATAACTTTCCTGAAAGATCCAGTCGATGAACGCGCAGATTTCATCGACAGACTTCCTTCTTCTGCATACCAAAACTCTGTGTTCTGAAAACTATCCAATGCTTCCTGTAAAACAAACAAAGATCAATCAAGAAGATCTTGCACATGATTCATAAAGATATATATATATATTATGTTTTCAGATAATATATATATTACCATAAGCATTGAATCTAGCTTTCTCAATGCAGGTAAGTTGATATATATATCTGCTCTTGGTCTGCTCTCCATTACCTGACAAAACAGTACACAACCAATAAAGTTTTCAACTTTTCTTCTTAAAACAGATAAAAGTGAGAAGTGATGTTACCTCAACAGTGGCTCCATTGCTTAGACTCTGACATCTAGGGATGAATTCGACTATGTAATCGCATACCGATAAAAGACAATTCATTTCTCTCTTCCACATTGCTCTCTTCTCTGTTTCTAACGGCTCTAACCTCAGATTCTGCCCAAACACTGTTGCTGCAAACATTCATTTTGAAAAGGGCACATAAGTATATGCATCAGGTGAAGAATATTTTACAGTTGCTTAATAGTATTTTTACCATAAAGATTGGTAATTGCGTTTGAGATGGTAACCGCAGTGCAAACTCCTTTACCACTTCCTGACATATCTTCTCCAAGTAGAAGCTTTGCGAATCTTTCCTTCATTGTCTCAAGTTCTGCACAAAACCTAAAACACATTTTAATTTCAGAAAGAAAAAAAAAAGTAGAGAAACAGAGAAAAAGAGAGAGAGAACACAGTACCTGGTTCTGAAATTTCTTGGACTGCAAGATTTTGAGTTGTTTGAATCTCAAGACCGGCGCTGAGACATTTGGAGCTCTCATCAGACTTAGATTCAGTGAGGACAGGCCAATTACTAGGAGATGATTCACTACAGAAGCTGTTGGTTTCATCTATTTGGTCTGAAAACCCTGAAGTAGTGTCTGAACAAGTTCGAGGATAAACAAAGGAATCTATGCTCATCGTCGAGTAAACCGGAGTTTCTACTGCGGATTGATCATTTGGGTCAATAGATCGAGGTGATTGATGATAACCCGCGTCGTCGTTTTCATCTATATTCGATAAATTCTCCATCTTTAAGCTGAAATTTCCAAAATGTTCTTGATCTGTTTCTTCTGAAGAAATCACACACATTACAAATGTAATTATAGTGAAACTTTAGAATATGAATCTGAGATTTGAAACTGGGAATATATTTTTGGTTTCGGATAGTGAAATTTCTAGGACCAAAGCACAATAAAGCCAGAACAAACGGAATAAATATTCCAAAAATAAGCAAAAAGCAGAATTTCGCTGAATAAGAACATACATGTAATTCAAAAAAAAAGTTTTCACAGATAACGATCGCGAGAAAAAACTGAAACTTTAAATTTTAAAAGAACGTTAAAGTAAAAATCAAAAGCAACGGTCTTTATTTGATTTACCTTTAAAGCTTCTTGCTTCGAATATTTGAATGAACGTTTTAAAAATCCAATTCCCTCCTCTCTTATCGTTGGAAGTTTTCAGGTGAAGATGATGACCACCGGAAAAAAAATGGACTAGTAGTGGACCGTCCGATCTAAAGAAGGATTGATATTGGCTTTTTCTTGGCTTCAACAACAAGTGTTGTGGTTCTATGAGATCTTCTTACCCCTTAAAGAGCTGTTGAACATTTTGTCTATTTGCTCCTATACTTTATGGTTCTCTTGTTGGTTAAAATATTATACAAGTATGGAGTATTATTTTCAATCAATCGTTTAAATTATTAATGACTGAACATTTACCACGGATTTATTTTTGTTTTCTCGTTTTCAAACGAGTAAATAAATTTATAGATAAAACAATTACATATCATATTTTGTTCTCTTTACGACATTAGACATATCATGTATACGTTCAGCATTACTTGTTGCAACTGGAAAAAATCAACACTATTTAAGAATTCAAAACTCGTTCGTGATTAATTTGTTCGTCGAAATATTTAATTTTATGAAAGATCTTGCTGAGATGCGAGTGAATGTTCAACGTATATCACCTTTTGACCTTTATCGTTTTTGTAGAAGAAGTAATCTTTGGTCGGTCTAGTATACAAACCCCATCGGAAATTTAATTTAAAAATTTATGTGTCAACCGTTTATTAAATTTAGACCAATGATCACATGGCTTGAGTTTAGCTTAGTCCCCATGTAGCCTACACGATTAACTGCAACTCATAGTAGGTGATTATTTTATACTATATTAGTGTATTATTGTTTCAGTTATAATTTAGCACATGATAACTTAGTGTAATGGAGGAGATGAAATATATATTGCATGGTTCGTGCTTGAGACAGACGTGCGTCCCATTTTCTCCTTGTAACAAAGCCTACTACTCATTTTGCATATATTTTATTTCTGCGTTATTATTTTAGTATATCTGACTGCGTTATTATTTTAGTATATCTGACTATGGCAAATTGGCAATACACATTGTTAACTACTTTCAAGTTCAACATACCTGCTAATTTCTATAATTTATTTGTTGAGATTCATTCAACATATCTATAAAAAAAAAATGCTTTATCAAACAATGTGAACTCTAACAAGATCAAATATATAATGAACAAAATATGTGTAAAGCGTTTTTAGATTGGTTGAGAAATTAAATGAGAGTAAGAAAAATGTTACATCGAAAGATATAAATGCATGCCATTTATTACATTAGAGATTGAAGGTGAAAAAAATTAAAGTCATCAACAGTTTCTTATTCTTGCCCATCACGATACCGTGAAATGGTTGATCGAGAAACCCTAGCTACGAATAGAAACATTGCTTATAGTTTATTAGTCGACGAAACAATAAAGAGGTTTTGCATTGATGAGACTTTTCCTGCTTGCCCATGCAGCTACGAACCTAAAATGTTTGCACAAACTTAGATATCAAATAAATGTCATCGCTCGTACTTGATTCATTCCCAATCGGGTTATGTAATCAGCATTATGTGACTCGGAACTATAGATATGAGTTTCATAAAAAATATTAAGCTAAAAACAGAAAAGAGGTTTGATGATGATGACCTTTTATCATTTTAGTTCTCTTTTAGTTGATATTTGGTGGTTTTGCGGAAGCAATAGAGGAGAAACCTTAGCAAAGGGAGTTTCATCACATTCAGAAATGGAGAAATCATTGCTTCGTCACGGTTTCTACCTTCCATCTTCAATTCCCATGCCTTCCTCTGCAATTTATCCTACACAAATAAAAGTTTTTTTCTTGAGGAATTTTAATGTCATAATTTCTGTCGTTATTCTTGAATATTCCAATGTGCTCAAACAGCTAAGACTAGTAGCATGAGTCACCACAAGCATTATCATGTTCTAAAGAGCTCCATTTTCCTAAGGTTAATTGATTTACCGTTGCCATGAATCTCAATCCGACTTTTAATTCGCCTTTAAAAGTATCATCGTCAAGAACAACATTGTATGGAGCTGGTTTAACTTCCATGTATCCTCTCTCACGTCCTTCGGTTATTATCCCTCCAATATGAATTCTGTACCAAAAAGATTCACAAACACATGAATGGATGGTATTATATCTTAATATTGCTTATGCTAAACCCACTCATTTAAAAAAAATAAATAAAAAAAAATAATTAGCTTACATGGTTTCACCGACAAATCCACCATCTTTGAAGAGTTCTTTGTCCATGATTCTAAACTTGATCTGGATCAGCTTCTTCCATTGAGTCATTGGGAAATCGAACACAAACTTTTGGTTCCACAATGCGTTTTCATTATCACCTGCTTACATAAAGAACCACAAGTATCTTTTAAAACTAAGTTTCGTTCAGAGACACATTACATGGATACACAACAAAAACTATATCAGTAACAAAACTTGAACCTTTGGACATTTTGCTTCGATATTCCTTTACCCCACATTGTAACAACACGTAATAAACAGGACTTCCTGCAACCAAATAATAATTACTATGTTTGATATCTAGATACACAAATTTTGAAGAAATTTTGTCTTTTTATAGTCTATAGTCACCAATAAAATTTGTGTGTGTGATTCCATGAGCATCAACGAGAAATACTTCCAATATTCCTCTCTTCATATGTACCATTTAGGATTCAGATTTAGCCAAAAATGACCAGAAGCTGAAAGAGAATGTGAATTGTAGCGAAGGTGCATATAAATTGGGATAATGCAAAGTTATAACATTAAGTTTTATAGTGCACCATAACATTTACTACTTCTTTGCAGGCTCTATGAGTTACAATAAAAACACCGTACAAATCATGCATTTAAGAAACAGTTTTCAGTAACTACCTTTATTTTAAGTTACATTCTCCGGCTAGTAAAAATATCAATCCGTTTCTTCAGGATTCAGCAAGAAACTGAAGGGAAAAATCATGAAAAAAATCACCCATCTGAACAAAGGGGGAAATCAAGCAGGGTGCTTCTCTTATCAAACGGGCTTGTTTCAGCCCAAAAGGCCACTTAAAATTATAAACATACTTTAAAACCCTACGAGAGAACAAACACAGGTTACGTGACTTTTACGGTAAACCTTATTCGATCTTTGTACAAGAATAATGACGGCCAAAAAAATGAACATAATCCCACAATGCAAAAAAAAATAAGAAGAAAATCTGTGTATAATAAAAAGCATGAGTCGTTTGTATTACTTACCAATTGGCTTTGAGGTAGAACCGTAGAAATCTCATGATCATAATCCTTTACCTAATAGGGTACACTGAAACTATATTTTACGAGAAAGGGATATAAAAACATGATCCAAGAATGGTCTCTAAAGAATCATCTTCAAGGGGAGACGAACATAAGCCAAAGGCAAAGCCAATTCGTTTTTTTTTTAGGCTTACAAGATTAATGAATAACAAAATTGCTTAAAGCCTTCTCGCAACATTTAGCAAACTTTCGAAATTTCCCACCAAACTCGGCAACGATTACATCAAAAAAAACCTGGAAAACTCGATGTAAAGTTAAAGACATATAGTCTCACCAAACATCAAATGATATAACAACATTGTAACAAAAGTTTAACAACAATAATATTTTTACAAAAATCATCAAGAAAGCCCTAAGTAGTTCTCACACTCTCCCCAATGACTCTCCTCAGCTCTCGCTTAATCATTCCTACTGACGCAACTGCATCCCCACGGAACTGCATATCCCCCAAAACGTTACGTGTGAGTCAAAAAATCAAACACCAAGAAGAAGAATGTTTTTCAGAATTTACCTTTGCCTTGAGATTCAGTGTGAGGAACCCGTTAGCTGTATGAGATCTAACAGAGAAAGCATCCATGTGAAGATTGCTCAGAGTTTCCATGATGTCTGCAACTATGTAGTCTCTGTACGAACATCTTACTTCGATCACAACGTCTGTTTCTTTGAGTTTCACTCTCAAATGTGTCTCATCTCTGAACACAGTGATTTGTTCGGTTTCTCCTGCGTTTCCATCGACCTTCGTGCTGACATCGTAATTCCCTGATGTCTCTTCGATCAACACAGAGTCGTTAAGGCTCTTTGTCGTCTTTCTTTGCCTCTCTACGAAATTAACTGATCCCATACAAGATTCTAGCTCCTCTACTCTTTCCTCCAGCTCTTTCAAGTACTTGATTGTATTGTTTAGTATCGATTCTTTATCAACCTGTATAAAAAGTTCAAAACAAAGTCATATGGTTGAAACTTGAAACCAAAGCAAGCCTTGTGTCTGTGAGAAAGTAGGCCTTTAAGGATTAGAAACAAAATACCTCGTTGACAGTGGGAACCATAGCTCTAAGGACACTGAACTTTTCGTCCTCCTTTCTTCTATCCGAAGGTTCATCTTGATTCAGACCAAGTCTCTTACTTGGGAACATACTCTTGGTGTCTTCAGAGTGCATCAAAGGCACATCGTGCAATATCTTCCGCAGCACATTCTGTGAAGACGGCCTAAAACTGCTGTGTTTTTGAAGAAGATTTGAGTTCGACTGGTCACGTCGCTTCCACCGCAAGAAACTTGAGCCAGATTTAGAAGAGACAAGATCCGACTGACGATGATGAGTGTTCTTATCGTTCCTTTTCGATAAATCCGCATCGTATTTGAGTACTCTTGTGACAGTTCTTTTGTAATGCAAGTCTTCATCTGACTTAAGATCAGAAATACCAAATTGAATCTGATGATTCTCTTGGAGTGCCGAATTTCCATCAGTGGTCTTCATTTTCATTTGATTCTTATCGTCATCGTTGTCTTGGTGGGCTGAGAAGTTGTTTAAAGAGCAGTCGGGTTTGGAAGTCTCCAACAAGCAAGATTTGATGTGTTGAAGCAGACTATCATCTTCTGAAATCTTTTGTTCATGAAAAAAAAACAAAACACAAATGTAATTTAGTTCCTTGTGATGCAAGAAACGAAAGTTAAACCTTTTTTATATAAAGATGAGAGTTACCAGTTCTGTGACGCCCAGCTCAATCACACCGCCCAAGTAAGGGAAACACACAACAGTCTGGAGAATACCCATGAACACATAAGACACAAAAAATACATTCTACATCACTGCAAATTTATTCGAAGTACTAAACTTTTGAAATCTAACAATTAGCTAGAGCCCTAAAGTACTCTTATTGCTAACAATCGAAATCCAGTCAATAAAGAGTCGTTAAAGAGAACAGTATACACGTAGCATACCTGAATTGAAGCGCTCTAAAGGAGAGTAGCCAAGAGTAACCAAAGCAGATCCAAGGATTTATAGTCAGAGATTCGACTTGAGAGATCAAGGTTCATGTTGAAGAACAAATTAGAAGGTTCTATAAGAACTTACTCTTGCTAATAACGAACGAGTGAAATGTTTGTTTTCCGCGTATTGAGCATTGCAAAGCCATATGGTCTCACCCATCGCCAAAGCTCTTCCTGGCAAACTAAATGTACATAAACAAACAAAAAGGCATATTAATTTCGGACCCTAAAGAAAGAAAAACTTAATTTAGGATTACTTAAAATGTATAATCAGATGAAACAACAACAATAACTACTGTTGGGGGCTAATCTAATACATAAAAAGAGTAACATGTCACTCTACTATTTGCAAATTAGCAATGAAATGAAAGCGCATGAGTGTTTCCTCTTTCATTTTCAACTGGTTACTATACGAACAGTTTGAAAAGAGCTATATATTATTGTCATATTTAATAATATATATATATATAGAGAGAGAGAGAGAACAAACCACTGAGAAGGAGAGAAGACATAGGACATAGACACTAAATAGTACCACTCTTCATCAGAGAGGTCATCTGGTGACAGCATCATATTTGTACTGTTACAATTATGATCATCATCATCACTATGATCATCAACATCATGAGTAGTAGTTCTAATAGTACTACTACTATCTCCTTCAAGCATGCACAGATAAAGTTTTCTAAGTTGCTTGCTTCTCTGCAGCCCATATTTATAGTGAGCTTCGTGTCTCTTCTTCCTCTTCTTTAAATCTCCATTGTAACATCCTTCTCCCCACTCCAAAACCCTAAATTTAAGAACATAGTAGTACTCATATATAAATATATACACACCTTTTAATCCGTGATTTAAAAGAAAAAAATGGCAATGCAAAGAAAACATCAAGATCTAATATGTTTTTTTTTGGGGGGTATAAGAATGTTAATAATATTATACTTACCCAGATTGAGTAGATGAAGACGACCAGAAGATTGCATAGCTCCATTGAACACTTCTTACAGCAACAGCAAGTTGTTTTCTTAATAAGCTGTTTTTTGTTTTACCTCTTCCTACTGCTGCTTCTACATCACCAGCCATTGTCAAAGACATATGTAAATGTCGTAAAGTACTTAACTTAAAACTCCAAAACCAAAGCGAATCTAGCTAAGAAATAGAGATTCATAAAGAGGAGACAACGAAAAGGAAAAATTTATTAAAGAAGTTTGGTATTGAAGCTTTATCTTTTTTTTTTTCTTTCTTTATTGCTTTCTCAGTTTGGTCCTGATGGAAAGAGACTTAAGAGAGTGTCTTTAAAGTTGTGAACTGTGTCTAAAAGATGAGAGAGAGAGAGAGAAAGAGAGAGTGGTTGACTTGGGTCATGATCTTGGTTTTTGGAGTTACTCATCATTATACTATAGTATACTGTATACATATGGTAATAGTGTTGGATTCTATTTGGTGAAACCCAAGGTGATCTCTAAATAAAGTAATGCAGAAAGAAATGCAAGATTTTATTATTATAATATTTTCTTTTTCAGTGATTGTTGTTCGTCAAACTGACATTTGGTTATTACTTTATATACTTTTCTTATTACGAATACGATGCACGGATATATCTACTTTTCTGTTTCTATAACAAATATTATTTTAACATTTGAAACAAAGAAAACTTTATATTTTGGTGATGAAGATAGTCTGAAAAGTTTATGCATCTTTCTTTTTATTGTCGTCAAAAAGCTTATACGTCTAATTGAGGTTCAAACCACATATAACATATGCAAGTTATATATTGTAGGACATACACGAAAACGTTTCACACTATGTTCATTTTCCATCCATGTAGATTTAACTATGATCAAAGAATCATGAAAGTTGCAAAAAATTTCCGCTTCATAACAACAGAAAACGGTGACTACGAATAATTAAAGGAGTAAATCTCAAGGAAAAAATTGAATACGTGAGTAAAATATTCCAATTATCCTTCAACAAAAATCCATAATTATTATTTCTTGTCTAAAAGTTTTACCCTGGTTTGTGTCCGGGGGAGTTCTACCTCTAATCTTTGGAGAGAAAAAAAATATATATTTCACGGAAAAATCGAGAAATTAAATTCAAAAAAGTTGGAATATCCATCTGAATGGATAGGTCTTTAACCTAAAAGGTATCAAAATCTTCGATTCTAATGGATAAAAAGGACTTGAGATCATTTCATTTTAACTACTCTGTTGGCAAGTTGTTTTGTAAGCGAAGATTGTACCTTTTCCCTCTTGCACTTAGTTAGTTCTACTTCTAGTTATAGTATGATCAAGTCTTGCGTTAATTCATTCTTCTTTTTATATGTTTCTCTTCAGAAATAATGTGTGAAGTAAAAGTAGTATAGTTTAAACATGGAACTAGAAATAGCGCGTGGTTATCGTTTTAGCTATGAAATAATAAGCCACGTCAGCGTTTGCTTGTCTTGCGATCATTTTTTATTTTTACGATTTTATCTATCTTGAAATGGGAACATAATGGAACATACTTTAACAAACAAGCAAGAAAAATACAATGGAACCTCTTGTTTGGTTCTCATCAATGTAAGTAATTACTTATTTATCACTCGCTCTGAAAGTTTATGACAGAAAGAATGTACTTATACGTAGTTGCAAGAAAATGGACATACTATTTGGATATTGAAGATTCCAGTTTCTATGATGGATATAAATGCGCATTTTACCCGAATATTTCCATAGTAGATTCTGTTAAGACGTCAACTTAAAAAGTCAATAGAAATGCACAACACTGTTCAAGTTTGATTATCAATCACAGGACATCAAACACCGGTCGTTGTTTTTTAATACCTTCAAAGTACTACTTTGTCCGAAGTAAATAACGAGTAGCAGTAAAAAATTAATAAAATTGATGGCAATAACGGATCAGGAGAGAGAGCTGCAATTAAGGCAAGAAATTTGGGAAAAATAATAATTGATCCATCTCTACACACGAAGCCCACATTATTTAGTGACGCACCACTTGTGGATGCATGCCTATTTATTTCCATAACGACAAAACTGTGTTTAAATGTCCATAAATTTTCTCTTAAATAACACAGCCACCATACCCATTACCCACCATTTGTTATGTTTTAGAATTTGCTCATATCAATATATTTGTAGAAATTTAGAATACAGTCAGAAAGGCTCTCTACTTAAGTTCTACAATATATATTGATTGGTACCCTAGTTAAAAACTAGTATAACATAGTTTCAAACTGTTATAAAATAGTAGTACTAGTTAAAAACTAGTATAACAAACAACGGTAAAAATTAAATGTAACGTACGTTTTTTATAACGTTATTAAAATGGTACTCCACTTCGAATCAAGTGAGACCACGAATCAAGTTGTATTCAAGATTAATCCAAGGAACATTTCTTTCATAACGAAATGAACCACGACAAAGAGAAAGTGAAATAAATCAAATCAAAGTTACGAGTTACGAGAGTACTGTAACAAAGATAAAATAGTGAAATTCAAAATTTAAAGCTTCAATGATTTTGTTAAGACATGGCGACATAGAGCATTGATTACAGCCGCGACACAACTGACATACAATTTTTTTCCACTACAATGCACGTCTTCAGATAATTTAATTTTACATCGTTTGTATCAAAAATACTTATATAGGCGGTTTAAACCAATTGCTTAAGAAAACAATGGTAATTCATATACACATACACACGTGCAAAGTACAATCGAACCATTTAAAATAAAATGCAGTATTCACATTTGGATGTTGACAAAAAAAAAATTCACATTGGATAATAGTAATACATATACGGGTTTTTTTATAAAAGAATACGGTTATTTCATTGAGACATGGTGGTGTCGATAATTCTTACGACCGCATTTAGAGGCTTTATAACATAGTAACATGCCTGAAATATGGACTTTAAGAGCCCAATAGAGTATTGTCAGAAGCCCATTACTAAACTTGCCACGCCCGTGAGTTGTCCGACGTGGAAAATCCGACCTTATGTACGGCCACGTGTGTGATCATCATAATACAAAACTCAACGGATCTGAGTGAATCCTGAGAGAGTCTGAGACCTTTTTTTTCAAAATTGATTTAACCTCAATGGTTGTTGGATCCATGAAAAAGCATTGACAGCTTCACGTGGCTTTGATTTTCCAATGCAATCTCGTCTTCTCGTTTCCCAGAAAATCTGAATATCGGAACACTTTTGCAGCTGCTACGGAACCGAGACGATTGATTGATTGATAGTCATGGCGGTTTCTTCGATTAGGTTGACTCGTACTCTGCTTCCAGTGAGCGTGAAGCAGCTTGGAACTCCGGCGAGAGTATCGGCTCGGAGCTCGTTACCGTTTAGCGTCGGAGACTGGCGTGGTGTTTCTACATTTTCTGGTGCTCGGCCGTTGGTTTTCGCGAAGCTGAAACAGAGTGGAGAGACTATTGAGGATCCAATTGAAGATCCCATGGACGATTCTACTGATCAGCTCGTAAGTGTCGAATTCCTATTTTTCTTACTTCATGCGCTATTAGCTAGGGCCCAGAATTCCTGATGAATTACTTTTCGTTTGTTAGGATGATGATGATGATGATGATGATGATGAATTTGTGCATTTGGAAGAGCGTGATTTTTCCGGCACACCGCGTGTTCCCGTCTATGTTATGCTACCAGTAAGTCTAAGTCTTCTTCTTCTCTCTCTCTCTCTCTATAGATATAAATATATTGCTTTTGTTTGATTTGGGTGAGTCCACTGTTGAATGATTAGCTGGGAGTGATTGATATGAACTCGGAAGTGGTGGAACCGGAGGAGCTTGTGGATCAGCTAAGAACCCTAAAGTCGGTTAATGTTGATGGTGTCATGGTTGATTGTTGGTGGGGAATCGTGGAGGCTCATACGCCACAGGTCTATAACTGGAGTGGCTACAAGAAACTTTTTCAGATGATACGTGACCTTGGACTTAAGTTACAGGTAAGTGAAATGATATGAATTTAGACTTATAGATAAACAACTGTTTCCCATGTTATTGACTTGATTTTGGCTTCTTCAGGTTGTTATGTCGTTCCACGAATGTGGAGGCAATGTTGGGGATGATGTGCATATACAACTCCCTGAGTGGGTGAGAGAAATTGGTCAAACCAATCCTGACATATACTTCACCGACAGAGCAGGCACGCGTAACTCTGAGTGCCTTACTTGGGGTATTGACAAGCAACGGGTTTTAAGAGGAAGAACTGCTCTCGAGGTATGGATTCCTACTCTAGTGCTCTAAGAGAATCTGTAGGAAGAATGATTTTAGTTTTAAGTAATAACATGATTCGGAATCCTTGTAACTAAAATACTATTGCAGGTTTACTTTGATTACATGCGAAGCTTTCGTGTGGAATTTGATGAATTCTTTGAGGATAAAGTCATCACTGAGATTGAAGTTGGACTAGGTCCATGTGGGGAGCTTAGGTATCCTTCATACCCTGCACAACATGGCTGGAAATATCCTGGCATTGGTGAATTCCAGGTGCTCTTTTAAAACCATTGCTATTCGGACCACTCAAATTTATTACTCTACTCATCGGTATATCTTCTTCTCTGCTGTGTTGTCTCCTGTGTGAGCAGTGTTATGATAAATATTTGATGGAGAGCTTAAAAGAGGCTGCAGAGGTAAGAGGGCATAGCTTTTGGGGCAGAGGACCTGATAACACAGAGACTTATAACTCAACACCGCATGGCACTGGATTTTTCCGAGATGGAGGTGACTACGACAGCTACTATGGCAGATTCTTCCTTAACTGGTACTCGAGAGTTCTGATTGACCATGGTGATCGTGTTCTTTCCATGGCAAATTTGGCTTTCGAAGGAAACTGTATCGCTGCAAAGGTGAACAAAAATAACATCTATTTGTAAAGCAAGTGAACTACTACACACTTCACCATGTTCTTTGCCTCTTTGGCTTGTGCTAATAGAATCCTTTTGGAGACCAGCTCTCAGGTATACACTGGTGGTACAAAACCGCTAGTCATGCTGCTGAGCTCACTGCTGGCTTCTACAACCCCGCGAACCGTGATGGCTACGGACCCATAGCTGCAATGCTGAAGAAACACGATGCTGCTCTTAACTTCACATGCGTGGAGTTAAGAACACTTGATCAACATGAGGATTATCCGGAGGCACTGGCAGATCCAGAAGGTCTAGTTTGGCAGGTAAGTGAGTGCATGATTGGCTTTAATAACTTGTTTAGGCGCCCCAAACCTGAAGTTGACACTTGTGCTTTCATGTTAACTTTTTTTTTTGTCTCAGGTGCTGAATGCTGCTTGGGATGCTAGTATACCTGTTGCTAGTGAGAATGCTCTTCCATGTTATGACAGAGAAGGTTACAACAAGATTCTTGAAAACGCAAAGCCCCTTAATGATCCCGATGGTCGCCACCTGTCTTGTTTCACCTACCTCAGGCTTAACCCAACTCTCATGGAGTCTCAAAACTTCATAGAGTTTGACAGATTCGTCAAACGAATGCATGGTATATGGCTTTCTTTCTATATTCTCAAAGTGGAGTTTAGTGTCTCGTCAAGGTTTTATAACGTTGTGTTACTGTCACTTGCAGGTGAAGCTGTCCCGGATCTTGGTTTGGCTCCAAGGCCGCAAGAGACCAAATCCGAGTGAATACATACAATCAATCATGCTACTAAAACTCCCAAGTGACCTTGTAAAGGGAATGGTGTATGTAATATAACAGTATATAAATGAATTAAAATTTCACACAAGTAAATGCTACTCTGCACAAAAAGAGGTGGAACATCTTCACATCTCAGATATCATCACGAATTCACTGAAGAATTTCTTAATCTCTCAATAATAACTTGTCATCTACCTATTGCTTCTCGGATTCTACATTCTACATGTGCAAACCTACAACAAGATTTCATGATTCTTAACTACACAACAAAGCTGAAGATTCCTCTTTCTTGACGATCATATGTTCACAGAAAACTGGCCATCTATGAATTGATTCCATTTTCTTAACATTCCCTTAAAGGTGGACCACGGTACATAGCTTTTTCTTCTTGTGTATCATGGAATGTTCCATATGAGGGTGATGATGGAGAGACATAGGGAACTAGAAAGTAGAAACGCCTGACGGTTCAATGAAATTAAATAATAAACGTCACGTAGTCCTAAGCGGGAACTAGAAACTGCACGACTGAAAGCACCATGACATTATTAGCCGTCAGATGGAAAACATTGATAAAGCCAAATCCAACGGTATAGAAACAATTCATATTCCCGCTTCTCTGCTTGTTCTTCTATTTCCCTCTTTCCCAAGCAAGGAATCATTACCTTCTTTAACATTCATACAAAAAAAAAGTAATTATTATCTCCGGCGTGAATTTTGAAGTGACCCATAAGGCCATAAAGTCCTAAGAAGCTAAGCTATCAATATCATCAATGAAGAAAAAAACATAGAAACCCTAATTTAAACCTGCGAGAGGATAAAAAAATGGCGCTGGCTGTTGTTCGATCTTGCGTTATGTCAGCAAGAGTAACTATTGGTCAGCTGAGAGTCTTGCAATCAAAAGCATCTTGTCACGCTCAAGGTCCGATTTTAGTTTTGTCGAATTAAATATTAGTATTGGTTTAGGATTTAGAGGTTTTTTGTAGTTTTTTTTTTTTTTTTTTTTTTTTTTTTTGCGGTTATGACTTTAGAACTTTTGTGTCGACTTTCCGTCTACAACTACAGGAGCTGAGTTTGTAATGAGGATTGCATCAAAGATAAGATCCTTTTCTTGTCTTCCGTCGTTCTACAGCCTCAACCCACCTGTCATTGAAGAAATCAAATATGGATCTCACATAATTAACCTGGAGTTTGGATCTGATGAACAAAATCGTACTTGTATCTTGTGTCACATGGATGGCACTGCCGTACAGTCATGTGTTATGGTGTCCCACGACTACGACAACTACAACGATAATAAGGTCTTAGAGGTGCGTTTTTATTTAACTTGATACATTTTTGGTTAGCATGTTTTTCTTTTTTAACTCCTAAAAATCATTATTTAACTTGGATATGGATACTAGTTAGTAGTTAGTAGGTACGAATGTATTCATAATAAAATTTATTTGTTTCAAGGTTTTTTATAATGAGACGCCATATGGTGAAAGTTTGGAAACTCTTGAGGCTGCAAATGGTAAAAGACGGGAATTTTATAACCCAACAGATCAAGAGGTTCATTATAATGATTGGACGAGGAGATATGGTCAAAGATGGGACCCTCGTGATCCAACAGATGGAGAGGAGGTTTATTCTGATGAGATGACAGATTATGAAGAAAGCTGGGAAGATCTTGATCTTGGTAATGATCCGATGTCTGATAGCGATTTCCAGGAAATTAACCAACCAGATAGTGGAGAGATGATATGTTGTCACTTAATTGATAGATCGATAAGACCATTATTTCCTGAAACGCTCTACGCTAACATTACGGTATAGACTTTTAACTGTTTCTTGTTTTAACATGACAATTATACTCTTTTTTTTTTTTTTTTTTTTTTTTTAATTGTTAATCGTGTGTGTTTGTAGGTATCTTCACGTCTTTTAACATCAAACTCAAAACATAATGCTGACTTAATGGGGACCATTGCAAGTTCAGCTGCTCTTATGATATCAAATATCACTCCGTCTGGACCTTTAGGAGTCATCCGCATTGGAAGGATTAATGAAAAACTCATAGTAAATCCTACTGAGGACGAGGTTAACTTGAGTCACAATATCCAGTATATATATTAGATATTGTGACTCCTCATTTGCTCTTTTTTTGTTTTTTTCCAATATATCATCATGGTTTCAAAATTTTATGCAGCTACGTACAAGCGATATCAACTTGTTATATGTATGTACACGCCGAAAAACTATCATGGTTGACCTGGAAGCTCGTGAGATCTAAGAGAGTGATCTAGCTACTATTCTAAAGCTAGCTCATCTAGAGGTGTGTAAATTCTTAGTACAATTTAATGTTTTGTTTCTTTGCTAAAATTAAAAAAACAAGAGAAATTTTATGAAATACACCTCTTGAGGTGCAAATTTTCAAAACTACACCTATAGTGTGGAAATTTTCAAAAATACACATTTTCCCAATTTTAATATATATGTTTCGGTTCACTAATCCTATATTAGGGTTTAGATTTTGGGGTTTAGGGTTTAGATTTAAGGGTTCAATGTTAGATTTTAGGGTTTAGAGTTTTTTTACTAAATGAAAAAAGTGTAGTTTTGAAAATTGGCACCATAGAGGTGTATTTTTGAAAATTTGCACCTCAAGAGGTGTAGTTTTGAAATTTCCCCTTAAAACAATTGAATGTATTTGCATTTTAGTTTTGTTTGTGTAGGCTGTTAAATGCATGGACTCTCAAGTAAAGCTGAGAGAACGTTCTGCCAAGGACCAAGAAACTGAACTATTTAATTCGCAAGATATAAGTTAATTTCACTGCTTTTCAATTCACATAGCAAGACGCATGTGGATAGCTAACACTTTTATTTTTGTAGGATATCAATCATCAAATTTTGGTGAACGTGAACCTGGTCTAAGGCAAGTTTCAAAAATGGTGTGGAACGAAATATTGAATAGATCAATGATCCTAGACAAAAAGGTAAATAAGGATTTGTTTTTGATAGCTAATATATACATACCGTTAAATACTCAAACAAAGATATGTTTTTGTCTAGGTTAATTAACGATTTCTGTTTGTCACAGGAATACTTTGAAGAAATTATATTAGAGGATTACCGATTTGACGGAAGAAAGCTTCACCAAATAAGACCAGTACAATGTGTAGCCGATTATTTATCATTGTCGTATGGGTCATCACTTGTTTCATGCGGATATACACAGGTCATTTTGTGTTGAACGAAACTTGAAATGTAATGATTTAATTTGTCTACTCTTTGCTCAAATCTTGTTGTCTTAAAAGGTGCTCTGCAGCGCAAGAATTGGTGAACCTGGAGAAGCACAAAGCGCTGATTCTCTTGATGTTCTCCCAAGAAAAAGATTTAGTGTCGTAGAAACTTCTTCAGCTTCAAGGCGTAAAGAGGGTCGAGGTATGTTCTAAAGTTTACATTCATGTCTCCAAATAGTTTTGCAGAACCACTTTGTTTTGTTTCATCTTCACCCATATATATATAAAGTTGGTTTATGTGTTGTAGGAATGTTTGTTGAGAAAGCGTTGCTTGCTGTCATTCCCCCTGAAAGAGATTTTCCATATACTATAATCGTTAACCCAACGGTATTATATGCACATGGCTCTTCATCGACGACAAGTATTTGTGCAGGTACCTCATCAATTTGAATATGTCACACTTGTAATATTTTTTCAGCTAGCTAAACCCTAAAATAGACTAAACAAATCTTTGTTTTCAAAATATTAAAATTGGTCCACCAGAGAATGTGTAACTATTTTATCTCCTTGTCCAACTCAGTAATATATTAGGGATAACCATTTATACTAAAATTGTTTTCTTTGGGATTCTCAGGTAGTATAGCTTTGATGGACGCCGGAGTTCCTCTACAATGTCACGTTGCAGGTGTCTGTTTAGGTCTTGTCAGTGATGATGATAAATTGGACGGAAACCTAGAGAACTACAGAATAATAACTGATATATCGGTAGGTTTTCTTTTAATTTCACTTTATGTAATGACGATTAATTTGGATATTAGATGATTTTCATAGATGCATTTTCTTCAGGACGTGGAACATCATCTAACAGAAATGGATTTGAAAATTGCTGGTACACGAAATGGTATAACAGCAATTCAGTTGGATGTAAAGCCAGGTGGAATTCCGTTAGATATAATTTGTGAAGCTTTGAGTAATGGACGCGAAGCCCGTCTTCAAGTTCTTGATCACATGGAGCGAGTTATAAATTCCCCAAAAGAAACTTGTCGTTACAACAAGATCGAAGATGCCTGAAGAGAAATATTGAAGACGAATCTTGTGGGCTTATGTTTTGTTCAGGTATCCAAAGTTTGAAATGTACTATCTATTGGCAAGCAGATCACATTGAAGTGCATTAGAATAAGCAATAGCAATTATAGCATAGAGGTGTATGTTTGAGCTTGCATGTCATAATTTACGTATTACAAACTCTAAACTTATGAGCGGAATTTGTCTCTTCAAATTTTTTTTAACGTTGTGTTACTGTCACTTGCATGTGAAGCTGTCCCGGATCTTGGTTTGACTCCAAGAGACCAAATCCGAGTGAATATATACAATCAATCATGCTACTAAAAAAACACTGGCACTAATAGGTTTGGCTTACCAATTAAGCATATCAAAGTTGGAAGCAGTCGAAACCAAGTTTGTACTTGTAACTAAAGATAAGTAAACATTGTGATAATAAAATGAATAGTGTATACAATATTATAAATGTTATATATGTCACAATACAGAACATGCTAGTGCTACTACACAAAAAGACCTGGAACGTACATCTCACATCTCAGATATCCCTAAATTCAGTAAAGATTTCGTAATCTTTCAATAATGAATTTTCGATCTACCTATTGCTTCTCTGGTTTCTACATTCTACCTTCTACATGTGCAAACCTACAACAAGATTCCATGTATCTATCCTTTAACTACACAACAAAGCTGAGGATTCCTCTTTCCTGAAGATCATATGTTCACTGTCTTCATCCACAGGAAACTGGCCATCTATGAACCGATTCCATTTTCTTCTCATTCCCTTGAAGGACCACACAGACGTGGATGCAGCAGAGCTTTCTCCTTCTTCTGAATCATGGAATGTTCCATATGACGGTGATGGAGAGATAGGGATGTGCAGAGCAGCCGCCTTCATTATAGCCGCTCTGTATTCGTCGTCATGATCCTCCACAATCGATTTCTGGCGCACAATCTTCTGCTCCACCGGAATCTGCATAACTTGGTCCTCTTCCAGCATTAACTGAAACATAGTTTCATCACACAGAAAGTGGTTTGTCACAACTCAACATCTCCAAAAGCTGAAGGAAGCAAAAGATACTCACATCGAAAGCTCTCTGTGATTCCCTTTCAATCCAGATGATGGCGTGATCCGCTGTTGCATTACAGGAGAGAACTATCTGCTCAAATCTCCCATCAACTGGGACAGCTGTTCTCACCACAGGAGGGTATCTTCCTAATCTGCACCAAAGGCATGGCGTTCACTTAGAGTTGAAGACACGATTTTGAAGCACTTAAGGAGTATAAAGTATAAATACCTCAAGGGCTTGCGCTCGACGATGTGATATAACCTACCAGGAGCGTAGAGACGCCTTGTATCTTTAAGCTTTTTCTCCTCAAATGTGAATGTATCTTTCAAACATGTGAGACACAACACGCATGGCAAGCTGATTTTATAAACATGTAAACAACAAGACCATGAGATTCTTGTTTTTTCTCTTTCTTAACTTAAGAGCTAGTTTTGAAAAATCAACACAGTTTCCTTACCAGACAATTGATTTGAAGACATCCTCCAGAGCTGTGGTAGTCCGAGGTAAGAAATCATCCTAATTTATTCACACGTAAAAACAAATCAGACGAGAGGCACCTAAACATGTCAATTTGTATAATCACAATCTCACCTGTAGAACAACAGAGTTGATGACATCTGCATACGTCACTGCTAGTTGGAGAGACATACACCTCGGAGGAGCAATAGCAAAGCATCTGATCCTCTTCCTCTCAATGTTCCCCAACCTATCCCGGTTCTGAACCACAAACAAGACCAGCAACGACGCAACCCCTGCACCTAGCGAGTGCCCCACAAACGTCAAAGAGTAACTCGGGTTTGCCTCGAGCAACTTCCTCAAAACCTCATTCTCCTCCTCGAAAACCCACATGGCCGCCTTTAACAACCCGTTGTGCACATAACCTCCATCGAACTTAGTCTGTCCAAGTTTGTTATCAAGCAGCACAGCGTAATCGCTCTCCTTGGCCAAGTTAAGCCCTCTTATGGCCAACACTACATCGCCGTTTTCATGATCCAAGTAGATCATGTAAGGAGTGACACAGCCTTGAGTCTGGTCATCGTCTTTCTTTAAGATAACCTGATTCGGGTTAATCCCGTAACCACCGGGTGGTGCCCACATAGGGTTGTGGAGATCCTCCTCGTAGACGGCTAAGATCAAGCGGCAGAGCCTAGGGACTGGCTCAAACTCATCTGAAGTGGCTAATCCCCACTTCTCGCTCTCGTGACCAGCTGTGTATAGACATTTCTTCCACACCCAATGGGCACACCCCAAGCAATACACACACTCGAGTACCGGTACGCAACACAGTATTGACATGTGAGCCTATGAACCAATCAAGCATTATATATTCCCCGGAATTTAGAGGAACAAGGTAAGTAAGTAAATACACGGTTGAATCGGATCGGATTATCCACCGGAACCCCACTGATGACCCGAGATTGATCAGTGTGGCTCTAGGAAGAGAGGCTGAATCATAAGCTGGTCAGATCAAGCTGAATTCCAGGATTTGTGTCCGAAACGATCACGAATTTCTGGGAGAAGAAGCTCAGCATAAGACGACGAACCATCAAATGATTTCAATCCGTTTGTTAGGCGCTGAATCAAAGTAATTAAGCACGGATTAGAAAGAGAGAAGATTAGTTGATCAACGAAGAGTCAAGTCAAACCAAGCTTGTGGTCGTCGTTTACAGACGAAGACGAAGAGAGGTGTGTGTGAGAGAATCTACTTACCATAGATACTCGGAAGATTCCATTTGCATCATCCTCGCTAACAGCGGAGATTTTGGAATTTTAAGAAAAGACGTGCAATTTTCGTCCTGCGAAAGGTGACGAGGCCTTTATTAAATAAAATCCACACCGGTCGTATCGGTTCGGTTCGGGTCGGGTCGGGTCGAGACTGGCCCGAGTGTAGAAACTTTGTATACTCAAAAGGACAATGAAAATTAGTTGGGCTTTATGGTTTGGGGCCATTAATCTTTTTAACACTGACAATGATTAACACGTTTTCAAATCAGAAATGAGGAAACGAGTGGGCCCATGAAATCTACCGTATACCGATGGGCAGGTATCTTCTCCCTACATACGTCACCACTCGATAGGCTGAAGTGAAGGATTGGACTAATTGCCGGCCATTTTGTTTCAACGTTCAACGACGTTTATACTCCAACCTCCATGGACACTGAATCAGGTATTCCCAGATCTTATTTCCTTGTACTGTCACCGGAGAATTTCATGAGCGAGAAAGAAAATGATGTTCAAGTGATAGTTTGGGCATGTTGTTTGTTTGTTTTGTTCCCTCACGATTAAGGTGATTTCATACGGTTGCTTTGGTTTGCAGTTGTCGAGTTCCTTGGAAATGTGGCCTTGTTGCGGCGGTTACCTAGTTCGTCTCTGAGGAGAATCGCCGATGTCGTTGTGTTCAAGCGTTATGGTCAGTGATCTCTATGATTCTGGGATTTTTTTTTATTTTGTTTCCCGCGAAGTCAAATTGATTTTGAAATTGTAGAGCAGTGGTTACAGTTTTGTTGATTTGTAATGCGTCCGTGTTGTAGAGTGTGATTATGGTTTCCCGCAATGTGATATTTGGGGATGGGTTTGAGTGTTTCGCAGAGAGAGGGGATTACGTGGTTCGTGAAGATGAGAATGTGGATGCTGTTTATTTTCTCTTGGAAGGAGAGGTGCGTATGTATGTATATTCATTGGAAGATACCCGAAGACTATTACTGCAACGGGATGTTTGATTGTTCTTTTTTCATTTGTTTGCAGGCTCAGGTTCTGAGATCAGCCGGAGAAGAAAATTGTTCCGAGTTACTCTTGAGACGATTTGATTTCTTCGGCCGTGGTGAGAGAATGATTCTACAATTTCAGTGTGTTTGTTAATGTTGTTTGTGTGGAGTTTGGCTCGGGGATTGAATTAGCTTCCATGTATTCCTACACAGGTATATTTGGGGATACTTACTCAGCAGATGTTGTTGCTGCGTCAGAGGTATTAGCTGAAAATTATCTCTTCTTTGGCCTTTTTTGTCCTTGATCTCGTGGCATGTTAACATTAATAGCATACTGACTACTGTTTTTATCCCTTTTCTTGCAGCTGACCTGCATAGTGTTGAAGTCTGAACATTGTCCTTTGCTTGAGACAAAGTCCGATAAGGACCTTGAGACGCACTGTCTTGTGGAACGCATACTGTATATGGATCCATTAGATGTAGGAACTTTGTCCAATTTCAGTATTTATGTTCAGAATTTTAGCTTACATTTATGTTAGCCTCATAGCATATATACTGTTACTTATCGCTTTTTTATAATTAGAGGAATCTCTTGTTTTTTCTTGTAGTTGAATGTGTTTCGGGGGTTCACTCTACCTGATGCTCCAACCTTTGGAAAGGTTTTTGGAGGGCAATTAGTTGGACAGGTACTGTATGAAATATCATGCATTCATCAACCGTGCTGATCTGATTCGTTTGCATGTATAGCTTGTTATGTGCTATATATGTATATCAGGCAATGGAAATAACTAGTACTCACTGTGACACAATTGCTTACACTTCGCAGGCACTTGCCGCAGCATCAAAAACCGTTGAATCTACCAAGACTGTCCATAATTTACATTCCTATTTTCTTCGTGTTGGAGATTTAGATAGTAAGGACATAGTTTCAATGTGCTTTTGTTAGCAAGCAATTGCATCTGTTAATACTTTGCAAATTATCATAGTTTTGTTACTCTTGCAGTTCCCATCATTTATGATGTTAACCGCTTACGAGATGGCAACAACTTTGCCACCCGAAGAGTAGACGCAAGACAGAAAGGCAAAATCATATTCACCTTGATTGCGTCATTTCAGGTTTCATGTTATGTATATTCCTGATATATTTTCATAATGGAACTCTAAGCTTCTCGTACTATATGTCAACATGAGAGAATAGCCTTTGCCCTTTCACACTTAAACAAGACATCGAAAATAATTTCTTCTTTTCTCTGTTTTTACAGAGAGAGCTACAAGGTTTTACTCACCAGGAGTCGACCATGCCTCATGTGCCAGCTCCTGAAACGGTATGTCTTTTCTCCTACTTTGACTTTTAGGTTAATTATCATGAATTGCGATGATTTTCATTTTCATTCCTATCTACTGCAGCTTCTACAATTGGATGAGATGCGTGAACGGCGTAAAACGGACCCTCTACTACCTAGGCAAGTAGAAGTATTGTGTCAATCCAATTAAGTCAAGAGCTCAGAGTGAATCGTTTTATCAATTGGTTCTTCATTTCAGGGATTACCGAAACAAAGTTGCAACTGGAAATATTGCTCCCTGGCCTGTAGATATTCGATTTTGTGAGCCAAATTATGCTACAGAACATACAAAGTCTCCTCCAAGGTTTGATTGCTCACTACTATCAAACGTATTTCATTTCGTCACTCTTGGCCATTAATACTAAATGTTTACGTGGTTGCTCGAAGAAACTAAGCACTTCTCTCTTAAAGTATCTTGCAGACTGAAATACTGGTTTAGAGCAAAGGGAAAACTTTCTGATGACCAAGCTTTGCATCGGTGAGCAACTCTACTTCAGCGGTATAAAACTGAAAAAAAAGCCTAAAGAACTTGATACTGTCATATGATCTAGAAGACTTTAAATGCAGTGCTCACCTTTTAACTTACTAAGCAGTTCATCTACAGAATTTTAGTATCACCAATTGATAGATTTTGAGTTTTATCAAGACTATTAAAAGCCATATTATCTTCTTAGAACTAGGGAGTTTGTTTGAACATTTATCTCCTGCAGTATTTCTTGAATTCTGTTGATCATACTTAAGAAACTGATTGTCTTGCACACGTACGCCACTGTTACACAGATGTGTGGTTGCATTTGCTTCAGATTTGATATTCGCCTGTGTCAGTGTAAACCCTCACCGCAGAAAGGGCATGAGTGTAGCTGCTCTGAGCCTGGATCATTCGTAAGCCTTTTCTTTTCTTTTAGCCAAGTTCGAGTTTTGTATTACTCTCCATAACATATCTAAAAACCACATAGTTCATATATACACGCAGGCACACACAAAATTATACATTTTCTCTGTTGAATATTTACATATTCACAATCTCCGAAATACAGTGCCTCAAGTGATTGTTTCTCTGCTTAATTTCGTATGCAGGATGTGGTTCCACCGACCTCTAAGAGCTGATGACTGGTTGCTGTTTGTGGTAAGAAAATTTCATTTTCTTTTTTTCTGAAGGATTCAAAGCTTTTCTTATGAAGGAATTGTTATCACTGATAGAAATCCAAATGCTTGATTAAGTAAACTGAAATTTGCACATCATTTGAGTTGTTCTTAAGAGCCACAGACGGCATAATTAATTATCAACTCGCATGACATACGAGACCGAGAGTATTAACAGAACAGATTAACAACAGCTTGCTTGTTATATGATGAATCTCTGCCACTTAGAGATTATTTTGCTTGTGTTTACATTTACATGATAAAATAAGAACCACAAGCTTTAAGTGTAATTGTCGAAGATCTGACTTATCCTTTAGAAATGAAAACTCCGAACGAGACAAGTATACTTACAAATATTGGCCTTACGCAGATGGTGAGTCCGACCGGGTCGGAGAGCCGCGGTTTCGCGACTGGCGAAATGTTCAACAGAAAAGGAGAGGTACGTTGTTGCATCCTTTAAACCCCAATCTGATACACATTCTCTTTAACACCATTGAAGAAAGAAGAATAATCTAATGTAGTTCTTAAGATCCCATCAATCATCGACTCTTTCTAAAGATATTTTTATCTCATTGGATACAAAATCTGCAGAATCAATCTCTTTTTCTTTGTTTTTGTCAAGCGTACGTAAAGACTAAATAATATGGTATTGTTGATAACTGGTGTGCAGCTGGTGGTATCATTGACGCAAGAAGCATTGCTAAAAGAAGCTGTGACTATTAAGCCCACCTTTGGCGCCAAGCTCTGAAGTCTCTCACACACACCATGGAATTCAGTTCATAGCTAGTTTTTTTTTGCATCTGTTACTGTGGTTACACCTCAAACCATTGTAATGGAGTATTATTTTGTTTTTCCCCTCGGAAAAGGTCTATGTTTGTTTGTCCCTTGTATAAACCGTGATATTTATTTTCTCAACAAAAATGAAAAGGCCAAGCAAACTGGGATTTAATTGACAGACTTTTTTGAACAATTTTGGGTGATGAGTAAAAAGAAAGTCAAACGACGCCACTTTAGTGGAGAAATCTCATAACGTTATTAACACAATCGAAGAGAGACGCTCTTCAATTTTGAAAAACCCTCCTCCTCGGTACCTCTCTACTCAACCTTTTCCAGTTCGAAAGAGAGTTATCGAGAATGGAAGACATGGCCTTGGATCTGGAGTCGGAACCGGAAATCGAAGTGGAGGAAGGAGATCTGGAGGAATTGGAGTCAGAAGTGAGGCAGATGGCGAAGAAGATTTCAGAGTACAGGCAAACCCTACCGGATCATCTCAGGAACACCCTTGATTCTGCGCTTTCGTCTCATCGACCCGTTTTCCCCAACTACGGTTCCGGGTCGGATCCTCAGCCGTCGTCACGCCTCACTATCGCAGGTTCCTTCTTTCACTATTTCGATTTGTTGTCTATGCCTTCCTTATCTTTTTGGGTTCTGCGAAATCGAATTGGAATATTTCACCTCACCCATTTGGATTACCTCTCATGTTAGAGGAATTAGTAACAAATCGAAATTCTTCTGGGAAATGTTTCCTTTTGGCTTGATGAGATAATCAATCGTAGTGAGATACAATGGGCACGCACCGTTTGATTTGTGTTTACATGATTACATGTCTTTTGATTCTGCTGTGTTAAAACATTGCCTAAAACGGATAGCTATGATTTGGCTGCATTAGAGTCGTTTATCATTTGGAAGATTGGTTGGATTCTTTTAACGAATTAGGACTCTTTTCTTCAAGGAAACGCATTTTGGGTGCAAAATATGTAAGTTGTGGCTCAAAATAGATAAGTCTTTTCTAGTGTGTGAGAGTGATGATTATGCCCTAATTGTGCCATCAACACTCACAAGAACTTGGTTTTTCGAAGTTAATAGCTAAAACCTAGTCTTTTTCTCGTTTACAACAACAACTTGCTGACCCTGAGAGACTCTGTTTGACAAGTGTCCATAGTATTGTAGAGAAACACTAGAGAGCCTGCATTGATCATTGCCTTCCTCCTCTGTTATCTGTATACTATCTCAACCAATCCGGTGTTTTTTTTTTTTTCTTTTTTATTAATGAAGAAACAGAAGCACCTGCTGTGTTGGGAGCTGAAGATGTAGACTCTGGAGAGAAAATGATTCAGCTTAAGGAGAAACTGTCGAGGAACGCTGCGAATATGCCTAAAGTTGTAAAGAGAGTGCGAGAGTGTATAGAGGGAATCCACAAACTCGATTCTTTGGACGGAACCATTCACCAAGCTTTCAGAAGGCAGCGAATTAACTACTGACCTCAATCTCTTTCTACTTCAGGTTTTGGCTATTCCTTGTTAGAGAGATATCATATGTGTTGATATGTGTAATTCCAGACTGATTCGGCATGTTCATTGGAGACTCTCGACTGATTCTCTGGGTTTGATTGAATATTCACAACATTGTCTTTGATATATCTTCAGGTACTATGAAGATAGTTACTAGGAAAAGTCAAGTTAAAGGGTACATGTACATTTCTAGCTACATTTTCGTTTTGCTTCGTCACTTATCAGATTGTTCTTTCCTTTGTTCGAAATATGAATTGCTTCACATAATCAGTTTAAAGGGATTATAGTTTCATTCTTTTGATCTACAAATACACATTACCAATTAGGAGGACTCATCTCATGATCAAGAACAGTAAAGCTGTTCAACAAATCAATGGCAAAAACTAACATGAACAGATCATATTAAACACAGACACAGGAGCTTCAAAGATTCTTCGTACATACAAAGTATCCGGCCCGTTTTTTAGCAATTATCCTCTCAAGGCCCATATAAGAGCATGTGAAACTGCTTGCCGCGTTCATGTATTTTACAGAAACTGCATTACGTGTTTTTTGTTTTTCTTAGTTACATCCAAATAATATTAGCAGAAACTGTATGAATTCCCTCTCTCAGTGAAATGTTTGGCGTGTCTTTTGAGTTTTCACCTTATGAGCGTAAACGACAAACGACACGACATGCTCTTAGCATGAGCATAAACGGAAACAATTCTTAGTATCTACATTATATTTCTTTGTGACGTAACCGTTTTCTTTTGTAAACGGCAAGAATTTTTCATTGTAGGCTTGGAATGAGATCAAAAGGAATGTTTCTGATCGGAGAATGAACGGAAATACATGTTATCTCCGCCGTAGATTCAGAACATATGTTTTTAACGTGAGGCGAGTGTTTACGTATCTACATATATTTTGATTGTTGTCTTCATCGGATAGATTTTTTCTTTTTATTATAAGTCCTTTGTCATCTTTTGTAAATTTTCTTTTCAGATTTTCTAGACCGAAATATTTTAGTAGATAAAACCAAGATTAAGATTAACCCAAAATATACACCGGAAAAATAAGTTGGGACTCCTAAACTACCTTAACCAAAACGGACGCACACCGGAAAATCCGTTATCAGACTTTCTCGGCAAGACCCTCACCGAGAAATTGACAATCCCGTTCCTATTTCCGCAACCGTCCCACAATCTGTAACTCAGGCAGTGCAGAAATCCCTCGGGCGCATATTCTCCCGTAAATACCTTGACCGGCACGCGTGCGGTTCCCACGTGTTGATCCTTCCCGGAAGGCCGGCAATACACCCGGACGTACATGAAACCCGCTTCTGTCCCCGACGAAAACTCACTCTCTAGCTTCTCTTCCCACATCGGATAATTCCCTCCGACCTCGTCGACTCTCGTCGTCATTGACTGGCTCCAATTATTCCCGGCGATTTCGAAGGCAGCGAAGGCGTTCTTCTTCACCGGTTTTCCACCGTACACGAGACTCTCCGCCGATATGGCCGTGATTTCGAGTTTATGAGAATGAGACATTGCCTTATTGGTTACCGCTGAAGCAGAGAGAAGGCTTTCACGAGACATATTGGCTTTTTTTTTTTTTTTTTTTTTTTTGGGTTGTGTGTGGAAAAACTTGTGTGTATTTATAATGCTTTTTAACTTTTTACTTTTTTTACTTATTAAGTTAAGATTATGCAATTAGGCAATTAGGAAGGTGATGAGAAATTACGTACACAGAAGAGAAGAAGCTTCCATCTTAATATCTTCCTAATTTTATTTTGTTTTTGTTAAAATTTATTCCTAATTTTATGCTATTATTAGCGGATTTTTAGTTATATATATCAAAGATTCATAATGATATAATGCAATATTTTTGCTGTTGTTGCAGTTACAGTTTGTGATTTTAATTTTAGTTGTTTGAAAAAAAAAAAGGTAACTACAAGTACGAGCAAAAACGATTGTCTTCACAAAATAAAAGATTGATTTAAAGGAAAATAACTAAACTCACGACCGGAGCCTAAAATTTGATGGCTTAAAAACAAAAACAAAACTATACATAATAAAAAACATACCTACATGAACATGACTTGTACACCAAATAAAAAAAAAAGTTTGCTGAGTTTCTTAAAATTGATAACTCCTAGTACTGAAAAAAAAAAAAAAAAAAAAAAAAAAGAAATCAAAAGCATTCTCTTGTCAAAGAAAATCAAACTCCAAGCGCCTCTCCAAGGGATTTGAACCAGAGCAAGTGTTGAGTTTAACAAATCTGGATTTGGAACAAGGAGAGTTTGAAACTGAATGTTCTTCCTCACTTGGAGCATTTGTCAGAAACCTTGAGTCGTCTTCTTGTCTGCGCCGTTTCAAACCCGAGGCTGGTGAGCTACTTTTGGAGATGATGGAGGGTGTGTTCTTGAATGTACTCGCAGCCATTCTCAACCTCTCTCTGATCTCCTTCAACTCTTGTGCGCACACACTATCATTGCTGCTCTGTGGAGTTTGTGGACTCTCTAAAACTTTGACAGAGAGAGGAATTGTTAACTGTGGAATTACCCTTAAGTTCATGTCATAATCACTTGTACAAGGCGTCCAATGAGATATTTCAGCCTTGCTACTTCGTCTAGACCAATCAGATTCTACTGACACTGACATTGTTTCTTCTTCTTCTACTGTGTTCATCCAATTCATGGGCCCTAAAGTTAAGCCCCTTTGAGGACTCTTGGCATCTTCCTTGATTTGGACTGATTGGTAACTTTCACTGATGATAAAGTTGCTCTGATTAGCAAAGCTGGATTCAGAACCACACAAGGGGCTACTAAGGAACTCCTCCAGTCTCTTCTTAAGTGAGCAGTTCCAATGGTTCTTAATATTATTCTCCGACCTGTGAGTTTCCATGACCAACATCTTAGAGAGAGAGAAAAAGGCAAACAAATGATCAGATCCACAAGTTATTGAAGGACAAACCTTCCAGGCAAGAGCTTAGCAATCTCGGCCCACTTATTGCCTTGTCCCCTTTGTGCCTGAACAAGAATCACTTCCTCTTCTCTAGTCCAAGGAGTTTTTTTTATAGTCGGGTTTAGATGATTATGCCACCTATAACACAACCAAATTTACTAATTCATCAGCTTATTATGCGGAAAACTTGGACTGATCAACAAAATGTGGAAACAAAAAAAAAAAAAAAAACAATGTAAAAGACCTTTCACGACATTGCTTGCCAATGCGACCAGGGAGCTGCTTTGAGATTTTTGACCATTTAGGTTTATCATTCTCCGGATAGACATTAACCAACTGAGTTAAGAGATCATCTTCCTAAAATAACAAGAGAGATATGATCAGTAATAATGAAACGGTAGTAATTAAGAAGAGAATGAAAAGTTTAGATACCTCTTTTTTCCAAGGTCCTTTGTTGAGGTTTGGATTAAGAACCTTTAGCCAACGGTGATTACACTGCACATAGTCCCTCTTGTCTTTCCTCCCAGGAACACACTCAGCTTAAACCAAAGACAAGAGATACAATTTATTGGAGTTCTAAATTTTAGGGCAAGAAATAATAATTTTTTTTGCAATTTGATGATGAACAACATCGAAAAAGTATTAGTTACCAATCTTTTTCCAGTTCTTCCCCTTGTACCTACGCACAGCATTGGTCAAGAGTTTGTCCTGAAAACGGAAAGAAGGTTTGAATCACATGAAACTCGATCGATCAGCAAAAGACAGACAAAAGCAGGAGCTACGCTACATCCTCTGGAGTCCATCCTCCTTTAGTTGATCTTCTAGTAGGACCACTCACTCTTCTGCATCTTTAACCATTACATTAATCATAAGAGGACACAACATCGAGCTCATCATCGTTAATCACATTTACATATAACATCCTCAAACTCTTCTTATATTTCCCCAAAAAATGACTCTTAAAAACACACGATTGAGCCATCATCACTAATCACATACATATAACATCCTCAAATTGTTGATATTTTTCTTGATTAAATTCCCCAAAAGCATATCATTTCAACTACTCAATACAACACACGTTCGAGCCTTCTTCACTAATCGAAGTTTATAACATCCTCAAATTGGTCATCTTGTTCTTAATTAAATTCCACAAAGTTATATCATCTCACCTACTCTTAACATATATATCTATATCCTCAAATTCATCATTAGTTTCTATTAAGCTTCCTCCAAAGAGTTGAAACGATCTCCGATCGATGTTCCTCACATCACATGAAAGGCATATGAAATACAGAAAATCACACATTCGAATAAGAACATTACCCTTGAGCAGAGTCAATTACAAAAGGAGGAGTAACTTGGGCAATGATATCAGAATCTGATCGACTCAAATCGTTAGATTCTGTCATTATTCCTCCAGAAAATGACAAAACACAAAACCCTAGTTAATTAGCGACCACAACCAACGACAGATTCACGAAAAACGACGAGCTACTAACTACATATTTATCTCAAACTATAACCGCGAACGGTGATACAACAGACGAAAAGCAAAAATCTGTGAATAAAACCCTAATATGAGAACCGAGGAGAAAAAGATAGACTGTTGTCGGTCAGTAGTAAATTCGTTTCTACATCTCAAACGAGATCTTAACAGACAAATAAAATCAAATTAGATTCACTTCTCCAACTTAAATTTGTTGTGAATTTTTTTCACAATTTACATAGATTTTAATAGTTAATCTCTTTTTTTTTTAAATCCCAAATTTGTTTTCTTATTTATTAAATAAAATCAAACTAAATCATCAGACAAAAAAAGATTAAACAAAAATTAATAATACTTTGAAAAAACAACATAACAAGTAAGCAATTTAGAAAATATAAACCCTAATTTGTTTTGCATATTTTAAAGAAACCATTTTCTAGGAAAACTATATGAACTATCTCATATTTTCCAACTAAATTATTCAAATAACTTCTTGTATTTAAAACATAATAATTTGGACTTCGTATGAGTGCGATAGTTGCACACATGTTAAAAGAAGTTCCAGAACACAGCAAGTAATTATTAACCAAACATAAAGATAGTTTGTTGGTTGAAAAAAAGGCAGAAAAATAGTTCATCCAAGGTGATGTTGAGCTAGTAGGCGTCTCACTGATCACAGTTACGGATGTCATGTCCGGGGCGGAGGCAGCGACTGCACCTCCGTATCCTCCTTCGCCCATAAGGGTTCTGCGTCAAATGAAATGAAGAATTAATTAAGTAGAAACATTCATCAGAATATGAGAGAGAGTATACTTACATGGTCAAGGATGATTGGGTAAGGACAAGTGATGGAGTTATGTCCTGACTCCAAGCAACTTGAGCAGATGTGTCCTCTCTCTTGCTCAGCTGTTTCTCTGTTGAGCCACGCTTGTCTCAGCGAAGCAGCTGCAGTGCTCTTGAACATGCATATTTTGTGAAAATTTAAATTATCATTTTTGATATAAGGGTATGGTTGATCGACCAATGAAGAAGATGCTGGCGAATGTTTAATTTATACCTCAAAAACTCTACGGCAGAATCGGTAGAATCCATATTTTGTTTTAAACCTTTCTCCTGATTTCATATTGTAGTAGTACTGTAACAAGAAACAAAAAAACTGAAAATGTAAGAGATTTTACACAGCTTAAAAAGTCAATACGTATGAGGAATCAATATATATTGATGAACAACCTAAATTTTGAGACAAGAACCCAAAGTTAGGTACTTCAATGAATAAGTCAAAATGATTTGAAAGACCATAATCTACCAACAGTACAACAAGAATCTTGCTTTACTTAAAACATAGTAAAAGCTATTAATTACTAACACACATAAGTACTACATATATAATGCAACATTTGTTGGTATCTCTTCAATGAACATCTCTATGATCAAGAGTTCAAGACAACATCAAAATCTTTTACTGCTCAGTGCTTAGTTAGCTAGCTAATTAAGAAGAGTTTTCACAATCATATAACTCACTAGACCTCAGATCAACTATTCATATGAACTATAACGGTTTTATAATCTGATTATCATATGAAAATTCTCAACCCTTTAGCTTCAATTAAAGGTGTTTGAAGAAAAAAAAATCCATCAAAAAAAGTCTAACTCCAGTTCAAATCCACACAGATTATAAGAACCATAGAGATCTCGAAAACAATATTCATATTTAAGCCAAGAAGGCACAAAACTAAACACCTGCAGAGACTGACCTACCTACGCATGTTTACAATCGTAAGCCAAGATAGAGAAGAGAGAAAAAGCAAATGGAAGAGATTGTGATACGTACCGCAAGAACAGATTGTCCCGTTCTTCTATTCACTCGGTGGTGCGCCACCCAAATGTCTGGCAACTCCACTGTCGTCCTCGGATCCATTTCTTCACCGCTCTGCTCTGAGATAAAATCTTTCTGACTTGTTTTATCGTCATTTGCTAAGTGCATCCTTAATATACCAAGAGATTCCACGTGTCTGTGTCTGTCTGGACAACATGATAAGAGTATTTGGATTCATAGACCAAATTTGGAAGAAAACTTAGCTACTTCCTTATAGAGATTAATTTCTTAAAACCAAAACTGCAAAAACCAAATAAGATTTCTTTTCCTTCTGAGACAACCAACAACCATGGGAAAGGAACCAACCTGCCGTTACAAATTCGAATTCTATACGCCGTCGTTTCGATATATATTTCACTTCTTTCCAACAGGATAAGAATAATTCATGTTGTTAACTGTATAAATCATCAAACACTACACCAAGCTGTACACTGATTCATATAGTACATTACATTATACAGATAATATTTTTTAAAAAACAACAACAGGAATTTGCAGTTAAAATAAAACACATAATGATAACGCAAGAGTCATCAGTAGTCAATCTTCCTTGAGACTATTCCGGGAAGGAGTCTTGAGAGACAAGCCAAGATCTCTACACAACTCTTCATCTGGCTGCAAGCTTCCAGGGATTGCACCGAATGCTGTTCTTGAAGCTTCAAATCCAGACGCCAAGAAATGGATATACGCAGACATATCCTCCAAGTTTTTCCCCACACTGATCGTCGAAGACGCAAACGCACTTCTCTTTGATAAGTTTGAATCAGCTCTTGATAACCTGTTAAGATCTGCGGCTTTTATAAACCGCTGCGTAGCAGCTTCCCATGATAGTTCATGCCTCTGTTGCTCTGTTAGCTGTGACGGTTGTTCCTCAAGAGCCTTGAGCGTCGCTCTAACAAAACCGTTTGCATCGTCATAGACTCTGCAGTTTGGGAACTGCTTGAAGAACTCGTTTGATGTGTGGTTCGCACACACTACAATTTTCCCCATCGCCAAAGCTTCTGCAGTCGTTGTGCAGACCACATCTGTCGTGCTCGGGTTGAGAAACACTTTGTAGCTGAGAGAGAAGATATAAAGGTTTAAGTGATCTATGTTACAAGCATGGCGCCATAATTGAGGTTTTTAAGCTATAGACTTACTTGTGGAATAGTGAGTCAGCATGATCACGTCCTGGGTGAACATTAACCGTAAGGTTGAGCTTTCGAGCTGCTTCTTTGATCTCGTCAGAGTCCTCTCCGCTACCGTATAGATCAACCTCTAAATCAGCGAGTTCCTTTTGGTGTTTCTGAAGTAGTTTAAGAAGCTCCTTGTACCCTTTGCTCCACACCATCTTACCAATGTAGTAGGCGCCTTTAGTGAAAGGCTGCTCCTGGAGCTTCTGCTCTTCTAGTTTTCTCAAACCAATCTCCAGAAATCTAGGGTTGACACCGTGAACGTTGCAGACTATAGATTTAGGGTATTCTTGCGTCGCAGCAGATAATCTGATTACCTGCAGGAGTATAACATCATCGGTAAAAGTCAACAGAAAAGATTGAGCAATCACTCCATCATGACTATTAGTGGCTGTGAACAAGTTTACCTTGTGGCAGTAAATGCCAACAACCCAACTGTTTAAATATTTGAGGAGAAAAGCTTTGAGACGGCCTTGTTTCTCCCTCTTTACGTATTCCAAGTAGTTTGTGTGCACGATCCCTATGACGAAGTTGAACTTAATTTTCCATTTTTTGCCATGATGAAACCAGGTGAGATGCTCAGGCTCCTCAAGGACAGCAATGTCTGCCTCTTCATCAGGAATGGCATCCGATATATCCCCAACAGGAAGAATACTTCTTTTGTCTGTAGCAAACTGCAATAAGAATCATTTGTATTATGAAGGACATTTACAGAAAAGTAACTGTCATGCTAAGAATCTGAAAAAAACTCAGTACAAGGCCAGATGGAAGCTAAACTAAAGAGAGATAACAGCAGCCATTTAACGTGGAATTAAGATTAACCACATGTAACAAGAGAGAAAATTCAACTTCATGGCAGAATAAGGAAACCCATAAAAGATTTACACTGAGCTAAACAATGACATATGAGCATAGATACACATTTTCACAGACATACGTTTGTTATAAAGATCACATACCATATCAACAGAAAGCACACATAAAAGTGAGTTCAAGAAAGATTAACAGTGATGTGATGGTTAAGGAAAACGGGAAAGAAACGGAAAAGACTCAACTCTCTATGTGTTTGGTATTTTGTTACCAAAAGAAGATTGTTGAGAAAGGGGAAAGCTGAGGCATACCTTTGCTGGATAGAAGCGTATCTCAAAGCCTAAAGGAAAAGAGACTCTTTCTTCAAGCCACCGACGCACATAAGCTTCCTGCTCTGAAGGAGAACTAAAGGTGATGTTATTTGGGTAGACAAGCAATTGGTGCTTCACAGTCAGCCAAGGAATCACCAAAGTGACTCGTCTCTCCCCGTCTTTTGCGAGATAGGCGGCACGGAACAGAGGATTAACGGAAGTTCCCGTCAGCCATGGAAGACTAGCTGTCGTAAATATCGCAATGTGCTGCTGCTGCTGCTGCTTCGTCATATCATCTCAAGCTAAACCTCTACTGCTGAACAATCTGTACAAGAACTCTAATGATGTCCTGTGAACGATATTCATATAACTATTTCAGATTTCCATCTCCCCCAATTCCAAAATCACAAGATGAAAATGTTCAAGAGCATATGGATATAGGTTTCAGTTTTGTGTTGTAGAGAGTTTCAACAGAAGCTATATTATTTTGCAAAGCTTCTACTAAAGGAACCTCAAGTTGAGTAATTATCTAATCATTTAGTTGATCTGATAATCCCAATAAGGAGAATTTTGTTGGACTACAAGGTTCAAGCGATTAAAGGAACACATAATATCTCCAATAACATATGAGAAAAAAAAAAAAAAAAAAAACCACAACTCAACATTCCGAAGGGCGCAATAAGAGTAAATCACGCTACGAGAGTCTAACTAACATCAATTATGAACAAAATTATATCAAAATTGAATCGAAAATGACGCCATACCTGGAGGATTAAGAGAAACAAATCTTCGTAGCAAGCACACGATTTAAAAGCTGATTCGCGTCGAATTTGGGGGAAAGGAAACGTTAAAGGAAAAAAAGAAGAAATAATATTATAGAGTTTGCGTGAGATGAAGAATATTCTAGGCTGGGAAGGTATTCTTCTCCTCGTTGGTTTTTGAGGTCATTGTTTAAACCAACGTTACAGGCTGGTCGCAGGATTTTCCAATCTCAACATTCTTCTTTCCAGCCAAGTCGAGAACGAAGAAGAATTAACAACGACGACTTGCGTGTTCAGACTACGTGCCGTTTTTATTTAATCGTTTAAAAACGTCATCATGTTTCACTTTCAAGTCAAATACGGTGGATCTGATGGTTATTATGAGCTAGGCCCAGGCCCATACTTGACAATAAGAACTCAAGTAAATTAAAACCAAAACCGTATCAATTCTATTCATGTTAAATTCGGGTTTACATTGGTTTTGTCAAACCGAAATTTTATCCATAGAAAGAAACAGAGTGGTAAGAGCACACGAGGGAATAACAACATCATGGGAGAGAATGAGACTGAGATTGAGACTGAAGTGTTAATCTAACACCATCTTTGAAAGAAGTTGGAGAGATCTCAAGAGTCTGAATCAGTTTAGTTATGTCCATAGATATATCTGCTGGTGACACCACTCCTCGATCAACCTAGTCAGAAACAGCTGATACCCATTAAGCGACTGATCTGCAACAATATTCAATAAACAAGTGAGGTCATTGGTGCAATACCGAGGATGCAGACACATGTTTGATCAATGACAGGTCATGTCCTCCGACTTCTGCAACCGCTTCAGCCATCTGAACACGAGATAGTCTGTCCGGTCCTCCAGCATTCAAAACTAGTCGCATCTGTTTATCATCTGAAAACAAACAACATGTTTAGTAGTGCTATGATGCAGACAGAGAGAGAGAGAGACTCAAGAGAAAGAATGTACCTGAAGCGACCCATGTATTTATCAACTTCATAATGACAGCCAAGAGATCCTTAACGTAAATGGGACAACGATACTCATCATGGAAGAACTCTACCGCGTCTCCCTTCTGTAAGACGCTATCCATCCACTAAAATATACCCAATTCATTTTCAACGGACTCGGAATGATCTCAAGTATATATATATATATATATATATATATATGTATATGGATGTGTGTTGCGAAGTTGTAACGAGAGGCACCTGAATTGGGAGATTCTTGGGGAGTGGTGAAACAGTTTGAGGACCAAAGATGATACTACTTCTTAATATCGCAAAGTTTTGATGTTTATCTTTGATGATAAGCTCTGCTGCAACTTTTGATTTCCCGTAAACATTGACCGCAACAGTCTCGTCTTCTTCCTTGTAGAAAGACTTGACACCTTCATACACTGAGATTTACGGACGGAGAAACTCAGTCAAAAATAGACACAACGGATGTCTGAAAAGTCTATGATTACTCTCTCTCTCTCTCTCTCTCTCTCTCTCTCTCTCTCTCTCTCTGTGTGTGTCTTACCTTGATCAGTAGAGAGATGAATCAACAAGGTTTTGTTACTCGCAAGAGTTGATAACCAGTTTACAAGAGAATGAGGCACGTTGATCGACATGGCGGAAACTGGATCTTGCTCGCAAGTTCGAGGAACGGACAGAGCAGCACAGTTCACGACTACATCAGGCTGTATTCAATATGGAACAAACAAGTGTTGCTTTTTCAGACCAGAGAGTGTCTTGTTATGTCAGATTCAATCCATTTTATCAGCTAACAAGAATCTGGAAGCAATTTATTTCTACAGAAAACTAAGTATCATCAAGCTACAGATTACGAGATGGGCGATAAATCGAAACCTGACCAAAGTGCTGAGAAATGGAATGGAAACCTAGACCGGATTTGAGATCGACAGGAAACGCCGGGAAATGAGGAAATGCGTCGAGCAAGAGGCGGGGAACGGGAGAAGAGTGGTGAGTGAAAGCGACGTCGTATCGGTCTCCGCCATTGTTGCTAGCTAAAGCTTGAAGCAGATGCTGACCCAAGTAGCCCGTACCTCCCACTATCACTACTTTCGTCTTCTCCATTGTATCACCAATCTTCCGATCACTTTCCGAAGTTTTCTTCATCTAAGTTTTACTCTATTGTTCAATTTTTGTTTTTCAATTTAATAAATCAAAATCGTCACCTTCCGTTTGATCCAGTGAATAAAAATGTAAGAATACTAGTGGTAAAGCAGATTCAAAGCAATGTGGAGAGCAAAAATTTGAAGAGATCGTTATTGCCAAAAAAAAAAGTATATAACAGTGTTCAGACATAATCGTAAGAAATTGGGTAAGGAAAAAAGGACCCTGTTCTTGTTCTTAAGCCATCCCTTGGCATTGTTTTTAAGCATATCATAGATTTTGTAGTACATATTTTGAGGGGGAAAAAAAGAATGTTGTTGATCGCAAAGAAGATTTTTGGTCTTTTGGCTTTCTATGAAACCTGAGAGAGAAGAGTTATAAAAAGAGTCATTTGTCTATTTCTCGTGAACGAGAGGGCTGTAGATTGGGAACCACATGTTGCGTGTGATGTAATTCACTGTCTCCTCCTGTTTGCCATAAACAAAATTCCGATTAGATTCAATCTTCTACTGCCTTACAACATGTTTGATACAATTCTCAGTTATATTGATGTTACCTTAGACATGTGGCTGAGATCTTTGGGACCAACATCACCATGTCCTTCTGCAATGTCGTCATGAACCGCGGCCCGTAGAACAGCGGCACCTACCTCAGCTGTGATGTGTCGGATGCTGCATTTTTTTACCAAACCAAACACTTTAATGAAACGGTCTTACATATAAAAAAAATCAACTGAAAGAAAGAGAGTGAAGTAGCGGAAAATACTTGTTGATTGAAGGGTAGAGGATGCCTTTTTGGACTTCTTCGTCAGTCATGTACGAGGCAAGGCTGTGTACATTTGAAAGGATAAACAATTGGTCAGCTTTATCATTTATTATTACTCTGCAGAAGATAACCAAACGAAATAATTACCATTCAGAAGCTGCTTGGAGCATTCCATCGGTTACAATACGTGCACCAGAGAAAAGAGTCCCTAACCCGATCCTGGAAAGGAGAATAAAAGCACAGTTGATTTTAATAAAGCTTTGTTTTAATAGACTGGAATGTGATTCAGTGAAGCAGTGTTCAAGATAGAAAACGAACCCAGGGAATAGATACATGTTGTTGGCTTGATTCACATGTCCTACTTTACCATTATCTGCAAGTAGAGAAACAAAATGAACATTTTCAGATTTTTAGCATTTAAGTTTCAAAAGCCATATGTGAATCTCGCTGCAGGCATATACCGAGTTCAACGTGTTCAAATGGGCTTCCACTTCCAAAGACTATGTTTTCTCCTGCGTGCTTAAATGCATCAGCAGCAGTGCACTCGGCTGTCACACAAAAAGACAAGTGTTCAGGAGAAGAGATCTTTCAAGGAAATGTTACATTATTTTGCAGAGAACGAACACAAACCATTCAAGGTGGGATTTGACATGGCAAAAATGGCAGGCTTGCATGAGTCAGACTCTCGCATCGCCTTGAGAACCTTTTGATTAATGAAACCATTGACCCATATAAGTAAACATGTTGACTAATAGACCATGAAACTATATTGTTTGTTGAAAAATTCACCTACATTTTCATCGAAAATACCACCAACTCCAGACAAACCAAGAAGAACATGTGGCCTCACTTTCTTCACCTGAACAAAGTTGAAAGAAGGAAACATGACTATATTATGATGTCCAACTTTCAGGGACAGTAGTAGAGAAAGAAAACTAAGTCAAGAACACAATAACGCTTAGGCTTACCACTTCAACGATACTTGCTCCCTCGCGTATCTCAGCTGGATCTTTGGCAAAGGCTAAAGCTGCTGGGTCACCTTTTGTCCTCTCCGTTGTGACAAGACCCTGAAGCCCAATCAATCGTTTTCATTATATTATTCAAGATCTTATGTGGCAAGGAAAGCAGAAGAAGAAAACAATATGTGAGGAATGCAAAAAAAAAGAATGACAAATGAATAACTTTTAAAATGTTTTTGACTTTTTCCAGGTAAACTCTTAATGGATAGCTTAGAAACAACATTCAGAAGCAAGCTAAATATGACAGTTTCAAAGTCAACTGACTCGTGAAGCTACGCGTTATTTATTATCAAGAAAGACAAGCCCATTCAGATGAAGTCAAGTAGGGGTAAACAAGAAACTTACATCTTTATCTATCAGGTAAAAGTTTTTGGTTGCAGCACTCTCGCTGATGCCTGCCATTCGCGCAACTGCCTGTACTGCCATCTTAGTTACACCCAGCCCTGCACTGAAAGCGACAGAAGAAATATACAATCCGAATATGAGACGAAAGTTAATGCAAAACTATATATACATACATGACTAGAAGATTTCAACTGAAGAATATCCAAGTACCTTCCAGCTCCCACTACAACAATCTTTTGGTTCACAAAGTCAGATAAAGGCCGACCTTGAGCTCTTACAGTTCCCAATAGTCCAGCGAGAGCAACACCAGCAGTTCCCTGAGAAATCACACGCCAACCTTGTTATTAAAACGAAAATACATAAAGAGTAGCTATAGTATAATAGCAGCTGGATTGCATGCAATGATGAGAACACACCTGGACATCATCATTGAACATGCAAAACTTCTTCCGATATCTTTCCAAAGTTTCAAAAGCCCATTTCGCTTGGAAATCTTCAAACTATAAAACGATGGAAAGAACCATTTAGTCATCCTTACCACCTGCTGGTCAATCCAAAAAGTAGAAAACTAAGAGATAGAGATAGGTAATTATACTTGTACTACGGCCTTGGGCCAACGTGTGAATGCAGCTTCCATAAATTCATCAATGATCTCAAGGTACTCATCTCCTTCCAACCTAGGTTGTCTGAGTCCTAAATCTGCACAATGGAGAAGAAGACACATGAATGAGGTAATATAGAAGACAATTCCACAATCATATCGACTCATTCAAAGTCAGCTTACACAGAGGATTCTGTAGGAGCTTCTGATTATTCGTCCCCACGTCCAACATAATAGGCAAAACCTACACAAGAGAAAGCGTATCATTTCAGTCAAACAAGGACCAAGGAGGAGGATGAAACACTTGTTACAAGCAGATTATGTCAGAGATCAACATACTCTCTGGGGATTGATTCCTGCAGCAGCGACGTACATGTCGAGCTTTCCAATAGGAATACCAATGCCCTGGACTCCAAGGTCTCCTAAGCCAAGAATACGGCTCCCGTCTGTGATGACGATCATATCTACCTGCTTAGCTGGCCAGTTGTATATCATTGACATCATCTCTCCTTTGTCTTTCGCACTGAAGTACATTCCTCGTGGCCTTCTATACAAACCAGAATAGTTCTGACAAACCAGTCCAACGGTGGGTGTGTAAATAATCGGAGCAAAATCTCTGATGTTATCCATAAGGACCTGCACAGAACAAGAGTGGGTTATGTCTCAGTGTCATGTCATGTCGGATAATAATAAGAAAAAGGACAGTTTGAGCCAAACTCACTCGGTAGTACAAAGTCTCGTTACGGTCATGCAGTCTATTGAGAATCCTCCACTTTGCTAAGGACACAACGTTTTCTGGTTGGCCTAGCGTGTTCCTCTCTAGGGATTGAAATGACTCAACTGCCAATTTTGTCATATACCAAAAGTCTCTCAGAATCCCAGAAAGACATAATCATATCATTTTGCAAATGGATCCACAAGGTGTCAATAGCTTACTGAAACGGTCATATTGCTGTTCAAAGGAGATGACACGAGGAGGAAGCAAGCCTCGTAGCCCCAATCTATCTCTCTCTGTCAAAGGAAAACCAGTGTCCTGCAAAAATCACAAGAACAAACTTTAGTCTCATCAAAAGAGAGCATAACCAGTCTCCTCGCTGAGTTGATTCAGTAGCATTATGACTTTAATCAAAGGAATCGTTGAGAACCCTAAAATCAGAGAATCGATCAAAAAAGAGTAGATAGAATACACAACCTTATTAAACCATGGATCGTGAAGAATATCGGCACCACGTTTGTGGACGATGCAAGGACCAGGAATCGTCGTCGACAAGCAGCGCCGAGATCCGCCGGTTCTTGCCGCTGCCGCCGTCTTAGAGAACCTAGCAATGCTCCTCCACATCATCGGTCCCCAGCAATATCACTCTCAAGATCCGACCGATCAAAATAAGCACACTACACAGGATTGCGAACCGCAATTCAATGATATGACAAGCTCAAAAAAAGACTAAAAACGGAGAGAGAGAGAGAGAGAACAAAAGAAAAGAAAAAAATGGAATGATAGCAAATCTCTGGGTTTTATGGAGTAAATTTAGTGAAAAATTGTACACAAGATTTAGCTTTGATCTCTTCTCCTTACGCTTCCAGTGAGAATTGAATGTTCCTCCTCCAGCTTCGAGAGAGAGAGAGAGAGAGAGAGAGTAAGAGAGGAAGCTCTGTCTGAGGGAGAGGGAGAGGGAAGATGTCTGAGAACTGCCCGGTGGATTATTAAGTAAGAGAGAAAGGGTCAGACAATCGAGAATAAGGCATTTCTGTGTTTACATTACATAATTGAGATCTTCCATTTATTTCTACTTTTTATTTTTTCAGAATTTTCCATCTTTAAATTCAAAGGAAAATGAAAAATGGGAAAAGTCAAAGGAAACCATGATGAAGTTGCCCGAAGGAAAACGGGCAATACGGGGGTTATAAACGGAAATGTGAATACAGAGGGAAATGAGATCCGCCACGTGTACGGTTTTAAATCATTTTCCTGGCTAATTGGGCATGAGATTAGAGGTGATAGGACATTGACCAACTCACCGTTAGATCGTTGACACGTGTCACCGTGTTGTCGTATTTCCGCTTTTACCCATGCGTGTGCCTCTGGTAAAAAATATTACTACTTCCTTCGAAGAGGAAAATAAAGTAAAAGAAAAGGAAAGGAAGAATAAATTAAAGATTCGAGCATTTTAAGTGAAAACCATCCTTTTTAAACTATTCCCTGCGGCGACTAGACACCGTCAGCTTTTAACTCTAACCACAGTACCACAATGCTGCTTCCTTTCTTTTTTTTTTCTACCGTTCATGTCTAAAATAATGATTTGAAACATCCATAATATAATTAGGGAGGCCTATAATTTAAGTGTTGTTTGGTGTTTCCTCGACAACTTCCAAATATATCACAATCAAAAGTACGAGTACTCTTCATTTTTAAATTCGTATATATATAGCCAAAAAAAGGTGTTGTCTGATGATATAATTCATGTTTCTATTATTTTTCTTTTCATGGTGAAAGATATTGTCATTTTTTTCGACCTAGAACCACTTGACTACTGTTGAACGGAATGCTACAAAGAATATAAGAATAAGAATAGTCATTGAACAGCAATTGCAAATTCTAGCCAACCATTGTAGTCAAAACCTATATATATTCGGCATTGAAGTATATCATCATCAGAGTTACGTATCTTTAAATGTGGATTCTTAAAGCACTAATTCGAAAGTAAGCAAAGAGAAATGCTAAAACAATGTTTCAAAACCCAGATGGATTCTGCCTTAGATAAAACCGACCCACATATAAACTGATCAAATTGATTTTGGAATAACAAGAAATTCCTTAACCTGGGAAGATTCCATGTGTTGTACATGGCAAGGCAAAAAGACAGATTATTGTGGTCTCAATACTATGAAGATGAGAGAGACAGGTTGGTTTCTTTTCATGCTCACATTGTTTGCAAAGAAGAGACCATTTTAAAGAGTTTTCCAAAGCAAGCAACACGCTTTAATGCTCCTTTTCGTAATCGTCCTTGGTTCCAAAGTTCTTGCACCACATCTGTGACGGAATTGGGCGTACAGGCATGTGTGGCCTTTGCTGAAATCAAAATAAAGGCTTTACTCAAATCTTGATCATCAAACAAGAAAGTGGAAAGTGGAAACTATAGAGTACCACAGAGATACACACAATACATATAACAATGTAAGTGCTGAATTCTTGTCACGAGGGACTCAATATAAGCATTTGGCTCCGAGAAATAAAAGAAATGATAAAGTTACTGTAGACCACTCTTTACACCATACTTGGTGTACTTAAGTTGCAGGAGTTTCAGAAGATTAGATTTTAGAGTCCAACTACAGAGAAATTAATCAATAAAATCTCCCAGAGCTGTTAACACCAACATAAAACATAAAGTAACATGGCGAAAGAAAACAAGAATTGGAGAGTTCAAGAGATTCAGAGGGTGCAAGTCAAAACCATCCCACAAACAAACATCACACATAGGTAATCTACAATATATTGGATACAGTTGATGACAGATGAATCATTCATCAACATGACTAAGATTCTAAGAATTCATCAAATACCAAATGGAATTAGGTAGGAGAAGGTTGATTAAGTTCACTGAAATATATTAGAATGTTCTATGGGAATACCTGCTTATGAAACATATAAACCGAAGCTATCTGTTGCAATAGATTCACACAGACGTAGGCAGCAATTAATCTCTACTGAATAGGCGAAATCAAATTTATATTCACATACCCAAATACTAATGACAAACACAGACCAACAAAAGTATGCTCTCCAGGATCAAATTCCAAGCCATTCCCCTTTCACTCATTGAGTAAAATATGTCATTCATAATAGTGATTCTCTTATTCTCCTATCCTAATCCAAATTTCTGGCAAACAACACACATTTTGCTCATTTTTTGCAAGGACAGGAGAAATGAAGTATACCTCGAGCTCGGCAGACTTCATGGCGATGGGGATGCAGACAAGGAAGATGCCAAACATAGCCATGGCGGTGTTCCGACGCCAATGTTTGGGCCTACAGTAAGGCCCACCTGACATACTCCATACTTTGGCTCTGAAATCGCCTCCTTCTCCTCCATGCCCATGCTCTCCTCCTCCCATTTTTCCTAGATCGATCAGTCTCACCAAAAACCAATTCCTCTTCCTAATTCGGTAATGAAGTTGAACAGATCGATCAGTACCAAAAGTTCAAAATGCTGTAAACTCAAGCAATCCCTAAACCCTGCAACCAATATTTGGTGACAGATTCTCCGAATTGAGTATTCAAATAGCATGATTCCTTGGAGATGGGCGTACCTTAGCGAAATCGAGAGGATTGCAAAAATAGGAGACGACGAAGATGATGAGAGACTTGTTGCGCTTCTTCTACAGAGTCTCTTTACTGTGAATGAAACGAGTTTTTTGGCATCTGTGAATTCTCAGGGTGTTTTACGTCAAAGCCTTCAACAGTGTGACGACCTCTTCTGTCTCCAGTGGCAATACGGTCCTTTTCACCTACCGAGGAAAAAGGATTAAAACAGCAAGATGTTCACATATATATTACTGAAACGGGGAGCAACTTCTTCTAAAGTCAACGCACTGGACCTCTTAAACGGGACGATGTTTTCCTCATTTGAAGGTTTTTAATGTTAACTTCCGATTCATCGGAGTTCGAAGAGGCTTTGCCTGAAAAACGATGGCTTCCGACGGAGTAGATAACACTCGGCGCTTTTTCGTGGCTGTTCACGTCGGTGCCGGTTATCACGCGGTGGCTAACGAGAAAGCTCTTAGATCCGTCATGAGACGCGCTTGCCTAGCCGCTTCCACTATTCTTCTCCAGGTCAGTCAATTTCTTTTCGAATCAAGGCTAGTCTCATTGAAAAATCATGACATATTCCTACGAACCTCTAAAGCACATTCGTACTATGGACTAAATGATACGAAAAACCATACATTGATGTGTGATCTTTGCTTTATATGCTGAATTTAGGATTCTGGTGGTGGGTGCATAGATGCTGTTTCAGCCGCCATTGAAGTCCTCGAGGTACTAAGTTTGTTCTTTTGTCCATGATTATAGAGTTTGGGAATGGCTGCACCTTAAACTTTGCTAGCGATTCATTTGTGAAATTAGGACGACCCGAGCACAAATGCTGGAAGAGGCTCTAATTTGACAGAAGATGGCGATGTGGAATGTGATGCTGGTCTTATGGATGGCGATTCAGGAGTGTTTGGAGGCGTTGGAGCTGTTCCAGGTACTTAGAAAGCTCTTACCCCTCAGCCTTCAAATTACAGTAGCTATCGAATTGCTAAAGATTTTGGACGATGAACTGTAGATCAGGTGTCAGAAATGCCATCAAGATTGCTGCTTTATTGTTGAAGGAGCAGATGAGTGGGTCAAGCCTATTAGGCCGTATACCTCCAATGTAACGAATCTCCCAGCTTCTTTGTTTTGATATGATATCACCACCCAGCTTTAGTTTGGTTTCGTCAAGCGTTGAACTTTCTGATCTGCCTCCACAGGATGTTGGTTGGTGAAGGAGCTCGACGTTGGGCCAAATCCAAAGGTCTTCTTTTGCCTGAAACTGTCACAGAAGCTGATCAGGTTGAGATTTCCACATCATTCTCTTGCTTTACTTATGAATCAGCAATTTGAGAATCATGTTTTAAGTATCGTATGTTGTAACAGTGGCTGGTTACAGAGAGAGCAAGAAGTCAGTGGAGAAAGTTTAAGACTATGCTTTCTGAGGTAGAGGCAAAGAGTAGGCTTTCTTCTGAAGAACATCCCAGGAAAATTGACACGGATGAAAGAAGTGAGGAAAAACCATCACCGTGTGCAGCTGAAGATGAGGATAAGATCATTGATACTGTTGGAGTTATTTGTGTTGACAGTGAAGGACGCATTGCTTGTGGTTCCTCAAGTGGTGGCATTGCAATGAAGGTAATAACAATCAATTCCTAGTTCATTTGTCTTCGGAAAGAAAAACTGATTATCATGTTTTCTGGTATTGCGCTTCAGGTAAGTGGGCGTGTAGGTTTAGCAGCAACATATGGTTCTGGTTGTTGGGCATCCTCTAAAGGACCATTTGGAGATCCATTTCAAGTTGGTTGTTGTGTGTCTGGAGCAGGAGAGTATCTTATGAGAGGGTTTGCAGCCAAGGAATGTTGTACTTCATTGTCCATGTATATCTCCCTAAACTCTTTCAAATGATTTATGCTCTTTTTTGGTGTGGCTTTGCTCTTCTGTATCCAAGCTAATAAGGGATTTCTTACGCTCTTAGTTCACAGGCTGGTCCAGCAGCTGCAGCCATGAAGGTTTTACGTTCCGTGATGCAACAAGAGAGCTCAGAAAGTGGAATTGCTGACAGAACTGCTGGATTTCTAGTGGTTCAGGCGGATGCTTCTGTTGATGTAAGCCCAAGAACCTTGTCATTTGTTGCTTTCTTTTGGTTGTCAATCTTGCTTTAACTGTTCTGATTAAATTTTAGAAGGTCTCTGGAAATAGACCAGAGCTGAATGCTGTGGAGATCGCTGCTGCTTACTCGTCACAATCATTTGGCGTAGGATACTATGGGAACACTATAAAGAAGCCAAAGGTATGGCCTTACACTTAGATACCCAAAGTATAATCTCATCGTTAATGGTGGAGCTCGAATACTTAGTTAAGGATCATTGGATCTCTTGTTGTTTGAACAGATTTCGATTCTCAGGAAGAAGAGAGACAAGAATGAAGCTGTGATAGATCATTTTGAAGCCAGGATTGATCTCCGTCCAACCTGTTCTGCTGATTGACTACGTCTCTCTTGAATCTGATTTTGTAGAATGTTTAAAGCATTGTTGTTGAGAAAAGTTTAAGAATCTGTAACATGGAAAGTTTAATCCAGTTTTGCCCCTTCCATGAATGCAAAATTTTGTGGATGTATTTGGAGCACATAAACGAGGTTCAGAAGGAAAATTTATGTTGCTGATTTAACATTTTCACCCTATGAAAGTATGTCACATATATTGTCACTAACAGAGATGAAGCTCTAAGAAAAAGGATGTAAACAGAGGACACACCTCAGCATTAGAAGACATAGTCAGTATTCTGAACTCTGATAATTGCATTGAAATTCGTACCACCAACATTACATTTGACACACACATAAACAGAATCGTGGATTCGATACCAGAAGATCCCATTTAGATAAAGACATGTTAAAAAGACAATATTATATCCGACTTATATGTTTGAGACCTATTGGCTTCAAAAAAGACTAAAAGATTTTGTTTATTCCAAAAAGGCCAGCAATCTTCGTTTGACATTTGAGGTCACTGGAAGTTGTGAATTCTCTTGGCTGAAATTAGAGTGTTGGATAGAAGCATGGCTATGGTCATTGGTCCAACACCACCAGGAACAGGTGTGATGGCTGATGCAACTTTGCAAGCCTCCTCATAGCAAATGTCTCCAACCAATCGATATCCACGAGGAGCATTTGTATCCTGCAGTTCACAGTATATCAACATCACATAGTGATTTTCATTTTAAGCCAGTATAACTCCATTACCGTAATGTCAAACTCTTCACTTACCTCAACAGGATTTATCCCAACATCGATGATGACTGCACCAGGTTTGATCCAGTTCCCTCTGACCATGTTCGGCTGCCCAACAGCTGAGATTATGATATCAGCCTGTCTCGTGATCTCTTCAGAGTTCTTGGTTCTTGAATGGATCATGGTAACGGTTGCATCCTCCCTCTACATATACAACATACATCGATTAATGAACCAAAGATCGTAACTAATTTATCAAATGTCATCTCTCAGAAGGTAGTATCATCATTACCTGGAGTAAGAGAGCAGCTGGCATACCAACAATGTTACTCCTCCCGATAACAACAGCTCTCTTTCCTTTGATCCCAATGTTGTATCTGTGCAACAGCTCAATGCATCCTTTTGGAGTACATGGAACAAACAATGGTTCTCTTCCCCGCATGGCAAGCCGTCCAATATTCAACGGGTGAAATCCGTCAACATCTTTCTCTATACTAACAGCATTCAATATGTTCTGTTCATCCATATGCTGCATATATGTACATAACAAATATGTTGTAAAATCACAGTCATTTTTCAGTTGTTAATATGATCAAGATAGAGACTTTGGTTATTACCGATGGAAGAGGCAACTGAACAAGGATTCCATGGACAGAAGGATCACTGTTGAAGCCTGAGACAGATTTCAACACCTCTTCCTCTGAGGAATCTTCAGGTAGACAAACTTCGAATGATTTGATTCCAACAGAATCACAAGCTTTCTTCTTGTTCCTCACGTAAGTTGCCGAGTCTTTCCTGTCCCCAACAAGGATTACAGCTAACCCAGGAACCACACCGGTTGATTCCTTCATTCTCGAAACTTCAATTGTGATCTCATCTCTAATCGTTTTCGCCACAGCCTTTCCATCAATTACAATGGCCGAAGCCTCTGAATTTGTAACCGCTATACAAAAAAAGAAAATTTTTAATGATTCCAATCACACAACTGAACAATTGAAGTCTCCTGACATGGTTTTAGTGTATACTGTACCTGAAATGGCAGGAGTGGGAGAAGAAGAGGAACGAATGGAGAGAGAGCAGCTACGGCGACCAGGCGCAGTGGTCGGTAGGCGAAGTTGGCCGGCGGACTGACGGCGGAGGATAGTACCGGTGCAGCGGTTGAAATGGATGAGACGTGACGTCGTGGAGGAGGAGCAGTCGGTAAACATCATCGACGCCATTTTATTACCGGCCAACCACAACAACTGTCTGCTCCTCGTCGTGGCTCCGAACTTTAGGGTTTAAGACTCAGGAGAAAGGTTTAGCAGTTAGCGATTTAGCTCTTGTAACAGTGTTGCATATGAAAATGGTGGTGGTGGCTAGGGTTGCTTAAGTCAATTTTGTTTTCATTTTCTTTGAACACCGAAAGCCCAAGCCTTTACCGACCAAGTCACAAATCATTTTATTTATTTATAATATTTTTTATTTTTATTACATTGAGATTTCTTTCTCTCGCTCGCTGCTGTCTCTCTTTGTGCGCTCTTGTCTCTCTGTTTTTGACGCGAGAAGCTTCGTCTCTTTCTCTCTATTTTATACCCTTTTGATTGCTCTCTCTCGGTCCTCCCGTGGACCTCTTTCGAATTTTTTTTTAAAACTGTTTATCAATCCCCGAATTTCGCTTGATTTTGGAGTTTTATTTTCAGATCTGCTGCTATTTATCTCCGGTTTTCTGATTTTATACAAACCCTAGATTTCTCCGGAAGAGTTTTATTTGCTGTAATTAAAATCGCGATTTTTGTCAAATATCTCTCGACATTACCGTAGGGAAGCCCTAGTTTCTGTACAGATCCTTTCCTCCTTTCATAGGCAGAGAGTTTAGTTTGGTTATTAGCGGTTTAGAGATCGAGAAGAAGCAGAAGGTTGTGATGAACAACAACAACCGAGGAAGGTATCCTCCAGGGATTGGCGCTGGCCGTGGAGCCTTTAACCCTAACCCTAATTTCCAATCTCGGCCTGGTTATCAACAGCAGCCGCCGCCACAATACGTCCAGCGCGGCGGTTATCAACAGCAGCAGAATCACCAGCAACAATTTCAGCAAGCGACGTCGCAGCCGCATCAGTACCAACAGCAACACCAGCAGCAGCAACAACAACAATGGCTTCGAAGACCACAGATCTCTGGCGGTAACAGTAACGGTGACGCAGTCGTTGAAGTTGAGAAAACTGTTCAATCCGAAGCTATCGACACAAAGTGAGTTCTGTTTTCGTTTTGTTACTTGGATATGATGCGAATTCTACTTTTCATTTTGCTCTTATGGTGTCATTTATAGTGACTAAACCCTTGTTTCTTACGCTACCATGACATTTAACTGTTTAGTCTCGGTTTGTTTCTTTTCTCTTCAGCTCGGAAGATTGGAAAGCGAGGCTAAAACTTCCCGCACCTGATACTCGCTTCAGAACAGAGGTAAAGCTCAATCTTTTGGAGTTTGAAAGAAAGAGACTAAATTAGAATCTGGTTTAAGATTCGGTTGAATGAGATGACATTTTCATAATGTTCTTCACTTGTTAATCATGTTCAGGATGTGACAGCAACTAAGGGAAACGAGTTTGAAGATTACTTTTTGAAAAGAGAGCTTTTGATGGGAATATACGAGAAGGGTTTTGAGAGACCTTCTCCTATCCAGGAAGAGAGTATTCCAATTGCCTTAACTGGTAGAGATATCCTTGCCCGAGCTAAGAACGGCACTGGCAAGACAGCCGCCTTTTGCATTCCTGTCTTGGAGAAAATTGACCAAGACAACAACGTTATTCAAGGTAACCAACTCCTGCACCATCTTGTCTGTTGATTCATTTGATGTCATAGGATGCGACAAATCAATTTGAAATTCTAATGTTTCATGTGGCCTGTCTTGTTCGCAGCTGTGATCATTGTTCCAACTCGAGAGCTAGCACTTCAGACATCGCAGGTGTGTAAGGAGCTGGGGAAGCATTTGAAGATTCAAGTCATGGTGACCACTGGAGGCACCAGTCTGAAAGATGACATCATGCGTTTGTATCAGCCTGTCCATTTACTGGTGGGAACCCCTGGGAGAATTCTGGATCTTGCCAAGAAAGGTGTTTGTGTTTTGAAAGATTGCTCCGTGCTCGTTATGGATGAGGTAAATGTTGTTTTTCACTCTTTGCAAGGTGTAGCAATTACTGTCATGTTTCTCCTGAATCTGATTTTTAGTGTGAACTTTTATTTTCAGGCTGATAAGCTTTTATCTCAAGAGTTCCAACCTTCAGTGGAACATTTGATTAGCTTTCTCCCGGAAACTCGTCAGATTTTGATGTTCTCAGCCACGTTTCCTGTCACTGTCAAGGACTTTAAGGATAGATTTTTGACGAATCCTTACATTATCAATCTCATGGATGAACTTACGCTCAAGGGTATTACCCAATTCTATGCTTTCGTTGAAGAGCGACAGAAGATTCATTGCTTGAATACACTTTTCTCCAAGGTTAGTTCTCAACTAAGTATTGATTGTTTGGTTTCTGTTTTTCCTTAGCTGGCACTGACTCTCTTCTTCTTCATCTTCTTCTTCTGCAGCTGCAAATTAACCAATCGATCATATTCTGTAATTCTGTGAACCGTGTGGAGCTCTTAGCTAAGAAAATCACAGAACTTGGATATTCTTGCTTTTACATTCATGCAAAGATGCTTCAAGACCACCGAAACAGAGTGTTCCATGACTTCCGCAATGGTGCATGCCGGAATCTTGTGTGTACTGGTATGCCTCAGTTCTGTTATGTTGTTATTGCAAGAGCACACAATTAAGAAAATGCTCAACTGTTATCTAGTTCTTTAGAACCCCAGGAGCAAACTCGTTTTACTATCTTGACTTTGTGAAATGATCTGAATAGTGTATGATTTGATATTGGCTGTTGCAGACTTGTTCACACGTGGGATTGACATTCAAGCAGTCAACGTGGTGATAAACTTTGATTTCCCAAAGAATGCAGAAACTTATCTCCACAGGGTAAGCTGAAAACCAGATGTCTACACTGTAATAGTTTCCTACATATTTGATTGACAATCATTTGATTTTGATACTCGGTTGCTGTCCAGGTTGGTCGATCTGGAAGGTTTGGCCATCTTGGTTTAGCTGTGAATCTTATCACCTATGAGGACCGCTTTAACCTGTATGTCTCTCTCTATCTTTTGACTGGTTTTTACTTCTGTTTCCTGCAGCATAGTTTAACCATAGCCTTGCATTTTTTTGTAGTTACCGGATTGAGCAAGAGCTTGGAACGGAGATCAAGCAAATTCCTCCACATATCGATCAGGCAATTTATTGCCAATAGACCTCCTTGGTCTGCTGTTAGGTGTCTCAGTATTAATAAGTGGTAAGTAATACTTACGGAGTAACTTGAATTGTTCCTTTCTTTTACAATAAAGAACACAGTTTTGTTGAAAAGATCAAAGATGGAGTTCAACTATCGCATCTATAATATCACGTTTCATCATGCTATAAAAGTTCTTTTGATTGAGTTTTGCTTCCCATTTAAGAGAGATACTTAAAAGGTTATCTGCATATGTATGTTGTTGCAGGTTGGTTGAAGCAATGCAGGACAACCACAAGCCAAAAAGTCTTCACATTCTGCCTCTACCTTCTAAATGTCTTTTGTGCGTCTCTGGATTTTTTTTTATTTCTAAAGATAGACAAGGCCTAGAAGGTTTGAAATGCCGAGTGGGGAGTCTTTTATTTAGTTTTAACAACAAGTCGTCGTTTGATGCTGCTGCTATGTTTCTTTCTTTGTCGTAGACTGATCAATGGTTTCAGTATTGTGATGCGTCCTCAAGAAGCTGTGATTTTTCCAGCTTTCCAACTTCAATAATATGAAGTCTTTGTGAACTTTTTGATGATATTTTCCCTTTTTTCCATTCACCCAGCTTGCAGATTTGATTCTAGCATGTCGTGTGTTGTCAATAGATTGACTTGGTTCAGGTTTTTGGTATAAGGACAATGATCTTTTAGCACTCTTGTTCCATGACAAACATAATCAAAAACACAACACACAACAGATAAAAGTATGAGAGTGGAGATAGGTGATAATCTGTATAAGACAGGTCGCTGCTGATCTCAGAAGCAGCTGAGAGATGACTTCTTAGGAACTTGTCCAATTGCTTGAAACCTAGCAGCTTCCTCTTCAGCATCAAGGATCTCTCGAGCGCGTCTGGTTTGAACCTTTGCCTTCTGCTCTTGTGCTTTTGCATGAACTGCTGCTTTCTTGCTCCTTAGTTCTTCTGCTTTCTCCATTTTCTTATGGTCCATCTTACGCTGCCGAAAACAACAATCACAATCCTTTCGTTTGTTTATTTGTTCTTTGAAGAAGAGTTAAAATTTCATGTTTTATAGACGCTGCAGTCTTTTACCATTGGATTTAGATTCGTGTTTTTGATCATATACTTTACCAATAGAACAGTCTAAAGTATTATGTAGGACAAGAGGTCTAGAGATCTTTTTGTGGAATCACCTGGATCCTAGCGAGTTGAGATTCGATCTTTGTTGTTTTCTTTTCCTCCCATCCTGAAATCTCGAGGAGCCTCTTCTGAGTCCTGCACAGTCACAAGATTGTCACAGAAGTCTATAGAACCCTGAGAAATGGTTTGTGTTGAGTTCTTACTTGTTAATGACCTTTGTTATCTTTTGTTCCTTCCATGCCTTGATGACTGATAACTGCGCTTCTCCTACAGCGCAAGTGTTATTTTATCAACCAATGATAACTACCATGAAACTAAAACAATACTGAAACGTTGTGTTATAATAATTACCTCTTTGGATCGGAATATCTACCTTCATTTGATAAGAAAACGAGCTTCGACGCTTAAGTTCTAATTGTATGTTAAATGCACATTAAGGTCTATTTATAAAGATATAGATATATATTCGATTGCAAAAAAGTGAAAATTAGAATGGTACGTTTCAGTGATGAATGTATTGGGTTCGATTTTTTTCTCGTGGGAATATATAAAAAATTGGTTCTAATGGTTTCCTTCTGTGTTAGTCTTATCAATATCATTTGTTTATGTTTGATTATTCGATATACGTCGGTATGTCACAAGGAATATAAACTACAGCTTGCAAAATAGTCGAATCTTTGATAAACTTGGCGAGCATAGCATAACGTGTTCTTATAAAACTGAAGAATGGAATCCATATTATTTGTTTCGATATATGCTTAAAGTATCCATACTAAGTCCACTAGAGCGTTCACTATTAATATCGAGCTTTAGAAATTTATTTTTTAAATTTCAGTGGATTTCTATTATACTAGTTTGTTCAAAGTGCAATACAGTCGGCAAATTTCCTTTTATATTTTCCTGTTACCATGATGACTTCATCTTCTTTTTTCTGTTGTATGCCCCCTTGAAGAGAAACATAGTTAAAAGTTAAAACAAAGACAAGTGGGCTTAGTTGACCAAAGAAAAGACAAAGACAATCATATTGAAACTGTTCTCTGTTATGTTGTGAGGTGAGTTAATTTTGTGGTTTGATTCGCTGTATGACAACACGACAGAATATTTGTTCGTGTCAAATGTCTTTATCCTTTCAACAATTGGTTACCGTAACTCTTGAATGATTAGGATTATCTGATTTGATCAGTCATGAGCTATGTTGTTCGATTTTCAACATATTTTCTACCTAATCCGATTATCATCAACACAATATCCTCTTCTGGTGTCTTTAATTAAGTAGAACAATTGACTAATTTATTATTTTGCTGTGATAAAACAAAACAATCTTAATACATTGAATCCACACAAAAATGTAAAAGAAATATCCAGGAAATGTTGTGATGTAAGAGATTAAAAATGCTTAGCATAAGAAACAATAGGAATGGAAAGGGATGAAAAGTGGTTGATTGGAATATTCAGAGAGCTCGCTCTTTCATGATGTCGAGGCTCATCTCGTTAGGTTCAGTTACTAGCAAGTCAACTTCAATCCCATCCAATGCTGTCTTGATACTGTCTTTGGAGCTTGCGTACAACATCTTATTCCTCGGTGTTGATGCATCAGGGAACCTGATGAATACAATGGTTCTCTCATAATTTTCAGAAGAAACTACTTACGATGATTTTACCAGCTATTTACCCTATGACGAATGCCGGTTCGCAGTGTATGATTTTGATTTCACCACCGAGGATAATTGCCAGAAGAGGAAGATCTTTTTCATTGGGTGGTAATTAATTAAACACACTTGCTCCATTTTTTTATCCTTTGTAATGATCTGAAAAATTATGAGAGAACCATTGTATTCATCAGGTTCCCTGATGCATCAACACCGAGGAATAAGAAAGTGTGTTTAATTAATTACCACCCAATGAAAAAGATCTTCCTCTTCTGGCAATTATCCTCGGTGGTGAAATCAAAATCATACACTGCGAACCGGCATTCGTCATAGGGTAAATAGCTGGTAAAATCATCGTAAGTAGTTTCTTCTGAATTCCCAATCTTGTCTATTTGAACTATCTCATCATCCTTATTAATCTTGAACACGATGAACCTATAAGTCCTCTTTTCTTTCAACTCCAAGAACTTGATCTTGCAATCATCACTCATTTGCATCCAAGCCTTGCAAAACACATACGTAGTCAATGAATCACTTTATATACTTACGAATCCTCTTCGTGTTATGTACCTCCAAACCAAATCACAACAACCATTCACACCACACCAAGTTACTTTATACAAGCTCTCTCTTTCTCTCTCTTTCATGTTTAAAACCCAAATACCACAAATCAGTGTTTTTGATTTGGAATCATTGCATTGCATACATATTTAAACATATACCATATAGTCAACAAAATCATTCACATGTTTAAACTGTGCATGTAGAATCTTACCATGTTTTTTTTGTGGGAAATTGAAATCCAAAACCAGGTTGGATGATTCTTGAAAGGAAGAGGATGGGGTTGTGGGGGGGGGTGGGGGGGTTTGAGGTTGAAGAAAACCACAAAGTTGGGTATTTTTATATTTTCTTTCGTCTCGACTTTGATGCCGTCACGTTGTGCCCATATTTTCAACAACGTATAGTGCACTATAGGTTAGTTTAACTCTGTCATATACATCATTTATAATTAATATTTGTTTTGTATGTGCATATGAGCTGGAGTTTGGTCGGGAGATCATTGAAGCTTTGAGGTTTTCATGATGAACACATGTGTCATTTCTTTTGATTTCTATAGATCCTTTTTGACTTTAGCCTAGTCTAGTATGCTATACATCGTTTTTGTTCGGTCCAAAACGTGCTGTTAAATCCCATGAATTCACTGGATCGTAAATGAGAGAGGCCCAAGTTTTCCAACTGTTGCGTTTAATTTCGGGATTAGCTTAGTGTTCTTATGTTAAGCATATTTGGTTGTTAGATAAAGTTCTCTGTTTTCTGGTAACAATGTTTCTTCCGATTTGAGTATTTGATTTTAAATTTTGCCATAAAGATACCTCCCAAGTATTTTTGGACTTTCAAAATCAGTTTCGATATATTTGTGTAGCTAACATCTCTTCTTCTTTTTGATATTCATAATTATGACATATCTAACGACTGTGTTATCATGTTCAAAACCAAAGAAGAAGAAGAAAAAACGGAGTGTTATGTTATAAACTTATAATTATTAAAAAACGCAAAACCTTGGTGTACATATGCATACTATACAAGAGACTTAGAGACGTGATATGAAAATGATACGTCTTCTGAAGAGAAAACGAGATTTAATTGTTTATAAGAAACTTCATAGTCTTTCTTGTTATTTTGTTTTGGAAAACACACAAAACAATGTTACAAGACACTGAATCCACACAAAATGAAAAGAGCGGGGAAGCAAAAGCAGAAATATCCAGGAAACTGAATGTCATGGATTAAAAAGCTTAATATACGAAACAATAGGAATGGATAGTAGTAATGCAGCGGTTTTCATTAGAATATTGATGAGTTTTTTTCAGAGAGCTCGATCTTTGATGATGTCGAGGCTCATCTCGCTAGGATCAGTTGCTTGCAACTCAACTTGAATCCCATCCATTTCTCTCTTGAATCTGTCCTTTGAGCTTGCATACAACATCTTACTCCTCACTCTTGATGTATCAGGCGACCTAATGAGCATTCAAGATTCATACATAACCATTTCAAGATCATATGTAAAAGAAAAAGAAACAAAGACAGATAGAGAAATGGAGCAATATATGGTGGTACCACGCGATGAAAAAGATCTTGCTCTTCTGACAATTATCCTCAGTGGTGAAATCAAAATCATAGACTGCGTAACGGCATTCGTTCTCGGGCATAGAGTTGGTAAAATCATCGTAAGTTTCTTCTGGATTCCCAAGCTTTTCTATCTCAACTTGCTGAGCCTTCTCATCAATCTTGAACACGATGAACCTGTAAGTCCTCTTTCCTTTCAGCTCCAAGAACTTGAGCTTGCATTCATCATCCACGTTCATCCCAGACGCTGAATTTGCCTTGCAAAACACACAACCACATACATAGTCAATGAATTACTTTATACCTCCAAACCAAATACCTCATAACTTAGATTTTTAATATCAAATCACTATACACATCAAGTTAGTTTATACATGATCTCTATTTCATTTCATGTTTAAAAACTTCCAACCCAAATACCACAAAAAAGATATACCATATGTTCAACAACACCATCCCCCATAGGGTTTCACATGTTTAAAATTTAAATGGTGGATGTCATGTAAATTCAGAACAGAAACATAAGCAATATGGATCATCTACATAGAAGATTAAATGTACGTAGGAACTTACCATGTTTTCTTTGGGGAAATCGAAATCCAAACCAGGGATTGATGATTGTTGAAATGAAGAGGTCTTTGAGGATGGGGAAATACAGAAAGATGTGTATTTTGATACTTTGTTTGATCTTTAGGCTGATCACGTCTTAAAGTAGACGACTTTGATGCTGTCACGTTGTGCCCATATTTTCAGAAACATATAATAGTTTTACATCATCTATCTATTCATCTATAATTTTTATTTATTTTGTATGTGTCTACGAGATGAAGTTTGGTCGGGAGATTATTGGAGCATTGAGGTTTTCATGATGAACATGTTTCTTTTATTTTTTTATTAATTTTTCCTATTTCTTACTATTTTTGAACCGTTCTTCTCTTCTGTCATGATCGGTCTTAGACTTTTTGCTTAGTCTTGTTTTCTTGTATGTGGATCTTTGATTTAGCCTACCGATATGCTCTACGTATACTATTGTGTGCGGCCCAAACTTGCTATTTAAACCAGCAATTCAGTGGATCATAAAAGAGAGAAGCCCAACACTTTCCAGTTATTGCTTTTAAAATTTGGGATTAGCTTAGTGTTACTAAGCATCTTTGTTTGTTAAATAAGGTTTACTGTTTACTTCCCCATAAAGATACCTCTTTAACGATTTTGGACTTCTTTTTGATTTTCATGATTAGTGAGTGTTTTACATTTGACGACATGCATTTAAAAAACGGAACTAGAGACGTAATTTGAAAGTGATACGTCTCCTAAAGAGAAAACGAGATTTAACTGTTAATAAGAAACTTCAGTCTTCCTTGATTTTCTTAGACAATTACTGAATTAGTCTTACAAAATGTTTTAAAAATATAAAAGGACTGAGATTTGATATGAACGTAGCAAACAATAAAGCTCAAACATCCCCAAGTTGATTCACGTCTGCGTTTTGGTTGAGCCCCGGTTGATAGAATATATGGACAACCACCACCGTCTGGAAGATGGGAGCGTCGAGGATCCTTTCGTACTCATATTGTCGCCACCCTGTCCTCTTCCCTTCCACAGTCACAAAGTCAAGAGTGTTCCTTTTTCCAAGTATTATTGTGTTCCCACGTTTAACTATCTTCGGCTTACCCACCATCTTCCATCTTCCCTGAGATGCTAAGTTGTCAATTTCTCGATACGGTTGAGAAGACGCCGGCGTTAAGGGAGCACGATTAACGAAGAAGTAGTGGTTGTTAGCTAAGAAGTAAGGTTGTGGTGGAAACGCAGCAGCGGTGGGATCTTGATCGTAGAGTTCAAAGAATTGTACAAGAGAGTTCCTCAACGCTTCCTCATCTCCGGCCAGCCTTGGGAATAGAAACCTTTCAAAAATTTCCTGCTCTGTAGGAGCAAAACGCACAGCAAGAGAAAGAGCATCCATGTTGAGATTTTATGGAATGGTTTGATCTCTCTTAAAACTTTCTCCTTCTTTGATCTTTGTGATGTTTTTGATACAATAATCCTTAAGCGTAGACCTCTATTTATAGAGATATATGATTCTAAACAGAATAGTAAATTGCTAATTCCTATTGCTACAATTTCTTTTCTTCTTGTTTGCCTTTTCTTCATCATGATTTCCTTTTTGCTTCTTTTTCTTTGTCTTGATTTTCCTTTTTTGTTGATTGTCCTTTTGTTGGTTTGTTATACGAATGAATATACGATTGTTTGATTATAGTATCACTTCCGTAATATTTTTAAAACACAGAAACGATCAAAATAAAATCAAATATATATTTAACTTAAAGAAGAAGAAACTATATTCCCTAAATAGAAACTAGCCTAGTTCTCTATATTCCCTCTATTTATTGGTTTGTTATACGAATGAATGTACGATTGTTTGATTATAGTATCACTTCCATAATACACAGAAACGATCAAAATTAAATTAAATATATAACGTAAAAAACAAGAGGAAACATTTGGCTTTGTCAAGTATAAAATGATTCTTTCTAGCCCTAGCCGAATTTAAAGTTGTAAGATGAGTAGATTTCCGGAGAACCAAAAGAAACTGAAACTCGAATCCACCAGGGAGGACAATGAGAGCGACAAGAAGGAAGATCCTCCGATCCCATTTGAAGTATTAGAGGCGGAGATACTAACTAGATTGCCGGCAAAGTCTGTTATGAGGTCCCGATGCGTGTCAAAGATGTGGTCTTCCATAATCCGAAGCCAAAGATTCACCGATTCCTACTACGCTATGTCCTCTGCGACACGGTCGCGGTTTATAGTCACTTTCAGCAACCAGGTAATTAACCTGCGTCGTGATCCCAGGCATCTGTTCATCTTCTCCGGAGAGGAATCTTCTTCTTCTTCGGCTGCTGCCAATCTCGACATGACAATACCTTCCTTGAATTTGAATTACCTCGCCAAGTGTCCTTCCGTCCATGGCTTAGTCGCTTGTTGTAATCTTACTAAGTTCACTATATGTAACCCTGGCACGAGGCAAGTCCTTACCATACCCTGTAATGGATTCATCACGTCCTTGGGATACGATCCTGTTGATGATCAATTCAAAGCATTGACCATGGTGACTACTCCTTCCAACGACCGTGGTTTTATAGTGCACGAGGTTGTAAGACTTGGAGGACAAGGTGGAGGATCTCGCGTTAAGGTAACCTCCCCTTCTTATCGCCCTCTGACCGATGCACTATGCTTTAATGGCTTCGTGTATTGTCCTGCGTGGGCCCCAAGGCAAAGCATGAATACTGTGATTGTGTGTTTTGATGTTAGGAATGAGACGATAAGTTTCATCACAACGCCTCCCGATGTCCTGCTATGGCAAAGTCATACATCTTTGATAGAATACAAAGGCAAGTTAGCTTCCGTTGTACCACACCAAGACCCTCTTTCGGGCATCCGAGGTTTTGATTTATGGATGCTTGATGATGTGGACAAACCTGAGTGGTCCATGCAATCATTTGTGCTTCCCTACGTGTTGGTGCATGTGACTTCCCCGGGCACCAACAAGGCTGGTGAAATCATTTTTGCTCCAAGAAAACTCTCACATGGACCCGAACCCTTCTTCTACCTGTTCTACTACAATGTAGAAACCAAACACCTGAGAAAAGTTCGGATCCATGGTGTTGCAGACGATCAAGCTTTTAGGAGCCGTTATGGAATCGTAACCGATTGTTATGTCTCTGTCTCACCCCTACACGTTGAAAGTATTGCCTCTTTAAAACAATATTCATCAGGCCTTGATTTCTGCCAACGATATGATTATCTAAAGTAGGACTGAGATATTATTTGCATTTGCTAATATCTAATTTAGGACTGAGTTTTTTTCTCGTGTTTTTGTATTTTTTTCAAGAATCCATTTAAGTGGCAAGACCTTCTTCAGATGAATGTTAAAGTTTCATTCATTTTTATTTACTCATTGTTTTTATTGTAACTAAGTACACAGTACACTAATCATTTTCTTCATAAATCATGGATGATTTTGTTTAAATAAATCCATGATTTTGTTTTCATGACATATCTAACAAGTCACAAGTGTTATGATTAAAAAACGCAAAACCTTGTTGACTCAAAAGATAACTGTTTGTACGTATGCATACGAGAGACGTAATATGAAAGTGATACGTCTCCTAAACAGAAAACGAAAATTAATTGTTACTTAATAAGAAACTTCAGTCTTTCTTGATTTTTTTTTTTTTTTTTTTTTTTTAGTCTATTATATAGACACTTTTGTCTTTGCTGTACGTATATTCGTATTTTTTATAGTTATATTTGGCTTTTTCTAGCGTATTTTCCAGTCTCGTTTTATAAAATTCCATAGGTACCTAACTTTTGGCCATAATCGCTTAGCTAGCTGTTCAAAAATCATGCATCTGTTGCATATGGTTATTTAACTAAAATTTTATCAGCTAACCTTAATAATTGAGTAACAAACCATTAGAATCAAACTAAAAACGTCTTTCAAGTCCTGGCCACAACGAATTTAACATCCCTTCCGTTGGGGCGCTGGACCTCACTTGTGGGAATAGTCGGGATTGTGGCTGCCCGGATACCAGAGTTAAAAAAAAAAAAAAAAAAAAAAAAAAAAAAAAACAACAACAACGTCTTTTAACTTTGGTTTGGGGTCAACGCTTCATACGATTAGTCTTGAGATGTTTCGTAGAACCACTTGTGTGGGCCCCCAAATGGGACCAGAGATGATCGATCCCTACTGTAAATGGACACGTGTCAAAATCTGACGGCAGTTCTCAAAGCAACCGGGCAATTTCCATGGAAACAGAGGTACGACCACTACAGTACCGTAGAGTAAAACAGAACACGAACTCACTGAGAAAGTCTTTAACACTTGGATTTTCTACACTTGTCTTTTATTTGCCGTCTTTGCTAAGAAACTTAAGATTGTTTATTTCGTTTACTGGTTTGACTAAGACAGGTGATTGATATCTTTATAGACCAAGTCATGTCTTTTTGGTTCTTCTCCTCTGTTTTGCAAGAGAGAATAACTTGAAAAAGGTTGGTTAATATTTTCTTGTTCTAAGGATTTATGGCTAAAACGGAATCAAATTTATGCTTGTAAAAATCCATGGTTACGGTTTCATGTTTCTGTTTGATTGTGTGTTAATTCTAGAGTTTTATATATAGTTATGTTTCTTGGTTCATTTTCGGCTCAAAACTCAAGAAAATATAAAAGTCTGATCTCCATCTTCTTCCTCCCTATGCAGGTTTCTCAACAAAAAGCCTTCATGAGCAATATAAAGCTAGGCGTTGAAGTCATAAGCGCACATGGTCTGTTCCACAGAGACAAGCAAAACTCATGTAGCCCTTTCGTGGAGCTCAAGTTCGACAACCAGATATTCCGCACAACCACAAAACCTAACGACCCAAACCCGGTCTGGCACGAGTGTTTCTACTTCCTTGTCTCAGATCCTTCCGTCCTGTCCACCCGTACACTCGAAGCCCATGTCTACAGCTACCAGAACGAATCCGAAGCTAAGCCCTTTCTTGGCAAAGTCCGAGTCAATGGAACATCCTTTGTTCCTCGCTCCGAAGCAACTCCTTTCAACTACCCTCTAGAGAAACGCAGCGTTTTCTCTCGAGCTCGTGGAGAGCTTGGCTTGCGAGTCTTCATCACAGACGACGACCCTTCTCTTTCACCTTCTCTCCCAACCCCAATCCCTGTTCCAGAATCTCCTCGAGCTTACATCCCAAGCCCACGTCAAGAGCCTGTGAAGTCTGATGCGAACATGGTCGTCTCTAATGAGAGAACAGAGCCAAGAACAGAGCCTAAGCCTAAATCACGCACGTTCTATAACGTTTCTCCTTCAGTGAACCAACAGCCGCCGCCGCCGCCGATGATGAACTATAGCGCTCACGAGATGAGAGCTGCGCCGATGCCTCCACGTGTTGTTCAAGTCAACGCGCCAGGTCCGTCCTCGCACCAGCTTCCACCGGACTTCTCAGTTAAAGAGACGAGTCCTTTCCTCGGAGGCGGACAGATCATCGGAGGAAGAGTAGTTCGTGGTGCAAAGAGGCCGGCAAGCGGCACGTATGATCTCGTCGAAGAGATGAGGTTTCTCTACGTGAGAGTCGTGAAGGCGCGTGATCTTCCAACAAAAGACCTTACCGGAAGCTTAGACCCTTACGTCGAAGTGAAAATCGGAAACTTCAAAGGCGTCACAACACATTTCAACAAGAATTCGGATCCGGAGTGGAACCAAGTCTTTGCCTTTGCTATAGAGAATCTTCAGTCCAACATTCTTCAAGTTGTGGTCAAGGATAAAGACATAGTCCTTGACGATTTCGTCGGGATTGTTCGGTTCGATCTCCATGAGGTTCGGTCTCGTGTTCCTCCGGATAGTCCCTTAGCTCCAGAATGGTATAGATTGGAGAACAAGAAAGGGGAGAAGAAGAAGTCGGAGGTCATGCTTGCTGTTTGGGAAGGAACACAAGCTGATGAAGCTTTCGGAGATGCAATCTTCTCTGATTCCTTGCCTTCTTCAGAGAGCTCCATCTCCAACATCATATCCGCTAACCTGCGCTCCAAGGTCTACCATTCTCCAAGACTATGGTACCTTAGGGTTAAGATAATAGAGGCTCAAGACGTGATCATCACGTCAGACAAAAGCCGTGTTCCCGAGGCCTTTGTGAGGATCCAGATCGGTAATCAAATGTTGAAGACTAAACTCTCTCAGAGAAGCATTCATCCGAAATGGAACCAAGAGTTCATGTTTGTAGTCGCAGAGCCGTTTGAGGAACACATGGTCATCTCAGTGGAAGACCACTCTGCTCCTAACAGAGATGAGCCTGTAGGCAAAGCTGTGTTTCCTCTCTCTTCGCTTGACAAACGTACAGACGATAGATCTTTTCGTAGCCGTTGGTTTCATCTTGAAGACTCCATCTCAGACGCAATGGATGCTGATAAACTCAAGAAAGTGAAATTCGCTACTAGGCTCCATCTAGCTGCGGTTCTTGAAGGAGGCTACCATGTATTTGATGAGTCTACTTACTACAGCAGCGATCTCAGACCAACAGCTAAACCGCTCTGGAAAAAAGAGATCGGAGTCTTGGAGCTCGGGATACTCAACGCAAACGGGCTCCATTCCATGAAATCCCGAGACGGGAAACCAACAGCGGACACGTACGTTGTAGCCAAGTATGGTCACAAGTGGGTTCGATCAAGAACAGTAATCAACAGCTTGAGTCCAAAGTTCAACGAGCAGTACACGTGGGAGGTTTATGACCCGGCAACGGTTTTAACCATCTGCGTCTTCGACAACACTCATTTCGAAGCTGGACATAGCGGAAGCAACAAAGATCAGACGATTGGTAAAGTCCGTATCAGACTCTCCACACTTCAGACGGGACGTGTCTACACACACGCTTACCCTTTGCTTGTTCTGCAAGCTTCTGGTCTCAAGAAAAGAGGAGAGCTTCACTTAGCCGTGAGATTCACTTGCACTTCAGTCTCCGGTATGCTGGTCAAATACACAAAGCCTCTCTTGCCTAAAATGCATTACATACAGCCTTTATCGGTGAGCCTACAGGAAGTTCTTAGGGCTCAGGCTTTCAACATCATCGTGGCTCGTCTAGGCCGGTCAGAGCCGCCGCTTAGACGGGAAGTGGTTGAGTATATGACTGATGCCAAGACTCATCTGTTCAGCATGAGGAGAAGCAAAGCCAACTTCTTTAGGTTCACGACGGTGTTCTCTGGTGTGATGTCGGTTTGGAAATGGATGGGACAGGTGTGCACGTGGAGCACGCCGGTGACGACGGCTCTGGTCCACGTGCTGTACACGATGCTTGTGCTGTTCCCGGAGATGATTTTGCCGACTGTGTTTCTGTATATGGCTGTGATTGGCATGTGGAGTTACAGGTTTAGGCCTAGGTTTCCTCCTCATATGGACACGAAGCTATCTTACGCAGAGAGTGTGAATGCTGATGAGCTCGACGAAGAGTTTGATATCTTCCCCACCGTTAAAGCTCCGGACATTGTTAAAATGAGGTAACCCTAAATTCAATCAAATGGAACAAAAGATTAAGTCTTCTTTGGTTGATATTTATTTATATCTTTGTTCAGGTACGACCGGCTGAGAATTGTGGCCGGTAAGATACAGACGGTGGTCGGAGAAATAGCAGCACAGGGAGAGAGAGTGCAAGCGCTGCTGAGCTGGCGTGACCCACGCGCCACCGCAATTTTCATTACCTTCTGTTTCATCACTGCCATGGCTCTCTACATTACCCCTTTTAAACTTGTGGCTCTGCTCTCCGGTTACTACTTCATGCGACACCCGAAGCTCCGTCACCGGATCCCCTCCGCTCCTTTCAACTTCTTCCGACGACTTCCGGCCATGACAGACTCTATGCTGTGAAAGTTGTTACAGATAAGAGACAGAGGACTCAACGAACATGTATGTATCTTCTTCTGTGTATTTGTATCTATTTATTAAATCTGCATCCATATGTATATTCACGAACTCTAGTAAAAGAAGATCAAGCTGTATATGTGAAGAACATCACACACTCACAATATTAGAAATCAACAGAAAATCATCCTCTATGAAAATCCTAGGTGTAAGTCTCGCTTTTGGTTATGATGAAATCTAGTTTGGTATCAGTTATTGCTCGGTTTCTAATATATTCACGACATTTAACTATTGGTCAAGTTCACCGCTTTGAATTGGTTAGTAGCAAATATTTATGTTGCCAAAATTTGAACTAGTAGTTGGTGAGGTGTGCCTGGCCCTCGCAGTAGTGCAAGACGTGGGCGACACGTGAGAGTCCAATCAGCAAGCTGACGTGGCAGACTCTCCCCCAATAAAAAATAGAGTTAATATCGAGCTAAACCCAATGGGCCGCATATCAGATATTAAACTGATAAGAACAGATACTACACTTGATCTTAGCCAAAAGGCCGAGAAAGGTATGAAATGCTAGAAAGGTGAAGGACTGTTTTTATATGCGTCGTGTTGGAGCGAACGAAATATGTATTAGCGATGTGGGACCTTTTAGAAACTAAACCGACTGAGAGGTAATCGAGCTGGGTATTTAAAAAGTCGGCCCAATATCTGGTAGATCCTTGTTGAATCCTTCATTCTTTCTATATTTTCCTTGTTTAAGATTTTTTCTCTTAAGCGTGCAAGAACGTTCTTCGGACTATTGCTTTGTTATTAATTTGATCAAAATCTTAACAACACAGGCTTAGCAGACAGAAACATTGTGAAAGCATATGTTTGATTCTGAAAGTTGTATATACAGTCAGTCGGGAATACTGTATAAGCGTATTGACATTGGTAATAATCTACAAAAGGATTTGTGAGTACAAAGAAGCTGGGTCTAGTACTTGAAATAGAGAGGGACAAAATTCTTCAAGGTCTCAAACACACTTGTGAAAGGATCAAACTGGACAGACTTTCTTAATCCAAGATCTGGAAACTGGTTTGTCAGCGTTTGCTCCATACCTGGCATAGACATCATAGCAGCTAACTGACCATCAGACATCACTTCACAGTCCTGTGGAGTATCCTTTATTTTCCCAGGATCATAACCAAATGTTGCTAAATAGTCCTTGTACTTGGCAATGAACTCAGGTCCAGGGTTTGGTGTCCTTGAATATATCTGACATATCAAACCATTAATTAAAGTCTATATAAGAGAATGGCAACAGACATATATTAAAAGTCCAACGAAAGTTGTTCTTGTTCTGTTGAAATCACCTGAACTGAACAAAAGAAGATGAAGAAGATGAGAAACAGAGAAATAAAGCTGAGGCCCATAAAAGCCCATGGGCCTTTTGTATATTATATAATAAGGCCTTGAGACACATGGGCCAACTTTGTTTACATTAGTTCCCTCCTTAATTAATCTGTTATGATTACAAAAGTCCGTTACAAAAGACTAACCGATTACGGCGTGGAGCCAACGGGAAAGAGAAACATTGCTCTGTCTCTCATCGCACATCCTCCTTCTGTGGACAGCGACCACTTGCTTTAACAGGCGGTGCTTCTGAAACAAAATAAAAATCCCAAATCTGTACGACAACAATAATATTAATTGATTTTTCATTTAAGGGTATAGTAATGGCCAGATTCTTTGTTGCTTTGCTTCTCTCTCACCATTAAAATATACTGTATTCATCAACTTGTCGGTAAAATTATTTTTTGGCTTATTCTATCTTTCTTTCTCTGTCTTGTAGTTTCAGAAAAAAGATAATAATTTTCGTGTCTGAATTTACAGATGTGTATACAATTAGATGCACGTATACACTTAACTTGACTGTGTGTGTACTGTACTGTGTATGGTATATAAATAAACTTGTGATCTGATCTACTTTATATCTAAATTATTATCCTAGGGGTTTCGACAATTTCGGTTTGTTTATGCTTTACTTTCACATGAATCACATACGTTCATGTCGATTCGATTGAGATACTGTCTCGATTTCGGTTTCTTATTTTATTTCAGTTTAATGAGACCACGTGGATTTGCTTGTCCTGGTTTTGTTTTTTTCCCTTCTTCTCCTCTTCGAGCAAATCGAGGAACCTAAATACTACAAGTTCGTCGATCCAAACATTGTGCGTCTTTGAATCTTAGCTTAAGCTACTTTGGGGATAGATAATATAGGTTTCTTCTTTTTATTCAGTTGATTGGCTCCAGGTAGTGCTCAGCATAAATTAGGGTTCTTCTTCTTTTCATCTTTGAACTCATCCTTTCCCCCAAAATTTCTATTCGATTTTGAGTTATTCTTCAACTGGGTGTTTGAGTTTTTGGTGGTGATTAGAGTAAGTAGTCGAGTTGACTCACTAGAGTAGCAGCGAGTTGACAAGGTACGACCTTTTTCTATACCAAATCCGGTAACTTTCTCAACTTTTTAATTTGTTCTTGGTTTGAGTTAATTAATAATTTCACTACTTTACTGAATGAATGAGAAATGGATATTCGCTCTAAAAGGTTCGATTTTTATGCAAGAAGATCACTCACCATTGCCTGTGATTTATTGCAGCTCCTGGGTTTACGGAGAGACAAACGTTTCATTTGGGCTGAAAAAAAAGAAACTCTTTAGTGAACGTTGTTGTTTAGATGGGAGGTCAATGCTCTAGCCTCGGTGGGTGTTGTCGGAACTCATCACACAAGACAGCTGTTCTTGAAGCTCCTGATGTTGGTTAGTTTAAATTTAAAGACTTTCTTTTCTTCCACTCCACTTGGATCTAATAATAAGCCTAGGCATGTCTGATTTTGGGGTGTTAAATTTATGCAGAAAATGGAGAGAGTAGTGAGATCAGTGATGTGCCTGGCTTCCGGGAGTTCACACTAGAACAGCTGAAGACGGCGACTTCAGGTTTTGCAGTGGAGTACATTGTGTCTGAGCATGGAGAAAAAGCTCCAAATGTCGTTTACAAAGGGAAATTGGAGAATCAAAAGAAGATTGCAGTCAAGCGTTTCACAAGAATGGCGTGGCCTGATGCACGGCAATTCCTGGTAAGTCAGTTATGAGCAGTATTGACTTATCTCTAGAATATTTGTTTTACAATCTGAATGTTGAGAATATGATCTTCCTTGTGTGCAGGAGGAAGCAAGGTCGGTTGGTCAGCTGCGGAGTGAGAGAATGGCCAATTTACTCGGCTGTTGCTGCGAAGGTGACGAAAGGTTGCTTGTCGCTGAGTTTATGCCCAATGAAACATTAGCCAAACACCTTTTCCATTGTAAGACTCCTTCTTCCAAACAACCAATCTTTAATAATCTTGTGATTCTATCTAAGTGTGTGTACTTTTTATGCAAACAGGGGAAACACAACCTATGAAATGGACAATGAGGCTACGTGTTGTCTTATATCTAGCGCAAGCTCTTGAGTACTGCAACAGCAAAGGCCGTATTCTTTACCACGACCTCAATGCTTACCGTGTTTTATTTGATGAGGTATGATTTTGATTGACTATATAGTCCATGTCTCTATGCTATTCCTTCATTCTCTGACGCCTTAAGGGTCTTTTTTTAAGGAATGCAATCCAAGACTTTCTACTTTCGGCTTGATGAAGAACAGCCGGGACGGAAAAAGTTACAGCACTAATCTTGCTTTTACCCCTCCTGAATATCTACGAACTGGTACATCATCACTCTATTTTTCCTCTCAAGATTCGTATGGTTGAGATTTAAGTTTCATGTTCTGTTTTTTTTTTTGCGTGTGTTGTTGACAGGAAGGATTACTCCAGAGAGTGTGATATACAGCTTTGGCACTCTTCTGCTTGATCTTCTCAGTGGAAAGCATATACCTCCTAGCCATGTAAGTATTCAAAAGACAAAAATGAGTTTGTTTTGCCTGTGAGATGGAGATGAAGGCTGATTCTTTCAATCTGTCTCTTGTAGGCGCTTGATCTGATTAGGGACAGAAATCTCCAGACGTTAACTGATTCTTGCCTAGATGGGCAATTCTCTGACAGCGATGGCACGGAGCTAGTACGCTTAGCGTCTCGTTGTCTGCAGTATGAAGCTCGTGAGAGGCCAAACCCAAAATCTTTGGTCACTGCCCTGACGCCTCTTCAGAAGGACACAGAGGTTCCATTTCATATTTTCTTAAGTCATTAAAAGAAACAGGCAACAAGTCTATTTATTTATATGTTTTCACTCTGATAAATGTTTCCCTGAAATGAAATTTGTAGGTCCCATCCCATGTTCTAATGGGTCTGCCTCACAGTGGTTTGGTGTCTCCTCTGTCCCCTCTTGGCGAGGCTTGTTCAAGAAGGGACCTGACCGCCATGCTTGAGATCTTGGATAAACTTGGATACAAAGACGATGAGGGTGTCACCAATGAGGTATCTATCCCTAAAAGGTGTTTATAGATCTAATGTTTTCGGTTTTGCTTGGTTATTCATGGTGTTGTGTTACAATGTTTTGGCGATGCAGCTCTCATTTCAAATGTGGACAGACCAGATGCAAGAGTCTTTGAACTCGAAGAAGAAGGGTGATGTCGCTTTCAGGCAAAAAGACTTTAGAGAGGCCATTGAGTGTTACACTCAGGTCAGTTTCTGCACCTAAACACACACACTTATTGGAGAAACACAGAGCTTTGACCTGAATATGTTCTTGCTTTGTTCAAATATTTTACAGTTTATAGATGGAGGAATGGTTTCACCAACAGTGTGTGCACGGCGTAGTCTGTGTTACCTAATGAGTGACATGCCGAAAGAAGCTTTAGATGATGCAATCCAAGCTCAAGTAATCTCTCCCGTGTGGCACGTGGCGTCTTATCTCCAGTCTGCTTCACTGGCTTTCCTAGGAATGGAGAACGAATCTCATATCGCACTCAAAGAGGGCTCAAACCTTGAAGCTAAGAGGAATTCAGCTTTCCAAGTGAAGTAATAAGATATTATACTTTGTTTAAGAACTGTTTCTTTTTCTGCTTTTTGGTAAAGATGAAAGAACATCTTGCCACCAAGTATAAGGGCTTTAGAAATCTTTTGAGTACAATGATGGAAGGGGGAAACAAACAACAAACACTGAGAGAGCGATGCAAAAACATAGACCCAAAGATGGGTTGTTTGTGGTGTTTTGCTCTTCTTTTGCCTCTTTTTATAGGGCATTGAAGGAATCACTTCCTTTATTGATTGGCTTTGAAAATCCAGTTCATGAACTATATATATGTATGTGGAGCAACAATGTACTAAAACTCCCTTTTTATTGCAGAAAGAAACCAAAAGAGATTGTTTCTTTTCATTGGTCTGTAGTAAATTAACTTCAACGGGTTTTTTTTTTTTTTTGTCAACCATTTCATTATAGAAGCCCAATGGGCAAGAACAGTGATACACAAAATTCAGATGAGGCCCAACAATAGTCCAAACATATCACGAAACCTAAATAGTCTGCTTTATAAGCTAGACACGTCGTTGACACGTGTAGGCTAAAGAAACACGCTTCAGAAACATGGCATCACACACGAAGCGTCACCGTCGTTGACCAGTTCCTCGGTACATCCGCCGGCGAAGCTCTCCGACCACCACCATCTTGAAGCTTGTTTTGTGTAACTCTGCTTTTTCCGCCTGCACTAATCACCGAAGGAAGCTTGATGGATCTTCACAAATACATCGGAGTAGAAAACCTGAGATCTTCAATTGGATCTGAAAACAGGACATTCGTCGGACCGTTTTCCAACTGCTAAGAAAACGCCAACTCTGCTTATCCTTCTCTAAATCCAACGAACTGATCCCCAAAACTTCATTCTTCAATCAAAAGAGAAACTTCACAACATAATCCAACATCGGATTTGTGAAGAATTACTCTCCTTTGAAAGAACAATCAAGCACCGTTGGATTGATTGTCGGAGATCTTTCAATCTGAGATCTTCAATTGGATCTGAAAACAGGACATTCGTCGGACCGTTTTCCAACTGCTAAGAAAACGCCAACTCTGCTTATCCTTCTCTAAATCCAACGAACTGATCCCCAAAACTTCATTCTTCAATCAAAAGAGAAACTTCACAACATAATCCAACATCGGATTTGTGAAGAATTACTCTCCTTTGAAAGAACAATCAAGCACCGTTGGATTGATTGTCGGAGATCTTTCAATCTGAGATCTTCAATTGGATCTGAAAACAGGACATTCGTCGGACCGTTTTCCAACTGCTAAGAAAACGCCAACTCTGCTTATCCTTCTCTAAATCCAACGAACTGATCCCCAAAACTTCATTCTTCAAGCACCAATAAAACGGAATCCACTCTAAACACCTTTGGATTTTGGCTTCACCTTTCATGAGAGAAGTTTAAAAACATGCAGAAGGAAGACTGGAAACTAATCCGTTAAACGGAAGTTTATTGCAGCCTAAAGAAAAGAAATCGGTTAACACCGAAAGAGGAATCCGATTAAAACGGAATACAACAATCCGATTGAGATCGGAAGACAAAAAGATAATTTGATATTACTCTCTCTCTCTCTCTCAAAGGTTTTGGAGAGAGAAGAGAAGAGAGAGGGCTTTAACTTCAACGGGTCTATTCCAATATTTTCCATATCTTATATTGTTTTCAATTTATTACAAACTTTTTTTTTTTTAATTGGTGCCCACACAAATATTTATTCTGGAACCATGCATGAATGTCTATATAACATGATCAAACAGGTGATGCCATAAAGAATTGGTAGGCTTTAACCGCTCCTACAACTGCAGCAGCCACGACCACCACGGCTGCCACACCTTCAACGATGGTCTTCCTCCATAGTCTTTGCCTCAATGAGCCGCATTTGCTCTGAACTTCACTTCCACACTTTACTCCATTACCCATATCATCATCTGCTTTGCGGTTTAGCGTTTCTGATGTGTTTCCCTGAAATGCCACTGTAGGAGCCGACACCATAGTCTTTGGCATTGTCACATACAGAACTCCCTTTGAGAACTTTGCACGAATTTCATTTCTTCTGCAGTTTTTGGCAACTTTTGTTTCTTTCATGAACTTGATTGATTTGGTTTGGTCAACAGGACAAGCTCCTGTTATTGTTAGTATACCATTGTTGTTGATCTGTATTTTAAGATGCTCTTTCTTCATACCTATTCAAACAGCAATTCCATTTGTAAATCTTATGGTTCAAGGCCTTATTAGAGGGTCGGGGCCTTATGTTTCGACCATTACCATTGAAAAGATTCTTTGCTTTTGTTCACGAGTTAGAAAAAGGATTTTTAACAGATTTTCTAGTAAATCCAAAAGAAAAACAAAAAATCATAACTCTACATTGAAATGTTTATTTTGGTAACCCGATAAAATAAAGAGCAATATAACTATCTTTGATTGCTTTTGATAACTTTGTGTTAATTGTAAAAGTGGCGTATATGTTTAATGATGAAGGAACAATGAAGTTACCTGGAGGAAGATGTAATTCAACAATGTCGATGTCTTCCGTTCTCCTCCATCGACAAAAGGGTTCAATTTCTTCATAAAAATGCGTGGGTCCACCTTCCATGTTAACTGCCATTTGTTTAAAATGTTAAGGAACACAACAAATAAACAAATTAGTGCAGAAAATCTCACTCTCTTTTTTTTAATAATTTTGATAAAGGGTTGGAAATCTCTCTCTCTTGTTTCAAATTTTGTTTGCGAAATGAATGAAAGATTGGTAATCATGAAGATGACCCATCTAGTAGCTTCTGTTTATATTCTCTTTTCTGTGCAAGGAGTTTCCTATGTACTGAATGATTCGTTTATTACCCATAAATGTTTGCTTTATAATATAACTTTAATTATGTCTTTTAGAGTTTATGTATTTGGTCATATCTTGTGGCATTGGTGTTTCTTTCACATGCACAAATCTTCGTCTATGTGGTTCTAAAGATTCTTTCTTCATTCTTTTCCACATAATGATAGTAAAGTTGGTCATTTGATATAGATATTGTTTTCATATCGGATGGTATGTCAAGTTCGATGGCTTCTTGGACATTGTAATCCTCACCCTTTTTTATGTGATCATTCTCCATTAGAGTCACAGGAACACTCTTAACACAAATCTGATGATAAAATAACTAAGACCTGATTATATTGAATACGTTTCTCAGTCTTTAAACTTTTTGGAAGTGCTGCTTATGAAGAAATTATTACGTTATATGGATATGATATGAATGATTGCGAATCTTATTTGAAAACAAGCTTTTGCGATTTAGGGACATGGGACATATAATCTTGATGGATTACAAACATATAAAAAAAAATGATACATCAAACATTTAAGGTCGTCAGATTTGTGGATGAAAAAAACAAAAAAAATCAAAGTGAAGGTGGGAGGAAAGAAAAAACAAAGGAGAGCAAATAGAGAGACACAAGACAGTCAGAAGAAGAAGAAGCTCCATGAACCCAGTTATTTCACATCTCCTCGGGTCCCGGCGTTCAGATTTACCGACTCTCCTCCGGCGACAAAGCTTGGAAGCACAAGTGGTTCAAAATTGATGTACACACTGCAGTAAACAGAGAGAGAGAGAGAGAGAGGGGAAGCTGAATTTTGGAAACACTATGAATGATCCTAAGAGCTACTTCCCGTTCCCTGGCAATGCGCTGGAATTAGACGCTGTCTTAGCTCTGCTGATGCTCCCGCAAGTTCTGATCAGTCAAAACATACATGGCAACAAATCAATGACACAGAATATTATGTAAGATCATTCATCTGGATTTGTATCTATCCATCAAACATTTATTTGATTCTGCAAGGAGAAAGAGAGGGTAAAGATCAATTCAGGGGCTGACCTTGGGCAGTGAAGTTAAACAATGGAGGCAGTGCTTTTCCATTTGGCAGTGAAAGATTCGGGTCCCGTAAGTCATCGAAGAAGGGGTGTGCACAAGCTTCCAACTATACAAATGGAAAAAGAAGAGGTTTAGTAGAGAATTTAAGTTGCAAAATTCAATATCAGCCAAGAATGTTATATTGGTTTTGTGGTGTCTAAAAGGGCATGTCTTACCGCAGTGCAACGAAGGTTTGGTGAATACTGGAGGAGTCTTGAGACAAGGTCTACTGCTTCAGGTGGCATTCGCTTGTGGAAAATCTGAAAAAGAGTTTTGTGCTACATTAGATTTCATTTGAACATGTACATGCACCAGAGAGCCACCTGCGATTAGTTCACTAACCTTGTGCCACGGGTGAGCTTTGATTTGAGGAAACTTGAACTCTGTGTAATTGGGGTTCATACACCGTATTTCTTCTCTTGTAGGTGTCCCAAGAATCTGGTGGTATGTCAGATGAATAAGATCAAAACCATGAAATATAGAAAAGAGATGAAGAAACACGAGAGATCACACAATCAGTACCTTGATAATCTCCACGAGCTGATCAATGCCACTTTCTCCGGGAAACAGTGGCTACAGGTAATAATACCAAAGGTTGAAAATCAGATTAAATGTGATTTGGAAGTTACCAGTTAAGTCAACCAATAGTAAATAAAAAGATCACTGTAAAACCAACTTCACAATTTATGTAATACTCACTTGGCCGAGTAAAAGCTCTGCCATTACACAACCAGCAGACCACATGTCAATGGCATTGGTATACTCTGTTGCCCCGAATATAAGTTCTGGGGCCCTGTAGTACCGAGAGCATATATAGGATATGTTTGGTTCACCTGGAACCTGGAGACGCACCAGAGTGTCAGCTATATGATTCAAATGCTAACCCAACTCCAAGAATACTTCAGAAAAAAGTGAAATAAAAAACATACCAACATCTTAGCGCTTCCAAAATCGCATATTTTTAGTTGATGGGTTTGGGGATTGACCTAAAAAGCCACATTACAAGAAAATCAGGGCATTATCCGTTCATATGGCTTAACAACCTTTAAGCATTATTATCTTTTTAAAGCCTTTTAAAAAAAGTCATACTATACCAGTAGATTTTGTGGCTTGATGTCCCGATGACACACCCCAACCACACGATGTAAGTAGTTCAGAGCACGGCAGATCTGATATGCCATAATGGAACAGCAACAAAGGCGTAAGTTAAAATATTTCCATGTATCTGAAGCTTAATGGTACACATGTAACTAAAATGATTAACTTAACAGCTTATATATCTCACCTGATACGTGTAGAGTTGAACAAAGATAATTGGCATATGCTGATTCATTTTGGTATAGTGCTTTGACGCTCTGTATACAGTTTCGGGAACATACTCAAGGACAAGGTTAAGATACAGCTCATCCTTGTCAGTTGTTGAAAAGAAAGAATGCCTCAGCCGCACAACATTGGGATGGTCTTGCAAACGCATTATCTGAAGTTCTCTGTTCTTGTATCTTTTATCCTGCAGAACCTTCTTAATTGCAACTTGTTCACCCGTTTCCAGACACTTGGCCTATCCAAAAAATCATAGAGTAAGTCAAATTCTGTAAACGACAAAAAGTTTTTAAAAATTAAAATTTGCTCATGTTAAAAACTCTCATCTACCTGAAATACCACTCCGAATGAGCCTGTGCCAACAACTCGCTGGGCCATGTATGAGATTGTCTGAAACAAATAATAATGAAAAAATAAAGTAAGGATAAATGTGAAGAAAGAAACAAGCTTTTTCATAAAAGAAACGACTCTCATGATGAAGAGCTTTTTCTCGAACCAAACGGCAATCAGCAAAAGTAAGTTGAATCACCTGCTTTGGCTTCCCATCTCTACCTCCGACTGTCGTTGTAATAACTTGTCCCGTTTCAGTGCCACTGCCGTTTACAACAGTTGCTTCCATTTCCTATACAAAGCCAAATTGGAAATCAGAGATGATATATACAGTCAGAAGCCAGATAATAAGGTTTGACTAAGCAACGCACCTTCTCCTCGCGGTTTGCATTTCGCTCGTCTCTAATCCTCATTTCGATCATCACATCTGGAAGCTGATCGTCCACGGATTTTTCAGATACAGCAGGCACATTTGATGTCCCGGCAACACTTTCTTGTGACACCATGTCTGTATTCTTCATCCCAAGAAGAGAAGCACTATTTTGGTCAACCTGCATCGGATCACTAGACATGTTCTCGTTCTCTTGATCCAGCTTGGCTCTCTTCAGCCCATAGTCCCCACCCTAAAAATATCAGAAATTCGTCAGGTCAACATATGTGATTGAGACTCGCTCATCAAAATCAAAAGCACACTACATCGGAGATATCAAAAACGTAGACATTTACTTCTCCATCAGCACTAGGATTTACGAATTCTAAATTAAGATCTCAAAACCAAGGAAACGCAAATTTGACTTGTAAAATACTGTAAACAACATCAAATTTGCATCTCAATCCGGAAACGAGAAAGGCATTTTTCCTGCAATCAGGAATATAAATTGATCTGATCTAAGGAAAAAGCAATGCCTACTTACAGGATCCGAAGAAATCGAGGTCCGACCCGAAGCAATGCTCTTGAGACGACGCATCACGTTCATCTTCGCTTCACCACCAACCACCAACACCAACTCCGAAACCCTAAATCTCCGAAAAAAATCTTCACCACTTCATGTGGAGAGAGAGGAAAGAGAGAAAATGAATTTAACAGATTCAGATATTCAAATTCGAATCTCTCTCTCTCTCCTCGCGTCTCCTCTCCTTTCCTCCTCCACCTTCGACGAGCAAACTACGAAGAACTCAGCGATTCTCCAAACGAACAATCCGTCGTCCTTTGTTCGACCTTGGTGGCTCTCTCGTCTCTCTTCTCTCTTCTCTCTTCTCTCTCTGTCGACGACCCAAACCAGGTGGAATCTTTTGCTTCTCTCTCTCTCGTGGCGAAAGCCAATCATGCCAGCCTCGTTCTCTCTATCTCTCTCTACTCTTTGGTCAAACTTTGACTCCTCACCGTTGATTCATCGCAGCAACTCATCCGACGGGTCAGGATCATTCCGCCTCGTTTCGACCACTTAATGTTACCGAAATGCCCCTGGATACTTGTCTTATTTACAGGTTTAAAAAAAAGATTGGTATGAATGAATGAATGATTGCATCTAGGCACGCGGAATATGCGGGTGTGGTTCGTTTGACCAAACTTTGACTACTTTCTACTAGTTCCAGATAATAATTGTTACAGTAATTTAATATGTTTCAAAATTTCGAATTTATTAACTCAACTCTAAACATTATCCGATCCTAGCAGAAGTAGCAGGCATGATATTTAGGTTAAAGATATAGAGGCTCAATCAATTATTCAACTGAGAAATAAAATAAAATAAATATAGGTTAGTTTAGTTAATTCCAAAGTGTTCATAGCTGTTTGCATCTCAAAGTATCATAACTGCTTGGGCCGACCCATTTTCAGCTTAAATTTATCAACGACCGATACATTTAGGACCTTGTGAAAAAAGAACGAAACAAATATTGGGCCCAGGAAACAAAATATAATGGTCCTTCCATCACGGATCACAAACAACTAGTGGGCTTCATATAAGGCCCATTACCTCAGACATTTAAATCATCCCATCATGTCGACGTTTCCCACCGTCAATATAGCGCTAGTTAAACACAAGGCAACAAGAGGAAAACCAGAAGAAGCAAAAAAAATAATACAAAGACATAACGGAGAAAACGACGGCGTAACGTCTGGTACTAGCTAGACAGCCACCAGTCTGTCAAGGACTGACGTGGCGCAACAAAAATGGCGGAATACGTAAGCTCCCATCATGCAAAGGAAAGAGCCACGGACAGAAAAAACTTTGCATTAAATGAATATGCCTGCAATTACATTTAATGCACCACGAGACAGCTTTTAACTTGAAACGGACCAGATCCATCCAAAGTCCAACCACCCACACATACTCAAACCCCAGTTCGCGTTCGTAACCACACAACACCGACGGCGCGTGTGGATCACTCTCGCTTACATGAGGAGAAATTACATAATTAATAAAACTCGAAAGAAAACAAACGGATAATAAAGGGGGGTTTCCAACCCCAGTCAATACCCGAACCACCAACTCCTCCACCGTAATCGGACCCGAAAATGGTCCCAACACGGTGACAAAGGAGTTGGATTTCGCCACACGCGCGGTTCGTTCTTGACTCGACACCCCCCTCATCACAAACTACTTAAACCAAAGTACAAAAGACCATATAAGTTACTAGAATTCACAATTCAATACTAAAAGACAACAAACACACGCGCCGCCTTTGTGAGGCTTAGCTTTCGCACTGAAGAGCGTCTCTGATCTTCTGAACGGTGCATGATATAAGGTTATTGACCGTCTCCACCGACTCAACCGTGAGTTTTGCCGTAGGGAGATTGCTCACAAGGATTTGAAACGCCACCGTCAAGAGGGACCCGCCACCGATCGGTCTCTGCTCACCGTCACCGGAGCCAGCTTCAATGCCTCCGTCGGGGAGAACAGCAAAACCGGAAGGAAGGAGAGCCACGTAGGATGAATCTCCACCGTTCATCACAACATTCATGGCTGGAATATCAACAGGAGCGTAGACGACAAGCGCTCCAGATGCGTCTATGCATGTCTCCTGAAGAATTAGCATACTGCTCTGGTTCGCGTTCATTGGCTGCCAAAAAAACAAAATTGAGTTAAGCAAATAACCCTTAGCTCGAGTGTTTATTTACGAGAAATTGCCACACTGACCAAAAACAGTAACGCTCTGAGTGAAAAAGGGAAACAAGTCAAAATCTCTTTTCAGATGAACACAAAAGAAAAAAGAAGAGAAAAGTCAAAAAAGACAGGACCAAGAAGTAAAGGTCGAAACTGTCCTATTAATTTTGACTTTTTAAACCCTTGCAAAAGCTGTGACACTTTTGTTTTCTAACAAATATATAAAAAAAAGAATTAAAATTATAGTGTCATCTTCTGATACCACCCAAATTCCTATATTGTCCTTTCCCAATCCACTCTTTTGTCCGTCATACTACCACCACAATCAGGGACAAAAACGTCACTATCACCTAATCCATTTTCCCCACACCTATCAATCCCACACATACCCACCCAATCACACACACCATCTTATTAACCGGAAATTCTATCCTGTTTTACTAAACCAAGTTTAACTAGCCGGTCAAAATAGCAATGTTAAACCGGAAGAGTGTAATTCGGGAATATAACTTACATTGGAGCGGAGGAGAGAGACGGAGTTGCCTTGATCTTGACCTTTGACGATGTGAGCCATCTCCTGCATGGGACCACCGTTAGACAGAATATCCCATTCGCATCTCATCCGTTCGTTCCGCAAGAAATCAAACAGACGCTGTGGGGAAGCAGGAAGCCACACAGACGTGGCAGCACTTAGAACAATCCCCGAAAGCTCGCCTAGATCGTCCACACTCTTACGGGTCATAACTCGAACGTCCGGGTCAACATTTCCGACAGTGAGCTTGCTCCAGCTGTGGACAGACGGTGCAGAGATGCCGGAACAGAAGTTGAACGTCATACGTTGAGCTAGCTTCAGCATGCTTTTACGACCACCAGGCGTTAGAGCTGTTATTATTTTATAAATTTCAGTTTTGTAACAAGAGATTATAGATATGTTAAATCATGTATTGAGATGTGTGTAAGAAACGGACATGTATTGTCGTGAGATGCAACGGAGGAGGACATGAGGATAGCGAGACACTCGCATTGTCTCTGAAGTGTAGCGACCCATCTTTGAGATCCGAAACCAAGACCTGACCGAAGCAGTGGCCGGTACAGCTGGTGGATTTGGTTCTCGTCGTATTCTGCATGCTCCACCCACGTGACCTGCACAAACCGAAAACCAAATCCTGGTTTAGCATATCAACAAGCACACCAACCAAACCATTATACTTCTTATAATCTCATTATATAAAACACCATAATCTTTATCAAGTTTAAATAAATACTCGCTTTTTTAGTGGAAGACAATACGTTAAAATTGATATAAATAGGACAAATTGAAATAAATACTAAACTATATGTAGGATGACAGAGACGGGAGATACGAGGCAGCATAGAAGATTGGAATAGAAATAGGAAATCAAAATTTATTTAAACGATGATTAGAAGCTTTTCTCTCAAATGCATATGAAATTAATGTGTTCTTTTCCAAAATGCGCACAAAATAATTTTGGACAGATGCTTCATAGAATAGTGAGCACATAAAATAAATAAGAAGGATTTCGATTTTGGAGACAGACCCAGTTGTCGAAAACTTGAAATCTAATCCAGAGAATCCGACAGAGAGAGAAGCAACCGGATCCATAAAATTTCAGCAATCTCGGAAGGTTCGGGGATCAAAATTCGAGGTAGACAAAAACCCATTTAATAATCTTTTATTTCTTTCTATTCAAACATGAAATCATTATGAAGTTTCTTTCCACATGAAATCAAACTATTGCTAAACTATGAAAAAAAACCATTAGATATGTAGAAGAAAAACAGAAATTCAAAAGAACGGTAAACGTAAAAAAAAGACTATAAAAACTGTATAATAGAAAGAAATTGGGAGAGGTAAGATTAAAAACAAAATGAGAGTGACAGTGAAGTGGGTGCAGCAAGTAATGGCTAAAAAACAAGAGTCATTGATGCATGAGCTTCTTCGTCTAGTGATCACCCAATTAAAAACCTTGAGATCCTAACTTACTCATTTCTATCGAATTTTTCAAAAACCAAATAATAAACACTTTTTGGAAAAAGATTCCAAATGTGTGTTGTGACTAATTATGCGTTTTAGTATTATGTAACGCTTTTGGATTAAATTTAAGAGTGTTACCTTTGAATATCCATTGGACATATCTTGCACCACACAACCTGATGGTAGTCGCCGGATTATAACCGGAGCGCCTCCGGAGTTTTCAATAGATACGTCAACAACCGCCCACACACCTTCCGCGTGCTGTTTGCAGAACCGGAGGAAGTTGACGTTGCGAACCGGAACCAACGGAGACAAAACTTGTAGCTCCGCATTCATCTGTATAGTACATTCGCATTTTTAACTAAACCGGGTAATTCAACCGGAATGTGATTAAGATGATTTTGTTTAATTATACCAGTTGAAGTGCACCGTTTCTTGTTCCGGCCATTCCGCCGGAGATAACGTCGGTGGTTGTTGCTCTTGCAACGTTACACGGAAACATCTCCGTCCATCGGTTCTATTAAAAGAAAAGAAAAATCAGAGACCATAAAAAAATAAAAAAAATTGGAGAAATGTAGAAAATAAAAAACGTAAACTGAAGACTTACGGAGTCCATTAAGGTCTCGACGAGAGCTAAGCTGTTGATGATGACCATACCGGAGGTTCTAGAAGCTTCGGTTGCTAAACCGGTTGGTTTAGAGGATGAAAATGTTCTCATGTACTCTTCTTGGTTAAGCTCATCTCTCTCCCCGTCCAAGCTTTTGACCCATAACGGTTCTTCACTCTGAGCGAGCTTCACTAGCTCATCCATGGCGGTTAAAGCCAGCTCCAGCAAAACCGACCTCTGATCAATCCCGTTAACAACCATCGGATGTTGCTGCTGCGGCGGCGGTAAGCAGCTGCCACCGCCGAAATCAGGAGGAAATGCGAAATTTCCGCCGTTATTGGTGCCGACAGCGAGCTCGAGGGAGGAGTTGTGGTGGTTAGGGTGGTGGTGGCCGCCGAGGAATTTACCGGTGAGGTTACAGACGCGATCGAGCTCGTCTTTGAGTCGAGCGTTCTCGATACGGAGATGGTGTTCTTCGAGAGAGACGTCACCGAGCATGGCGGGTCCACCACAGTTGGTGCATATCGGATTCCTCATGGCGTCGCGAATCGACATGTTGTCAGCTCTTAGCTTATCGTTCTCTTGTCTCAGTAATGCGTTCTCGTGCCTCTCTAATTGAGTCTGCCACGATTTGTAATTAACAAAAAAAAAATGTTATAACTTTTGGAAACCAAAAAGCTTTATATTCGCATTAAAGAATTTGATTTTGGGTTTAAACTAAAAAAACCTTCATTTGAGTCCGACGATTCTGGAACCAGAACTTGACTTGTCTTGTCTCCAAGCAAAGTCTCTTGCTTAGTTCTAACCGCTGTTTCTCGTCTGGATGTGGACACTCTTTGAACGTACTGAAATCCCAAAAAAAAAAGAAACATAAATTAATTAGATCCATGAAGAAGAGAGAGATAATGATTTAGTAATTAAATCGAAGAGGGGATTATGATTATCATACGATTCGAGCTCTTGGATTTGCTGAGGAGTGTGTCGGTGGTAACGTTTTTTTCTCGGAGGTTTATCGTCGGCGTCTTGATCTTCGCCGGAGATTCCTTCGACGTTATCACTTCCAGATCTGCTCTCATGGTCCTCTTCTCGGCTTCTTCTATTCGCACTTCCATCGAATTTATCGCCACCGTTATTGTTCCTCATCGATGCTTCTCCACGGTTTGTCGTTCCTCTCTCCGGTTGTTCCTGTCCGAACATAACAAAAAAAAGAGGATTAGGTTTTTTTTCTATATAAATACACATAAGTAGATAGAGTGTATACGACGTCGTACGAGAGCTAGAGAGAGGCCTGAGGCGGCGTAAACAGATTTCGCAATAGGAGGAGAGAAGAGGCTCGCTTGAGCCATAGCACCGCTGGGTATTACGGTGGATGCGTTGGTGTGGTTGCCATATGTTAAACCGGAGAGGATTCTCGCTCCGGCGGGTCCACCACCGGTTGGGTTGTCGAATAGACTACCGAAGTTCATCAGAAAATTAAGGGAGTAAAGATCGAGACTATTCACGAAATAAGTAAGAGTGGATCGAGAAATGAATCAGAGGAAACAAAAGAGGGAAGAAATTTAAAAAAGAAAAAAACCAAAATGATTAAGAGGGAGAAGAAGAAACCCAGAAAATTAAGGGAGTTTATGACAGAAATGGAGGAGAGAGAAAGAGAACGAAAGCGGAATTTGTTTTAACTTCTCTATCCTTTGCTCTTCGTTCTCAGTCTCTCTCTCTCTCTCTTGAGAATTAATGGAGTTTTTTTTTTCTCTCTTCTCTCTCACTTATTATCTTTCAGAGAGTGATGGGGAAGAAGAAGAAGTTGTGAAACCCTAGGTTTGAGGGTAACTAATAAGAAGAGGCTCTCTCTCTCCTCTCTTCACACTTGCATGTTGATATTGACTCTCTTTTTCCTCCTCTCTTTTATATATATGATTTTTTATAAAGACAATGAGAGGGACGGTCATGGCTTTTTAGATTTTGTTTTCTTCTTTTATTTCCTTTCCTTGATTTTTTAATGCATTTTGACAATTGCAGTTTAAAAGTGTTTCAGTTTTAAAAGAGTGAATCTAATTAAAATCTTACTCAAATCCAAAAGACCCAGAGTATTCCTATAACTGACCTTACTTTTTTAATATTTTAAATAGTTTCCTTTATATTTAAATCAAAACTAAATCTACACCAATTAAAAAACAACAAATCACATTTGTCTGTATATTGAAAAAACTGTCAAATTAATTGTAGATTTTTTATACACAAAATGTACTTAAACCAAATCTGTAAAGTTAAAAATATTGGAGCTTTTCATATGGTTTCAAATCCAAATTCAAGTAATTACCTTTCTCTTTGACAGGTAAGAAAGTCACCTTTGTAAGTATTACCTTATTTGGTCATCTTTTTAAAAAGCTATTACCCATTTTAAACAGAAGACATCCTAAATAAAATCAAGCCAAAACCATTGATTGAAATCAATTATTCCCATTAACCCCATTTATGTAGATTGTTTCTATAAAATGAAACTAAATGAAAGGAGAATAGTTTAATTAACGGAATTAATTGAAGGGGAAAAAGGAAATAAAAAAAAGTGAGTAAAACGTAACGGATGAGATATGTGGACTCTTGGAAGCCTTACAAGAAGCACGAGACTCTTTCACCAGAAGAAGTCAGTTGACTTTTTCTCATTTTTTAAACAATCTTTTGCCTCACGCGCTATATCTCGGTACTCGCGCTCTTTTCTCACTCGCACAAAATCTAAATGAGTTTTTGGTTTAAGAAAAAGTGAAACTGAAATATATAACTGTAGTACACATTTGTCTGGCAAACCCACAACCTTTGTGTTTTCATGAAACTATTTTCGCAATTTTCAATTATTGACTTGTACTTTTTATTTTGTAGTTTGATATGTTTATGTACTCGTAGATTGTATAATCAAATAGGCTATAGAATCTTTGAGTTGTGAAAGAATCTAATATTTTTAAAGTAACGACATGAAGAAGCGAACTTGTGTAGTTGTGTCAACCAAAAAGACATTCCATAATTAGTCTTTATAAGCTCCATTATTGAGCGAAATTGTATGCCCTAAATGGTGGTAATTTGGAAAATTTAATAAGTACAATTATTAGGTATTGATAATGGAGAAAACTTAGCACTGATAAAATGTACTTTCTTTTAGTATGCGTACACATGCATGTAGCTTTCTAAAACTAGCGGTCATATATATGCCAATGTGTTTTAGGATTATTTTTTTTATTTTTCAATACAAAACCATGTTGGCTATACAAAACATCCAAAAACTAAGATTGATGTTAGATGATATTTAGGGTTTTGGGTCTATTAAGTCAGAATTTATTGAACCGAAAGTATGGAAATATATAGAAAATGAAAAACAATAAAATCATGGAGAAAAACATCAAGAAGAGGGGAAGTGGTGGATCATATTGGTTTGGTTCGGTTTGGGGCACATGGGAATGTCGGTTCCAAAGAATAACCGACCAGCAAGCACACGATGCAATACACTCAACATCTTATATTTATCATTTCAGGTATGCCCAATGCGTATTCTTCCATTTTGTCAGTCAATTTTTAGCCGTAACGCTTTATGCACAAGTCACGTTACAAGATAGAAGAAAAAGTACTATGGCTTCTCTTATTGGTCTATCAAACTAACTAGTGAAAAAGAAATTGATTCGGAGAATAAAGGTTGAAAGTAAGGAGGAATGTTCATTTACCTGTTTAATGATATAAAGAACAATGTCATTTTCATTGTTGGGTTAAATTTGGTAATAACTATAAAATTATTCAACTTTAATTAGCAGAACTAGATCCAACGTCTACCACATAGCTCGAGTAGAATCTAAAGTAAAATAGAGCTTACAAAGAAAAAGGAAATGAAAAACCATTTAGCATTAGCCACTAAAAAAGGTTTAAACTTTTGAGGTTTTATGTGAATGTTAACATCAAAGAGACCAGACTCCCGACCATGCCCATGTGAATATTTCAACCTCAAAATGAAATTTGAAAACGGTAACATGAGACATGGATGATGGACTATATTATCTGCGACTAATAATATACCATCTATAATACTAACGTAATAACATATCGGGAAGTCATGTATAACAATATTGACCATGGAAACAAAGCAAAGAGCAGACACCTTTTGGTCATCAAAGACTAGACTTTTCTACAAGACAATTCCATGATATACCCCAAGAGTCACATCTGACTGAATCCTCTAATGTGTCCGATGTTACGTTCAAACAGTCTAAAAAATGATCAGATTCAATTGGACGTTACTATAGCATAGGATTATCATTAATTGAGACAGCAAATATGGTTCAGAGAGGACGAACCCATTAGTCCATTACCAGCCAAACCTTTGTTGCATTAATGTCATCACTTTTTTTCCAACCCAATTGGAGTCTCCTTTCTCTCTCAGGTTTTACTTACCAATATGTCTTCCCCACCTGAAGTCAAGTACTGAAAAAGAAAAGTCTTCTATTGTGTCTGTTTCTCACCCAAAATCAATCAAACTACAATAATTCTCCTTTTTTTTACTAAGATACTGAATCATAGGAATTGTCAATACATAAATAAGTATCCAGGAGGTGCACCTAAATACATGGTCTCCAGTACAAAAAAGAAAAAAAACTATATGCAGAGTCACATGCATACTTTACTCATGTAGGTCACAAGCTGCTTCTCAAAGGTAGACCCCGCACATAAATCATTGACAGAACCACAACCACGTGTGACCAAGAATTAACAATATCAGCACATTATACGAATGTGATACATTTAGAAGCAATGTCATGAACACAAAAAGAAAAGTATATCAGCATTATGGTGTCTTAAGGACAGACATGGGTGCTGGAGAGAAAGTGACTGTACCTACAAGACTGAGAAGAGCTTCTTCTTCCTCTCTTTCTTTTGTTTCTTTTTTCTTTCTGTGTGTCTTCAGTGCGAGTTTGATGGCAATTTCCATAGAGACTTGGTTGCTACAAGGATCTTCTCTCTTCCGTGGGATTCGGGTTCTTTGTCGTGTATGGAAGAAGACCATCTTACAGCATGAGCCATTCGTGCTACTTTGTCTAGCACCTCAGGTGAGTCTCGGATCAAAACTTTTCCTTCTGGACGCAATATTCTGTCCATCTCCACCATTAGATCTACTAGGCTACACCTGTACACCCATATTACACAATTCAGCTTAGATTAAGTGGATCCTGTGTTAGCAACCGATAATGGTTTTACTTTAGTTGTACATACCTCGGTTTGCCTGAGTCTGACCGTTTAATCAGTGATTCAATTCCCGACACGTGGATGAAATCATACGTACGGGGATATGTTGAGAAGGGTTCACACCTGCAAGAAGCAATAGAAAAAGTTTTTTAAAACTCTAAATGGTTTGTAAAATAGAAGATAGTATGATCCTCGGCCAAGGCTAAGATACGGAACAAGCTAGAGAATATATGTAAACAGCAAAAGAGACTAACCAGTCATGGTAGACACCGATGAGACCTCTGTCATAAACCACGTCAAGAGTTAATGGCTTCCGAGCTGGAATGACATTCATAACCCACACAGGATCAGATGCAAGGGCTGCTGCAAAGCCTCCGAAGAAGGCGTTCATGTCCATGACATTGCGAACAGCTGGAGGTTTCAGCTCCAAGTTCAGAGAATTCCTGTAGTAAGCAACTCGTCTCGCCCATCTCCTTGCATCTGCTTCAAACACATCCAACCCGTTCTTCATGACAATGGCCCTAGAAGGAACTTTGGTAAGCCTTTCCGGCCACTTGGCAATAGTCCCCAAAGCATATTCTCCTTTGGCTGACGATGGTCTGGTAACACACTTTTTCAACTTAAAATACCTGAAACAAGAAGAAAAAACAAAGACTTCAGTTTTGCCTTTTACAAGATTTCATTACAGATTCAAAATTCACATCAACAAAACTAAATGGAAAGGTCATATGGAGTGATATTCTGAGGAAACTCACCATGCATCACTTGGCGGGACAGACTCATCACACAGCTCAAGCCCGAACTCATTCTGGCTCGGTAGACATGAATCTCCAACAGGCTTCTTCCAGATGACGGTGTTTCCATCAACCGCAATTAGCTCATAGCACAACGCTCTAGCCACCGCCTGAAGATCAGCCCATTCTTTGTCTTGTTTAGGCCATTGTACAGGTGGGCCAGAGATCACAAGATATCCTCCAGGGCGCAGTAATCTATCTACTTCAATGAAGTAAGTTGCATCTGCAGACAAATCACCAAGCACAATGAGAATAATTGCTACTATATACGGCGACAGATACAACACATGAAGAGTACTATAACCAAAGGGACTCACTGTACGCCGTAAAAGGAATCAAGCATCGTGAGCAATGCATCAGGTCAAAGGAGAAAGCAGGAAAGGGGAGTCTACGAGTGCCAAGCATGGCAACAAATGCAGGCACTCCTCTTTCCAAGGCGAACTGAATCTGCGACTTATGTGAATCTCTCGGAGCAAACGAGAGGGCTAAAATGCCTTGAGATAGTAGAGTACCTCCAAAACTTGCTACCTGCAAAGGTTTACAATAGCATTAATGTAACAATTCAATACAGAACCAGACGTAAATAAGAAAAAAGACTACATGATGATGATTCATTCTTACCCCGCATCCCATGTCAAGGGCAGTTCTCAGAGTTCCACCGCTAAGCGGAATATACTGCGAAAGCTTTTCAATGTATTGGCCTGCTCCGCCAGGGAACATGGTGCCACCGCCTGGGAAAGTGAAGTATTCACCTTCCCTTTTCATCCATCCTTGGTGACCTTTCCGGTCAGCGATTTTGTTATATGGCATGTTTGCATGCCAAATCTGCAAGTTTAAACGCCAGCATTCCACAATCAACATTCTATCAAACATAAAAGAGCCATGCAAAACCAGAAATCGAACTAGCTCATTCCAATCCAAGATACAGCATATAATCTATCAAACTAGTAGCAACATCATAGTTTCCAGCTTGATTCCAGTAAAGAATTTTACCTTGTGAAGGCTCTCTGGCCAAGGAACAGGAATTTTATATCCAGAAGGCGGAGGAATCAAGCAGAGAGGAGTCTCCTCCGGTAACGGACAATGTCTCTCCCGGTAGAAATTCATCTCTCGACTAAGCTGGCTATTCCTCCTCGGATCCTCGCAGGGCATATGAGCAACAGCCTCCGCCGGACAATACTCGATCGGCTGCAGATGCTGACCGGCCTCAACCAAAGCCACCAGTCGCTGCCGTTGCCTCGGATCTGACGCCGTCGAGAGAAGGAGCGTTTGCCGACCAGACGCCGCCATGGAATCGCCAAGAGGAGTAAAGAGTAGGATGAAGAAGAGAAGGACGATACCGAAGAAGGCAGCTGTTACGATGTCGAGGAGACGCCATTGACGCGGATTACGCTTCGACGCAGGTAGATTCAGGAGCCCCATAGCTTAGTAGCGCTTCTTCACCAATTCGACACCAGATTAGATGCAAATCTAGGTTTATTTATTCGAAGCAGAAATTGAAGATCTGGAGATTTGTCGGCGATTAAAATATTACTATTTCGCACTCGTTCTGTGATGAAAATCAAATCCCATTTTTTTCCTCGGTGCTTTAGTAACGACTGGGTTTGTGTGACGGGAGAAGAAGCACGGTGAATACGCAAGCCACTGGTGGGCTCTAAATCTAATAAACAAATTTTGGTTAAATAATATTTTAAAGGTCATCGATTATATACTTTTAGACTTGGGCCTTAAAATGATTATTCAGGCCCGCTAATAGGAAAGGCTACGTATATATATTAGTGGATCGTCCTTTGAGGGTCCAAAACAATGCGACTTTGACAGAACAATGCGAGTCTTAACTCTTAAACACACAAAAGTCAAAGACATTAATAACATAACAGAATTTTGAATCAATGTGCAGATCATTATGTCGAATTAACGCCACACCTCCTAATCTTTTACGCCATACTTCACAGTTTGAATTGTTATATAGAAATATAAATTTTTCAATACATCTTTGATCTCTTCGATTCGAAGAAATGACTAATTTCGTTTCTTTTAATTCGTAGGAACGAAAAAGGTTCCTCTACATGGAAGATCAAGATAGCTATTCAAATAATATGAAACAAACAAAAATACAAACAAAATTATGCGTCTGTCAGATTTTTATTCATATTAGGATAACCGTTACTGGCTGCAGTAATAGTGTATCTTTATCTTTTCATTTTTTTGGAAATTGAATTCCATCTTTGTAAGAGAACAAAATAACACACTCACACAACAGTAATCCACATTCCACTGTACAACGTTGTAATAAATTCCATCTAAAGCATTCACGTGCTACGCTCCTTCGAGCGCGTCGTTTGGATAATGGTGTCTGAGCAACATACACTACCATTGCCATTAGCCTTTTGTTAAAACAAAAAAAAAAACATACATTACCATTCGATTAAATTAAATTTCAATTTCCATATAAAATGGTATTTCACTGGGATAAAACGAATGTGACGATGACTAAGCGCGGTGTTAGCTGTATAAGAATCTAGTCCACTTACTAGTCTAACCGTGGCCTAACTTAATCGCCGTTTACTATAGGCAACAACCAGGATCTAAACCTGGCTTTGGTGGAGAGTCAACCAAAAGTGAACCATGATTAGTTAAATCTTTTAATCTTTGGAGTCCATCTAACAAAAAAAAATATTTGTTTCTTTAATTTTAAAATCTTGGCTTTACTTTTATATAATTTTCAGATATTTTTCCCCTATGGGGGGTCTCATTGAATTAAATTGATATACAGAGAATTAGCATTTTTTTATCAAAAGGAAATTTTAATTCTATCAACGTAGGTGGGGCGATATATGGAAATTGTCACTCGTCTCTCGTCGCTAAATATTTCCACTATATAACCAAAACCATTCATCTTAGATTTAGACATGCTAACCAATTTTTGTTTCCTTTCTTTTTAAAAGGAAAAAAACTATTAATTCGTGAAATTCCGAGAAACTTTGGCTTTTACATTATTTTTGTTTTTTTGGTTTCTCCGGCGAGTCATGGCGAACGATCGCTGGCCGTCGAAGCTATCAAAGTTATCAGTCCGAGCAAAACACACTAATCTCTACCGCGGGATTCTAATCGCGATCCTCTGCACCGCCTCATACCTCGCCGGAGTATGGCAACACTCCGGCAGAGGAGTCTCACGCGGCACTCTCTCCGTCACTTCCTCGCCGCCCTGCACGTTTCCTCACCAAACCGCACCTCTTCTCACCTTCGCTTCCCGTCACACAATTCCTGATCCTCCCCCGCTGTCGACGGCGGAGCGTGTGGTTCAAATCCCGCCGTGCGGTGTCGAATTCTCGGAGTATACGCCGTGCGAGTTCGTGAACCGGGCTTTAAGTTTCCCGAGAACGAGACTGATATACAGAGAGAGACACTGTCCCCAAAAAAACGAGATGCTCCGGTGCCGGATTCCAGCTCCGTTCGGTTACACGATACCTTTCCGGTGGCCGGAGAGCCGTGACGTGGCGTGGTTCGCAAACGTGCCACACACGGAACTAACGGTGGAGAAGAAGAATCAGAACTGGGTAAGGTATGAGAAGGATAGGTTTTTATTTCCTGGTGGTGGTACGATGTTTCCACGTGGAGCTGATGCCTACATCGACGAGATCGGACGGTTGATAAATCTCAAGGATGGATCCATTCGGACAGCCATTGATACTGGATGTGGGGTAAGTCCATAATTAAAATTCCTCTGTTTTTTTCTTCTTAATTTTGTTCGTTTTGTACTATGCATGTGATGTGATGTCTCCGTTTTTTTTTTGGCTCTCGTTCATGTTTCCATGTTCATCCCATGCTTGTGATATCATAAATTTGGGGTTTTTTTTAAAAGAAAGAAAAAAATCATCCATCTTATACTACAAAAATAAAATTTTATGCCTTGCATTTAGTTTTGAGATTTTATATTATATTTTTTTTTCGTTTTTTTTAAGGTGAATTTAGTTTCCGTTCACTAGCCATATCAAGCTGTATCGTAGCGTGTAGATATATGCCAAATTAATCGGTGATTGTGCAATTACATTGAGATTACCTATATTGATGTTCCCTTTGTTCATAGATTACTGTAAAGACGTGTAGTGTACTTAATAGCTGATTCAGGTCAGATCAGATGATATTTTTATTTTTATTTTCAAATTCGCATGCGATACCCGATTAGATTTATGAAATTAACTAGCTTATATTTGTCATTTTTTTTTTAATGTTAAGATTTGTCATTTTTTTAATAAAAAAGAAGAAGAATTTTGGTCATAAATCAGTTGGGATTCATGTGAGAAGAAGAATATTCTGACACAGCAGAGTGAGAATGACAGATAGGATTGTCTTAGTATGGAATCAATAGCATTGAATTCACACAAGTAGATAAAAACCAATAGGATCAAACTGGAAACAATTTGCTGACTTTTCCTAACTTTCTGTTCCTCTAAATGGGTAGTACTAATGAATAGAAACAATTTTTCTGCATTAAATTTATAAAATTCTTAATTACTTTTTTTTTTTAATTGTAGTATAGCCAAGTAAATGCTGGCTAGAGATTAGATAGGAAAAATAAATAAATAGATGTGGTTATCTTAGCATCGATGGTTTCAAACCTCATATGGAAGTAAAGTGGCCAAACTACTTTTTTAATGTGTTTTGTCATATACATGTAAATGGGTAGTTTCATTCGACCGTTCACGAGCATAGGCTATGATAACTACTGACCTCTAAACGAATGATGATGACAGGTAGCGAGTTTTGGGGCGTATCTAATGTCGAGGAACATAGTAACCATGTCGTTTGCGCCAAGAGACACACACGAAGCTCAGGTTCAGTTCGCACTCGAGAGAGGAGTTCCTGCGATCCTCGGAGTCTTAGCCTCCATTAGGCTCCCATTTCCGGCCAGAGCCTTCGACATGGCTCATTGCTCTCGTTGTCTCATCCCGTGGGACCAATACAGTAATTTCTCACACACTTCCTTGTCTAACAAGTCACCTTTTTCTTGTACTTGTTCTCATGCATATATGTGTGTTTTGACTTTGTTTGTTTGTTATGAGCAGATGGGACGTATCTGATAGAAGTGGATAGGGTATTGAGACCAGGAGGCTATTGGATTCTGTCGGGACCGCCTATTAACTGGCAGAGACATTGGAAGGGTTGGGAGAGAACCAGAGACGATCTCAACTCGGAGCAGTCTCAGATCGAGAAGGTCGCTAGAAGCTTGTGTTGGAAGAAACTTGTACAAAGAGATGATCTTGCGGTTTGGCAGAAACCAACCAACCATATTCACTGTAAACGCAATCGGATTGCTCTAAAACGACCTCCCTTTTGCCACAGGACACAACCTGACCAGGCCTGGTAATTTAATTATCTCCAAATGTAGACAAGAAATGGTTACTAGAAAGAAATATTTATATATATTTTTTGATTATATACCATGGTTTGCTTTGTTTTATTTGTTTTTTCAGGTACACTAAGCTTGAGGAATGTTTGACACCGTTACCGGAAGTAACAGGAACTGAGATCAAAGAAGTAGCCGGTGGGAAGTTAGCGAGATGGCCAGAGAGATTAAACGCTGTTCCTCCGAGGATCATGAGTGGAAGCTTGAACGGGATCACTGAGGATGATTTTTTCAGAAACACAGAGACATGGCAAATAAGAGTTTCTTACTACAAGAGCTTTGACCATCAGCTAGCGGAGACAGGAAGGTACAGAAACATACTTGACATGAACGCTTACCTTGGAGGTTTTGCTTCAGCTTTAGTCGATGATCCTGTCTGGGTCATGAACGTTGTCCCTGTGGAGGCTAATGTCAACAACACCCTTGGAGTGATCTATGAGCGTGGCTTGATCGGAACGTACCAAAACTGGTAAGGTTCCTAATATAACCATATTTTTGTGAAGCTTTCATTGATTATTTGGACATATTTAACTCTTAAAACAGGTGTGAAGCGATGTCAACTTATCCAAGGACGTACGATTTTGTTCATGCGGATTCGGTATTTAGTCTGTACAAAGACAGATGTGACATGGAAGATATTTTATTAGAAATGGACAGGGTTCTTAGACCAAAGGGAAGCGTGATCATCAGAGACGACATCGATCTGTTAACCAAAGTGAAGAAGATAGCAGATGCGATGCAATGGGAAGGGAGAATAGTAGATCATGAGGACGGACCTCTTGAAAGAGAGAAGATTTTGTTTCTTGTCAAGAACTATTGGACCGCGCCTGCGCCTGATCAGTCATAAGATAATGGATCAAGCTTGGAACAAATCATAGAACTCGTAGCTCCATTCCTTTTTGTTTTTGTTTTAACATATCTTGTACACGCCAGATCAATTGTTTCAGACCAGAGAGATTAAATGTGAGAAAAAAGAACAAGAGAGTTTATAACATAGTTTTTAATGTTATGTATTGGATCTATATTAGCTTGATGGATTAAAGAGTCTAATTCAAAGATGTGAGAGCTTTTGAGATAAACCCACATACATTAACTTAAACGGCGCCGTTAGGAAGTAGCATCCAAAAATCCCAATGCAAGATGGTTTGGGATAAGCTAATTCCAATATATAAACTTTAGATTTTGTTGACTGATTAAGCAAATAGATAGGAAGCATAAAAAATTAGAGAATATATCAAAGCCTCATCGTTGGTTTCTTCTTTTCAGGTGGAAGAGATGCTCGGGCGGCTTTTGTTAATTCTCATCGGCTCAGTGCATGTTACGTATGCGATATCGATGCTATTAAAACGAAAATCATCTCAGCGATCTGTGAAGAAAAGTTATCGGAGAATTGAAGGCGAAGACAAGATCAGTGCGTTGCCGGACGATTTGCTCGTGCATATATTGTTGTTTGTCTCAACCGAAGATGCAGTGAGGACTATGATCTTGTCCAAACGATGGCGGTTCGTATGGACGATGTTGCCAAAACTCTGGTACCCAGAGATCAACGATGATAATACTCACAAAATATTTACTAGCGGTTTGTTTGGTCGTTTTCTTGGTCGTTTATTTGGCAAACAACGGTCTATTTGGCGGTTTGTTGAAGAGTCATTACAGCTCCACAAGGCACCTATACTAGAATTATTAGCAATAGAACTCGGTCCTCGATGTCCTGTCAATGTTGACGTGGAAAAGTGGATTGTAGATGCGGTTGATCGTAGGGTGCGGGAGCTAGGGCTTGTGCTCAATTGGTCCTCGAAGCCTACCAGCTTACCTACAAGCCTTTACACGTGTGATACGCTTGTTAAACTATATCTTTCCTACAAGATTCTCGTGGATGTTCCTTCTCCAGTGTGCCTCCCATCCCTCAAAACTCTTTTCCTTCAACATGTGGTGTATAAAGATGAGGATTCTCTCGTTAGGCTTTTATCGAACTGTCCCGTTCTCACACAGTTGGGCGTGGACCGACATCACCATGACAACTTGAGAAACTTCACTATAAAAGTCCCATATCTGGAATACTTATTATATGATTATGTTGAATTAGGAGAAGTGGACAACCAAGTTATTGGAGGATCTTTGGTAATAGATTCTCCGGCTTTAAAGATAATCTCCTTGAGAGATTTTTCCGAGGATTCTTGCTCTCTTGAGGACAGGCCACGTCTTGAAAAAGCAAGTATCAACGTTTATCAGGACCTGGATGCCAAGTTTATGAGGTCTCTTTCCTCAGTCGTGTATCTCGAACTAGGTTTGAGCGTTGCAACGGTATGTATGTAGTACGTATAGTAGCGCTCGTTTTCTTATTATCTAAGTATATTATTTTGTGTACATTACGTAGTTGCGATTATTGTAGGTTGCATGGTGTAACGCTATTAACTTCTCCCAGCTTACGGAGTGTAAGCTTGCTCTTTTATATGACTTCGACTGGTTGGATTCACTAATGATGTTTCTTCACAAAACTCCTAAGCTGAAAGTTCTTTTTATCGACCAGGTTTGTAGTTTCTCTCACGGTAGTTAATTATTGATTAATAAAAGCAATGTGTTTATTGTATTATTTATTTGTTCGTGCTTCACAGGCATTCATTCGACTTGAGGAGGATGTCTCACTTACATGGAAAAAACCGCGTCTTGTTCCCAGGTGTTTGAAAACCCATCTCGAAGTCTTTGAGTGGGAAATATATAGAGGAAGAAACGAGGAGAAAAAAGCTCTAAGATACATTTTTTCTAAATCTAGGTGTTTAAAGAGGGCTGGAATTTCCTTGGAATCAACATGCAATCCTAAAGATAGAGAGATGATGATGAGAGACTTAGAATCTATGTTTCGAGTTTCGAAATCATGCCAACTACTCTTCTCTACTCACTTGGAATATATGATCACTGAATTATGATATGAATGACCTAGTTTATATCATGGATCATATGTACCACTACTCAAGGCTATTGTTTATAATTATTTTTTTGTTATTCGAGTTTTATGAATTTTTCTTGCATCTCAAAATTTCATTTAAACGAAAAGAATGCATTGTTGAAATCTCAAAGTCGGCGGATAAAACAATATCCCCATAATCAAAGCCATGAAATAGGGAACCAAACTAAACCAAGATTACACAAACGATTGAAAACTAAAGCTACATCATGAGTTCTTAATCCCAATCAGGAACTGATAAAAAACAATTTAAACTTGATACTTAGAGCAAATGAATAAGTTTAATCCCACGAGTACACCATGGAGCATAATAATGCAAATCATAATAAAATTTTCTAATGCAAATCATAATAAAATTTTCAGTTTTTTATCCCTAATGCTTTAACTTATTCATTAATATAGGTATAAATTAGAGAGAAAAACGGAAACTGTGAAAAAACTTTAACCTATTCCGATGAGAGCAGTCACTTACTTTTGACATTTATATGATTCCATAAGAAGATCTAGAATTGGGTCATAGTGAAACAGAAAGAATACACAATCTATTAAGATGCCAGATCTGACCAAGACGCAATCCAAACCCGTTTGTAACTCGCGGTTAGGGGTTGCTAAGAGCTTAGTTTACAACATAGCTTTTTCACTAGCAGACTTACAATACACTGAACTCAACATACAATATGCTGTTATCATCTCAGGTTACATTTGCTACGTCAATAGTTCCAGAAACAAGGCTTCTTGTTTGTTGGTGAGACTGAGTTCCTCAAAAGTTAAAGCACCGTCTTGAAGGCTGAAAGCACGTCGAGGATATGATCTAACCTGTTTACCCACAACATTCACACACACCACCGATATAAGGCTTGTGGCAGCAGAGCCCAAATCTTATAAGTTGTCTATTAATACTAGTCTTACCACTCTATATGTGGCAGGTTTGACCAATCCAGCAGCATCTATGAAGTCAAAAAGGTACTGAAATATCAATAAGCAAACTGTTAGGGAAGCTTTATATTGTTTGCCACACTAATCACTTGAAACTCACGAACTTCAATTCACCTTAAACTTGTCTGATTTGAGAAAGCGACGACCATGGCGGCTGCTATCTGGCATTCTAACGAGCAGAGTAATGGCATCTTCGTTTTCGACTGCTGGCTCGGTGGGAAGCACTACCTTCGTTGTACTGGAAGTTCTCTCAGGTTCCTGGACAGGGCATCTCAACCATTTTGCATTAAGATTCATTATGATCATATATTGACTGGGAATATTACGATTTGTTGTTGATGGTGGTTGAAAATCTACGGGTTCAGTCTGAGTACAAAGCCTATATATTCATGTCAACTTTCACGTTCCAACTAATGAATGCATCGAAAGAAAATCAGATTACCTCTCCAGTGACCATGTTATCGGGAGATTGTGACTCCATGCTGGTTCCAGACTGATTGTTATGTGAAGCACTCTCTTTAGCTACTCCACTAAAGAGTGCCTTTTCCAGCATCATTGCCTCCTCTAGCTCTTTTGACGGAATGCCACCCCACTAGTAGCAGTCGAGCAACAGGGTAAGGAGAACACATGATCAGCTTCTCACTAAGAAGATGCTACTTTGTTCTTGACTTGCTACTTTCACTCTGCTTGTATGAAAAGAAAATCAAACTTGATTTGAATAATTACCTCCTCGGGATAAGAAGCTTCAACATTCTGGAGATCATGTCCGCGCTGAGAGCTACTATCAACTGGCTGCTTTTGTTTCATGTCTTCACGCTTGTCTTCCACTGAAGAGCTCCTCGGCTTCAAGTACGAAGGTTTTAGTTAGCAAGATAGCTTCAATGGTTTCAACACATTAAATTCAAGGTCTTACTATACCAATAAGCATGCATTTATATTACTAGAAGATTGAGTCTTAGTAGAGGAGAAGAAAAATTCAGTTTCACACCTGATTTCTGCTACTTTCAGTTGTATTGGATTGACGTGGGTCGTGATGCTCCACAGAGCGAGGCATAAGCTCAGCTAGTTGCTCTCTCAACAAACCCTCTCGCTCTTCCATCTGAAAGCCATTTATGCCCGGTGAGAGACATCACCAACAACGGCAGGTACATAGCAATATCTATCAATATCTATCAATACCTCTAGTGACATTGAAATTGCACGGGCAAAGTCCTCGTCTTCCCGGTTAATAACCTCTCTCGAAGATAAAACGCTAGATGGAACCTGCATCAATAACAAGAAAAAGAAAAGAAAACCATGTGAAGGAGCTACATACACATGGCGAAGCTTAGAATACAATGTGTTGTGACAAACCTCTTGATAATCGTTCTTCGAAGCCTCAATAGCAGCTCTGATCATTTCTTCTTCTGCATAGCTGTTATCGTTGCTATAGGCAGGTAATTCAGTATCCCTATGTGTTCCACCATGGACCTGTGATCCGTAACTTGATGAACGTCCCGGATAACCGTCTCCTCCGACCTCTCCAAACCCAGGAGGACGAATCTGATCATTCCCCCAGGTAGAGTGAGCAGGGAACCCTGAGTGAGATGGTGGAGGAGGGCTTCCAGAAGAAGCAGAGCCACTGAGCTGCCTTAGGATGTTTCTTCTGTAATTGGGATCTAGAAGCAACGACGGTCTAAAAGCCCTAGCAGCCGAGAGGAGCGATGGAAGTCCGCCTGGGACTGGGACTGGGACTGGCCTAGACTCGGTACCACGAGCCTGATTGTTTTCTTCCACAACATTGTATTCTGGATGACTATCGCTTGGATCATAACTGGAAGGATAACCCAAGAAAGAAAACAATGAGCTTATACCATGAAGAAGAACAAAATTAAAGAAGAGAAACTCAAAAAATCTTGAAAAATTTGAGAAACATACATGCTCCTTTCCACATCCCTGAAATGGGAATTGATCGCTTCAGGGAGATTATTGCCGTGTTCCTTGTCAAATACACAGAAAAAAATTTAACTTGGAACGCAACGATTGGTGGACCTACACTAATAGACAAACGAAGATCGATCCGATCAAATGAACATGTGAATTAGCAGGGAAAGCGAAATCCCTAACTCTCCAAGTTCCATTTACATTTCAAATTACACATTTGATCGCAGAACTACCCATTATCTTCCCCAGATTCCTTACGTCAATTGGACGAAAACGAAATCAATCTAATGGCAATGTCATCCGACGAGAGCGCAATTGATATCTTCTCAAGAGAGTTTAAAACGGAGAAAGACAAGGACGAACCTCAAGTCTCTGAATCGCGAGTGACTCGGACGCGCCGGTGATACTCATGTAAGACTGAATGGAGTCTCTCGCTGGTCTCATCATCTCCGCCGGAGAATTCGGTCGCTGTCAGTAAGAGAGAACAAGAAAGTCGCCGGGAATTATGGAAGCAGCGGCGAGTTTTGCTGCTAAATGCTTTGTTGTAAAGCAAGATTGGTTCAACTGATTCGAACCGACGGTGATGAGTCGGCACAAAAGTGACGTAATCAATTAATTACAAAATTGTGAAATCTGAAACCAAAATAATTATTTTAGCGGTGAAAAGGACGGAACTGACCTCGCTGTTTACGATGTCGGCCTTTCGTTAATTCACCAGAAAAACAAATCATGAATCCATCATCGTCTTCGAAGAGGTCTTCTTCTTCTCTCTCTCTCTCTCTCTCTCTCTCTCTCTTATCCCCCAATTCAACAATTTCTAGGGTCATCATTGCTCTTATCTGATTATCGATTAACGACAAGACATTAGGTGAAAATTTCCTTCTTTTCCATTGTTTTTTCTCATCGGATTCGACATTCCGTCTATTGTTTTCGTTTGTTTCTGCGTGCCATACTCATCGCCGATTTCCTCGTATCCCATGAAATTAACCCTTTCCCTTTCGTCTTTCTCAATTTCAAATTCGATGACAGTTAATCTCCGTTCCCCGAAAAATTTCCCTTTTGATTTATAAATTTTCGAGTTTTCCTATCCAATTTGAATCGTATCTGCTAGTGATTCAACCGCTAATTCGTTTCGATTTATCGGAAATTTTCAAAATTACTGTTCTTTTCCTGTCAATGCTGAAGTAATTGCAAGCGGTCGTTTGATCGTATAGCTAATTTATGCTGAAGTAATTCGTTGTTGATTCTCGGTTTTCGATGTTTTGCAGGGTGAATCGAGTATCATCGAAGAACAGTATGGATTTCGTAAACAGTCTTGATACTGACATGTCCGTAGCTATTCTTTCGTGCCTAGATGATCCATCAGATCTTGTCCGCGCTAGTGCTGTCTCACGCTCTTGGCGCGAGTTTGGTAAGCTCAGAATCCTCTTTATTAAGTTTCTCAATGTGATTATCGGAATTGTATCTGTTGAATCTTGACTATGGTGGATTAGAAGTTTACATCTTGTTTCCCTAAACAGCTGTTAATAATGTTTGCATGTGCAGTGATTAAGTACAGTCTCTCAAAGAATCTTTGCCTGAGGTTGTTCCATCAGCTAACAAGCGTGGATCACATAATAGAAGCAAACGAAGAGTCCTCTGAAGCAGCAGGGTCAAGCAGTCTCATGGAAACAAGGCTACTAGAAAAAGAGCACAGGGCTTACGCCTTGTTGATTAGAGGATGCGAATCATCCCCTATCAGAAGCTGTATCGCTGACGCCATTATAGCCTCTAGCACTGATAACTTCCCAGCAGAGAGTATCTTAAACACACTCGAAGAAAGAGATCGAATTGGTCCAACGCCTTCGTATTGGTCGAGTACTGGACAACACAAGACTTCAGTGCCCGAAACACTTCTTTACAAGTTGAAGGGTGATTTGTGTGTCATCACTGAATTCAGCATCCAGCCTTTCCAAGGTAACCTCTTCTTGTTATTGTTTTATTATTATTAGAGTTTCTTGTTGATTTGTGTTGCTTAACGTTTTCCCCAAATTTCTCTATAGCTTATTTTCAGCGCGGTAGTCCGATATACTCTTCGCATTATGTTCGTTTCCGGTTGGGTCACCACAATAGCGATCTACAAGATAAAAAAGGTGAATCAGGAAAGACTCCGGTTGAAAGCAACTACGTATGGACTTACACTTCACAAGAGTTTCCGATGGCTCAGGTGTGTTGTAAATTGCTCTCGTGTTTAGCATGATACCTTGTTCTTGAACTGTTGTTTGATAACAACCGATGGTTTTGTATGAATAGGAGAATCGGTTGCAGAACTTCAAGCTTCCAGAGCCCGTTCTCTGCATTGGGGGGTATATGCTAATGGAGTTTATAGGTCGAGTTCAGACACAAGAAATGGATGGCCAATACTATATATGGTACATGTTCTCTCCTTATTTGCGGTCTAGATTCCTTAAAACTTGACGACTTGTGCATTTTGTGATAGTTGTTTTTTTGTTGATTGTTTTTTGCAGCGTGTCACATGTCAAAGTGATGGGAAGATCACTAGGGAAGTCGTTTCGGGTGGTGAATCCGAATGACTCTGGGAAATTTGGGTTGAAGGTAATGAGTTACAGTGATCCACAAGAAATGGATGAGGAGGTGGAAGTAGAGGCAGGGCAAAGTCCGTTTAGACCAATGAGAAACCTGGAACAGCTCTTGAATTTCCTGCACAGGCATCCTCTGGACGTCGAGTATGTTTGGCCTGAGTCAGAGAACGATGCTGATGAATCAGACGATGATGAGGTTTAAGAGTCTGAATTACTACTTCCAGTTGTTTATTTGTTTTCTTCTCTCTGCTTCTATTGTTGAGACTTGAGAGAATATATTGTAGGGTGTTATCATCTTTCGTGAGCGGTTTTAAAAGCTTCTTTTTACAGTGTTTGTAAAGATTGTCAGTTGTCTGAAAAAATGTTAACGTATGATTAGGCGTTGTGACAATACTCTTTATTTATTCTGCTTTGTTTGAGTTTTATTGGAATTTTACTGACCGGAGACGACAACTGAATATACACAGAATTTCAAACATAAAACGACTTATCAGGGAGAAACATAAAACTTAAAATCAGAGAAGGAACATTTCATCCTTTATATACAAGACAAGACAGAGCAATGAAGATGTCGGTAGCTTTAAGGTTTAAGCTCATTGGAGAGATCGGTGAAGATCTCATCGAAAAGCTCCTGAGACTCTTTTCTTCTCCAAATCAGATGCGTTTTGTAGCTGACCAACAACAACATTCTTGTTTGAGGACTCAATGGAACCTCATGATGACCCACACACTCCAAAGGCTGAAAATCTCATTCCTCGAATTCATATACCACTGCTTAACACCAAATTTGGTTACTTCAAGTAAATACCATAATAAGACCAAGAAAATATGAGAGGCTACCAAAAGCAACAAAATCGGTAACACTAACAGGTTGAGTAAACCACTTTTCTAGTTCCTTCTCAATACAAACCAGCTCTGGCTTCCTTTCACGCTACCTTTGCCAATCTTATTTATCTCTGTTGCTTCCTCTCTTTCATGGTTGGCCTCTCCTGAATGCACCATAAGAGTTTGTACATTGTTGGATATAAAAATGTGAAACTCACCTATATTTTTGAATAGCTTCTAAAGTTCTGTCTTGTAAGTCATCTGCAAAAATCCAGTAGTATGCACAAAGTATCTCAGCACATTTATGGATGAGCTTCAACGAAATAAAGCTATTCGGGAGAATAAAATAAAATAACACATTAACACAAGCATCTGGATGAACCTATTGTGTATTCGGTGATGGGAACTTTCGTACAAACAACAACGTACTCTTGATCATACACATAGCCCCAGAGAGGAGGCATTCTGTCAGAGGTGGTAAGAGCATTCACATGGCCTTCACTGTTTAGCTGGGAACAGAGCCAAAAACAAGAAATTTAGTGAACACGCAGTGAGAAGGAAGGTAAAACAAAGGATAGACAGACAAAAATATCTGGTCATAGTTTAATCAACACAAACAAAGAAAACAAAAGCTCATTTTTACCAATTGTGGTAATTTTTGACTAAAATACATACAAATATTCTTTAGTCACTACCGATTACAATAGTCACCGCCAGGTCACTGGAACTTGTGACTAGACACAAGAACTGAGTATAAACAAAGCTCCAACAAACCTTTTGAGTTTTGATTATAAAACTATAAACTAATCAGTAAATAAGCAGAAGCTCCAAATCTCACAACACGTAGAGCGAAACATCCTAGGTCCCACATATTTTGTCTTATTCTCTACCAACTAACTTAATTATATTATGCAAAAAATCTATTCCTGTAAGCTACATCTTGAGATCTCCATCAAGAAGCTACTTCTCTCTTTCCACAAACTCTCAGCAGCCACACATAAATACATCTTAACACTCTTAAACACATTTCACTAGCCCACTTCCTTCTCTTAAGATATTTTCTCTTTTTGTTCTAAGACATTTTCTTATCGTTACTTCAGTGTTTTTCAAAATCACCAAAAGAGATGGAACTAAGGCCGAGAATGCTCAAAGACTGTCTCTTGGAAGACTCCAATTCCTGTTCATCAAACGGCTTCAAATCGATTCCCAGACGGCCTCCTCTCGGCACATTTCTCATGATACCGAAGAGAAAACAATTCAGTGCATTGCAGGCTATGATTAACGCCGTCAAGAACATCCGTTCCAACGCTGTTAAATCCACTCCGTTCTTGCCAAGAAGCCTCTCTCGCCGGTCACCATCCAAGAACAAAGTAGAAAACCAAGCAAGCGTCACCACCATCGTGCGAGTCAAAGACATCGTACGGTGGAGATCCTCCAAGGACCTGCATGAAGACATATCACATTTCGAACCGTCTCCACCTCATCAGAACACAGCCAAGACAATGACAACAACAACAACAACAAGATCCTCCTCCACAAGCAGCAGCACATCCGGTAGCAGTTGGTGTGACTCGGATTATACTTCGGAGTTTTTACCGTCATCATCATGGGGAGGTAACGTCAAGGAGTGCAGTGAAAACAAACTACAAAGTGTCGGCGAAGATTCTTGCACAGCAGTAATAACAGACGCCGACACTGACGTGGGACCTGAGGTATGAATACTATAATATTCAGAGAAATAGAAACATTAAAACTAATCACATAGTTTACCTACTACATGCATAACTTAAATAAGAAAACAGAATCAAATCAGTATTAAGAAACAAATAAAGTGATTTGAGATCTTATGGTTGACTTTGCTTCAACCGTACGGTCGCTCATGTTGTCTCTAAATGCACGTGCAGCTGTTCGGTAATCTAATTTCACATGAAGACAAAACGGAAGCTGTCTTTGTCTTTGGTAGATATACAGAATAGTATCTACCAATTAGTGGAATAGTTCTTATAAGAGTAGCTCTGAAACTATAGGCCTTTAATAAACTCACTATACAAGTAATAGTTGGTTTATTTGGACTAATATGCAATGATCATGGTCAGGATGACTTACAAAACAGCCCTGTCTCCGTTCTTGAGATTCAAGATGACGAATTATCAGACTCTTCTTTCAGTCAATGCCTTGACAATGTGGAAAGTGAGTATAGATGTCCTTCCTTCATTTCAATCAAAGCAAGTCTTTTTTAGACCTCAAAAGTGTTGAAACAAATGTTATGTGTAATGATTTTGGCAGGAACAAAGGAAAAGCTCATGCAAACGATCCAACGGTTTGAGAATTTGGCCAATATTAGTACCTTCAATTTGGACGAATGGGTCCAAACGGATGAAGAATCTTGCATGGAAGGAAGAAGAGACACAGATAATCAATATGATGATGAAGTGGCTGATGAGGTGGAAGAGAAGGCATCGCAGCTATGGAACCGAGTGAAAGAAAGACACGCGATTTGGATCCACGAAGAACATCTGATAATGGACTATTTCAGAGATGAATTGATGCAAAGGACAGAGGGAGATGAACACTTTGAGGACCAATTGGTGGGAGAGGCAAAAGGATGGTTACAGGGGAAGAGAGTATCAGAGTTTGAACACGGAACACGTGAGCAGAGGAGACAAGCATGTGCTCGAGAAATTGAAAGACGAGAGTGGAATGAGAAACGGATGAAGGAGGAGCGGGAAGAGGTGGCTTTGCAGATTGAGGATGGACTGTTTAACTTTTTAATGAATGAAACTTTCACTGAGCTCTCTACCAATTGCTGATTCCAATCACCTGAATAGAGGCAACAAGCAGATGAAATAAGTAGGCAAAAACAATTTTGATTAGGGCTTGTGTTGTGTCGTCGCTTTCCTCACTCTCTGTTTTGCTTTTACCCTAACTTGTATCCCAAGTTAACAATCGCTTCTTTTTACGTACATAATTGTTGGTCGAAGATGAGCATACGCAACATAACGATATGTTAATTCTATAGTTGTTTAAGATCATAAACAAGTAAGTGCGTCACTGGTCACCACAATAATCTGGAATCTTTGTTGCATGAATTCAAGATAAGGTGTGGATTGTACAAACTATATATATTCTTCCCTGAAGATGAGATGAATAATTCTTATCAATCTTGAATCTCTATAGCGTGAAATTCACGATGTGTGTTTTGGTTCGATTCGATAAATGTTGGGGTCCAAACAGAGACATAAGAAAAACATTATCTTGGCTCTTGTCCTGTAATGTCTACTATATATATAGCTATTTACTTACATCCTCAAATAGATATATAGCCTTCAACCAAAGAAATAACCATTTGCATCTTGTTACAACAATGTCACGACCAATACCCATTGAAGGTAAGAAGAAATACAATTATCTTTCTTATCATATCATCAGTTCCAAATTATAATTTGTTTCTTCTTTTCCTTTTCACAGAAATGGTGGAAACTTTCAAAAGAAATCACAAAACATCTCACTTGTTCAAGATAGACAACTTCTCTTTACTCAAGAAGCACCAAATCCAAAGAGTCGAATCCTCTGTTTTCTATATCGGTGGTCACAAATGGTGATCTTTCTTCTTCTTATGCTTTTGACAAATTTCAAATGACATTACTCCATGTTCATTATCTTGGTGTATGAAATCAGGAAAATCATTGTGTACCCAAATGGGATTAATAAGAATGCAAATGGTTATGTCTCCGTATTCTTAGAGAATAGTGAATGTTGAGCTCGAATATCAGGTCTATGTCGTCAGTCAGCTAATCCCACAATGGCACCCCAAGAAAAACGGTCTCTTTCTCTCTCCATCTCTTTCATACTATAAATACTAAGATTTGATGTTGATGTGTCATGTGTGTGCAGTAAAATGGAACTTTGAACCATCATCAACACCGTTATGGAAAGGATTTTCAAAACTGATGTCACTTGCTGATCTTGAGAGCAAAGGTTTCCTTATTGGAGATTGTTGTATGTTTGGTGCCACTCTTGTTGGTGTTGAACCTGGTCCACACGGAACAGCCGAATGTTTTAGCTTGATTGAGAAGCCTCTCAACCACAGAGTCACTTGGTTGATGACCAAGTTCTCGTCGTTCGAGCCTGGAGAGATTCATTACTCTAATGAATTTGTCGTTGGAAACCGAAAATGGTGATCAATTTCTAACTTTTTTTTGTCTTATTCAAGAAAGTCATTTTACACAAGTTAATGCATCATCACACTGAAGAAGTTTTGTATATATGTTGTGTGAGTGTTGTTTGATCAGGAGAATTAAAGTTCAGGAAAAACACAAATCGTTTTCTGTGTATCTATCCGGAGAAGGGTTTATCAACGATGCGCGAAAGACAAAAACTTTCGCCAAATTTAAGCTGCGGGTATTGGATCAAACTAAACAGAAACATATTGAGAAAACAGGTAAATGGTTTTTGTTTTGAGCAATCTTTACGAGTTAGCTAACTTTAAAAAAAAGTTTTCGAGATGTTTAAATCACATTTTTGGGTTTTTGTAGAATCGGATTGGGTTGATGAGGAACCTGGTGACAAGAATGGCTTTGAGGATTTCATGCCTCTGTCGAAACTTGGTGAACCTTATTTGGTTAATGATAAGCTTTATGTTGGAGTTGACTTCGAAGTCATTTCTATGACTAAAGATTGTTAGCTACACATAATTAGGCTCTAATAAATCTGATATGAACATGACTGCTTCTGCAAAAAACAGCTCAAAAGGTTGTTCATTTCTTTTCAATTTGCTCAGGAATGTTTTTCATATTACAGACATCATCAAACTTATCAGAGAGATTCGATAACAATAAAACAGAGCAAAGCAAAACACGCAATGATACGATGAGTTTCTTTTTTTTTTGGGATCTTTCTCTCATCAGTCTTGAGGATTGAACTTGACTGTTTCACGATAAATAAGCTCCTTAATGTTCTCTTCTGACAAAGAAGGTTGCTCGAAGTCGAAATTGAACGGCCTCACACACACCGGTTCCTCGTTTATATCGTGCAGCGGCGCCAAATATGGGTGGCACAACGCCTCATCCACTACACACCAGACAGACAAAAACAAAAACTTGTTCAGAACCAAAATGATAAAGCAAGAGACGAAGAAGAAGGTATATATAAGAGACTAAACTCACCTGTGATGCGCCTGCTTGGATCAAAGACGAGCATCTTCTCCAGCAAATCGACTGCACCAGCTGACATGTTCGGGAATCTAGCAGCAAAGTTCTGTCTCGGGTACTGCGGAAGCTGTCTAACGTATCTTCTCGCGTTGTCACTCCTTAAGAATCCCAAGCTTGTATCATCAGGCGATCCTATAAGCTGTACTTTCAAAGATTCATGAACACAATGCAGTCAGAAGAAACACAATGGACAGTGAGACACCACAAAGATTCAAAAAGAGGATTATGATTAATTACCTCAGTGATGAGTCTAAGTTGATGAACATAATCTTTACCGGGAAACAACGGCTCTCTTGTCATTGTTTCACCGAGTATACAACCAACAGACCAAATATCGATCGCTGCTGTGTACTCTGAGCAGTTAAGAAGCAACTCTGGAGCTCTGTACCAACGTGTAACAACGTATTCAGTCATGAAGTCTGTCTCAGATTTGGTCCTCGCAAGCCCGAAATCCCCAAGCTTTAGATCACAATTTGCATTCAGGAGCAAATTGCTCGGTTTCAAATCTCGATGTAATACATTCGCAGAGTGAACGTACTTGAGCCCACGCAACAACTGATACAAGAAGAACTGCAGAAAACACACAAAATCATCGAAACTAATGACTAAACATAACATAAGAATGTTTTCTGCATTCTAGGCATATCTAACTTTGAAGTCTCAAAGAAATACTGAATCTAACTGTTATTTTGATCAACTTTGATTCCCCTGAAACCAAGTAACTTCTAAACTAGAAAGAGAAGATTCATCTGCTACTATATATAAGCAAAGATGGTGGTTGATGAATACCCGGCAATGATCATCGGTTAAAGGTTGGTTTGAGCGTATGATTTGGTGGAGATCAGTGTCCATTAGCTCATAAACAATGTAAACATCATTGAAGTTCTCTCTCTGCGGTGGTCTTATGATATCCTTTACAGCAATAACCTGCGCAAAATCAAGATCCAAAACAACATAAGATTCACAAGAAAAGGATATTGCAGATAAGGAAAAAATCCAGAGATTCATTTGAGATGGTACATTTTCATGATCCATATGCTTGAGAAGCTTAATCTCTCTGAGAGTTCTTTTGGCGTCGATAATGTTGTCAAAAGCATTACCGATCTTCTTGATTGCTACTTCCTCTCCAGTCTCTGAGTTCGTAGCAGCACTGATTTCAAAACGAAGAAACAGACACCAAATATGAGAAAACGTTGCTTCGAATTGAGAAATGACCAGTGAGCTCCAAAAACCCTAATCCACATCTTCGATAGACTGAGTACGATCATCGAATACATTGGATACTAAGAACAATCCCCAACAAAGTAAATCGAATTCCCATCAGTTCATGAAGATCGGCGACATATCGAAGAAACCCAAAAGTTCACAAACCGAGTGAAATCAAAAGTTTCTATGCACAAATCCGGAAACAAATCGAGGAAAATTTCCCGAGAATAGAGCAATCTAAGTAAGAAGAAAGCTCATAAAACCCTATGGAAAAGGAAAACAAGTAAAAACAAAACAATCGGATTTATCCAATTCGAGAAAACTCACCAGACGATGCCATAAGCGCCTCTACCGATCGGGCGAAGAGGAGGAACATACTTTCTAGAAACTTCGAAGAGATTTCCATAGACATTATACTGGACATAGCTACCACCATGAGTAGGCAATCCTTTGCTGCTTTGATCACCCGAACCACCGAAACAAGTCTCCGCCGACATATCTCACCAGTAAAACCTTAAGAAATCGGAGTCAATCCAACAAAAAAAACGAAGAATCCAAGTCACACGACGCACAGAGAAATTGAGGGAAAGAGAGAAGAAGCTCAAAAGGGAAGAAAATGGAGGAAATGGAGGAGATGGGTGCGTGTGAATGTTGACATTTCTCCAAATACGTGTTGATTTGGACCTTTTTGAACGGCAAATGAGAAGGCTCCTCTCTCGGGCGACCCGTGATCCTAAACGGGTTTTCGTCTTCTTCTTCGTTTTTTTTCTTTGTTAAGTCAATTTCAATTTGTTTTTTCTAGCTTTATAATTTTTTTAGATATCCTATGATTTAAGATACCTATGATTTATTCAATTCTCTTAGAATGAGAGAAGTATATTACATCATGCGGGAATGTTCTTGATTAGCGTATAATAGAGACCAAAACTTTTCTCCAATCAGTATTTGAGTACGACTTGGTATACAGGTATACAAGTCAATGTCGGTTTCTCAGTCAATGGCTGCCAAATGTCTTTGACAATAAAACTAGTGACATTTTGATTCCATAATGATTTCTGAGAGAGATAAAAATTACTAATGGTTTTCTGTTTAAACCATTATTATCCAAAATGAAATTATTTTCTAAAATTTTGATTCATTGGTTATCAATAGCTTGTATACATGTTCATATGACTTTGAAGTATTTTATTTCCTTTTGAAATCTCTATTTTATCAGCAATTTTTACAACTGAAACAAGAAAGAAAGTAGATGTTATATTCACAAACAAGTCTTAACATTTTTTAAGTTTGATCATCGGCAACGTCACTTGCTGCAACTCTTGTGCGTATTTGGTCCATAGACTCTCAAACAATGCGTCACGAGCAGATATCACTATCTTCAGCAAGCAATGTGTTTCCTTGGAGACAAGATCAAACCTCTCACAAAGTTCCATCACTGATTTCTTCAGTGGCTCCACAACCGAAACAGGAACCGACCCTTCTTGGACCTCTCTATAAAGCTTCTTCACACCGGACTCAACAGCCTCGAGATCTTTTATAACCGTGAATCTCTCTGACAAGAACATGTTCTTCATCACCGGGTTAATGGAGTTCTGCAGTTCCATGAAAGCTTGTGCCCATGGAAGCTCCTCCATCTCCTTTGGAATGGTTAGATATAAGAGACTCTTCGAAGATCCCGAAAACGCAGCAGCGAACACTCCGAATATGTACAAAGTCTTGACCTTTACACCGTACAGAGCTCTCAAGAGAACTTTTCCTTTAGCAGATTGCTTCTTCTTCTTCTTCGCCTTCATCGATTCAACAAGGCTACTCAAAACCGAACCGCAGTTTTCGATCCTCGGGTTCTTGGAAACCATGTGCTGCCTCCAACCGTCGAGATGCAATAACGAAGATTCCTTGTTTGTCTCCAGCTTACTAAGAGCAAACTTGAGCAAGAGATTGCCATGGTTGAGACGGTCGAGCTCTGAAGTGAAGGCATTGCAGAGGTCAAGACTCTTCAAGCTAACGTCCGAGTACACGTGAATCAAATTCTCCTCCAAATCCGATACAGGGAGCTCTAGATCCTTCACGAGCAATCCGATACTCTTGTGTGTCTCGCAAAGAGACTCCATGGCTTGACTCATCCAGGAAACAGTGACGATATCGTTCTCATCCTTTGGTATTAGCTCTCTGATCGATACAGTGAGATCTGTCTCGAACTTGCTAAGTAGTGAGAGAAGCTTTGGCGATAAATTGCGCGCATTTGGAAACAGGATCTTGAAAGGGTTTTTAAAGCGGAAGAACACGCGTTGAGAATCTTGTATACGACTGCTCATATTATTAACTGAAAACACACACAAAAGAAGAAGAACAAAGTTAGTCATCATTACTTGTAAATCTGAATCCAAATTAAAATTGCTCATTGTTACCGATTAATATCCCCAAAACGAAAAAACAAACCTAGAGAAAGAGATTCTTCGGTATTGTTACCGATTGCTACAAAATTGGCCTCAAAGAACTTCAGAAACGGAAGAAATGAAGGGAGAAAAAGAAAACTAATTTATAATCACCAAACTCTTTGAAGTGAAATTAACAGGAAGAGCAAGCGAAGAAAGGTATAAATTGGAGATGAAATGAGTGTTCATACCGAGTTAAAGTGAAGGGATTCGAAATCTCGAGGAAGCTCAAAACGTTGAAACGCGTTCTTTATAGAAGGGAATCAAACAAACAAACTTGCCGTGTTCTGCAGATGAACGCAACCACGAAGAAAACACTCTTTGAGTCCCACGTTTAGGTTTGGGGCTAGTTGTAAAGCAGTGTACAGTTAGTTTCAGCTACGCGGTCGGAAAAGGATGAACACGTGTACGGCTGTGATGTCTCAGCTGTAGCAGATCTTTCACTCAATCGTCGTCACTTGTCTTTTGACTCTGCACGGATCCCAAAGAATAAATAAAGTGTCGGAATAACCGCCGGATTTCATTCAATCCAACGGCTAGAAACTTCTGGTTTCCTCCTGAAACAATTAATATTAAATTCGGGGTATATTCGTCAAAGCAAACCAACATATTTTCTGGGCCGTGTTGGGATTTTTGTGGAAAGCCTAAAACCATCCGATGCAAGTATACACAGTCATCGCTACAATTCGAATTGGATCAGTTGGGTGAGAAGATAAACTCCAAGTACATATTTCATATTCAATATCTATTTACTCAATAATGTAATGTAACAGCTAAGGAATATACATATGAGTCCAAACCGCAAATCGCTGAAAGCGACCATGACGTTGATCGATCGGTCGATATGTCTGAAGATAACTCCGATCATCTTATGTTGAAAACAACAGTCAGCTAGGTTGGTCCACAGTCCAAACATATCTAACCAAATTATAATCATTACGTATTGACATATCTGCAACTTTGACAACAAAATATTCTTCAGCAAAATGATTAAAGCTAACTTTTGGGTGTGTATATATATATACAGAGAAAATAAGCCTAATAAAAGGGGATCAAATTAATATATGTCACACATAATTAAAACCAAACAAAATTTGAAAAATTAATTACACCGTCTACACATTTATCTTCGGTCTTTTGAACTTTCAATTTCGCTGGTCTCAGCCGCAGTCGCTGAAACCGCGGTCTGTGGCTGGTTATAATCGCGGCTTGCATGCTCCCTCGTGGCTCGTCGTTCCTGCTAAAACATATACCGTGAGCAAAACAGACGATTAACTTCAATGTCAAATGTTCATTTCAGTATAGACTACTTACGTCGCGATAGAACAAGTCTTCAGCTTCAAGCATGTGTATAATATGACCCATTTTAGGTCTCTTACTCGCATCTGGATCAACACAACGCAACGCAACGAGCAAAACGCGTTTAAGAGCCTTTGAAGAAGGTGGTTCGGATATTTTTGGATCGATTACTTCCTCTGACCTTCGGCTCCCAACCATTGATTTCAGCCATTCAACCAAATTCACCTAACAAAACGAAACAAATCAAGAACCGATATAACGGTTTTGAAACCTTAAGTTTACACATGATTTTATATTATTTTTACCTCTCCTTGAGGTCGACTATAATCGACAGGGTTTCTTCCAGTGATTAACTCCATAATCAATATCCCGAAACTATAGATATCACTTTTTTCATTCAGCATTCCGGTGCAAGCATATTCAGGCGCGACATAACTGCATAAGAAACCAATACAAGAAAAAGTTCAAATGTTTTTCAAGAATTTGAAATCCTAAAGATTATTCAAACTATACATACAATCTTTATTATGCAAGCTAAACCAACTAACCCGAAAGTTCCCATGACACGGGTTGTCACGTAACTGCTCTCGGCGAACAAGAGCTTAGCGAGTCCAAAATCCGATACCTTAGCATTCCATTGACGATCAAGCAAGATATTACTCGATTTTATGTCCCGGTGAACCACTTTCGGTTCAAGACCCTCGTGTAGATAAGCCAATCTGCAAGAATATCAACAAAGAAATTAATTACATATAGAAACAAAAAATGAAATTTATCAATTCATGGTCTCGGGAGTGTACGTACCCTTTTGCCATGCCGAGTATTATGTTCATACGGATATCCCAAGTTAGAGGACTTTTGTCACCAACATCACCATGAATCCACTGCTCTAAGTTGCCATTATCTACGTAGTCATACACTAGCATCCTAATTTTCCCATGAGCAAGTCCAAAAGCATTAGTTACCACAACATAATACACCGAGTTAGTGAAGTTTGTGTCAAGCATGTTTCTTTCTTTACCTGTATGCACCTTCGACACAATACCCTAAAAGCCTAACGAGATTCTTATGCCGTACACGCCCTATCGCTTCCACTTCCACTCTAAACTCCTTCTCCGCTTGACCCCTGCAACATCAAAACACAAGGGACCAATTATGACACCATGATCTACTTTAAAATCAGTGAGAAACAACAAACACAAACAACTTCAAGGTCCCAGGACCACATTTTTCCCTAAATAAAATACTCACAAACCAACTAAAATCCAGAACCCATCAAAGGACAAAGAACACTAAATCATACAGACACAATCCAACTGTTTATATTGCAAAACAAATGGTATAATTAATCAGACACGATCCTTTAAAACGAAAATTACATCAAACCCAAATGATATTGACAATTCAAAATTTCAAGAATTGTTAAAAAAAGAAAATCAGAGCTTTTTCAAGTACCTGTTATTAAGCAGATTCTTGACAGCGACTTTAGTTCCATCTGTTAAAATCCCACGATAAACAATCCCATAACCTCCTTCTCCGATCACATTCTCTTCACATAACCCATTCGTCGCCGCTTCGAGCTCCCTCAGAGTATACCACCTTCCCCATCCGAGATGCGAAACCTCCGGTCCCACGCAAACACTCCCCGCATACGACGCCGTTTCACTAGCACTCACTGTTCCTCTGCTTTCACCGCTCGAGGCCCGATCCGAAAAAACCACACGGTGCTCGACCTTCCCGATATCGACTTGGATCTCCCCCGCAACGGACTGCGTCGGATGGTAATGATCCCGCGCCGGAGGACGGACGATCTCCTGAATCTCTTTGGAAACCGGCGGCGTTGCGATGGCGGCGGATGCGAAATCCGCGTGACGTGGCTTGCGGTTTCTCCGGCGAGAGGTTAAGCAGAGAGAGAGGAAGAAGAGAGCGATGACTATCAGAGATCCTAGTAAAATTCCGATGACGACCCAAAGCTTGAGGCCGAAGATTGACGTTGGTTTCGATAGCTCGGAATTGATTGTATCGGGATTGAAAATTGTAATCGTCATGATATTTTTCCCCTGCTTATGAGTTTTTGATTCTTTCGCATTTCAAGCCTGAAAAGAATAAGCTTTTCCGGCGAATCAATGGTTGATCACTGTTGCATGTGGCTTGGCTTTAGAATAATGACGAAAAAACAGAGATGGAGAAGAAAGAATCGAATAGAATCAAAAACAGGGAACTGAGTAGAATCAAAGAGACGAATAAAGAAATAAATCGAATAATTATTAAAATAATTAAATAAATTTACACAAAAATTCTCTCAGTGTCTGTGTCTCCTTCGTATGAGCTGTCTGATTTCTTCTCTCTCTGTATCTATCTGCATGTGGTGATGGCGAGTGGATATCGATAGAATGACGAGTTTACCCTTTTACGTTTGATGAAATGTAGTAGTGGTACCTAGTACCTACATATCCCTCGAGGGGTTTACGTGTAATAAAAACAAACGACGAGGTGACGGAGAGATAACGGTTAAGTCTTGTACGCTCTCGTGGAGTCCCCACTTGAATGCCGTCGTTTTTCTTTTGCCCTTTTGTTTGTGTTTTCTTCCTGCTCTACAATTATCACTATTCACACTACACTAGAACAAATTTAGATCCCTTGTTAACTTAACCGGTTTAACTAAAATAATGCAAGTTCTCTTTCGTACAGTATGTTTTTTTTGTTGTTGTATTTGTAATGTAATCAAATTATTATTGGCACTAATTAGTACACACAACCTAACACAGTAACACTACAAGTAGTTTTTCGAGATAGGGAATCACTTTGCTTTTACCGAAGAGACTAGAGAGTGCATTAATAACATTTGTTTGTTAGTGTATAAAGATTTCGAATTAGAAGAGTACATGTGTTTATGTATTAAATGCCTATCTTGTTCAGCTATGAACTTCTGATATATAATCCGTGTGTACTTCTATATACATGTAATATTTTTGATAGATAGTCTAGATAAGGACGAGGTGGAAATGAGAGACAATGGCCAGATCAGCATTCCATTTGACAAAAAGAGAGAATTTTGTTCTTTTTTCTTTACTAATTAAGGGGATCACTTTACTCAATTTTTAATTAACTGCGTCCCATCATGATCTTAAGGATTGTCTGATCTTCTTTTTTTAAGTTATTTTTCAAATTCCGTGTCCATATCAAGACGAAAAGATAAAACTATATGCTAAATCTTAATTTAATGGTCTGCTTGGAACCTTGTGAATAGACAGACTATACCCAAAAACAAAATTCTGAAATTAGAAATCTGATTATTTAAACCAATGAATTAGTGGACTAATCCAAATTTAAGGAGGGTTGCTTTAAAAGGCAATAAAAGTATGGGAATAGAATAAAGAAAAAGACAAGGTTGGGGGGAAAAGAGAAACCCATTATTGCACCATCATAGCAAGAAATGTATCATTTTCATAATTTTTCTTTTTGTGATTCATATTGCAAAAATGGTTGATAATAGTAATATCCGCAATGATCATATCTATCAGTGAGTGATTCCATTTGAAGTAAACAAATGCAAAACCGACTGCGCAAATTAGAAAAACAGACAAAGAATGGTTTTTTCACTTTTTTGTTCTCTTTTTTTGTTTCCACCTAATAGTCAAAACATACGGAGCGTAAGAGTTTCATCGAACCGTACAACAGACAAAGATTATACGGACTTAATCGGTCTTCTTGTCTTGTCCATCAATGGCTCGAAGCCTTTCAACGAGAGGAGGGTGTGAGTAGTGATAAGCTGAGTACAACGGATCAGTGTTCATTGCTGATAAGTTCTCCTCCTGCAAAATCCCAAACAAAATAAAAACCATTAAAGCATGACACAAATTTTGAGGAAACAAAAGTCAATGTTTTTGTCTTCTCTCACCTGTAGCTTCACTAGAGCAGGACGAAGATCTTTTGCATAACCGAGCTTCACAGCAAAAGCATCAGCCTGCAAACGAACGTTAACTCAGATTTAGTAGATGAGACAGTCATTGAAAAGAAATAAACTTTACTTAGATCTTGAGAGACTGTAACATTTTACCTGAAACTCAAATGCTCGACTAACGAGGTTGAGGCCAAAGCTTACTAGATGTTGAAGTGGTATCACAGTGTGCTGTGAGAATCAGACACGAGATATCAGATTTGTTATTTGTGAAATCCCTCTCTATTCAAGAGTTTAGTGCCCAAAACCAAAACATAACAAACCTGAAATATGATCAAACCAATAAGGACTGGTTGTGTATCAAATCCAAAACTCCTGAAGAGATCAGTTGAGTTTCTGACAAGCGTGTATCCTCCGAATTGCAAGAAGGCAAGGATCTGCGATAAAAAAACATGGAGAGAGCGCTACATAAGACATGGTTACACAGGTGGAATGAAGATATGAGTCAATAAGTTTTAGACGGTTGTTACTCACTTGTACTGCAATGAACGAATACGTAGTATGATTCAGCTTCCAGTGTCCAAGCTCGTGTGCAATAACTGCCACAATTTCATCCTCATTCTTGCACTGCACAAGGAAAAGATAAAATTATGTTTTAGAAACCAGAACCTAATTGCGAGTATAGCTTTTGCATGAAGCATCAAGAGTCATGGTACCTGCTGAATCAATGTGTCATAAAGAACGATCCTTTTGTTCTTGAAGAAACCATACATGTAAGCCTGTAAGGTGTAACAAGAACCATGAGCAAATCCAGAAATATAGGCATAAAGAGATCTCAAGCGTTTAAATCCTCACATTGCTATGGCTTGACCTTGTAGATCCGTCAACAACAAAAAGCTTCTTCAGAGGAAACTTTAGAGAAGAAGCAAGTTTCTCAATTTTCTCTCGGAGGTCTCCATCTGGAAGCTATACCCAAATATAAAGGAAAATTTAGTTGTCTGATATATAACATAGTGCAAAATATCGCTGGCCAAGACAGAACTACTTACAGGAGTGAACTTGTTGAAAAGAGGTGCAATCAAAACAGGGTATATAGTCATCATCACGAGAGACAGGATGAACATGAATGCCCACAGGTAGATGGCAAGGTAAGGACCTCCTTTCTGGAAAAATAAGAAGATCAAAACCTTAAACACAAAAGCTAAAAACTTTGAAGCTTACATTCATTAGACAACAGAATCGCCAAACCTGAACTATAACGATTATTGCGGTAACAATAGGTGGGGCTAGTATGACAGAGAGGAGTATTCCTTTGACCATGTCCCTAATGAACATCCATATTGTTTGCTGCATACAGAGTTTATAAGCAAATTTAAATCCACACATGTAATAAAGAAAAGCCTAAAACACAAGGTAGTGTTGGAAATGAGACATACTTTGTTGAACCCATGCCGAGACTCAATTACGAAAGTTGAGTATAAAGAAAATGGCAAATCAGTGATCTGCATCAGAATTTCAAAGAAAACATATTAGCTTCAAATATAGGTATCTTGCAATCGTAAATGTATAAGACAATATGAAGGGGTTAGTTTGAACAACCTGTGACCATGTCATAACACCAGCCAAGAATGAAAGAGTGTGATATATCTCATTCTCTGGATTGAGTCCCACCATGAGTAGAAAACCTCCAGATATCTGCAGGAAAAGTGAAAATTTACAATTTACCATAATACAAATGTATTAAAAAAAAAAGGAGATGCTCAAATAATGAAATCAATTGTATACCTTCCAAAACCAAGGCAAGATCCCAAAGAACAAAATCGCAGAGTCCATAAGTATAGTCACAAACTCATGAACAAAGTGGAAATGGCTGTAAAATGAAACACTCTCAGTGAGTATAGCGTTACCAGTTATGAAAAACTAACATCTATGAATAAGAAGAAACTAATTAAGACAAAAACCTTTTGTCAAGACTGTATGCTCGAGATTTCTCAAACTTCTCTTGGCTAATCACTCCAACCAAGGTTTTCGGGAGAGTTGGAAGCTTGATAGCAGTGTGTTGCCTCAGATCCAAATATGTCTCAAAAATGTACATCACTATCATAAAACCTGAAAGAACAGGACAATGAATTTTTAATATGATATCAAAAGCCACAACAGATACTCCATCACTTAAAACCTCAATGATATCTCTCCTCTTATACTTTTGGATCAAAATGCTATTCATATGTTTTAGTAAAGTTTGCATATTTATGCGCCTAGCCCTCTGTGTGTATAGATTTGACGGCGAAAATTCAAAGATTCTCAATTTCTAATCGGTAATGAGGAAAAAGACTAGATTTTCTTCATCAAACCCTAAAATTTGTTGAACAGATAAGCAAATAAGACTCCGTACACAGTATTAGGAGGATGAGATGATATCACGAGACCTCAGATCAAACGTACGTGTACGATGAAACAACAGTTCGATTAAATAAAACCTAAGATCAATACACACAATATGTAAACATATTTAAATATAGAAACGAGAAAGCAGAGATGATGGCGTGAGAAACCAGTCACGGATTCTCAACACACAGAATAGAAAGTAAAATGAATGTTATTGCAATCGAATGAAAGGCGACGAGTGAACGAGTGAGAGTAGAGAGTAGAGAGTAGAGTGTCTCCGAGAAGGTTATGAAGCTTACCAACGACGGTTTCCATGTAAGGAATCGCCATGGCTGACCAAACGATTGACCTTAGCCGCGAAGCGAAAGAGAAGGAAATCGAAAGAGAGAAGAGAGGTTTTTGGGTCTCGGGTCGGTGTGGTGAGAGAGACTAATGTAAATGCAAAATGACGAAATACGGGTACGGGTTATAACCCGAATTACACGAAAGAGTTTGGGCTGAACTTTAGGCCCATATTACACTAGCCCCTCTATTTTATTTTAATTCTCTTGTGACCCTATGATATATCTTTACAACTACTAGAAACCCCTAAATTTTGGGTATCTTAGCGGAAATGTTTCATTTTTATGAGGGCTAAAAGAGAAAATCCTTATCCTCAAACCATCAACAATTCGACTGAAATTAAAAAAAAAGCTGCCATTGTTTTCTGCAACTTTATCCACTTCGAGCCTCGGCCATGGCGTCTCCTTCGCTCCTACACTCTTCCGCTTCTTCGTTTCACGGCCGTTTTCCATCGCTAGCGGCTCCATCCTCCGCAAGGGTGCTCAGAAACTCAGTGGTCAAAGTCTCGGCGTCCGGAACTGTGCTCGTCGAGAAATCTGAGGCGGAGAAGACCAAGCGGCTCAAAACCGCTTACCTCGAGAGAATCATTCCTGCGCTCAAAGACGAGTTCAAGTACATTAATATTCACCAGGTAATCCCAAATCCTTCCCTATTCAACCCAATCTCTGAGCCCAAACATTGTTTTTGTTCTGCTGCTGTTCATGATGTTGTTGAAGTCGAATTCTCGGTGGATTTTGGATTTTTGGGGGAAATGTGGGGCTAGGTTTTGCGAATTTTCGTATCTAAAGACACTCTTAGGTTCGTATTCGTTTTCACATAATTTGTGAGGTTTTGGATCGATTCCCTCTGAAAAGGTAGTGAAGCTGCCTAAATTTAAGCTAGTTGTGCTTATAAAAGTGTTTCTCAGAAGATTCCGGTTGAAATTTTCGGTCTTGGTCCATATTTTCAAAATGAAAGTTTGATCATTTTGTGCTGTTTGAAAGTGCAATTTGAGATATGAATGCGAATTGTCATTCTTCTCTTTGATGATTGTGCTTGGACATCTTCTCTACCAGGTTCCAAAGGTTCAGAAGATTGTAGTGAATTGTGGTATTGGAGATGCAGCGCAGAACGACAAAGGTTTGGAGGCTGCAATGAAAGATATAGCGCTTATTACAGGGCAGAAACCGGTGAAGACACGAGCCAGAGCTTCCATTGCCACTTTCAAGATTAGGGAAGATCAACCGCTTGGGATTGCTGTCACTCTCAGAGGAGATGTGAGCTCTTTCCCCTTTGCTCTTGACTAATCCTACTGAGTTCTTTCATGTATTTGACATTTGTGATTTGACTCCTGTGACAGGTAATGTACTCGTTCTTGGATCGTCTTATCAATTTAGCCCTTCCAAGAACTCGAGATTTCCAAGGGGTGAGTCCCAGTAGCTTTGATGGGAACGGAAACTACAGCATTGGTGTGAAAGACCAAAGTGTATTTCCTGAAATCAGGTTAGTTCCATTGTATTGACCTTCAAAACCAAAACTACTAGCAAGTGCATGAAACTTTCTTATCCTTTCCTTTAGTTCAGTCTTTGGATACAAATGAACAACTAAACACTATGTTGGTTGGTTATGTTACATATAGATTTGATGCCATTGGAAAAGCAAGAGGAATGGATGTATGCATCAGCACTACAGCTAAAACCGATCAAGAAGGACAGAAGCTATTGGCTCTGATGGGAATGCCTTTCAGGGAAGGTGGCGGTGGTGGCAACCTAGGCGCGCCAATGCGGAAGAAGAAGCTAAAGGCTCATCATTTTGATGCTAAAGGAAAAGGAAAGGGAAAGAAATGAATATAACTGGCTTTTGAAGAAGAGATCTTCTTACATTGATCTGTGTTGTATGTATGGTCTTCGTTTCAGAAAGATAACAAGACTCTTTGTAATGTTTTTGTTACATGTTTTATTCCCTTGTCATGATAAAAGTATGAGTTAATTTGGAATTTTGGACGAGTCTCCTTCAGGGGTGAAATAATCAGAAGCAAAATATTTAAAGGGATTTCTGTAATTCTTGAAAGCTTGTGGGTATAGTTGTAATTATGCAAATTTAATGGATTTAGCGCGTGAAAAGCAGGCGCGTGGGCTGGCAATTTCCACCTTCCTCTTTGAGAGAAATCTCTCCCTCTCTCTCTCTTCATGTAAGACTTCGTTTTCTCTCTACGATCTTCTCTTTTTCGTCAATCGATCAAATACAGGAGGTCCGAAATTTCTTTCAGCAGATCGAAACTCTAGCTATTTTCTCCGTTCTCCTTCTCTGAGATATCCGCTTTGTTCTTTTCTATTTATCATTTTCCGATGGATTCTGGAATCCTTGTAATTCCCTCGTAGCGCTCAAAAAACCCTAGCTGTCGAAGACCTTAGGTTGGTGCTGGAAACGATAATTTGTTTCATTCAATCGAGATTTGAGGTTTTTTTGGTTTGTTGGGTGAGAATTGGGGTTCCTCAGAATCCGATGCGAGATTAGCCTTCTGACTTTAGGATGAGCTAGTTTTTTTGTTTTTTTAGCTGGAAGTTCTCTGGAGCTCTTACTAGTTCTGGGCGAAAATCTAGAAAGACAACTTCGATTTTCCGTCTCTGAATCTCACTGTACATATAGCTAGATCGTGACGACCTGATGAAGTTGCTGGTGGTGAATCGTGGGGTTCGTTTTTAAGTTTGGCTAGTTGGGATAATCCTTCCTTGCGTTTGATTTTAATATCATTGGTGGTTTTACTTGGGAGAGTCTAGAATACTTTGCGTTTTGGGGGAATTTACCAAAGAGAACTACAGTAGAGCAACTTGATAAGGCGTTGAGAGCAGATAGGGGTGGTTCGTGACCTTGAACAGCTAAGATCTTGTGTATCGACTGCTTGTATAATGAGTATAGCAGATGAACAACAATTTGCGATGGATCAACTTGTCGAAACCAATGATGAATCCAATAAGTAAGTGTACCTGTTCTTTCAATCATGTCTTTACTTTACTTTTCATCGTATGTTTTCAGCTCGCTGATGTAATTTTTGTTTGTGTTGAATCAGGACATCTAGGATTTCATACACGAGAAAGTTTCTTTTATCCTTGAGCGATAAGGATGTTTGCAAGAAGCTGCCAAATGTGCCCAGTGAATTTAATGATTTACTGTTGCGGTGAGCCCTCTCTATTCAACATTTTGTTTGGTTTGTATTTCTAAGAAGTGTATAAGTATGTTATCGCACTGTAGTGGTTTTATCAACTAAACTATGATGACTTGATCTGTACACTCCTTATTTGTGCAGTGACTCCGAAGATCCTTCACCGGAGCGACTGAGATTTTCTGGCGATTTCTCGTCTCACAGTTTGAGGCGGAATGACTATAGTTCATCACCTCCCACCAGGGGTGAATTAGGTAGTAACTCTCGAGGCATCCATGGAAGATGGGAAGGGCGCTCAGGTGGATGGAATGATAAAGATAGTGATTCAAACTCAGACCGGGACCCAGGTAGCCTGGGCTTAATCGCATCCCTTCTTTAAATGTTGCATGTGACATTACTACGAGGTCTACTAGCACTGTTTTTGCTCTTAACTTACGATTACAAATTACTTCTTTCTGCAAAAAAGGTGTTTTACAACTCTACTTTTTGCAAAAGTGAATGAGATGAAGGCTGCTTTTTTCTAGTGAACTTGAAAAGAATGCCATAGAATCTGAAACTTGAGAATTATATTTGATATGAAAATGCATATTTTGTAGCAGAGTCTGGAAGGCGATCTGGCATGCCAACTCGGAGGCCTTGGCAAGCACCGGAGCATGATGGACTTCTGGGGAAAGGTTCCTTCCCTAAGCCTTCTGGATTTGGTGCGGGACCATCTGGCCCCAGACCCCAATCTAATGACTCGTATCAGCTGAGTAGAAGCAATGAACCTTACCATCCTCCTCGCCCATACAAGGTTAAGTGTGCGCTTGTCTTTTGTAGCCATCTTGAATAGTCTTTAGTATTATTGATTGTTGATTGCTGCTCCACCATGTTGTTGAGTGTCATAAGCTGGTGTGCTTGAGTAAAGCTCAATTAGTTAAGGACACAAATTCCTAAACCTCTCCTGTACAATTATAGGCGCCACCTTTCACTCGGCGTGACACTAGAGACTCATTCAATGATGAGACATTTGGTTCTTCCGACTCTACAAGTGAAGATAGAGCAGAAGAAGAAAGAAAAAGAAGAGGTACGAGTTCGTGAACATTTTACAGTCTTATACATGCGTTTATTTTTCTGTCAATCTTTAATTGGCATTCTTGTCTCTCTGTCAGCTTCTTTTGAGTTGTTGAGGAAGGAACATCAAAAAGTATTCCAGGAGAGGCAAAAATCAAACCCAGACTTACGTAAAAACGACTTTGATTTTACTGAACTGCTTGGGGAGTCCAAAAATGAAAAAGAGCTTCCAAGTAGAGGCGATGAAGTCAATAATACTCCAACAGTTCCTGGTTCTAATAACCCCTCTTTTCCCTCTCAAAGTAACGCTCCCAGACCGCTTGTACCTCCTGGTTTTGCTAGCACAATTTTGGAAAGAAAGCAAGGGGAAAAACCTCAAGTAAGTCGTTATCTTTCTGAGATGCTCATCACTTACCTAGTATCTGTGTTCCATAAATTTTCATTTTTGTTTGCGTCTTGATTTTAAAACCTCTTAAGCCTAGTGAAATACCGGAAGAAAAATAATTGTTTAGGACACTTTGTAAAGAAAATGGAATCTTTTCACAAATTTAGGTGTGGCTTTCTTATAAAAATAGTCCCTTCAATTCCTGCTTTGTTGGGTGTATATGATCCAAGGCTTTGGTCGCTTGATCTATCACTTTTGACGGAGATCATTCACCTCCTGCTACTCAGTGTGGGTTGAAGTTTAAGTGTGTGGCCTTTTTCCTTCTTTTTAAAAATCTTTTCGTCCTAAATGTTTTGTTTGAATTTATACTGATTGGTAGTTTAATTTGCAAAATATTTTGTAAGTCCATCCACTGAATTTGGTCGAACCTGTTATTTACTGGTTATCACAACATTTGCAGACTGAAACTTCTCAACATGAGCGTGGTCCTTTGAATTCCAAAGGCATTAATATGGTGAATGGAATGTCTGTCACTAATGAAGAAAAACCGTTGGGATTTAGGAGAGGCTCAAGTGAGATGCTGGTAGAAGGTGAAGCTGTTTGTGTCTCCTCCACTGACAGAAGTGAACAGGCTGCTAATATCTCTTCAATTCTAGGAATATCTACAGATAACGTCTTTAAGGACAGAAGTTTTGAAAAGCTTTCCTCCATCTCAACTGCTGATGAAGCTCAGGGTTATCCTAGCAAAATTGAGCAAGCTGCAGTGACTTTGGACCCGAAGAAAAGCTTGGAGATTTCAGATGGACCATCAATTCTGGATAAGATCTTCAACACCGCTATAAATTTGACTAGTGGTGACTCCTCTAATATTTCTCAGGTGATTTTTTTTTTCCTATGTATTTCAATTAGCTCATTTTACCCTGAAACTTAAAATCCGACTCCCATGAATTCTCTTGCATTTATGCTGGGTCGAGATGGTGCATTATTTTTCCTGATGCAGTAGTAGCCTCCTCTAACCAGTCCTAAGTGAGGCTTGATTCCTATACGATGTGTTGATTCTAGTTTGAGTTTAGATAATCATAGTCTCTGTATTTTCTCTTACTGAGGAAACAATGGTCCGTGTGTTATATAAACAAAATTTAATGCTTTTTCCATCAGGAAAATTGACTGTTTCTTTGTGACATGATATGGTGTGCATGATTATACATATTCATTCATGTACTTTGCATATACATATATTCCTGGAGTTCGAAAAAACTCACTTGACCTGACAAATGTCCACATCATTGTAGAAAAATGTCGAAAAAGTAGAAGAAACAAGGAGCCCTCAGACTGTTAAATCTTCCAAGTTTGCACATCTATTTATTGAAGAAGGTAATCCCGCCAACAGTTATACTAGAATAGTAACGTTTTTCCATACAATGACAAGAATCTAACATCCTTTTTTTATATTTTATTGGTGCAGATAACAAGCCAGTCGAAGATCTCTCATCCAGCAAGCCACCAGGAGGCTTACTGTCACTACATCAAGGTGCAGATAAATTGCAAACCTTCGACACAAAAACCAAGGGTGAACTTTCCATGGATTTTCCTTTTCAAGGCCATGCCATCAAAAACACTGATCAGCTAAGCAACACTTCCGCAAGTAAATCAGTAACAGCTGTTCCGCCTGTTCTCACTTGTGAAGACCTTGAGCAGTCTATTCTGTCACAAGTCACTGAAAGCTATCATCCACCTCCACCGCAAGTTGACATCGACATTGGTGTTTCTTCAGTGAAGAAGACCAAACAGCGGAAAGCATCCGTCGATGACCAGGCTTCGCAGCACCTTCTTTCTTTATTGCAGAGAAGTGCAGACACAAAAATTCAAGATACGCAGCTACTTCCAATGACAGAGAGTAGACCATCACCACCACCTGTGAAACCAACTACAGCTGGAGAAGCAGATCCAGGGAAGTCTTTGACTCTTGAGAATCTGTTTGGGAGTGCTTTCATGAACGAACTGCAGTCAATCGGAGAACCAGTCTCAGGTAGAGCCATGGTTTCTGATGCGCCTGGTGTCCCGCTTCGATCTGCCAGGTCTATCGGTGAACTGAGCCAGAGAAACCAAATCAGACCTGACGGTCTCCCCGGAGGGCTACTAGGCCTTCCAGAAGATGGTAACTTACTTGCAGCTGGCGATGCTGCGAACCCACAAAAATACATGTTTTTTCCAGGAACTCATAATCAGGAGCCTGAAGCAACTTTCAACATCTCTGACAAGCTAGCTGCTTTAAACTCCGGTCCAAGGAACGAAAGACCAACAATGGGAGGTCAAGATGGTCAGTTTTTTCACCATCCGCAACAATACACGACCGACCCCGCTGCTCACTTGAATGGTTCAGGCCCAGGATTCCATCCGTTCGATTCTCGACATGCTCATGTAAAACCTTTCATGGGACCAGGAAACAACATCATTCCCCAACATCATGAACCTCCACCAAACCACCGGTTTCCACCAAACATGATTCATCGTCCACCTTTCCATCAATCAACAAACACTGGACTTCCGGAGTTTGATCGTCTTCCTCCGCATATGATGCAGAAGATGCATATGCAAGATAACCTGCAACAGCATCATCTAATGCATGGATTCCCCGGCGGTGGTCCACCTCGCCATCACTCTCCTCATGTAAACAACCAAATGTCGGGTCTCGTTCCCGACTTAAATCCATCACAAGGCTTTCCACTCGCTCATCGCCAGCCCAACTACGGTATGCCACCACCAGGTATAAGTGACATAAGATTAAGGAATCCATTTCCTATTTTATATCCTTTGAGTCTACTGCTCTAAGGGAAGCCTTAATACAACGTTCTGCCTCTTAAAATGGTTTCGTTTCGTGGCTTTTCAGGCTCTCAAGCCAACAGGGTTGATCATCCAGCTTCACTGCAGACACTCTTGGGGATTCACCAGAGGATGGACCCATCCAAGCAGATACCAGCAATGGGTCAAGCCGGTGGTCCTAATCGTCAGGGCTCTATGGGTCATGAACTCGACCTTGGCTTTGGCTACAGGTAGATTCCGCTCTGCCCACTATCTTAACACCCTAAGAGGTGTGTCTACCTAATAACACTCGAGTTGCTTTGTGATGTGCAAGTAATCAAATTACCATTTGTGAATTTTTATAAAAAAAAAAAGAAGAAGAAAAGGAACTCTTTTATCAGTTTATATGAACTCTCATTTTTCTTGCTGCTTTGTGATGTGTCGATGCTTTTAATTAACAGTACAGGTAGATTTTAATGAACTTTCAAGTCCATGTGATTGGGCATATTAAAGGGCTTGTCTCTAGCCTAAATACAATCACATGGGCCCGGTTCCGGACAATAACCAGTCTTAAAACTAGGACGGATTTGTACAGGGCGGAATAAAATATTATTACGGCATATAAGGATTCTGGAAGAAGAGGGTTAAGTACTAGGGTTTAGGGTTTAGGCAAATCGGGTTTTAGGGCAGATCAGGTTTTAGGGTAAATTAGGTTTTAGGGCTAAACCCTAAACCCTTATCTGCCCTAAAACCTGATTTACCCTAAACCCTTATCTGCCCTAAAACCTGGTTTGCTTAACCCTCTTACTTTTTATTCCGTGCTACTACTTACTCCTAAGTCTAACTCGTACTAGTTGTTTTCAATATTTCCCAAGATATTTGTTGTGGATTTAAATTTACTGATTCAAAAAAACAATAACGATTCCATTTAAACTCTTCATCTTAATTGGTCTCTCTAGCCATTTCCAATTTGAACTGCCTGGATGTGGCCCATAACCATATGAGACATGAAAATGGTGAGGGGAGCGTTAGGAGACATGTATTGCTTCTCACGTGGGATTACAGACAAACCATTGATATCCATTGGACTCTGTCTGTTTAATGAGTCTTTAACAAACATAAATCTCTTTCCCCTCAGATTCTCCCACATTCCAAAATAAAATGACGGATACAATTTTGCATTGTAAAAAAATAAGAACTCGTATAACTTCGTTACCCTTTCTTTTCAAAGCCTCAAACCAATACAAAAACAAAACAAATAACCTGCTAGTTTTCTGTATGTTATTATTATTCGACACAAGGTCATTGCCTTTTTCTTCAATATATAACAGTATCTCACTCTATCTCGAGTTTAAGAAAGAACATTTCTGCTGATTGCCGACTGCGACACCAATAATACAACTAAGCCCTAAATTCAAGATAGTTAGTTACAAACCGCTCCATTGCAGCTTATATACACATATATATATATACCTTATAATATACCTCTACAAAACCCTCTATTATCCACACAAACATAGGACAAATAAGCGCGCTTAAGTAAGACTTCAGAGACATAAAACCAGACCCCAGTCGTCGCCGCAATCGAATGATTAATTACATACCATGGATGAGTATTTCTAACTCTCACATAAGGTATATTGTTGTTTTTTCCAATCTCTATTTCAAGGCTTTTGAGCTGTATGATGATATCAACTTCCTCTGCATATCACAGCACCAAATAAGTAAAAGGCTTACTTGATTCCAAAGAGTGGCAATGAATGTATACTTACTTGTTCTGCAAACTCTGGACTTGTCAAATTTACAGACAAGTTTCTCATCAGTATAAGAACCTGATGTACCAAAAACAAAAAAAAAATACCAAATTAGCTTCTCTGTTTATGATCCAAAATGAAATTTTGAAGAAAGACACTAAGAAGAAACCGAGTCTGAAACGCGTGTCTGTCTCATACCGTTTCCATATTTATTGGATCCATCTGCTTTAATCTCTGGAGGTGACCAGATGTGTTGGGATCAAAGACGCTTCCAATGAAGCTGTATACTTCAGCAAAATTCGGCATCACTGCATTGAAACCGCCACAAAGCAACTCATTTCTCAACGCAAAAATATCAAATATGGATAGTCAAAAGAAACATAACCTAACACGAAAAACAATTCTTACCTCGATGTGGCTTTTCACAACTTTCTCCATCACTTGTCTCTGTCGCCGCCCGTAAAACTTCCTTCCGGAGAGCCATCGCCGAGACTCCTGGTTCCTCTACTATCACAAATCCATTGTTAGCACAATTTTACAGATAAAAGTAACTCAAACAATGATGTCACATTCACCTTCAGCCACTGGTTTTGGGGGATTTAATGAATCATGACTCCAAGAAGAAGAGCTAGAGGCACAAACAGCCTGGTTTCCCAGCAATGACTGTGGATCAGAGCTGTACAAGTAACCAGGTTCAAGCAACGGTGCATTTGAAGCTGGGAGGGACGTAAGAGCAACTGTAGCATAACAAAATCATCAGAGAGAATGATACAAAAAAGCAGATAAATGTACACACGAAGAAGAAGATGAGATTGACCATTTTTGGGAGCCTTTTGAGGATAAGGATGAGTCGCTTTCCTCTTTGGCCGAGGAGGTGGAAGATGTTCCTTAGCACCGCTCTTCTGAACCTTGAGAAAATATTTCTGTGCGTGGCTACGAATCTGTCAAAACATCATACATAACATAACATGTCAATGTGATTGTGAAAGCAAATAATCACTATGATTATTCCAATGATAAGATTGATAAATTTTCAATCACCTGCACCACTGTCTTTGATCCAACAAACGCCTCAATTTTCTTCCAATCTCGATCGAATCTGTCAATCGATTCATCAGCACGAGTTAATCCACCAATTTTGAATTTAGTTCATCACACCAACAATCACACCAACAAGCGATTGAAGATTTGTCGAACCGAAAAAAAAACTAGAGAAATCTCAAATACGTACAAGTGGAGAGCTTCTAGGAATTTATCGTGTTCATGCTCAGTCCAATTCTCTCTAGACTTTTTGATAGTGTAAGGCTTCCGAATATTCGTCGTCAAATCCTCAGAAAACGATTTCGCATTGCTCTCTCCGGTGACCGGCATCGTTGCAATCGGATTCAAACCAAATCCATCGGAGTCCGGCGCCGCCGAATTGATACCCGCGGGAACGAAAAATGGAAAATCCTGAGCAGGTCTGGGTCTGGGGTTTACAGACACCATAGATCGAGCTCGAAATCACACTTCGCTATTGCGTTACAGATTCGATACAGCTTTTTGCGTTTCGCAATTCTTCTTTCAAGTCCTTTCTCAGTCACAAATATATTTTTAGAGTTTTTGTGGCTTATAAATGGAGTGGGAAGAAGTGGAGAGTGAAGAGGGGTATAGCTGTAATTTGGCGAGGAAAACGTATTTTGGCTGGACACGTGTTAGGATATGGCTGGTTTAACTGGCTAGTGCCACTGACGCCGTTTAAAAGGTGCTAATCACTTTTAAGATCAACGGCTTAAAAGGTAGCGTGGAGACGATCGCAAAGACGGAGAGACTGACGTTTAGAGAGCCGTTAAAAGCTTCTAGCATTATCACGAATTGTCCAGTGTTATGCGGCAACGTGTACACGTTAAATCTATGTAAAGTATGTGTACACACAGTCACAGTATCAACTAAAACAGGTGTCCTTGCTTTTGAAAAAATTGAACACAGTATAAACTCTATAAATTAATAAAGTTGGGACTTGATTAATTTATAGAGTTATTAAATTATTGATCTTGAATAAAATAGTTGTTTTATTAAAAAAAAATATTAAATTAAATAAAAATAAGAAATTTTAAAAGTTTTTATATTTTGTATAGGTTCATTCTAAAATTAGGGATGAATTCTAAATATATTTGAGTTTTAGTAGAAAAGAAGTGAAAGTTATACTTATATTTTAGTATATTATCATATATATGTATTTACATAAAAGTTTGTTTATGGTAACTATTAATTTATGATATTAGTGGGACCATATATTTACATAGGAGTTTCAAAAATATTATTATCTTATTATTTTATCGAATTTTGCTAATTTTTACACTGGCCCGACTTGGGACCAAAGAAAATTATTATTTTATAGAGTTTATTAATTTATCGAGTATCAATTTATAGAGTTTCTACTGTATTGTGGAATGTGGATATAACAAAGCACAAAGCAACACAGTGAACATTACCAAAAAAAAAAAAAAACACAGTGAAATATGATTTAAGTCTTAAGATAATAAGATGTCATATTATAAGGCCACTAATGTAAGACGTGATTTAATTTTGGATTTTCCGCTGCATTGTAAGGCGTGTTGCATGCAATCTTTCATCTGCTTCATGGTAGAGAGGCTTTAAACGAATGTATATAGTACATGTGATTAGATCATATGGCTAAGAAGAGTTTGAAACCAAATACTTGGATGTAAAGAGTTTTTGGTGGCTTTGGTTTTGTTCTTTCTTTCCAAAAAGTGAAGATTATCATACAGACCTCGAAAAGTTAGCGAGTGGATTTTCCAAAAAAGTGTTCGATCTGCAGACACCCTTGAGACGACGAACCATTTGTTTTAGTTCCAATCTTGAATCTCTTACCACTTCCTGAGCTTGCATTAGCATTCTATGCAATAGAGATACAGCGACATTAGGATCTTGATATGAATGAAGTAACATAGTGTTTGCCTGAGAGGATTTGGAAACTGATGGATAAGAAGATGCAAAAAAAAACTCACAGAGAATTGTGGTTTAGATCTCAAAACTTTGATTCTTCCACCTTTACCATCAGGTCCAAAAGAGATGAGATCATCCTTGCCTGAGACATAAGGAGTCGCTTCGTTTCTCTCTCCTTGTTTGCTCCATCTTCTGATATTTTGATTTGACATCCAAATGTCTCCACCACCTGCATTGAGTTTTGTGAACAATCTTCAAATCTAACTACTACACTCCCCAACCTAAAATGATGATGTAACACAACAAAACTTACCATTGCTGTGAGGTGAGACTGATGATGTCAGGTCTTCTCTGATGTTAAACTTCAAATCCTTGGTCATGGGACTATCAAATTTCTCCTCAATAGTATTTTTACCCTCACTCTTCTGATCTTTCATATTAGAATCCGAATGTCTGATGCCAGAAATGGTGGTTTCAGGAACATCATCATCTACCTCGATAACCGACTCCGGTTTGCTAGAAAAAGAGTCTCGTGATCCATGATTAGTCAAGCCATCATTCTTCTTCTCTAGATTACCAAGTGGTGGTGTAGAGATTCTCTCCACAATGTTTTCTGATGGAGGCATTCTGAAAGAGAAGCTCTCGGTCGCAGGCTTGGAAACTTCTCTATCACTGCATCTCATTGAATCTCTTATATTCCTTAGAGCTCTGTTTTCACTCTCTTCACTTATTATCTCGAGTTCCCTCACTCGCTTCTGCTCATTTGAAATATGGATAAAACATGAGGTGGATAAAAGAAACAAGATAAGATCGAATGCCAGAACAGAGAGACGACAAAACCTTTAATTTATCAATCTTCTCCAAAGCTTTTTCAAGTCGCTCACTAGATCGAGCTTCGCCTCTCCCCAGCTGATTACACTTAGCTAGCAACTCCTTATAACTCCTGTCACAGAATGCAAGAACGTAAAGTGTCAAGAGACTTTCCCTCAACTTCTTGAAAAGTCAGCAATTTTGTATTTCGGTTTAAAAGCCTTGTAAGTGACTAGTGAGCAAACAAAATACTTTACTATGCAGGATATGACTGAAGGTGCGAAATACTTCAGTGACCTATGAAGATTGACAAATTTTGCTGCACTACTCTGCTGCTGACATGACTTATGAGATTATAATGAATCTGTACCAACCTGTTTCGGATGACCAAGGACTTGACTAGTGTGTCTATCGTATCTTTTGTCTTAGCAGTATTCCCCAGCAAGGCTAGCTTCAGAACATCATCTTCCTCCAAGCTTAGGTCGGAAACCCTGAATTCAAAACATGATTTAGAGACTCATAAAAGGTTTTACCAAAAGAATGGAATCTGAAAACGTTAACAGAGTAATATCAAGTTTTTTGTCTCACAATTTAAGCGCTGCGAGCTCCTTGGCAAGAGCCATAGTCCTGTCTTGTAGCTTAGCGCATTGGGAATTAAGTTTAACACATTCCTGTAACAAAGATATCATATGTGACTCTGAATCCAAAAGCATCTGAATCAAAGGATGTTGAGCTGAGTTTAGTTATACCTCAGATTTTAGTTCAAGCAAGTGTTGGGTCGCTGATATTTTTTGCATAGCCTCCCACCTTTTTACTTTGTCCACCTCCAATTGCTCCTTGCATTGTTGCAACTGAGAAGACAAAACCCAAAACATCTTTATGGATTCTCTTCTAATAAATCAAAGAGGAACTTTAAAACTCGGTGAGAAGTAACGTTATCAAATTACCTGATCGGAGACTTGAGAGTTCTCTTTTTTCTGCCCTTCCAGAGCCGAATTGAGGTTCTGCACCTTCCCTTGGAGCCGCTTCACTTCTCCTCTCAACAACGCCGGATCCTCCTCGATTTCCCCAGCCTTATGAGAGGCAATCGAATCGATTTGATTCCCAGATGACTGGAAATAGAGTCGGCAAGGATCCTTCAGATGGCATTTCTGCTTGCAAATCGGACAATTTCGCTTATTCGTAGCCGGGCAGTACTCAAACCATTGCTGCAAACTAGGGTTTCCCCGAAAATCGATCAGCGCATTTAATCTAAAAACCCAGGAATATAATATTTAACTGTGCCGCACTAACCATAGTTCGTGAAAGACGTGGCCACAGGCGGAGATCGCTTGCAGATTCTCAGCCACCGGTTTCAGATCTTCGTAGCAGATTGAACAAATAGCACTCGCCGCCGCGTTTTCTCCGGCCATCTCTCCGGCAATCTGTGTCTACTCCGTTCCGACAACAAAATGCGTTGGTTTTTAAATGCAGACCTTTCACATGAAATTTTTTCTCGAGAAAATCAAAAAGGAAAATATGAGAGAAAACATGGCGCCAGAAGAAGAAGTTTTAATTTCTGATCAAGCGCGAAAATCTGCGAAAGACTTTGTAACATAACAGCCAAAGTGGCTTGTATAAGCCCACCGTTTTTGAAACTTACGGCCCATTTAGCAATTAATTAATACATTTACAATTAAGCTCAGTGACTTGGAGTACTCGTTTAATTGTTCCCACTAATTGAGGCTTACCGACTCTTACAATGAAGTACATCATTATTGTGATTAGAGATAAAAATAAAAATTTAAAACTCCATTAGTCAAACACAATGTTTAAATTAATGTTGACTTTTCTCTGTTTGTAGTAATATTTTAATTAATGTTAAAAACAAAATTAAGAAAAAGTGTGGGTCCACGCGCTTTGAGACTGTGCCTCGTGCAGCCCACTTGGAGCGTTTTCACTTCAAAAATATGTCCTCTAAGGTTTCACGTGGCTCATGCACCTGACTGGGTCAGGCGAATCTCGACCGTCGGATGAGTTTAAACATAGAATTACTAAAACTACCGATATGACCGTCGGATCAAATGAGCTTTTAAACTGTGATGGGAGCGTTAATAGCCGTACGATTGACTCTAAAGAGGAATCAACATCACGAGGCGAGAGATAATGGTAACGGCATAAAAGCATTTCCAATTGTGGGACCCAAGAGGTTTTCGGACAGCTGTAGCACTTGCACATCATCTTATCTTTGGACGCTTACACGCCGTGTGAGCCGTTGATTTTGACGAAATTGTCAACCTTTTTAACTCGCGGAGATCACGCGCTCCTCCCGTCTGGCACGTGTGCTACACTCTGCTAGCGAGAGACTGGTAAATTCTTCTTCTTTTTATCAGAGCTGGTAAATTCTTCTGTTTAAAAAGAATTGCGTATGAGACTACAAATTACACAAAAACATTAGATCAAGTCTTAGACCATTTTGCTAAGATTTAAAACTTTTACATCCATTTTCTTTTCAAATACATATTTTTTTAGTTACATTAATCTTTCATGATTTAAACATTGGAGAATTTCCGGAATGACATTTTTCTTTTTCCTTTCGATATTTTTTGGCCATACTAGTGTGACATATATAATGGCGCAGTCTCTAGACGATGATCAGAAGAGCGAAACTCACACATGACATCAGCAATGAGTGTAACCTCTTGTGGCTATTTTTGAACAAACAACATATTTCACACGTACACAAATCTAACCGTTTAAAACATACAAAATCTCATTTAATCGTATATATTTGTGTCGAAATGGACTTATAGTATCACCTTACTAATGTAATAATTACATTCATCGGTTTTTAAAAATTGTAATACAAACTTAGATAATTTAGCCTATGATCACCAATATTACGGAGGTTCACGAATGGCATTCAAGGCCATTGGAAAACTATAAACTACAGTTCAGCTTTTGTGGAAAGGAAGCCAATCTAAGTGTCGACCGTCTCTCATAAACACAATCCTTGTACTCTATTTACCATGCTTTGTGTAGATTGATGTTTTTGAGTGGCCAAAATTATACTTTATTATCGGGTTTTACAGACCCTTGCAACCACACCGTACCATTTTTTTGCTTTCCTTTTAATATCATAAACATGTGCTTCGTTGTTATTCTTAAAAGGCAATGAATGATACAACAGTATCCCATGATTCAAGTATGTGGCAGAGGGATCCCCTATGGTGCTAAGTGACAATCACTATCTTTCTATCTACAAACTTTAAATTTTTGTATATACAGTGATCCATATATTAACTTTTTAAATAAATGAAATGGAATACATATGTTATCCATTAAATAGTTTTAAAACATCATTGCTGGATTGAATACTGTAATGTCGAAAGTTCACAATGATCTGGCAAGGGATGATATGTAACTTTTATTCTTATCCCTTTACGTTTATTTTTGTAAACAAATTCCGATTCCATAATCGTAGGTGTTAAAAAGGTAAAAAGAGAACACTTTTTTACTTCTTGTGCGCATCGATAAAAAGTCCACTACGACGACGAAAGTATGGTTTCCCACTATTATTCATAAACAAAGCAAAAAAGCGCGTGTGAAAGACGCGTATAGATAGATGTCCAAGGAGTTGTGAGGTTGACAAAAGAAGGTATTGGAGATTATTCAAAGCCTTTGACAAATCTTAAAGTCAACCAAAAACAAGAAACCAGAAACCACTTCTGGTTTTAGTCTCCAGCACTAGGCGACAAAGACCGGATAAGCTCTCATCGAGATACCCTCCTCAAGCACACATACTTTCTTTCTCTCTCTCTAGATTTGTAAAAGAAGCCAAAAAGACAATTCCTCTCTCTCTCTATACATACCTTTGCAATGCATACAAATTTACAAAATACGTATTAATATATCAACATATACACGCATTGTGATTCCGACAGTACTCATCTTTTCAAAGTGTGTTCATACTAATTTGCTTTTAAAACAAGAAATAACTAAATTAGGGTTTGTTTCATTCTAATCACAAAGCAAACTTATGCGAACCTATGTCAAAATATACCCAAAGTTTTAAACGAGATGTTTGCACAAAAATAGACTCAGTTTTAGAGGATTCCTACTTAAAGTTAGGATCCAAAGAGTACAAGACGTTTTGCTAATTACAAGTTTACAACAACTAATTTGTTTTGTACAATTGTCTCATGTTCACACGAGAGTATATAATTTAATCACACTTAATAATTTATACTATCAATTTCATATACATTTGTCTCATGTACTTATATATTCTGTTTATTTAGCTAATCTATAACTTATAAACAAAAGTGAACACAATATTTTTCTCATTATTTTGTAGCTCAGAAAGCTATTTGATTTTTATTGCCAGGTAATAATGTGTTATATACCTTTAACCATTAATTAATTAACATAAGTGAGATTTATAAATGGTTCACATGTTGAATACTTGAATTGTCAAAATAAGAGAACAGAACAAAATTGTATTCTACACAGTATTTTATCAATAAATAATTCAATAAAATTTCAGCTCCATTTTTCAACCCTTTTAATTTTCCTCCTCTCACTCTCTTTATAAACATCTCTCTCTGCCCATCAAAAGTCAGCGCTCTCTTTTGTCTCCTCTGCTTTCTCTCTTGTCTCAGAGATTCTCAGAAGCTTTTGTCTCCCCTGAGAAACAAATCCAATGGCCGACGATTGGGATCTCCACGCCGTAGTCAGAGGATGCTCATCCCTGAGCTCATCAGCAACCACCACAGCCACCGTCCTCTCCGGTGGTGTTTCATCTCACACGAACCCTCTGTTCACCGTCGAACGGCGGAGTAATGCCGGCGTATTCGGGGAGATTCGAGATCTCTACACGCCGTTCACACCAGAATCAAATATCTCCGTCGTCTCTTCCTTCTCTTGTCTGAATTACCCAGAAGAATCTAGACAGAGACCGAACCAGAAACGTCCTCTTTCTCTCTCTGCTTCTTCCAGTAGCGTCACTAGCAAACCCACAGGCTCCAATACCTCTAGATCTAAAAGAAGGTTCGAACTTTTCATCCAATTTCTGTTTAACAATTACCCAAAAAGCTTAAAGTCTGGGTTTTTTGATGAAACCCATCAAATATAAATTCAAAATTTCGAAACTTTATTGTATATAGATGGCTAAATAAGTCTCTTCTGTGTTGTGTTGCTTGTTTGATGTTTCAGAAAGATACAGCATAAGAAAGTGTGCCATGTAGCAGCAGAGGCTTTAAACTCCGATGTCTGGGCATGGCGAAAGTACGGACAAAAACCCATCAAAGGTTCACCATATCCAAGGTAATATATTACTCTACCAAAGAAAGATTAAAACGTTACGAAACTTTTTCATTTATTGTTCTTTAAGACTTATAAATGTTGTGTATTCTTTCAAGACAAAACTTGTCTGTTTTTGTGATTCTGTTTGCGTAGTTTGTCAAATTAACTCTGTTTCTAATTTATTTCTACTTTCATGTAAAAAAAACAGAGGATATTACAGATGTAGTACATCGAAAGGATGTTTAGCCCGTAAGCAAGTGGAGCGAAATAGATCCGACCCGACGATGTTCATCGTCACTTACACGGCGGAGCACAATCACCCAGCTCCCACCCACCGTAATTCTCTCGCCGGAAGCACCCGTCAGAAATCAACTGATCAGCAGCCGACGACTAAATCTCCGACGACCACGATTGCTACTTATTCGTCGTCTCCGGTGACGTCAGCGGACGAGTTCGTCTTGCCTGTGGAGGATCTAGCGGTGGGAGATATCGACGGAGACGAGGATCTGCTGTCTTTGTCGGATACGGTGGTGAGCGAGGATTTCTTCGAGGGGTTGGAGGAATTCGCCGTCGGAGATAGCTTTTCCGGGAACTCGGCTCCGGCGAGTTTTGATCTCTCTTGGGTTGTAAACAGTGCCGCAACAACCAGCGGTGGAATATGATTCGATGAAGATAGACTTACGGCTTAGAATACTCTTTTTAGGAAAGATATAGGATTAAGGAATTATTCTCGGATTATATGTAAAAATAGGAAAAACAAATTGTTCTTTGTTACTTTTTTTTGGTTTTTCTTCCTCTTGTTTCTAAATATCTTAGAAAATTGTATATTCCTTAAGGCCGATATTCGTAACCGATTTTCATCACTTCATTGAGAAGAAGATTAGTTGCTGACAAAAAGAAAAGAAAAAGAAGATTAGTTAGTCTTGTCATAAGAAAATAATAATCAGGATATATGTAATGAGCCCTTACTTTAAATTAATAAAAAGAAAATGTTGGAACAGATATTAAAAAGTCAATTTATGTTTTCTTTTTAAGATAAAAATCAAACATTTGATTCATTTTGTAATTTACGAAGAAAATGTTGAAACGGTATTTATATTGAAAATGAGGGAATATCCGTTGTTGATGCTTAAAAATCTTGCGATAGGGAAACTGAGATTTGGAACTAATATAATTTTGGAATAATTAGTTTAGCAGTTAGCCGGTATTTCAGTTAATTATTGAAAATTAAATTCTCATAGCTGTAACAAAAATGGCTGACACTATCTATATGCAGTATTTAATAGTGACAATCTTATCATTGATAGTTTTGGAAAGAAAAGTTATATTTTCATTAATGCTAAACATGGCACATGATACAATTTGGGTAAAGTATGGGCGCAAAACAACAATTCCCAACGTTGTGGGCTTTCACCTTCACCGAGTCGTTTTTAGTCTGGGTTGATTCTTGGGCCGATGTTCAGGCCCACATTTATAAGTACGCCCACAACGTTTTTAATGCATTAATCCATTCTGAATGATTCCGTTAATTCTCAACCGTCTGATGGATCAGCTTTGTATATAATCCGATGATTCAGCTTTGTGTATAATAATACACTGCTTTGTTTAAAAACTTAAAATGATTAGAACACAATTATGCGATGTGTAGAATATAAATTAGAAAATATAGGTATCAATCGGGTAATATAAAATATTCTTCTACGACAAGAAAATTAAGAGAAATAACAATTAATACATGAACCATAAAATGAACAATAATATCAATATTCAATATCATTGAGGAAATGAACTCTTCGCCGTGGTTTGATCCGCCGTTGTGTTCCGGTGATTCACCGTTGATAGAAAATTTTGAACTAGTTGTTAGTTAATATTGTTTTGAAATGCTTGAGATCCATAACAATCGGCTTTCTTGCTCATTATTTGCATCTAAATTCTTCATTTTAATTTATTAATTTCCTCCTTAGCCTCCGCAACTTCTCTTGGGGTTTTGTCTTCTACCATCGTGATGATTTTCTTAAAAATTCAGAAGTCTCCATGTGCAAAGCTTGTGCTTTAAGTATGCTGAATTTTAGACAATTTTCAAAAGATTAAATCCATTAATTCCACTAATCCCTAGGTGAACTGCAAGATAACATAAAGATGAAGTTAGAAGTTAGAAGTTCATAACTTTATCTGCAGTCAGATTTTGTGAATTTTTTTGGAGGTTTGTGTTGATTTCTTGTTTGTACAAAGCTTAAAAGATGGGGAAGACGAATGTATTATCGAAGATTAAAGCTTTCAATGGCGTCAATAGACTTATCTACGTGCTGGCTGGTTTGGCTTTTCTCATCTCAGTTGTTACATTAGCTAAGTTTAATTACATCACACCACTAAGCTTCTCTGATCAGTTATCTAACTCTCACGGAAGCTTTCAAGGCGACAGCTATAACATCGGAATCCAAATGAGAAAGACGATCGAAACCGCTATGTTAAAAATCCACCAAGAAATGGATGATCTCAAGGCTCTAGAAGCTTCTTCTTGTCCAGCTCCATCACCAGATTCCGGATCCATGTTCAGGCACGTAGCGTTTCTTGCGGATGTTCTTTCGCTGATTCAGTCAGTCCACATGGAGTTACCTTCGTTCGAATCGGATCATCCGTTGAAGCGGCAAAACGGTGAGCATTTCATGAGAGAAGAGATAAACAAGTACATCAAGATCAAACCGAACCGGCTTGGGAAACAGAACTTCATGGGAGCTAACGGGACTTTCACTTCAATCGGACACGCTTGTTTCACGATGAAGACAGATCTAGAAGAGTATATGGACTACGACGTTGGAGAAATCTGCAACGACGACTGGAGATTAGCTCAGAAGCTTATGGTTCACGGATGCGATCCGTTGCCTAGAAGACGCTGCTTCTCTCGAGCGCCGCAGTTATATCACAAACCGTATCCGATCAACGAGTCTCTATGGAAGCTTCCGGATAACCGGAACGTGAGGTGGGGACAGTATAAGTGCAAGAACTTTACTTGCCTCGCAAGCAACACAACAGCAAGAAAAGGGTTTTTCAAATGCACTGATTGCTTCAACCTCACGCACCACGAATTACAGAGATGGGTTAACCGAGGCGAAATCGATCCGGAGACAAACCAAACCGTGGATTTCTCGGTGCATGAAGTGCTTGAAATCAAACCGGGAGAGATTAGAATCGGATTGGACTTCAGCATTGGCACGGGAACCTTCGCAGCGAGGATGAGAGAACGTAACGTCACCATTGTAACAGCAACGATCAACCTCGGGGCTCCGTTCAACGAGATGATCGCTCTGCGCGGTTTAGTCCCATTGTACTTAACCGTGAACCAACGGTTACCGTTTTTTGATAGCACGTTGGATATGATTCACACGACGAGGTTTCTTGATGGATGGATTGATCTGATACTTCTTGATTTCGTGTTGTTTGATTGGGACAGGGTTTTGAGACCTGGTGGATTGTTGTGGATCGATGGTTTCTTTTGTCTGAAAGAGGATTTGAGTGATTACATTGAAGCGTTTAAAGCGTTGAGGTATAGGAGACATAAGTGGGTCGTGGTGCCAAAGAAAGATAAAGATAACAAGGAAGTTTTCTTCTCTGCTGTGTTAGAGAAACCTCCAAGACCCTTAAGATGATTATTGATCAGTCTTTTGTGTTTACTATTGTCTTTGTAATATTCCAAAAAAAAGAAACAGAAATGTCAAAAATAGTGTAAGATATAGTCTGATTATATGTTCCTATAATTACTTTTTGCTAATAAAAGTTGTCACAGTATTTATCTGACACTGTGTTTGTAATGAAAGGTATACCATAGGTTCCAAAATGATGCAGGTATGTGACTAAGAACACAAAGAACGACACCGTTTTATTTAAGAAACATACGACAATGTTTTAATTTTGAACCACCAGGCTCGGACAAAACGAACCAGTAGGCTCGGACCAGCGAACGCGGGAGTATATAAACAGCTTTGGCTTTTATTTTCTCGATTCCGTTACATCGGGACGCAAAAGTTTTGGGTGTGGAGAGAGAATTCGAAAGCGGAGAAGAAAGACGACGACGAGAATGGAGGAGGAGAAGCTAGAGATTGTCGGACCATTGGAGGAGCCGTTGATGGAAAACATCGTACCGGAGGAGATCAACGGCCTGGATTCGCTTTCTTCGTCAGATACTGATAGCGAGAAACCAGATTCTCCCGTTCCCATCAATGCTCCGATCTACCGGATGTTTGGCAGAGAACGACCAATCCACATGGTTCTCGGCGGAGGTAAACGTACGAATACTCTCTACACTCGTTCCATTTATAATTTCTCACAGATTTGGTTACTTGAGGGAAATTTCGATCTGATGACAAACGTATAAACATTTAGGATTCGTTATTATATTGGAGAGATTTTTTTAGATACATAAAGAAAGATTTATAGCGATTGGTTATGTGACCTAATCACCAAGTGGTTGGGTGATGTGTTGAAGCTGCTGATGTGTTGCTATGGAGGGACAAGATGGTCACCGGAGGATTACTCAGTGCCGTGACTGTGATTTGGTTGTTTTTCGGATTCGGTCAATGTCGTCTTCTCACATTTGTTTGTCGCGGCTCGATCCTCTTTCTGCTTCTCTCATTCCTCTGGTCCCATGCTCTCAACAAGTAAACCCTTTTTTGCCTCACAAAATATATTCAAATTATCATCATTTGCTAATCTGAAATTTCTTCAATTATCTTTGACAGATCTCCAGAAAACATAATGGAGATTTACATCCCTGAGAAGCCATTACTCCAAGCTGCTTCTGCATTGACCTTTGAGCTTAACTGTGCTTTTGCAACCTTAAGGAGCATTGCGTTGGAGAGAGACATCAAGAACTTTGCAGTGGTACTTGTTTAGTTTTTTCCACTCTAACTTGAACCAGTCTCTGAAATGATTGATATATAAATGAACTTTTTTTTTTTTTTTTTAACATGAAACAAAAGGCACTCATAGGACTTTGGATGGTGTCGATCATTGGAAACTGGTTCAGCTTCGTGTCATTGCTCTACATCTGTAAGCACACAACTGGTTCTGATACTCTTGTTTTATCTATCCAGAGATTGTTTCTTGACCTAATGATATGATGTTGAAACCAACAGGTTTTGTTCTAATTCACACGGTGCCAATGCTCTATGAGAAGTTTGAAGATGAGATTGATCCAATTGCAGAGAAGGCTGTGATTGAGATGAAGAAGCATTTCCAAGTTTTTGAAGCCAAGTATTTAAGTAAGATCCCTCATTAGCCAACACAACTCAAAGGTGGAAACTGAAATTAGATTCGGTTTACATAGTTTAGTACATTTTTTATTCTTTTATTTTTTGGGTTTCAAACTCGTTTCGAGCCATTCCTCTGTTCATGTGGTTTTGGTTACTTCCTACTCAAGCCATCTATGTTCTTACAATGTTATGCTTTTGAAAAAATAACATTGTAATGGATATCTTAACCTAACTGTTCTTCATGGATTTAATGATGATTATATTAAAGCTGAGCTCAAAGTTAGAGAACTTTTACCAAAAAAAAATTTGCCCTTAAATACATTACTGTAACAAAAGATAGCGTTAATTTGCTCCATAAAAAGGTAATAGAGAGAGTGACATAACCATGAGAACCCCCAATTCACACATGTCAACTTATCATTTGTTCATTTCAATTATAAAAATCAAAACTTAATCAAGTGAAAGGCACGCCAAAACAATATTAAAGGGGTGATATGGTACAATTTCAAGTATTCATGAATCACAATGATAATGCTCATAGATATAAAAAAAAAAAAAAAAAAAATTGAAGTCTTAGTAATTCAAATTACCAGGAGGAGAAAGCGGTGCGAAATAAGCTCCAAGAGAGTAAAGGTTTTTGTCAGAAGATCCATGAAACCCAATGATCTTCTTGTTTTTGACTTTGAGTTTAAACGTAGTACCAAGGATACATCCCATGTGTGTAGAACTCCTGAGATTGGTTTTGATCACAAGTCCTTGTATTGTACCCTCGTCGAAGAAACACTTAACCGATTTGAGATATTCATGCTCATATGTATAGTTTAGATCAAACTGCAAAATGTATACATCCACATGAAAATAATCAATTCATATTGATTTTAAAGAAGATCATGCATGATGCATTTGGAGTGGGTGGTCCTTATGGACCATAACATTTGAAAAGAAGATCATGCATTTAGTATTGGTTGGCTATGCACACTTTTGATAAATCTACGAAGAAATCATAGAGAGTTGGAAGACGTACCCACTCGGTGAAACTTTGACCCAAGCCACCATGGATTTGTCCAGCTATAGGTTGTGCATGCTTGACATAATCGAACTTGATAGACTCTATACCTCCACGACCCTCTCGTATATAGATCTGTGATACACCTTCATGGTTGGCTCCATCGTCCCATTTTATGCCTCCATTTCCACCTTTCGCTTCCATCTTTATTGGGAATCGATTTAAATCTGATAATATGATACATAAATGTGGAAAGTGTTAATATGCATGACTAGTAAGATATGCATCACTTAGCTCCACGTTCTGTTACTTTGGCTAAAGAAGAAGTGTATCGCTAATCACATCAGCTAGATACTGGTTGTACCTGATGTACCTCCATGATGACTAGTAGATTCAGGGTGTTGCACTGTCTGTAGATTCAGAGAAGTGTGGTAGCTTTTCTGAGAAACATCAACTCTTTCCTGACTAATGATTGACTTGCCCGATCTGGCTGCTCGCGTACCATGTCTTCCCCGACCTTTGGGTGGCTTGTTCTTTTGACGTTCATGCCACGACTCTGGATAGCCATGAATTGCATAACATTTCTCAGTATCATGTCCTCTACTCTCACAATGAGAACAATACATGTCTTTCCTTTGAGGTCGAACATGTTGCTGCACTTGCTCGGGCTTAAGTTCCTTCGACTTAGCAGCCTGAAAACGTTGCTCTTCCTCTATCACAAGGGAGTATACTTTGTTTAGATCTTGAAGAGGATCTTGGCTAATGATACTTAAGCGGATAGAGCCAAAACCATTTCTATGAAGTCCCATTAAAAACTGATGAACTCGTTCATCTTCCTTTTCCTTTTCAATGTATTTTGCGGCATAGCACGAACAGTCCGGGGTAGATTTGTAGCTCTGGAGCTCTTCCCACAACTTGGAGAGTCGGCCAAAATAATCTTTAACACTTTGGCCTTCTTGCCTACAAGAACTTATCATAGCCTTTAGCTCATGGACACGAATCCTGTTGTTAACGTCAAACCGACGTCGTAGGCTCTCCCACAGCTTGCAAGGATCATTAGTATAAGCAACCGTGGAACGAACTTTGGGATCGATGGCTTTGAGGATCCACCCCACGATTATACAGTTTGTTGCAATCCACAAAGCTAGGTCCGGGTTGGTCAACGGTTTAGGAACTGAACCGTCGATGAACCCGATCTTTTGTTTTTCTTGGAGCAAATTACGAATGTTGGTAGACCACTCGGTATAGTTGTCTTCTCGAAGTAGAACCGTGGAGTTCAAGGAACCAGGAATATCAGAGAGCTTAAAGTAGGTTGAAGATCGTCTGCTTGTACCCTCGTCAGGAGGAGAAATGGCTATGTTTGGCTCACTCATAGTTGCCAACAGTTACAAGTGTTTCCTATAATCGTAGTACAAGTACAATTATATGAATTTAGACAAACCAAACGGAAACTAACCTTCAGGCCAAGGATCAAGCAAAGTCTGCTTATGAATGTAGACAAAGAAAATGGTAAGGCAGATAGATCTGAGCTCTAATTCTAGAAGAGAGAGAGAACGAGGGGGGGGGGGATGATTAAAGAGTGATAAATGATCTTTATTAATAATTTCATATAAGTTATAATCGCTAAAGATTGATCCACTTGATAATATGAAAATAATATATGGTCGATTACGTTTGACTGTTTGAGTGAGTGGGTGAAGAATGTTTGGTAATTAGTACGACGATGTAGTAAAATAATGTATGATCAGTATTCTTTTTATGTGTAATCCGCTTTTAGAGTATTCTTTTAAGCCTTTCCAAGTCTTTTAAGTAAGATCCCTCATTAGCCAAACAACTGAAATTAGATTCGGTTTACTTGGTTTAGTTCATTTATTTTTAATTTTCAAATCGTCTCGAGCCATTCCTCTGTTCATGTGGTTTTGGTTACTTCCTACTCAAGCCATCTAATTTTTGCTTTAACTAAAGACTTAAGCTTACCCTCCATGGATAAATGATAAATTAATGCTGAATACATTTAATCCTGAATTTAAAATTAGAGAACTCAAAACAACACTCACTGTAACAAAATTTGTTCGGATGGTAGATAACAACAAAGTCGCGCGGTAAAGAAAAAAAAGTTGCGGTAAAAAGAAACGAACAAACACATTACAACTGAAAATGTAGACTTATGGGCCTAACTTCAATATTTGAAGCCCATTTCGTACCGACAGATTATAAAACAGATTAAAAAAAAAAATTGAAAAAAAAATGAATAATAACTCTGCCCAAAAATCGCCATTGTTCTTCTGCTTGAGATCTCCCTCCACACCATTATCATCAGATCTACACTATCTTCTTCACTAAAATTTATCCACAGCTCCGACTTTTTCTTCTGTGTAATTAATTTTCTCTCACATTCGAATTCCATTCCAGTGTTCTCGAGTCGAATCCGTCTCTCCCATTTCTGTTTCCTCTCCTCCCACGAATCCGTACAACAATGGCGCAGCAACAGTTCCTCCACCAGCGCCCAATCCAAAACCCATTCTCAAACCCTTTCTCTTCCTCTTCTCTTTCAAATTCTTCAATCTCAAATCGCCCCATCTCTCTCCTCAGCCGCAACGGTCTCCTCCTCCTTCTCGGTCTCCTCGTTCTCCTCGGCGTATTCGTACCCTGGGCAGGATCTCCCTTATTCCCGTTTCCAAACGGACTCTCTTCTTCCTCTTCATCGCAAGCCAAATGGCGCGACTATTCCCTCGCTCAAGCCGCGAAATTCGCAGCTAAGAACGGGACTGTGATCGTCTGCGCCGTGAGCTATCCTTACTTGCCATTTCTCAACAACTGGTTGATTAGTGTTTCGAGACAGAAGCACCAAGACAAAGTCCTCGTCATCGCTGAGGATTACGCTACTCTCTACAAGGTTAACGAGAAATGGCCTGGCCACGCCGTTCTCATCCCTCCGGCGCTTGATTCGCAGATCGCACATAAGTTCGGTTCCCAGGTATCATCCCTGCACATAGTTTCCATCTTTTCGATCCAATTTCATCTTTACCTTAGCAGTTAGCTGAAATGGCTTAGAAATTCGTTTGATAGCTAGTGTTACGTCACTGAGTACTCTAAATCATAAGTTTGTGTAGTCTATAAAGGTTTCGGCTTTGAGCTGATCCTATGAATGATATGTGAATTTGTAGCAGTCGTTTTCTTTCTTAATTTGAATGATTATGTAATATAGCTTTCATCATCAATCAAATTTAGCTAAAAGTGGCTTAGAAATTCGGATTTTGATGTGTGTGTCTTCGTAAACTTGTCTTCAGTCTGATTCTCGTGGATCTTGGATGATTCTTTGATTAGCTAATGCTATTTTGGTGGTTGCTCGGATCATAAGTTTGTGTAGTCCCTCGAGATTTTTGGGTTTGAGCTGTTTAAGAGTAGCAAGAGATGGTGAACTTGTAGCAGCCATTTTTCTTTCTGATTTTGATAAGATCTGAATGATTTATGTATCCCCTGTTTCTGATTTCAATTGGATTTGTATGAATCCGTCATTTTAACCAATATATCATATATCCGGTTAGGGTTTCTTCAATTTTACGGCACGGAGGCCGCAACATCTCTTGCAAATATTGGAGCTAGGTTACAATGTAATGTACAACGATGTTGACATGGTGTGGTTGCAAGATCCATTCAAGTATTTGGAAGGAAGCCATGATGCATACTTTATGGATGACATGACTGCAGTAAGTAGTAATAAATTCACACATCTCCTTTTGACATGTCTGCAAACTTTTTTTGCATTCAGGTAATTTATTATCTTTGTTGAATTTTGGTGGCCAGATTAAGCCATTGGATCACTCTCATGATTTACCACCTCCGGGTAAAAAAGGAAGGACGTATATATGTAGCTGCATGATTTTCTTGCGTCCCACTAATGGCGCAAAGCTTCTAATGAAGAAATGGATTGAGGAGCTTCAAGACCAACCTTGGTCCAGAGCAAAGAAAGCAAATGACCAGCCTGCTTTTAACTGGGCACTTAACAAAACAGCTCATCAGGTTTGTTGCTTCCTCCTCCAATCTCCACAGTGAAACTGTAACTTGCTGTAAATTTAAAATCTCAAAGGACTGAAGCTTTTGGTACTCCAACGATTGTTTATGGGATCCGTGTGTTGTGCAGGTGGATCTCTACTTGCTATCTCAGGCAGCATTTCCAACAGGAGGATTGTACTTCAAGAACGGGACTTGGGTTAAAGAGACAAAGGGGAAACATGTCATAATCCACAATAACTACATTATTGGTTTCGACAAGAAGATCAAACGTTTCCGTGACTTTGGTCTTTGGTTAGTGGATGATCATGCTCTTGAGTCCCCATTAGGCAAATTACAGTAAATTCGAATGGCCAAAATAAGATTGTTTCTCCTCTCTCCCACTCTCTTGTAATTGGGATTTTCAGGCTGCGCAAAAAGAAAGAAAGATCCACCGATTTATTTTTAGGAACCTATAAAAGTTACGTGATCGTGTCAGTGTGTTATGTAACAAGTTGGAATTTGAATCAAATAACGGGCTTAGCTATTTTCAGTTTTTGCATTCTAATTGGATAGACTGAATCAATTATGTAAATGATTAGTTTGGTAATTTGCCTAATTTGTATCAAACAAAGATAATGATTTAAAGACATAGGTTAATGTTTCTGTAGCGACTATGGCCCACTAGAAATAGGAAATGCCCAATATTTTCCTCCAGCCCATGAGGATCAAAACCTACATGGCGTCTTTGGGAAGCAAGGGGTGTTGTTTACGTGAGGAGTATTGAGCGTCACGTCCATCCGTCATCTCCTCGATCACGCCCGACTCTTGAGTCATCACTGTGGTAAGCAGATTCATGTTTCATCCATCGGCTCCTTTCCCGTTTGTTTCCCGAGAGTTGCCATGTTCTAAAAGTTCCATTGTTATGGTTTTTTCTTCATCCCCAAGTCGTATCTAATCCGTGGCGGATTTTTAATGCGAGAACAAGGCTTGTTCTGGATTTTTATTCTGCGTTTTAGTTTGCTTGGCTGACTCGTTTGTAGTTCCAGTTTCATTGTTTTGGCTAGTTACATTATCATCAAACTATGGTTGTGATGAGAGTTGTTTCAAAGCTGAAGAAATTAGCCCTGTCTTGTTTTACTACACCTTATTGGGTATTGAATTCGAATGGTGTGTGTTGAATATGTGCTCTAGTATAGTGTCAACTGCCAACGCGAGGGGAAAGAATAGCTTTCAAAGCTAACCATTTTGTTCTTGCTGTGTTGTTGCAGTTGATTCTGCGATTTCTTCTTCCCTTCTCCCAGAAGACTTGTTGACAAGGTAATGTGTCCTACTTGATTTTTGGTGTATTTGGATTTTTCATATGTTTTGGTTCTTGCCATTTAGCATCTTTCCTCTGAATCTGGATAAGTGGTTACGAATATGAGTGCATTTTGATAAGATTCAACATTTAGAAGCACTTCATGTGTTGGCTATGTGCAACTCTCATCGTTTTCCTTACTGTGCAGCTCTACTATGGAAGATATTAATAATCCGAGAAAAAGGAAAGATAGTCCTGCTAGCAGCCAATCAGGAACCCAAGAACTTGGTAAGGATGACAAGAAGAAAATCAAGGTATTTTTCACAGAATTAGTTCTCATCTTTTAGCATTTTGCCTCTGAATCTGGATAAGTGCTTCCGATTATGAGTTTCTGAAATACTTATAAGATTCAACATTTTGTTCTTATTTCGCTCTTTAATCATTTATGCTTAGATTCCGCTTGACACTTTTAATTCTAATCAACGCAGAAAATGAAGAAAGTTTATGACAAGATTGCTAAAGATATTACAGAGCTAAACCGGAGCTTGCTAACAATAGGAGACATAGCCTCCTCCTCATTTGATCTGCAAGTATGAGAACTATATGATTTGATTATGTTACAGTTTCACTTGAATTATATATGCATAATAATATATATATATCTTTCTTTAGTCCAAAATAGACAGTGGGGAGTTAGTTTTAAGTTGGATAAACAAGGATCCTCGATTAGTTGGTCAATGTGTGTTACAAACAGAAGGTTAGCATAGCAATCCATCTAAATATATGCATATCTTACATTATATTTTGAAATACAAACATTTTTTCTTTTTTTTTTTTGGTTGAAAACCTGAAGATGATTGTTGGGCTAATGCTTTTGCTGCGGGCCTATCTGCCCGCATGATCAAAGATGGACAAAAACCGCACGAGCTTCCCACTGCAGAGTTACTCGTGAAGAAAATAGATCATAGCCTTTTGATAGGAAATAAAGCACTAGCCAACCCAATGCAAGCTGCCCCCTCAATCCTCAATAATTACAACTATCATATGGTTAACCATTGTTGTCCAAGCTTGAAGTATCCCACACAGGTTGAGTTGTTTGATCAATTCATAGAGCGTCAAGCTGCCATAGTTCCATTGACAGCATGTTTCCCTTACCTACCTTCTTTTCGACTCTAAGCTTGGAGACCAAGTAAGTTTTTTTTAATCCTACTACAAACACAAATAATTAGGCCAATCCTTTTACATAACTTGTATACATTATTCTCTTAAATAATTTTTGGCAGAAAGTTTTCCGTCCAACTCCTGCTGATATTGTCGCAATGAAAATTGAGAAGCTAGAAGTCCATTGTGTCGTAATTACCGGTAGAGGAGCGGTCTGGATTGATAGGGAGTGGGTGGAGTTTTGGCAGGTCCAAGAAAACCGAGGATAAAATTTTGCAGAGAAAGGCTTCACACGGCTTGAACGACACAAGGGACTAATTCAAGAAGTTTATGAGTTTGTTCAACAATAGACATATGGAAACTCACTTAAAGAATCCTCTTCACTTCTGGTGATTTGTAAATCACAGTGTATCCACAATATAAGAGAGATGGCATGAGAACTCTTCTACTTCTTCAAAATATGGTGTAATGCAGCTTATAGTTACCTATAGCACTATCCTACTCTCTAAAACAATGAAGTTAAAACAAACTCTTCTAATTATACTCTCTTGGAATTGATATCTCATCGATGGTGTTCATTTGGAAGCTAAAGGAAATGCCACAACTAAACATATCAAGCATAGAGCTTTCTGAATATAGAAAGTAGTAGTAGGAACAAATTATAGTCCGAGGCTTAACACAAGGGGTTTCTCTATAACAATATATTAGTAGAAGATGTTATTTAAGATAACTTACAATTTAAAATCTCAAACTAAACATAACCAACTCAAGACACACACACTTGTTGTTCTAGCAACTCACATGTACAATGATCTCTACACAATTCAAAGGACCACTCAAACAACTAACTCATTAACCCCTTGAATGTATGATTGAGCACATACAATGCTAAACCTAAAATATAATTTCCATTATTTAGATGATTCTTAACCTTCATGAGATTTTACTTCCTTATTTTTCTCTAGGAAAAATAAATATTCTCATTCTCTTGATAGTCCAGCCCACAATAGAAAAAGAAAACGATCCCTTATAATCAGCTGGGGATCTTGCTAAACGCTCAGAAACCGCTTTCCGCTTTCCTGTTTTCATCTCATCTTCTCCATGGGAAAGAGGCGGAAGAGATGCTCCACATCAACCGATGTTGAAGTATCAGATCATAAGGGCACGAAGCCTTTGGAGAAAGGTAAGAAATATGGGTTTTCCTTACTGCTCAAGGCAGTGTCAACAACGTATAAAATCACTGCGATATATAATTGCGTCAATATTTTGATTTATTGATTGAAATTTTGATGCGTTTTTTTTAAGCAGAGACAGAGCTGCATAATTTGGAAACCGATGTAAATCCGAAAAAACGCAAGAAGAAATATGAGATCAAGGTCGGAAACTCAGTTTTGTCTCAAAATTAACTTGCTGTTGTATTAATATTGACATTAGTTTCTTTTATAAGTTTCATGTGTTTGTTTATGATAAGCTTGGGGAATAGCTGATATAGTTTCTGACCTACTTGTACGTAGGAGGAGGAAGAAGCAGAAGCCCAAGAGAAAACGGAGGGATCAGCAAGATATGAGTGCTGTTTTGAAACTGAAGATTCAGATGGACACAACAGGGCTGGTATGTTGGTTAGGGGAATTGATACTTGCCTTGCTAGGGACGATATCAAGAGCGCATTGAGGAAACATTTTGAGTCAGGTGGATGTCAAGTCTCACGGGTTTTTGTTCCCATAGAGTGTTACACCGGTGTTCCCTTAGGGTTTGTGACTGATTGTTCATTTTTTTTAGTTTAGTAATGCCAATTTTTCAGATTGAACCATAGAGTGGTTTTTTGTTTTTGTACAGATTTGCTTTCGTTGATGTGGATGATAATGAAAAGGCCTTGTATATAGGTGGTGGTAACATGGGAGAAAGTAGGTTTCGTGTTGTTATGGCTCTAGATCAAAGGGACACTAACTTCCCTGACTTTGTTGGGTGCCAATATTGTGGTACTTTCCTTCTTCAGCGCCGGCTAGAAAGATGGCGCCGGAGGAACTATTACTAGCCTATTGGTCGCTGCTACTTCTTTATCGACCGGAAAGACCAAACCTTTTTATTCTTGTTATCAGAAACTTGTAAATTTATGTTTGAATTCCGCTGTTTGAATTTATGTTTAAAACCTTGAGCTTATGAGATATTTTCTCTTGTATAACGTAGTTCATGAAGCTTCTTTTTGTTGCAAATGCAAGTCAATCAAATAACCTCAAATCACCAACTAAGCTTTTTTTGTTTCAAATGCAAGTCAATCAATCAAATTACACATACTCTTTAACATAACCTTAGCGTGCAAATTAGACACATTGTTTTGATTGGAAGAGCTGTCCAAATACCAAATTTTCGCTCCTAAATATTTAGGCTTGTTTCAGGTGTCATTGACGAGCTTTGGCCTCGCTGTTTTGGGATCGATCTCGACTCTGAGTTGAGGCACATCCGCAGAGCCTTGCATCTCCAACTCAAGTTCTTCAAATCAAGGCTTCCTCCAGCGTTCATACAACTTACAAAATCATACACAACGGACCATATTTTCGTAGACTGGTATTTACTTCAGTCTAGTCAAATATGAAGTACTGGAATTTATGATATTGCAAATTTTAATAGTCCAAATACAGCTGGCAAATGATTTGAGGGCCCACTTGCTTATAAAAATTTCGTTTTTTTTTCTGTTGCAAATTGTAGATTGTGTATAGAGTTAGTTAGAGTTATATTTTCCTCACTTTACAAACATGTGACTGATTTTACAATTTAGACTTTTTGGAGGATGCTGCTTATGTAAGATTTGCCGTAAATGAAAAACATATATTATCAGCATTTACAACTAGAAATAGTTCTTGACGTCCAATGTTGGTCACTAGAACTTTTCATTCGTGCCATACTAAAATCATTTATCTCCAGATCTGATATATTTTTAAGCATTTATTTTATTGATTTTTTGTTCTAACAATTTGTACATCTGATTATATTGTCAAATCGGATTTTCAATTAATTAAATGATGCGTGTAACATAAGAATATAATATTTGTAAATTTATCTCTTAGTCTACACAATTACAATTATGTACACCTAAAAGGATAATATATTTTTCAGTCGCACCAAAAAGAATATTTTTAATCTGTGTGATAAGAAGTAGAATTGACAATGAAGAAAACAAATAAAAAGTGAAATTAGAAAGACAGGGAAGCAAAGATTCTTGCTCCCTTCAAATCCGCAGCTGAGAAGTCGATAATCGGATTTGTAAATTCAAAGAAATTTCCTCTATAGTCTCCGTTGATTCTGCCATTGACGGCAAAATATAGTTTCTCATTCTCTCTCTCCTCTATTCTTTGCTTTTACTAAGCTCACAAGAATCTACGCATCTGTGCGCTGCTGATGCTCTACGTCGTCAACTGCATAACCACACGCACTTGAAGTCGCTCTCGTGAGCTGTGATTTCCGCGCGATTGTCATTCAGATTTGAGATTTCGTCGCATCTACTGGATTTACACTGAGATTTTAGGTGGGGGTTGAGTTCGTAGCTGGTGTTAGGTTGCATTTTCTTGTTCGAGATTCCGTAATCTCGCCGGAGTTGCATGTAATTTCTCAGTTTCTTCAAAAATGGGTTCTCTCGAATCTGGGATTCCGGCGAAGAGAGAGAGCGGCGGGAGAGCGGGGAGACAACAACAACAGCAGCAGCAACAGCCGTTCTTGCAGAGAAACAGATCGAGGCTCTCGAGATTCATTCTATCGAAGAGGCTCGATTACCTCCAATGGATTGCCACCATAATCATCTTCTTCTGCTTCGTTGTGCTATTCCAGATGTTTTTGCCTGGTCTTGTGGTCGATAAATCGGATAAACCGTGGAGTAGCGACGAGATTTTGCCACCTGATTTGGTCGTTTTCAAGGAGAGAGGCTTTTTCGATTTCGGCGAGGATGTTAGATTTGAGCCCACCAAGCTGCTGATGAAATTCCAGAGAGAAAGCAATGGCTTGAATTTCACATCGTCTTCTCTCAATACAACTATGCAGCGTTTTGGTTTCCGAAAGCCAAAGCTAGCACTGGTCAGTTCTCTGATTAGGAAATGGAGATTGCATTGTTGCTTTTGTTGAAATCTGATGACTGCATTGTGGTTTTCTTCTCTTCTTAAGGTTTTTGCCGATTTGTTAGCTGATCCAGAACAGCTCTTGATGGTGACTCTCTCCAAGACACTGCAAGAGATTGGCTATGCAATCGAGGTATGGATTTGTTGCTTCTTTGTGGGGTTTCGTGCTGCTCTTTGTGTGATAACACGAAACCTCAAACTTGTCTTGGTAGGTTTACTCGCTTGAAGACGGTCCAGTGAATGGTATTTGGCAGAAAATGGGAGTTCCAGTCACAGTACTCGAGACCAACCATGCATCAACTTGTCTCATCGACTGGCTTTCGTATGTATCACATTTCCCCTGCGAAATATGCACTGATTGAAAACTGTAGGAGAACTAGTGATGTGAATCTTAAGGCTATATTTTATTTAGAGTAGTCATGTGAGTATGCTTGATTGGATAATGTGGATCTGAGGTTGATCCAATGCATTATTGGTTTCTTTTCTTCTATTATTATAGTGCAAATCAAACTTAGTTGACTTGACATGGTCAATACGATGATTTTCTGATCATTGATAACATTCTTTGTTCTTATCTTGAAGCTATGATGGCGTGATTGTAAACTCTCTCGAAGCTAGGAGCATGTTTACTTGGTAAGATTTTTGATTCTTTGGCATTAGTGTAAACTCTCTCTGGTTTTTGGTTTCCAATCATAGTATATTGCAATGAGAATTTGCATATAATGTATATACACACAAATATATTTGTTACCTATGTGGATTTTTAATAATTGTTATTCTTTGACAGCTTCATGCAAGAACCTTTCAAGTCTTTGCCTCTTGTTTGGGTCATCAATAAAGAAACTCTCGCTGTACGGTCTAGACAGTACAACGCCACAGGGCAAAGTGAACTCCTAACGGATTGGAAAAAGATTTTCAGCCGAGCCTCGGTTGTAGTCTTCCGTAATTATCTCCTTCCGGTAATGTTTTTTGATTAGAGTGCAGGCACCAAATTTTTTGATTCCTTTTGTTTCTGCTTAGAGATCTATCTCCTGGAATATCTTATTTTGTTTCAGTTGACTTATTTTGTTTTACCTGTTTGCTTCATGCAGATTCTCTACTCTGAGTTTGATGCTGGCAACTTTTATGTGATTCCCGGATCACCTGAAGAAGCATGGAAAGCAAAGAATCTGGAGTTTCCACGGAAAGATGACATGGTCATTTCCATTGTGGGAAGTCAGTTCTTGTACAAAGGTCAATGGCTGGAACATGCTCTACTTCTGGAAGCTTTACGGCCGTTATTTTCAGGCTACAGTGAAAGTTATAATTCCCGTCTCAAGATCATAGTTTTAGGTGGAGAAACAGTTTCCAACTACAGCGTAGCTATTGAGGTATAACAAGGTCTGCTTTGTTATTGATGAAATGGTTTGTAGCTTTTGAATATACAGATTACAAAATCACTAACTCTGCTCCTTGGTTTTGTTTTGAACTTCTTAGACAATCTCCCAGAATTTGACATATCCAAAAGATGCTGTGAAACATGTAAGAGTTGCGGGGAATGTTGATAAGATACTTGAAAGTTCTGATCTTGTTATATACGGATCATTTCTCGAGGAGCAATCTTTTCCAGAAATTTTGATGAAGGCCATGGCGTTGGGGAAACCAATAGTTGCACCGGACCTCTTCAATATTAGAAAACACGTAATGTTCTGTTTTCCTTTGCTTGTTTTATTTTTGGACATGTTCTCTGTTCATTTGGCTGCTTTCTGACTGTATTGGCAAATATCAAATAGGTCGATGACAGGGTTACTGGGTATCTTTTCCCCAAGAAGAATCTTAAGGTTCTATCACAGATTGTACTTGAAGTGTTATCAGAAGGGAAAATATCTCCGCTGGCTAAGAATATTGCCTTGATGGGGAAAACAGCAGTTAAGAATATGATGGCTCAGGAAACCATTGAAGGTTATGTGGCTCTGCTAGAGAATATTCTCAAGTTTCCATCGGAAGTTGCTTCTCCTAAGGATGTACAAGAAGTTCCTCGAAAACTTAGAGAAGAGTGGAGCTGGCCTCTGTTTGCAGCTTTTCTGGTTACAGCGCCTAAGAATAGAACAGCAAGAAGCTATGAGTTCGTAGCAAAGGTTGAGGGACATTGGAATCATACCCCAGGAGAAGCTATGAAATTTGGCGTTGTTAATGATGATTCGTTTGTATATGAAATATGGGAAGAAGAGAGGTATCTGCAGATGATCAATACTAGAAAAAGACGAGAAGACGAGGAGGTAAGCATATGCCAGTTCTTGATATGACATTCTCATCTCCATTTCCTACGTGTCAGTTTGATTTATCTTTGTGTTGTTGTGCAGCTGAAAAGCAGAGCCTTGCAGTATCGTGGAACCTGGGAGGAGGTATATAAAAGCGCCAAAAGAGCAGACCGAAGTAAGAATGATCTACATGAGAGGGATGAAGGAGAGCTACTAAGAACTGGTCAACCTCTATGCATATATGAACCCTATTTTGGTGAAGGAACCTGGTCGTTTCTACATCAATACCCCCTCTATCGTGGTGTCGGGCTGGTGAGTTCCTATGTGTTTTCACAATGGTCCAAAAGAGGGATTTTTTGTTTGTTTTCTCCACTGATGTGAATGAATCATATAACAGTCAGTTAAAGGAAGGAGGCCTAGGATGGATGATATCGATGCAACATCACGTCTTCCGCTTTTCAACAACCCGTACTATCGCGATGCTCTCGGTGACTTTGGAGCATTTTTTGCAATTTCGAACAAGATTGATCGCTTACACAAGAATTCATGGATTGGGTTTCAGTCCTGGAGAGCGACTGCCAGGAAGGTACATATCTTTGTTGCTTTAAAAAATCCTTTTTCATTGCTATAAGAGATTGCAAAGTCCAGTGATAATCAATATTACTTGTGATATAATTTGGTACCCCAAAACAGGAATCTTTATCCAAGATTGCTGAGAGCGCATTACTTGATGCTATACAAACACGGAAACACGGAGATGCCTTGTATTTTTGGGTTCGCATGGACAAGGATCCGAGAAATCCTCTGCGGAAACCCTTTTGGTCGTTCTGTGATGCCATAAATGCTGGGAATTGCAGGTAAAAAAACACTACAGAGTTCTTACAGTAACAATGTTTGTGACTTTTGGCTCATTTTCCTGACCCTTTGCAATTTATGGGCTTTGATGAAGGTTTGCTTACAACGAAACTTTGAAGAAAATGTACAGTATCAAGAATTTGAACTCACTGCCACCAATGCCCGAGGATGGGGATACATGGTCTGTGATGCAGAGCTGGGCATTGCCAACACGATCCTTCTTAGAGTTTGTCATGTTCTCAAGGTGCTTGCTTGTTAGTAATACTCATTCATAGTCCCAATTTGACACATTGAAGAGAAAAGAAAAAAAAGAGTACTTAGAGAGTTTTCTCTCTTGTTTGTAGGATGTTTGTGGACTCATTGGATGCACAGATATACGAAGAGCATCATCGAACAAGCCGTTGCTATCTGAGTTTAACCAAAGTAAGAAACTCATTTCTTCTTCTGCCAAACTTCATATGGGTAATTAGATCTACTTCAGAACAATCCATTTGGGTTTGGATTTGAGTAATGTGTTAAATATTCTCACAGGACAAGCATTGCTATTCGCGGTTACTGGAGCTTCTGGTGAACGTATGGGCTTACCACAGTGCTAGGCGCATTGTATACGTAGATCCTGGGACTGGTTTGATGCAGGAGCAACACAAACAGAGGACCAGGAGAGGCCAAATGTGGGTGAAGTGGTTCGATTACTCAACACTGAAAACAATGGACGAGGATCTTGCTGAAGAAGCAGACTCAGACCGCCGTGTGGGTCACTGGCTATGGCCATGGACTGGTGAGATTGTGTGGCGCGGTTCGTTGGAGAAAGAGAGGCAAAGGAAGAATGTAGAGAAAGAGGAGAAGAAGAAGAGAAGTAAGGATAAGCTGAATAGAATGAGAAGTAGAAGTGGTCGTCAGAAAGTAATTGGAAAATATGTAAAGCCGCCGCCAGAGAACGCAACTGTCACCGAAAACTCCACTTTGTTAAACGGAGACGCATAGAAACAGATAAAATTTGTACTTTTTTCATTTTTTTGGTCATAACATTTGTTTCATTCATTGTTTTCTGGAAAGATTACTGTATAAAAGGTCTCAAGTCTCATTCATTCTCTCTCTCTCTCTCTCTCAGCTCTCTTAGATTTAACCGACGGCTTTATCTTTCCGGCGGTGAGCTTCATTGTAGAAGTCGAAGAAAGAGAGATGGAAGCTGGAAACAGTGAGAAGGTTGAGTCGCACGTTCTCGAGATCAATCTCATATCGGCGCAAGGACTCAAAGAACCGACGGGAAAGCTCCGGCGATTGCAGACTTACGCATCTGTCTGGGTTGACTCCTCCAGCAAGCTCCGGACTCGGATTGATCGGATCGGCGCTGAGAATCCGATTTGGAACGACAAATTCGTTTTCCAGGTTTCTTCGGATTTCCTCTCTAGCGAAACTTCTGGCGTTTCTATCGAGATTTATGCTGTTGGTTACTTGCGGGATCATCTGATCGGAACCGTACGCTTCCTCGTGAGTAACTTCCTCCCAACCGCCGCCGTGAAAGTTCCCTCTCTCGTCGCGCTTCAGATCCGTCGCCCTTCTGGAAAGTTTCACGGCGTTCTTAACATCGCGGCCATGGTGATTGACGCTTCCGAACTTCCGGCTGATTTCTTCAAGTCCGTTCAAGAGAAATTGGCAGAGAGTCGTCGGAGTCGAAGAATGAGAAAGTCGAGATCTGCGGTCAGTTCGTCGGAGAACGGCCTTGCTGATGACGCCGGGAGTTCGAAAGAGAATTCGGTATGCGGATCGGTAAATTTCTCCGACGACGGTACGGACTCGACGGCGTCTTCTCCCATGCCGTCTCCTCTCAGAGACTGGAACGCAGTTCGAGATTTGGCGGGAAAGAATCACGTGAGATCGTCATCGGACGGTGGAGGATTGATGTGCTGTTTCTTGATGAAATCCTCCGGTGTGTTACCAGGAAGAAAGATTAACGGCTGAGATCTGTTTCTAAACCATAGATCTTAGCCACGTGCACAACTATCAACGGTTCAGATCTCCCTTAGTCGTTAGTTTCGGCCGTTCCAACGGTTATGAGTGTAACCAATTTTAAAAATTTGGAATTTTTGCTGTTGTTCATGTTTCTGAAAAACATAATTCATTCATTTTGTTCTTTCTTTTGTTTCAGCACTTAAAAATTCATTTCAATATGAATAAGAAGAAATATCATGTGTTTTTCTTTGCCATATTCATTTTTCGAATATCACAAAAAAATGTGGATAAATTAGTCTTTTTGTTAAACAATACAAAAAAAAAAAACGCGGGGGTTGGTTTTTAGAGTTGAGGAGATAATTGTTGCCTCAACGGCCAAATTAGTTAAAACCACCGATTCGTCCTACCAGAAAAAACAAAATCATCGTTTTATTAAAATCTTCGATTTGTTTTTTCAATACAATTCACTCTCTCTCTCTCTCTATCGTCTTCTTCAATCCTCTCTGTTTGTGTCCTCCATATCAGAAGTTACAGCTCGCAAAAACAGGTAAACATACGGTATTTAGGGTTTTAAAAGTTCATGATTTGGTGTGTTTCTGTGTTTGAAAATTTCAAAACAAATCTAGGGTTTTATTATGGCAATGTTCACGAGGGAGATATCAGCCACGGAGCTGAGAGCAACAGAGGAAAATCGAATTCAATACTCTTCGAAGCACATTAAACACTTGCCACCTGGCACAATTACTGAGTTTGATTGGAAAGACTACTGTCCGTTGGGTTTCAGGTAATGATATTGTTCAATATTGTTCAGTTAATTTCTTTAAAATATTGATTTTTAATATGTTCTGTTTTTTTTTGTTGTTGTTCTTGTAGACTTATACAAGAACTTGAAGCTATTGATCATGATGATTACATGCATTCCATTTGCAATGACGAGACTCTAAAGAAGCTTTCTTCTGGGAAAGTTGGAAATGTGTTTCATATATCCACTGATGACCGTTTTCTCATCAAGATTCTTCGAAAATCCGAAATTAAGGTATTCGATAACACTACATAATTACATTTTGGGAGATCTTCTCCATGCAAATATAATAGTCTTTCATTGATTTTTATTGGGGTGATGTTTAGGTGCTACTAGAGATGCTTCCAGGCTACTATCGACATATTCATAATCACAGATCATCACTATTCACAAGGATTTATGGTTGTCATGTTGTGAAGCCTATTGGTGGTGTTAAGGTAAAGGACTTTATATATTAATCTATGCTTTATGTTAATGGTTAGAGTTTAGAGCCATATATTCTTATGTTTATTTATTTATGTGCATACAGACATATTTCGCCGTGATGTCAAACATGCTACATTCGACGGTTTTTATGAACAAGCTCTATGATCTAAAAGGTTCTCCAAAAGGTCGAACTACCAAGAAAATTGAATTGAGAAACAATACTGTATTGAAGGATGTAGATCTCGATTTCTGTTTCTACGTTGATCCATTGGCTAGACAACGTATCATCAAGTATGTCTATATATCTCTCTTTCTCTGTATCATCTTGACTCTAGTAACCAATTTATTTTATTTTTTTTGTTAAAAGTAACCAATTTATATATGATTCAAATGCTCAAACACAAAGAGTCATGTCATTACAGGCAAACAAAGCTAGATTGTGAGCTTTTGGAAAAAGAAGGTATAATGGATTACAGCTTATTGATTGGTTTACAAGTAAAAGAAGAGTCATATGAAGGTGATATATAATTCTCCCTCTCTTTTTTTTTGTTTTTGTTTTTCTCTGTTCTCATTAGCAAAAGTGCTCAAAAGTATTGATGTCTAATCATAATAAATAACTCTTAACAGGTTCACTTGATGGAGTAAACCCGGTTTACGGTAGCTTCACACCTGCATGTAAGAAAACAAACACTTCACCAACATTCTTTAATCTCTCTTTTATGTTATTGATGGCAAATTAAGACTCCAACAAATTTATAATGTCTATTGATTACATTTTCAGGCTCATTTAAAAGCGATAGCACAAAGTCGTTGAAGAAAGCTTCAAATTCTCCAGATAGATCTTGTTTAGCTTGCTCTCCCAAAAGAGGTAAATCTTTTGTAACAATGCCGTATCAAACAAGAAAAAGACACATAGGTCTAAAAAATGTACTTAAGAACAAAAAAAAAACATTTCTATGATTCTTAACAGATTCAGTGGAAAGCGAAAACTCAATGACAAGTGATAGCACAAGCTCAGAAACAAATCTGATAAACAGAAACAGCAAAACAGCAACACTCAGTGACCTCGTTGTCAACAGGTAAAGAAACAAGAATCGAAATATATATATATGTATTAAAAAAAACTACTGTTTAGTATATAATCTTTCTTTAATTTCTGATGCAGCTCGAGTACCAACTTTGGAATGAAGATTCCGGCGAGGGCACGGCGGGTGAAGAGAGCGGCGGGAGAAGATGAATGGTACGATGTGGTTTTGTATTTAGGGATCGTAGACACATTTCAAGACTATGGTATGAAGAAACGCATTGAACATTGTTACAAAAAAATCCAACATACCTCAAACTCAATCTCGACCGTCCATCCTAAGATCTACTCTTCTCGATTCCAAGACTTTGTCTCCAACATATTCTTACCTCACGAGAACGACGACGATTTCTCTCCCTAATGTGTTTATTATTTTTTCATATAATTACAATTTACGGTTTAATTTCCAAGTGGAGTTACTAGAGTGTTAAGAGCCTCTTCTTACGATCCAAAGTGGTGTTTGTTGTAAAAAAAAATCTCTTTTTTTTCTTCGGCGATCGATCAACAATATGTGAAGAAAAGCATGCAGTCTTTTTATATTAAAAGGTTACCAAAATGTACTAAATCAATTTTAACGAAAGAATTGCCAAAATAATAATTCAAGTCTTCAGAATTCTAAAATCAACATTTTTAGAGAACTACTACTCTCGTAATAAGTAAACTACTGGTAATGTAATTATATCTTATTTATAAAATTACAAATAAAAATTAATAAAAACGTGCTGACAGAAAGAAAAGGTATATACATCCAATTTCTTACATAAATTGCATGAGATAGTTTTGGTAAGAAAATATAAAATGGCAGTAAATCTAAATCTGAAGCCTTTAAATTGCATGAGTTAGTTTTGGTAAGAAAATATAAAATGGAAGTAAATCTAAATCTCCAGCCTTTTAAAAACAAAAATGGGAGTAAATCTTTGAATTTTCCTGTCATTATTGTATACACTGGACCAGATATGTAAGCAGATTTAATGATTATCCCAATATTAATGAGAGGTTACGTGAGTGTGTGTGTGTATATATGTATAGACTATGGAGAGTGCAATGCCAACGTTGAACGGTTCCGTTGCAGCCAATGAGCTTTCCTCTTCAAAACCCCTCTGATAAATCTCAAAATTCTCCGCTCCAGCTCGTCGGGTTTTTGATTTCGAAAAGATAATTTACTCAAAAACCCAAGATGGGTTTGGATTCGGATCTCTCGCTCTCCGGTTCCGGCTCCGATCATGTCAACTTCGGGTTCGCTTTCAACGACGTTAATTTCTCCGATCGTCTTCTCCGCATCGAAATCGCCCACGGCGGCGAGGTTAGTCGTGCGAGCGACGTCGGTTGTGTTAGAGATCGCAAACGCAGGAGGGAAGAAGACGAAGATGTCAACAACAATGAGACCCATAAAGGTTTCTCCTTTTTTCCCTTTCAATTCTAAAATTCATAACTTGTTTACGATTTCTGTTCGCTTTTCTGGGGAATTGGGAAAATGATTGGTTGTTTCGTTTCTTGTGCCTAAGAGCATTTTGTTCAGGATAGGTTTATCTTTAATACAACTTGAAATATGATTCTTTCAGTGTTGGATCTTGCTACAGAGTCTGATTAACTTGATGATTCAATAGTAACCATTGGTGTTTGCAATTGCAGGTGGTGAAGATGAGACTACTAATCCTTCAGTTAAAGAGTTACATATAAGCTCTCCGATATTAGCAGCCAAAAGCCCATTCTTTTACAAGGTATGATTATTGATTAAGCTACTCAAATCATTTGTATACAATGGTAACGAAACTGATTGAAATTGATGTTTTTGCTCACAGCTCTTCTCTAATGGGATGCTTGAATCAGAGCAAAAACATGTGACTTTGAAAATAGATGCTTCTGGTATTGTAAAACTCTTCCAAAAAGTTTAACACTGTACAGTAAATTTTCTCTCTGCTGATATGTTACTACGTTTTTTGATTGCAGAGGAAGCTGCTGTAATGGAGCTCTTGAAATTCATGTACAGCAATTCACTGACATTGACGAACGTCCCTGCTCTGCTCTCTGTTCTAATGGCAGCTGACAAGTTTGAGGTCGCTTCTTGTATGAAGCATTGCTGCAGTTTGCTGCGAACTATGCCCATGACATTAGACTCTGCATTGCTTCTTCTTCATCTTCCTCCGACTCTGATAATGGCTGATTCAGTCAAGCCTTTGGTCAATTCCGCAAGGCGATTCATCGCCTCTCGCTACAAGGACATATCCAAGTAATTAACACCTCGATCGACTCTTTACATCATATCAAACTTTCAAAAGCTTGATTCATTCATTCTCACATTTCTGAGCTGTTTTTGATCAGTTCGCCAGTAGAGGAGGTGATGGCTTTACCGTTGATAGGTATCAAGATACTACTAGCGAACGACGATCTACAAGTTTCGTCTGAAGACGTTGTGTACGAGCTTGTCTCGAGATGGTTAAGATTACACTACTCAGGTGTTAGAGAGCGTCAAGATGTCCTCGCCTCTCATCTCGCTCGCTTCATCCGTTTCCCTCACATGTCATGTCAGAGACTCAAGAGAATGTTGCTCTCGGACGACTTTAGACCTTCCATCGCAAAGTCAATAGTCCTTGACGCTCTCTTTTTCAAAACCGATTCATCGGACGACCGTCCCGCGGCCTCCTCGCTTAACCGCCGGTTAGTGGAACGAGCCTACAATTTCAAACCCATCAAGACGGTGGAGTTCGAGGCTCCACGACAGCATTGCATCGTCTACATGGACTTCAAACGCAGAGAATGCGAGAGCCTGTATCCATCTAGGTGGACAATGTCTCAGGCGTTTCAGTTAGGAGGACGAATGTTTTACCTCTCAGCGCACTGCACCATGGACCAGCTCAGCTTGTCTCCCTGTTTCGGGTTGTTTCTTTGGTTGCACGGAAATGGGTCGGTGAGTCAGGCTTTGAATTACCAGTTTTCAGCGAGGTCGAAGCCAACGGAGGAGTTTAGGGTTCGAGTCAGAAAGAACTTTACGTTAGTCGGAGGTCAAGCTGTTGGGTTCAGGGACTTGTTTGGCATGCCGTGGGATCGTTTCATGGCCGAGGATTGTCCCCACTTTATCAATGGCGTTCTTCATCTCCGAGCCGAGCTCTCCATCGGACACCTTTAGGGTTTAGAGAACCAATCATATCTCTTGACTTGTTTAACTTGAGCTTTTTCTTTTTCTTAGGTTACAAGTTAGGGTTGTGTGTGTCTGAAGCAACCATGATATCTACACACACTTGCATATGATGTCTATATGTTAGTGTTTTGATGCATGTTTTGATCGAATTGAGGTCAATTTTGAAGATGCAATAGTTTCAGAATGCAGAAGATACATTGTTGAAACAGAGAAATTGTATAATATTCATATTACAGGAAAACCTTATAAAGAGAGCTCTTTTATTTTTGTTTGTTGAATGAATCTATTCGGTCCCTGCGATCTTCTTCTTCAAGGAATCAATATCCTCAGCCAATTCCTTTCTGCTTGACTGAAAGAAACATGAACATTCATGTCAGATCAGATCATTTGATGCGTTTTACAGATTATAAGAGTTTGTGGCGGTTTTGTTACCTTGAAGAGAAGGTATCTGTAGACGAACCATCCTGTGTATCCAAGACCAACTAGTTCCATAACTTTCGGAAGCTACACACAAACAAGTATCATTCATAGTCAAACTCATTAAACTTTCTCTGATCTTAAGAGGGTTTTGAGAGATTTGTTACCAGAGGAACAGAGTTGATGGCGCCAACAACAATGGAAGATAACCAGACAGCAACAATGGCTCCTCCTCCATATATAAGCACAGTCGACTTGTTCTCAAGACCATCCCACTGCACCAAAAGCCACCAATCAAAAACAACACACAAAGCCAAGAACTTCTGTTTTTTCCGATCACAACAAACATCGGTGGCTCACCTTTTCCTTCAAATCTGTGATAAGTTCGTCGGTGTCAATGGATGTTGAGGTCTCTTCTGAAGAAGCTCTCGTCTTCATCAGTTCAACCTTCTGGAAACCATTCCCTGCAATTGAACCGGAAAATCCAATACTATCAAATTATAAACCTCCAATTTCGGTTTTGAAACTATACCGAACCGACGCATCGCCGAATCTCAATTCCGGTCCGGAATATTATCATTTCAGGCAATTTGCGATAATACATATACAGCTCGGAAAGAGTTGGTCACCTGAAAGTAGCTTCACCGGAACAGTGAAAGAGGATCGGCCAAAAGAGCGAGGAGGAAGATAAGGGACGGCGGAGCAGCGAGCGGATACGGCGGGGACACGTGGAATCATGACTGCCACAGAGGACGAAGCTGCTACTGTCATCGCCATTGAAGCACGCCGATAATTTCTTCTTCTACTTCTCTTCTGCCTACTACTTACTTCTCGTCTTCTTCGCTAAATTTTGCCTCTTTCGATTTTTTTTTCTGCTTGCGCTTTTTACAAAACAAGATTCCGTCTAGCGACACGTGGACGTTCCTCGTGGTCTTATTGGTCGCTACTCTTATCTTTAGAAATCCAACTCAGTGGTGTTTGTAGAGTGCTCAAATCTTGTGGGGTTTAAGGCCTTTTAGGCCCATTGATCTGGGCCTATTATAACCTATCTTAATGATTAATCTCTTCTGTCTCTCTTTCTTTTCAATTTCTAGGTGAGAAAACATGGAAAATTATGCAAACCTTTGATTTTTGTGTCTTAAGATAGTTACGAGAATAATATGAGATTGACCAAAAAGAGGAATTCGAACAAGAAATTTTAAAATACTAATCTTTTTTAATGAAACTAGAAAAGAAATAAATAACAAACCCACTAAAACTGAGTGATGGTACAGCTCTTCCACCCTTATACTTCGCTGGCGCTTTCAACTACTAACCAATACTCCATTTCTCTTGTTATTTAACAAAATAGTTGAGTTTTTTTAATAACTTTAGTTTAATCTTATTTGGTACGTTTTTCTGTAATTAATCTGCTCAATACTGTGTGTTTTCATCTAGAAAGAGTTACCATGAAAAAAATTCACCGTCAGCTATATATATGTGAGCCAATAGATGGGAGAGTTTGAGACAAGGATCATGCATGTAATAACGAAAATATCTTTAAGGAATAAAGAAGAAATTAGCTGAGCTTATAAACAAAGAAATTGTATGATCATTACGTCATCCGCATAAATTACGAATTTTAGCCGACGTCTTCTTTTTATCATCTCCAATCAAAGTTTGATTTAAAGAATTCATTTTATTTTGGGTCAATTAGAACAAAAAAATAAATTAAATTAAAGAAACGAAAAAACATCCACCATTAATACAGCTCAAACCAAACTTTCTCTCCCCTTTTTTCTTACATGTTTGAATATCTAAGTACGGTCTTTTTCTAAATAATTTTAAAAAAAAATCAACCAATACACATTTTAAAAAAGTTCATATTCATGCAGCTGTTCCCATTTTATTATATGTACATGTATATTCCATACTCTCTTCTAAGTGTGTATATTGTGCTTAATTATATTCCCTCATCTCAATCTCAATCTCAATCATGTTTCCAAATCTCAATCATGTTTCCACTTTGCTTCTGTGATCTATCTGGATCACAACTCTCTTTTGATCAAAGATCATCATATATAGCTTTTATTTAATTCCATCGATGAAGATCACCAAAACTCATTTTGGTCTTCGTCGTCGTTCTTGATTTTCTCTGGCAATGGGATCTACAAATCTTGGTCTCATCGTCATCGTCTTCGTCTTCTGCGTCATCTCTAATCTACAAACGATGGTTCACTGCGACAACATTCAAGATTTGGACGATCTGATCCGTTCATACGCGGCACGTGCCACTACTAGAAGAAGACACACAGGTTCGTTATACGAGATTTCACTTCCGTCGAATCTCTCCGACATCAATGCATCGGTTGTTACGGTCCGTAACAGTATGTTCTGGAGAAAAGGAGCAAACGTTAGTGGAATTCACATTCCTACGATGGTTAAAACGACGCCGTACGCTAAGAGAATAGCTTTGGTCTACGAGAGATACGGTGATCACTCTTCATCGGTTTACTTCCGGTTAGCTGATAATTACTCTTTCGTTTCTCCGGTTATTGGATTCAACGCTTACGACGCGACGAACACGAATGATCTCAAAAAATTGAATCTAACCATCAAGAGAGACAAACCAATCTTGATCAAATTCGATTCTCACGTTGATGATCCTCAAATTAGAAGAATCAAATGCATTGCCTTCGGAGATAATGGGTTGTGGAGTTTCAGCAATACGACACGGAATCACGAATGTGCCACTACGAGTTCTCGTGGGCATTACGCGCTTGTAGTACTAAACCAGAATCCCAAACCGGAATCGAAACCGGAGTTGGTGGTTCGGAGGAGGTGGTGGTGGTTTGCTTTAGCCGCGATTGGAGTGTTGGTTATCGTTGTTTTGTTGATCGTTGTTGTGGTGAAGTTAGTGAGGAAGAAGAGGTTAAGAGAGATGGAGAGAGAGTCGGAGAAGAGTGAGATGATCGGAAATGTTTGGATCGGTCGGAGTAGAATGCCGGCGGCTGCGATGGTGAGAACTCAGCCTTGTTTGGAATATAATGAAGAAGATCTTCCTTCTTCTTCTTCGAATATACCTTGATTTTTGTAGTTTTTTATTTTCTGGCTGTGTACAGTGAGTTACATTCAAAGTTCAATTTTGTAATTTTTTCCACGTTAAGTTTGGTATGCTTTTGCACTTCTTCCCGTTTCACTTATGCATGAGTAAACTGCTCGTCGTTTCTGATCTCAGTTCCTCCTTATTTATGGATGAGGCGATTCATCATCAGTGTGTAAATTGGTTTGCTAATAGTTTACTCATGCATAAGTGAATAGTAATTGATGCATGTGTTAGTCAAACAAAAATGTGATATAAATTATGGCACAACAGGATAGAAGATCAATCGTCACGACTCACGTACACTTACAAATATTATAAAATCCGGTGACGCACGAAAGGTGACGAAGAAATGTCACTAGTTAAACTATTTTCTAAATCCAATAAGTTGAGGTGAGGAGAATCAAATGATTAGGAGAACAATCGATCTGTAAAGCAGCATATCACACACTATATATTAAACTACACATATACGATATCTAATTAATCTGGTTTACTACAATATGCTTAGTTGGTGGATGTAGTTTTAAAATCCACATTTAAGTAAGTAACAACTAATGTACTTCTTATATCATTATATTATATTACATACGACGAAATAGGTAACTGAAATCAAACCACATAAAAAATTGAATCAAACCAGGCCGAAATTTAATGAAACCATACCAGAACTGAATACCAAACCATATGTATATACGTGTAGAGAAACCTAAACCTAAACCTAAACCTAAACCTAAATCGTTTGAGGAGGGGGGAGACGGTAATAATGCTGATCGGACCCTACGGTACTGATGAATATAATCGTCAGAGAGCTGCTTCTTGGAAACTTGTAAAGGAATACGGTGTATGTGATTCCTTCATCCTCCTTGCTATTAATTATGAGATTGATTGATCCATCAAGTCTCCGAATTGATCCATTAGAAATCTGTCTTGTTTAGGTGTTCGATATTCCGGGTTCTACGATCGATTTCGAGGAAGTGATATGTAATGAAGGGCGTCCTTGTCCTGTCTTAGTCTTGCTATACGCTAGGATGGGCCTTCATCGCTACAATCTGCTGGAGGTCTAATGAAAGCTCTTGTTTGTTGATTATATCCACATGCTTTAGTTATGATGTAACAACATTCGATTATGCTCTTTCGTTTCTTTCTTCAGGGTACAAAGTTTGAGCTGAGTGGCGTAACGAAATACGTAAAATCAAAGGGTACTTGTGCTTGCACTTACTACATAACTCTGGATGCAATTGATCCAGCTGTTGGCTCCTCGCTTCAAACTTTTCAGACTAAAGTATCAGAGCAAAGTTTTGGCAGATATATTCTCATGTGCAATGTGAGAGTGAGCAAGCCCAAATTGTAGAAAGCCCAAAGACGAGGAAGCCCATCAAGTCCAACATCTCTGTTCACAAGAAGACAAACTCAAAAGCAGAACCAGAAAGTAAGGAGAAGGAGCCGTTGCAGCTGAAGAATAGATTCAATCCCTTATCCTCAATTAACCATAGTTAAGCTTTACAGCTGTAGATTAGGTTAAGGGTTAAGAGACTCTAGAGAGTTCGTATCTCCCCTATATATTAAGCTCATTGTACACTCTTGAAAATCATCCAAGTTTATATCAATAATATTCAGTTTTACCTAAAAGTCTCAGTTTTCTACATGGTATCAGAGCCATTGAAGCTTTAACGAGAAACAATGGCCGATCCAGTCCTTCCCTATCCTTTTCCCAGTAATGTTCATGTCCTAAGTTCGGTAACTATCAAGCTCAATGATAGCAATTACCTGTTGTGGAAGACTCAGTTTGAGTCTCTGTTGTCGAGTCAGAAGCTCATCGGGTTCGTGAATGGTGGCTTAACAGCTCCTCCGGAAACCAGTCCCCTCTACGAGTCATGGTTCTGCACAGACCAGCTGGTCCGTTCGTGGCTCTTCGGTACCTTGTCAGAGGAAGTCCTCGGGTCTGTGCACACTCTCACTACATCTTGCGAGATCTGGCTATCCCTCACTGAGAACTACA